TGGTGGCAGACGTGGCCGGTCCGGGGTTCGTGAACTTCATGCAGGAGTTCATTCGGGGCATCAGGCCCGAGGTCCAGCCGGAGCGTGCCTACAACGCCACATTCCTCCCGCGCAAGCACGAGGACCCCGAGGCCAACTTTACCGCGCCGCTCCCGCCGCCCATCATCGCGCCGGCCACCGGCGCCCAAGTCAACGCCGCCGCCGACTACGTGCTCGCCCATGGTACCGTGTCGTGTCGCGCGTGTGTGCGATGTGTGCGATGCGTGCGGTGTGTGCGGTGTGTGTTGTGTGTCGTGTGCGGTGTGTCGTGTCTGATTTGAACTATGGCGCGTAGGGGTTGGTGAGGGCAACACGCTGGCGGATGTGGGTCTCTATTTTGCGCCGAGCCACGGCGCGGGTCTGGTCAAGCGACTCACGGACGCTCGCGCCATCCCCTACCGGGACATCCCCCACTTCCCCTCCATTAGCCCTTCCTGTACGTTCCCTCCGCCGCACACGCACACACCACCGCACACGCACCACCGCACACGACACACGACACACGCACCACCGCACACACGACACACGACAGCCACACGCGCACACAGGAAATTCTTAGAATTCTCCTCCGTTTGCATACAGCGCGACTGGGCGAGCTGGTGGTGGGCGCGCTGGCCGGGGGTCAGCGGGTGGTGGTGCTACACAAGAACGCCTTGGAGGGGTTCTCGTGCGAGGAGTCGGTCTTTGTCGCGCGCCTCCTCCGCGTGCTGGGCGTGTCCACTCTCGTTCACACCCTCATCGCCGGTACGCACCGCACTCGCCTTTGTCAAAGAGCGCACACGCACACGCACTTGGTTGACTTGGCACACGCCGCACACGCGACCAATGGCACGACACGCGCACAGAAAAACGCGATGCCGAAGCGAAGGTGGATGACGTGGCGGTGCTGGTGGACGCGCTGGACTTCACGTCCATCCACCCGTGGACCCACAACAACCCCCTGCGGCCCATTCAGCACGCCCGCCTCTTCAACGTCCAGCCGTACGCCCACGCCACAAGTTTCACTTGCTTGCATTCTTTACTCTTCTTTTTTATTGCATTCCGCGCATAGCTCATAACATGTTTTGCATTCCATACTGCTGCATTCCAATGTGTGTGGCGCAAGCACAGGCTCCAGGCCGGCGTGGCGAAGGCATTCGAGGCGCAGGGCGTGAAGGTCGGTGAGGCCGCCTACATGGCCTTCCAGGGGCCCTCGCTCCCGAGCAACGCCGAAGCCGCCATCGCACACAAGATCGGCTGCCCGCTCGTCGGCACCGCTTCACTGTACCCCCCCCCCTCCCGCGTCGCCTCTCTGCCCTCGTTGCCGCACTCTTTGCTTTCGGGTCCACTCACCGCCTGATTGTGTGTCGTGTGTCGTGTCGTGTCGTGTGTGTGTGTGTGTGTGTGTGTGTGTGTGTGTGTGTGTGTGTGTGTGTGTGTGTCGTGTCGTGTGCGCACGGGCGCGTGTGTCTGTTTGGCAGTGGTCTGGTGTATGCGTCGCGATCGAACGGCATTTCCGTGCTGGGCCTGGCCCAGCCCGCCGTAGTCAGCAAGGACACGCGTACGTGCAGTCGTGTGGCGTGTGTGCCGTGTGTGCCGTGTGTCGTGCGTGCGGCTTTGCTTTGCGTTGGGCACTTCACAGACGGTCTGACCGTGAGTCACACATCGCACTTGACCGCAAACACACGCAGTGGCCAAGGTGCACGTGAGCAAGGCCATCGAGTCGCTGCTGTCGGCCCACCCGCCCTCGCCCGCGCAGCCCCACCGCGAGGCCGCCGACCTCCCCGCCACCATCTACACGCAGCAGCAGGTACGACACGACACACGACACACGACACACGACACACGACACACGACACACGACACACGACACACGACACACGACACACGACACACGACACACGACACACGACACACGACACACGACACGACACGACACGACACGACACACGCAGCCTTTGCGCGTGATCGATCACCGTTGACCGTGCGTGGTCATGGCAGGTGACGCCCCACCTGGCGCGCCCTGTCACCCAGGGCGTGCCCGAGCACATCCAGGCCGCGGCCGACCACGTCCTGGCCGCCGCATCCGTACGTGGCCTCCACGCCCAGCCCCCCCCCCCCGAACGACCCTTAATTTAATTTCATATTTTTCTCTGCCCTATTTCTCGTCGTGTGCCGTGTGCGGTTGTGCGTGTCGTGTGTCGTGTGTCGTGTGGCGTGTGGCGTGGTGCGTGTGGTGCCTTGCGTGTGTCGTGTCAAAACGTAGGGAGGCCAGACTGGCTTGGCGCTGATCGTGGAGGACGAGGCCCTGTTCCAGCCCTTCTCCGCGCACTTTGCGCAGCTGGCCGAGATCGCCGACATTCCGCACCTGCCCTCGGGAGTACATAACTACTACCACCACCCCACTTTCTTTTATAACACCTCAACCTCCCAGTCCTCACCAAGTGCGCGTGTGCGCGTGCGTGTGCGTCGTGTCTTGTGTGTCGTGTTGTGGTGTCGGTTGGTGTCGAGCAGGTCCAACTCTTCCGCGGGGAGCTGAAGGACGGCGGCGCGTCGGTGTTTGTATTCAAGGGCATCCACTACGTGGCCGAAGGCCGCCCCTTCTCCGAAATCGTCTTCCCCATGCGCGTACGTGTCTGCACTCCAGACCCGCCCTCACCAATGCAGCGCTAACGAATGGTTGTGTGTGCCGTGTGTCATGTCGTGCGTGTCGCGTGTCGCGTGTCGTGTGTGTCGTGGGCAGCTGCTGCATGCGGTGGGCGTGACGCGCGTGGTGCTGGTCGGCCGGAGCGCGGCCTGCACCAGCAAGTTCGGAGGTCCGGGCGACGTCCTGATCGTCAACGACCATGTCAACTTCTCCGGCCGCAACCCGCTCTTCGGCCCCAACGACGACAAGTGCGCTCCAACAACTTCCGTCACCCTCATCATCTTCTTCGTCACTGACGTGCCGCGTGCATCGTGTGCCGTGTCGTGTGTCGTGTGTGTCGTGTCAGGTGGGGCGTGCGCTTCCCGGACATGAGCAACGCCTACGATCTGGCCATCCGCAACGTGGCCCACGACATCGCTGAGGTTAGTTTTTTTCTCTTCTCGTAATTCATTCATTCGTTCATTGATTGATATATTATTTTTCCATATTTAATTAATTTGTTTGTAATTGAATTGGATTGGCAGGCGGAGGGCATTGCGGTCAAGCGGGCAGTGGTGGGCCTGTTCGTGGGACCCGTCTACCGATCGCCGCTCGACTCGCGCCTCGCTCAACTCGGCGGCGCCGACGCCATTACTACCGGTGCACATTCCCGCACTTGTTGCTGCTGCTGCTGCTGCTGCTGCTGCTCGTCGAGGGCCACGCCGCACACGCCGCACACACCGCACACACCGCACACACTCAATTCAACCGCACACGCGGGTGCGGTGGAACAGGGATGGTGTCGCAGGTGGTGGTGGCGAGGCACGTGGGAATGAAGGTGGGCGCCCTCTCGCTGGTGAGCGGAGCACTGGAGGCGACGGACGACGACCAGGCTCCCGCCGCCGGCCTCGAGCAGTCGGCCGCGCAGACGGCCCGGCTGGCGGCCCGCCTCCTCGCCCAGCTGGCCACCGCCGGCAAGCACCACACCGATGCCGTGCCCGCCACGAACGCCCACTAATGTTTTCATTTTCATTTTCTCTTTCTTTTCTTCAGAAAGAAACAGAAGGGAAAAATAAAATACAGAAAAAAACAAACGCATGTTCATCGAGGGGCCAACATGACGAACGGTACGGTGACAGTTTCACAGAGATTCTTTGCCTTCGCTCTGCTTACCCCTGGTCTCCTTCGCAGTCTACTCCTTTCCAGGGCTGCTGACGGCCATGCTGCTCTTCATTTGCTTCGCCACGTTGATTAAATCAACCCCCATCCTGCGACGAATCTTCCTCTCTGAAAAGAAGGGCTTCTGGGGCACCTTCTACAAAGGTGCGCCTTCCTTCTCCAAAAACCACCACCATCACAAGCTCTTTTTCTTCTTCAGCAATCTAAAATCCATCCACCCCACTCCTATCAAACAACCAACCTTGTTGGATCCATCTCCACAGCTTCAGTGGTGGGGTCACGACTACATTGGTTTGTGTCAGCAAGCTGCTTCAGCATGGCCTTCTACCTCCTTGTCCTCCAGTAGCTGGTTGAGCAGAGGTGACTCTTCTCCAACCACACCAACACATGCCAACAAAGAACAAACCTGTCCATCAGCCCTGCTTCTTCTTGCGCTAATGACGGTGACAATGATGATGATGGCGATGAAGATGAAGATGATGAAGATGAAGATGGTGATCACTCGTTGGACGTGGAAAGGAACTGGGTGGCCAGGGCGAGGAGCGAGGCCAGGTCGGCTGCGACGTGGAGGCCGGCGAGGAAGCGCCGGGCGCGCGCGGCGATGAGCTCCCACTCGTCCTCGACGGCCTGGAACCAGGCGGCCAGGCTCGCCAGCGCCAGCACCGTGGCCCACACCTGCCCGGCCGCCGCGCCGTGCAGCTTCTGGACATCGGCGGGAATCGCGCGCTGCAGCTCGCCCAGGCCCTTGCCCAGCGCTCGCGCCAGCTCGTCGTTCAGCTCCCAACTGCGATCCAACATACACGGGTGAGTGTCGTTGGTCGTGTCGTGTCGTGTCGTGCCATGTCTCGTGTCGTGTCGTGCGCACCTGCCGTCGGCGTTTTGGGAGAAGAGGATGGCGTCCATCTTGTTCTGCTCGGTGGCGGAGAGCTTGATCGAGGCGTCGACTGCCGGGTCGCTCGTTTGGCTGGCCTTGCCACCCCGCGCGGGAGCCTTTGACGACGACGACCACGCTGATGTTGACGATTCTAGAAAGACCCCATGCCCATGAGCCGCCCACCGCCCAATCGGTGAGAAAAATTCGTCGGCTGTTTAGATCCGCACGCACACGACACACGACACACGACACGAGCGCGATCGCACACGCACATGATACGACACACACGCCCAGAGGGGGGAGAGGTACGTGTGGAGGAGAGGTCAAAGTCGAAGGCGTTGGCCATGGTCAGGATGCCACGCTTGCTCTGCGCCTCGTCGCCCACGTACGAATCCTTCTGGCCCATCCCGATCATCACTCCTGCAACACACGCACGACACACGCACGGCACATGGAACGACATGCACGGCACGGCCACATAATAATGAGTGTCGTGTCGTGTCGTGTCGTGTCGTGTCGTGTCGCGTCGCGTCGCGTCGTTGGTCGTGGGCAAGTGCAAGTGCAAGTGCAAGACAAGAGAGAACACGGGCTGAGTACCGCGGTGGCGCGGTCGCCCGATGACCGGCGGGAAGAGGGCGCGCGGGACGTCGTCGCCGGCGAAGCCCGCCTTGAACAGGTGCGTGCCGGGATCGAGCACGCACGTCTGGATCTCCTCCGCGACGTCGCCGAACGTGTGGGGCGCCACGAACTGGGCCCAGGCGAAGGGGTCGGTCTCGCTCAGCTCGCGCTCCTCCTCCTCCACGCTCCGCTTGTTGGCGGCCTGCTCGGCCTCGGCCTCGGCCGCGAGCCGCTCGGCTTCGAGTCGCTCGGCCTCGAGCCGCTCGGCCTCGAGTCGGGCCAATTCCTCGGCCTGCTGGGCAGAGTCGGTGTCGACGGCAATCGTGACCTCGACCAGCTCGGGCGTGTCCTCCAGCGCCTCGTCCCGCTCCTATTTTAATTCATAAATTATGGCATTAAATAAAAGAATAAAGTAAATTAGATATTAAAATCATAAACACAAAAAAGAATGAATAATAATAATATAATCATAAAGAATGGGTGGCCAACCTCGACGACAGTGTAGGCGGTCTGGGAGCAGAGAACGCCGAACTCCTTGCTCAGATCGATCATCTTCTGCCGGTGCTGGGCCACTCCCTTGGCCTCGAGCGAGCGCAACAGGCCGCTGGCCGCCAGCAAGTGGATCACATCACCTGTTTCCACCCATTTGCCCACCATCAGCGACGCGTGTGCGTGTGCGGTGGTGCGTGTGCGTGTGCGGCGTACCATGAAACACGTCGGCGTCGCTGAGGCTGAAGACCTGTCGATAGGCCTCCGCCGTGGTGTCGCCCTTGGCCGTAAACACGATTTCGGCCGTCGCCCCCTCGCCCCCCTTGGTCTCCTTCATGAGGGCCGGCGGTAGGAACGCAAAGACCGAGCACCGCGCGTTGAACGTCAGCACCTCCGGCAGAGCTGCTCCCCCCCCCAGCCCATGCGTCAGCGCTTCTCGTGCCTCGTGTGTGTCATGTGTGCGTGTCATGCGTGTCGTGTCATGTGTGCGTGTCGTGCGTGTCGTGCGTGTCATGTTATGTTGTACCGGAGGAGAGGACGTTGTGGGTGGTGCCCCAGGCGAGACTGGGCTTGACCAGCTGCGGGCGGATGGCCTTCTTGAGGGAGCTCAGCACCTTGGCCTGGATCCGCTCCTCCTGTTGCACGCGTCAGCAAAATAATAATGATAATAATCAATAATAATCCAAATAAGAAATAATAATGATAATAATAATAAGAATAATAATAAGAATAAGAATAATAATAATATAAAGAGTAATGGCCGCTGATTCGCGCCGAGAGCTGGAGAGAAAGGTGAGCCACGTACGGGCCTGACGAACTCGGCTACGCCGCGGCCATTGGTGGCGATGCCCTGCACCAACGGCACACTTGCCTGATGGGGGGCAGATCAGTGACAACGGTGACAATCAGGTTTTGTTTCATTAGACTACAAATAATAATAACAAATAAATAAAATCAAAAATAAGAATAACAACAAACTAAATATGGTAAAAACACAAAGTGGGAAAGTGGGGGGGGGCACGTACGCCATGGCCGATACCGAACGAAAAGACGCGGGTCAGCTGCGATTTGCTGCACGCCTCCTTCACCAAATTGAGGCAGCTATCCATGTTGGAAACCTGTCCACACACACACACACACACACGACGTACATCACCGATCAGCAACGCCATAATCATCATCATGGTCAGCTGCCAGCAATCATCCATGGCGGTGCGTGTGCGATGTACGTCGCCGTCGGTGAGCACGAAGATGTTGCGGGAGAAGCCGGCCTGGGGCTCCGTCGAGAAGATGTGCTGCAGCGGTTGGAAGATCTCCGTGCCTCCCATGTCCGCCTTCATCGTGTCCAGCAACTTGCGCGCTGCCTGCGTACCGTATGTCAATTATATTTGTTTCACGGCGTACTATTGTTAGTTGTGTGCGTGTCGTGTCGTGTATCATGTATCGTGTGTCGTGTCGTGTCATGTCGTTGGTCGTGTCATGTGTCGTGTCGTGTCGTGTGTGCCGTGTGTGTGCCGTACGAGCAGGTTGGCGTTGTTCATCGGGGCGGGTTTCGGGAAGAGCGACGAGTAGCGCGAGCCGAAGGAGACGATATTGAAGGTGACGCTCGTGGGCAAGCTCTGGAGGAACAGCCGCAGCGTGCGCACCGAATCCACCATCGGCTGACCCCCCATCGACCCGCTCCGATCCACCCTGTTATGCACCATCCCGCCACATGACGTGTGTCGTGTGTCGTGTGTGTGTGTGTGTGTGTGTGTGTGTGTGAAAATGAATACGTGTGCGATGTCACAGACATGCGTGTGCGTTGGGTGTGGGCGGGGCGGCAGGTACAGAAAAATGATCTCCGACTTGGGACTGCACTCGACCTCAAGCACGGGCGCTGTGGAAAAGAAGGAAATTGAGATTGTTTTTGCGACAAAAGAGAGAAAGAGAAGAAGAACGAAGAGCCGACGGAGGGGGGGCGTACTGAGCGAAACGACAGCAGCGTATTCGTGCTCGGGCTTCACGCTCGACTGCGGCAACGCATCGCACGGCGGTTGGTCAAAAAGAGCCGCGACATTGCATGATTTGGAAAGGCTGGCAGCGCGTACGAGCTTGTCGAGGGGCAGCTTGCCCACGAGGGCCGTGATGTGGCCATTCTGCGCCGCGTCCCTCTCGGTCTCGATTTCGATGATGACGTCCGTCGCCGCCATGTCCTTGCCCACCACGCTCACCGTCGCTTGCTTCCCTGTGTGTGTGGTGTGTGTGTGTGCCGAATCAGCCAATGACACGCAACACGACGCGACACGACACGCACACGACACACATGCGAGGGTGCGTACCGTTGATGGAGAGGTTGGAGAGGGTGTGCGAGGGCGACGTGATGCCCTGAATGCGCTCCGGCATCGCAGCCGACACCGTCACCACCTCCTTCTCGTGCTGCCCCGCCGGCGTCGCACCGTGGATGGGCACCACGAAGCGATACACCGACGACGACGACGACACCTGCGACGATGACGACGACGACGACCCACTCGCGACGCGCTCCACCTGCAGCTCCGTCACATAGTCCAGCTTCGTCTGTACACCCTGCCCCGGCGCCAGATTGCCTGTGTGTGTGGCGTGTGGCGTGTGCGTGTGCGTGTGCGGTGGTGAGACAACCAGGCTTGGGCGCGGGGGAGTGGTAGTAGTTTGTGGTTTGTACCGAGGACCAGTTCCATGGTGGCGGGCTCGGCCGCGGAGGAGGTGAGCTGGATGGCGGTGTGGCCGGCGGCGAGGGCGTCGTCGTAGGCCTCGAGCGCCGCCTGCTTCTCCTCGAGCACGCCCTTGAGCAGCCGCCCGCCGCTCACGCGCGCCTCAAAGCCCGTCACGGCGCCGCGCTCCTGGTCGAACGGGAAGCGGTAGACGGCCTCCACCACCTTGGAGCCCCGGTGGGCGAACAGCTGGCGGTGGGAGACGCGCGCCGCCCAGCCGGCGATGTCGGCGTGCCACGAGCTCGAGCGCAGCTCCACGCCCTCCACCGCGCTTCCCTTTGCCTGCTTGTCCTCGATCGACATTCTTGTCTATTTCTATCTGAAAAACAAATAGAGTGATAAATAGAAATAGATTTAGTTGGAAACGGACAAGATGGGCGAAGTGTACGCTTAGCTCTAGTGCTGGGCTCGAGGGAAGTTGTAAGTTGTAAAAGATGGAAGGTGCGACACTCGATGTGTGTTGGTTGATTGCTTCTTTGTGCGAATTGCGGGCGTCGCAGGTACTGCGTTGCTTGGTCGTGAAGTGAAAGTGGTCAGCGCGCAGTAGGCCCCTCCTTATCGTTGACCACGCTCCTACTTCGCCGTGGGCTGTTCACGAAAAAACAGCAAAGGGACCATTGGGCATTGGCCTTTCGACATTTAGCCCTGTTGACCCTTCTACACGCCAACACAGAACTGCCACAGTGCTCACAGGTACCTCAATCGGTTTCTCTCTACACTACTTATTCATCTTTCAATTTAAGATTGATTTCTTTCTTCTACACAGCAATAAACACAAAAAGGAAAAGAATGGGTTGGGACGATGTGGAGAAGATCTTGCACCATGCCTTCTACAACGAACTGCGCGTAGCGCCCGAGGAGACCCTCGTACGCCCTCCTACCTCGTTATTTTATTTTATTTTATTGTAGAAATTTAGATTATAGAATTTAATTAATTATTTCTTTTCTGTGTCGTGTGTTGTGGGTGGTGTGCAGCTGGTGATGCCGCTGCCGCCACAGTCGTCGGCCGAGGTGCGCAAGAAGTACTGCCAGATCATGTTCGAGACCTTCAACGTGCCCGCGGCCTACTTCGGCCACGCCGCCATGCTCAGCGTCTTGTACTCCGGCGTGCGCTCCGTCACCGGTACATATCATCAACACGCTCCTCGCTCATTCGGCGTCACGACTAATGCCGCCATCCACCGCACAACGCGACACGCACGCACGCATGCGCGCACCACACACGACACGACACGACACGACACGACACGACCAACGACACGACCAACGACACGACACGACACGACACGACCAACAACACACGACACGATGCAACACACACGACAGGGCTGAGCGTGATGTCGGGTCGCAGGTGCACATACATCACGCCGGTCTACTGCGGCCACGCGCTCGATTACTTGACCCAGAAGCTGCCCATCGGCGGCCAGCAAGTCACCGACGCCCTCACCAAAGTACTGCTACTGTTAGCGTGCCACTGCTACCCTGCGGCATTGCTAACATTCCAACCTCGCCGCCGGTGGGGGTGAGCACAGATGCTGACTCAGTCGGGGCTCAGCTTCACGACGACGGCCGAGTTGCAAATCGTCGGTCACATCAAGGTACATAGATCTCATCAGATTAGATATATTATCGTCGCCGTTCTTGTTGAGATGACACTTCAGTAGTGGCCACCTGACTGTGTGTGACTTCTTCGCGCGCGCCACTGCCAGGAGAGCTGCTGTTCCGTTGCGCTGGACTACGACAACGCCCAGGTCGCCGGTTCGTTTCCGCCCCGATGACTCGTTACCTCGTTCCTCGCTCTAGCTAGCAACCACCACACCAACCACCTGTGTGCGTCGTCATGTGCGTGTGCGGTGGTGCGTGTGCGGCGGTGGTGCATGTGTAGATGGTGGGTTGAGCAGAGAAGGATTATGAGCTGCCCGATGGCCAAGTGATTAAGGTGGGCCAGGAGCAGGTGTCCGCGCCCGAGATCGTGTTCCAGCCGCAACTCCACGGTACGTTATAAACATTTCATTCCTAGAATTCCGCGAACAAAAGTGGATGGTCTCTTACATACGTATGGGGTCCATGTGGTGGGCGGACGGTGGGGTCTCCGCGCGCGCGCGTATGTGCAGATGAGGCGCTGGACCCGGCGGAGGCGCTCCACCACAAGATCGTGAGCGTGGTCGAGTCGTGCCTGCCCTTCATGCGCACCGCCCTCTACTCCAACATCGTACTCTCCGGTAATCTCATTACTCGCGCCCTGTGTGTGTCGTGGTGTGTCGTGGTGTGTCGTGGCTTACAGTAGCCGACATGGTGTGCGGGCGTGTATAGGGGGCAACACGTTGTTTGCGGGATTCCCCGAGCGGCTCGAGAAGGAGCTGAAGGCGCTGCTGCCCGATCAGTACCAGCAGTGCGTCAAGGTAAAGGCCCAGCCCGAGAGACGGCACCAGTACGGCCCTTTGCCCCGCCCGCATCATTCTCTTGTGGGTCTAGTCACGCGTTGTGGCCAGTTCTGTGAATTCTGATCAAGACACGCCCATCAGGGAGTGGCTTGGGGCGTCGCTCCTGGGCAGCATGAGCTGGTTCCCTCACGTGGCGATCAGCAAAGAGGGTCCGGCAACCCCTTCAGTCTCTAGTGTTAATTTTTCGTCTGATCTCTTGTTTGTTATGTCTTGTTCGTCGCTCTGCCACGCATCAGAGTACGACGAGTGTGGGCCAGTCATTGTGGAGCGCAAGTGCTTTTAAAAAGGCAGTTCTTGTTGTTTTTGTTTAGCTTTCCGTCTCGACCCTTCAGGCTGAGTGCCACAAAATGAAACCAGCAACAAGGTCTATGGACCCTTCTAGTCCCCGGCCTTACAAGTGTAGTGTCGATGACCAAGTTTGCTCCTTTTGCAACCATTTGTTAAAAATAAATAAACAGTTATGCCTCCTCGACCGCTCGTGGTTGGGCATGTGGTAACGTGGTGCTACGTGGCGTACGCAACCGTTGCATCATGTTCCGCTGTCTTGATACCCGTACAAGGAGTGGAATGATAGCGACCATCAGCGCCCGCCGCTGCGCAGGAGGTCACCAACAAGAACCGCGCCCACCTTGGTGTTGGTGGTGCCATCACCACCGCTGCTGCTGGTGTCGGTGGTGTCGTTGCTCGGCGTTGCGGTGAAGCTGTCGCTGCCGCCGGCGGCACTGGCCTTGCGCTTGGCCTCCTTGGCCTTCTTCTTCTCGGCGCGCGCCGTCTTCCGCTGCTCCTTGGCGGCCTTGGCGGCGAGCTGCTCGTCGCGCAGCTGGAGCAGGGCCGTCGACGACTTGGTGGCGATGAGCGTGGTGAAGCGGTTGGCGGCCGGGGGCAGCTGGCTCTCGAGCCGTCGCAGCTCGGTGCGCTCAGTGACGAGGGCCTCCTCGAGCCCCTTGAGCTTGGCCTCGAGCCGCACCATCTCCTGTCGTCGCTTGACGAGCTCGTTGAGGCGCTCCTCGTGGGCGTGGTCGGTCGTCGTCTTCAACGTGTCAATGCTGTCTTGGGAGGACTGCGACAACGTAGCGAGGCTCACGTTGCCCGCAGAAGATGAAGATGAAGATGAGTCGCTACTCGTTGAAGAAGATGAAGAAGAAGACTCTGCCGCTTTTGGCTTCACGGGCACGCCGAGAAGCTCGGCCACGCTCTTAGATTTGTAGAAGATGCGCGAAGCGGCTTCGACCTGCTTGGACTCCTCGACTTCGTCGTAGTAGTCATCGTCGTTTACCGTTTCCTCCTCCCATTCTTCGCCCTCATCTGCGTTCTCGAGCGATTTTCCTCGCGAGAGACTCTTCCCCAGGTGCTGCTTGTGATCCGTCCCGCCACCACCGCGAGGCGCCATTCGCTTTCCGACCCGCGAATCGAGGCTCAATCCCGCCATTGCCGCCGCGTTCGCCTTGTGTTGTCTTCGCGCCTGCAAGAGATCCGACACCGATTCGTCCGCCTCCATGTTGATTGATTGATGTTGAATGAAAGAAGAAGGCGCCAAGGAGAAGAAGGAGCAAGCCCTTCAAGTTGTAAATTAGATTGATTTTTTTCGGTCTTCCAGAAGGAATAGATTGTTATTTTATATTGTTGGTCTCCGGCGCCGATCATGCACCGATAAATGCGATTGGGGGGTTGATCGGGGAGACAGCGCCGATGCTAATAACCGAAATTCTCATCTGCTGACGTCACCAGATGAAGTCACGGCGCCCCAAAGTCCGCCCAACACCACACGAGAGGGCCACGTCACCCGCTCACAGTCTGCCTACCGCGAAGATGACGATGATGAAGAGGAGGCAGGCAATTTTGTTGTTGTTGTGCATTCTGGCCTCCGTTGTGGTTGCGCGAGCGGGCTGGTGGGGCGGCGACGATCACGATCATCACCACCACGACCATGACCATGACGATCATCACTCGGCAGGCCAGGAGATGGTCACCTGCGGCAGCATGATCAAGCTGCGTCACGTACCCACCGGCTTCCGTCTCCATTCGCACCAAGTCGCCTACGGCTCGGGTTCCGGTCAGCAGTCCGTCACCGGTGTCGCCAGCGGTTCGACCCCATCGCACAATCTCGCCTTCATTCACGCAATTTTACAATTTGCGATGTTTTGAAGATGAAACGCGGAGAGAATGATGGATGGGAAGAGGAGTGAAGAAGAAAGGAAGCCGAATGCATGTTTGTGTGGTGGATGGATGATGTAAGCTGATGTCTGTTGTTTTGCAGCTGATGATCACAACTCGTTCTGGATCGTGAGGGCTGCCAACGGGAAGCGCTGCCAACAGGGGTATGGCCCCCCCTGCGCTTGTTATGAGCCAACGACACGAGCGCGTTCGTGAACTCATACCGTGTCGTGTCGTGTCGTGTGTGTTCTTTTGTGCGTCTATGTGCAGAGACCGCATCAACAACGGCGACGTGATTCGTCTGCAGCACTACGCCACCCGACTCAACCTCCACTCGCACTACCACGCATCGCCTCTCTCCAAGCAGCAGGAGGTGCGCACACGCACCACCGCACACGCACGCGCACGCGCACGCGCACACGCACCACCGCACACGCACGCGCACGCGCACGCGCACGCGCACACGCACACGAGTTGGTGACTTACCGTCCGTGTGCGGGGCTCAGGTGTCGGCCTATGGCCCCGATGGCAATGGCGACGACAGCGACAACTGGGTGGTGCTGACCGAGGGCAGCCCCGTCTGGCTCCGCTCGCAGCCGGTACGTGCGGCCTCTCTCGCTCTATCGTTCGCCCAACTTCAATTAATCATGTCGTGGCGTGTGTGTCGTGTGTGTCGTGTGTGTCGTGTGCGTCGTGTGTGTCGTGTGTGCAGGTTGCGTTCAAGCACGAGGCGACCAACTCGTACCTCCACTCGCACGACATGAAGTACCGGCAACCGATCGCCGGCCAGCAGGAGGTCACCGCCGTCCCCGGCAAGAACGCCAACTGCCGCTGGATCACCGAGGTATGCACATTTCGTTCATTCGTTCGTTCGTTCTTTTCCTTCTCTTTCGTTCTTTCTCACTTTGGTCTTTTTTTCCTCGGCTGCAGGAGGGCATCTACTTCCCTGAGAGGGAACAGGTGGCGACCAAGGAGTAGACCTCTTCGTTCTTTGTTCTTCTTCGTTCTTCTTTGTTCTTAAGGGCTTGTTGGTGTTGCAATCAAAATGGATGTATCTATTTATTTTCTCCATTCTTCTTCTTCTTCTTTATGGACCCCACACGCGCACGGTGCCGTCCTGCGAGGACGAGGCGAGCATGTTGGTGTCCGGCGTCGGGTGGTAGCTGATGCCGCACACCACCTTCTCGTGGCCCTTCAGCGTATGCACCAGCTTGCCCTGCGTTGTGGTGTGTCTGTCAGGAATCGGTGCGTCGTGTTGCGTGTTGCGTGTCGTGGGATAGATCGTGCCTCGACGAGGTCCCAGAAGCAGATTCGCGAGTCCTCTGACCCGCTCACGACGTAGGCGTCGGTGTTGGAGAGACTGCTCGCGATCTTGTACTGGTTGTTGACGTGACCCTTGTACCTGCGCAGTTACAGAACACGTCGACGTGCGTGCACACGCACGAAACGATGAGCGCACACGCCACACGACACACACACATGTGCGCGCGTGTGCGAAGCAAGCTGGCACGCACTCGCCGAGGAGCTCGCCCGACTGCTTGTCGAGTAATCGGATGCTGCTATCGAGGCTGCTGATCAGCAGACAGTTGGAATCATTGGAGAGTGACACGCTCGTGCAGGGCTCTGGTTTCGTGTGCGTGTGCGTGTGCGTGTAGTGAGTGTGATGGAATGAATGTCAAATATCAGGCGACAGGTCGGGAGGCACGTACGGCCCATAAAATCCGTTTTGAGCCGACCGGTTCGGATGTCGTAGTTCCTCACGCAGCCGTCCACACATCTGTCGTGCATATAAGTTGGCTCCAGATCGCACGCAACGCACACGCACACACCAGGAAACAACACACACACACACCGCACACACAAATACACGAATACAACAACATACGCAGTAATGATCTCTTCACTTGATATGTAGAGGCTGGACACGCTGTCCTTGGCCTCGCTCAGCGTCTGTATGGGCGTGAACGACCGCGACCGGCAATCCCTGTGACACAAAACGCGCCAAAATCGGGGGTTAGAACCGCACGACACGACACGACACGGCACGACCAACGACACGACAGAGAGCGGGTGCTGGCCGGAGGAGGGAGCAAACCAAATTTTGACGGTCTTGTCGTAGCTGCCCGAGACCAGCACCGAACTGTCCTCATTGAACGCCAGGCAGTTCACCCGCTGCACTTGTGTGCGTGTGTGTGCGTGTGTGTGTGTGTGTGTGTGCGTGTGTGTGTGTGTGTGGTGTGTGTGTGTCGTGATTCATCAGTGACAGTGCGCACACGACACACAGCGGCACACTCGCGCGTACCGAGTCGTGGCCCTTGAATCGGCGGATGGGCTGGCCCGTGCCGACGTCCCACAGGAAGACCTGTCGGTCGCCTCCGCACGACGCGATCTGGCTGTTGTCCTTCGTGCTGTGTCCACGCGCAAGCGCGTTAGGCCCCCAGTGAAGAAAGATGATGAAGAAGACGAAGAAGAAGCAAAAGAGTCAAGACGTACACGGCGACGTCGAGCACTTCGTAGCCGTGGCCGGTGTAGGTCTTGATGAGGACGCCCTTGTGCGGGTTCCACAGTTTGATGCTCTTGTCCTGACCGCAGCTCAAGCAGTAGTTGCCATTGCCTGCCACAAGCCAGAGTTTTACATTGATTAAAAAAATATTAAAAATAGAATAGAGTTTATAGAATAATAAATTACCGGGGGGGGGAGTACACACGTCTTGCGTTTGATGTTATAATTAATAAGATGCGTGGTAATTGGTTTAATTAAAAAAAAATAAATCACTATGGGTTAAAAGCACGCACTGTTGAATCTGACGGTGGTGACGGTGCCCTGGTGCCCTCTTAGCGTGTGCACGAGCGTGTAGGGAAGTGGCAACTTCGTCCCTTGAGTCATCTCGCGGCCAGGCCAAATCTGATGATGTTGGCTGGAAAAAGACGGAAAAAAGAAAAAAAAGAAACAGATTCCATTCCACGCATACCAACGATCGTTGCGGCAAATAAATAAATAAACGAAAAGAGTGAGGCGCTTGATGGACAGCCGTGCGTGGTGTGGCCACGCGGCACTCGTGTCGATGCTGCTACTCCTGCTTGTGCTGCCACACGGCGGGTTTGCGCTTGCCACCACCGGCTCAGAATCCGAATTCACAACCGATTCAGCTGATGCGCTGGTCGAGCTGACGCAGGCCAACTTCAACGACTACCTCCGGAACAACGGGTCCCTCCTCGTTCAGTTGTAAATACGTTTCCTTCCCGCGTCATCCATTCTTTACTCGAAACTCTCATCTTCCTTCTAATCCCTTCGCTCTCGCAGCTGTGCTGACTGGCACGGGGTGTGCCAGCAGTTCGAGCCCACTTGGCGCGCACTCGCAGAGTACCTTTCTCAGACTCCACTGTGTCGTGTGTCGTGAGTCGTGTGCGTGTGTGCGTGTGTGCGTGTGCGTGTTGGCTTCGTTCTATTGCTCTGTGACTCGACTGCTGACCGACTCCTTGCGTGTGTCTGGCGCTCGCGCGTAGGGAGCTGGCCGGCAAACTGACGGTCGGGCGGATCAACTTCAACGAGGAGCGCGAACTCACGGAACGCTTCGGCGTGACCACCCTGCCCACCTTCAAATTGTATCTGTTCCTTCCGTCCAGCGCACGACACACAACACACGACACGTGACACGCGACACGCGACACACGGCGCACGGCGCACGACACATCGACACGACACATAATGTTATCTGACGCAGAAGGTACAATATGTCCAGCATTTACGGGGATGGGATTGCGGTGGACTACAAGGGCGAGCTCAACGCCACCCAAATCGCGAACTACGGCCTCACTCTTCTCCGGTACGGGGGGGGGAGCAAGTTTGAGCTGAGGTTGCTCACGTGCGATGATGAGATGCCCCCCCCCCACCTGATCGCTCACTCGGCATCCGCTCATGATGGGCCGCAGCCCGCAGGTGCTGACACTGGCGACGCCGGACGACCTGTCGCGCTTCGCTCTACCCTACTCGGCCTTCATTCTCTTTCACCAGCCACACGACTCGTCCGCCCTGGTAAGTTGTTGCCCCATCTCAATAGCCTATTGGCCGACATTCTCACCACATATAAATATATATATATATTTACTTTTATACTGCTTTATGTCTATTTTAACCACACACCAACCCGCAGGCGGCATTCGTGGACGGCATCCGACCATTCGTCGAGGCCGAGGGAGTGCTCTTCGCCCGCTCGCACTCCCTCGAGTTCGCCCGGGACCTCCTCCGCGGTGATGATGACGACGATGCGTTGCCGCCGCCGCTGCCGTTCGCGGTGGTGGTCAAGGATTGGGACCGACGCCCGGGCGTGGCCGCGCGCGTGCGGCCCGTGGTGGCCGGCGACACGAAGGGTCTGGTGGCCTTCTTCGAGGAGCACTGGATGCCGCTTCTCCCGCGGCTCGAGGCCGCCTCGTTCCGCCTGCAGGAGCTGCAGCACCAGCCGGGCGCCCTCGGCGTCGTCATCGCCGTCGGCCCTGGCCTCCAGTTGCGTGCCACCCGCATTCCTCTCATTCCATTCATACTGTCCCTCCTGACTCTGATTAGCTGACGCTTAACGGTGGCGGTGACGTCATCAGATTCTTGGACGTGGTGCGGCAGGTGGCACACGAGTACGGGCTGGCCCATAGCAACGGGGGAACGCCGCCCAGGCTGGCCTTCTCGTGGGTCGAAGGCCCGCAGTACCAGCAGGTACTACCGACCACCTCGCCCCTCCACTCGTAATCATCGTGGTCAGCTTGACCGCAAGTGACATTTTGTTCTGGTTCTGATCTCTCAAATCTTCGGTGTCGTGTGACGTTGGTCGCGTGCAGTGGTTGAGCGACTTTGGGGTGGGCGAGCACCAGTTCGGCTCGCACGTGTTCGTCCTCGATTCCTTGCGCGTACGACTGCCCCCCTCCCCCCTTTTGTTCAACAGATTGCGCTCTCGACCGGCGGGGTCGGTTACGCCGCGGCTCACCCTGGTGACGTCATCAGAAATCGTACTATCCGGGCGTGGGCGTACATTCGGCCGACGACCTCCGCGACTACCTTCAGCGCATTCAATCCGGATACATCACAGTATTCCTCCTCCGTTGTGTGTTGTGTCGTGTGTGTCGTGTGTGTCGTGTTGTCATGTGTGTCGTGTCGGGTCGTGCGACAGAAAGCTGATCCGCTCGCACAGGCGCAGAAGATGGCGCAGCACAAACCCAAGAAGGGCCTGGCACACAAGGAGCTGGGCGTGCTGGTACTCTTACCATTCGTTCAATCGATTACCCGTGGGTCGAGTGCCGTGCTCACTGCGCTCTCTGGGCAGGCCGTGGTGGAGGACTGGGTGAACCGACTCGAGCTGCCCGAGTGGTGGAGGCCCAGCCGGTGGACCGCCGTGTCGGAGGCGTCGCCCAACGCGGCCATGTACCTGAGCCTGGTCGCCGGGCTGGTCTTCTCGCTCGTCCTCCTGTGCATCAACCGCGCCATCAACGCGTCCCCGGCCACCATCACCGCCGCCACCAGCCACGGCACAACCGCCACCGCCAACGCCCAGCCGGCGCCGGAGGCCTCCAGCGGCACGGACGGCCTCCGCAGAAGAAAGCAGGCTGTGGCGCAATAATCGGTACATGGCGTCGTTTGTAAGTTATCTTTATTTATGTAAGTTAATGGTAATGGTGTTGGTCATGGTGTTGTGTTGTAGGTACTGTTTTAGTTTAGTGCAGATGTGCACGTGGGAATGGGAATGCAGACCAGATCCCCTTTGAGGGTAACTTCTCTCTTTCTTCTTCATCACCGAGGTAGCCGGGGCACCACCAATACCCACCCCCAAAGTCCTGAGCCCCGGGAAGTGGTCCAATAGGCTCATTCTACTCTCACACACGGACGACCCCGCCCAATCCGAACGGCGCAATACTATGCCCAATCGCCTACCGCTGCTCCGCCTCTGTTTTTCGGCCAGGGCCACTTGTTCGGTCACCTCAAATTTGTTCACTTCCTCGCGTACACTGTGCGAACGCTCACAATGGCGGCTTCATCTTTGGTCGCCGCACTGGCCCTGCTGCTGGTGCTGGTCGCGGCCGTCGGCTACTCCGAGGCCTACGGCGAGCCCTCCTCGGCTCGCCCGTCCTACCAGGAGCGCACCTTTGCTTCCCTCATCAACGCCGCCCGCGTCGGTACCCAAAATCCCCTCCTACTTTCCTTCATCACCATCTTCTTCTTCTTTTCTTGTATCGTTTCACATAGTCCGACATGATCGGCCCATTACATATCTCGGTTGTGCCTTTCTTGTTTTTCGAGTGTGGCGGAGTTTTTGACGCGTTTGAGGCGACCAATCGTAGACAAGCGTGATTTAATTAACTTGACTTACACCACAGGGCCGGCGGGGTACCGCACCAACTACATGACGGGCCTCACGACCACGGGCATCCTCACCACTGCGGCCAAGGCCCCGCTCTACTTCGACCCCCTGCTGTCCCAGACCGCCCGCGCCCATTCCACTGATCTCGTACCCTCACACAGACACACACAGACACACAGACACACACAACACACACAACACACACGGCACACACAGACACACACACGGCACACACAGACACACACACAGACACACAGACACACAGAACACACACAACACACACGGCACACACACACACACACACCTTCTCTCCATACGATGATGACGGTGTGAGAGCTCATCCACACGATTGGCGCTAACATTTTAATGTTGATAAACACATGTATGTATGCGTTGTAGACGACGTGCCACAAGGTGCAGTTCAACAGCTGCAACGGCCTGGCCTGGAGCACGCGTGTGCGCAACACCTACACCTGCACCTCGGGGTACTACGCGCTTGTCCTCTCTTCTCTTCTCTTCTCTCTGGTGTTGCACGGCGCCGGAGGGCTAACCGACCGCGGCGCTGGCAGGTCCATCGGTGAGAACCTGCAGGCGGCTTACTCGAACAATCCCCTGGTACGCGTCCATACACGATGAGTGTGCGTGCCACGGGTGTGCGTGTGTCGTGCGGTCGACCTCCGCTCACTCGTTCTTGTGGCATGCGCGGACTGTATGTGTAGAGCGCGGTCAACGACGGGCTCTGTGGATGGACCCAGAAGGCCGACGGCAGCTACTACTGCTGCCCCGGTACCTTGCACCACCCACTTTGACCCTCCACCGCCATCTGATGACTTGAGGCGTGATGGTTGAATCAATTGCAGATGGCGGAAAGAACACGGCGGGCCAGGCCTGCGATGGCTCGCGAAACATGTACCTGTCGCTGAGCTACACCCGTCTGGGCGTGGGCCTCGGCACCGACTCGACCAACGGCCTCTCCTACTGGTACGAAACCCCTATCCTGTCGACATATCTTTAATATACATCACCATTGTATATATTGGTGCTGACGTCACGTGGGGCAGGACGACCGACCTGGGATCGTGCAATACCGAGACCTACGCCAATCGGATCGCTTCGGGCTCCCACATCCTCCAGACCGGCAGCAAGACGCGGTTCTTCGCGGCGTACTGGGATGCCTCGGGCGCGCCCCAGTCGGCTCAGGTGGTCGTCAACGGCGCGGCCTCCAACCTGGCCCTCGACACCGGCGTCGCTGGCAAGGTTCGTCCATACATTCTTTGCGTTCCGATGACACTGTTTATTGTTTCTTGGCTTTATCTGATCTTAGTTCTGATTGGTGGGCGGGTTGCAGGGCAACTACTTTGTGCAGCTGGCGACGGGCACGGGGTGCAGGTCGTACTACTTCCAGTTCACGTCGGCAAGCGGCGGCGTCTATCGCTACCCCGAGACCGGCTACTTCAACACCTACGGCGAGGGTGCCTGCGTAACCGATTGGACCTCCACTCCCGGTGCGTTACTATGCAACACTTTGTATAATGCCGACAGGACGACGAGATAGAAACTCATCGCGGAGTGGTTGGGGGAGTAGTTGCGGGAACGACTGCCACCGTGCCCGGCGTGCCGCGGAGTGTGGCGATCAGCAGCATCGCGACCACCTCGGCTGTGGTCTCCTGGACCGCTCCCGCCACCAACGGCGGTAGCGTCGTCACCGGCTATAACATCAGCATCACGTACCTGCGCTCCCTACTCACACATGAGACACGACACGACACGACACGACCAACGACACGACACCAGACACGACACCAGACACTAACTTCTCTTGCGTTCGAACTAGTGGTCCTGGCCAGACGTTCTCGTATTCAACCACCACGCTCTCCATCTCGGCCGCCTGTACCCCTCTCAGTCCTGTACCGCCATTCTTGTCTTGTGCTGACGTCAGCCTCACTTTCTGTTGCTCTGCAGCGCTCTTGGCCGGAACGACCTACACCGTGAAGGTGCTCGCCAAGAACGCCCAGGGCTCCGGCCCGTGGACTGCCGGCAAGACCTTCATCACGCTGGCTACCGCGGCCAGCCCGAGCGCGTCGCCCACGCGCAGCCCCACGCGCAGCCCGAGCGCCAGTCCCTCGCGCACTCCGAGCGCCTCCCCCAGTAAGGGCGCCACGCGCTCGCCGACGCCCAGCCGTTCGCCGGCTGCAAGCTCGCCCACACGCACTCCCTCGCCTTCAGCCTCGCCCAAGACCAGCAGCAGCGGCTGCAGTGCCGGCGTCGTACAACTTCCACAGCCAGAGCGGGTGCTTCGTGGGCATCATGGACCAGGGCCAGTGCGGCAGCTGCTACGCCTTCTCGACGGCGGCCGCCGCCTCCGACCGTCTGTGCCTGGCGCAGAACACCAAGCGCGTCCTCTCCCCGCAGGAGATTCTCGATTGCGGCAAGGGCAAGGCCTGGTTCGGCACCGTACGCTGCACACACTCCAGTGACACGACACGACACGACACGCACCACTCACCGCACACACGCACACGCACATACAGACCGGGTGCAATGGAGGTGATCCCTACCAGGCTGCGCTGTTGATGAAGAACGGCTACCCGTCCAGCGACACGATCGAACTCCAGGGCGGCTGTCGCCCGTACACCTGCTACAGCGGCTCCTGCTCCACCAATCCCACCTGTTCCGTACGTCACCAAACTCTCGGTTGCTGCATAGCAACCATAACATACGCATATATATTAATATATACACATGATATACATATGCATATATTACTGCACCATTAGGCGACCTGCAAGGACGGTACGACGGCGACCAAGTACAAGGCCACCGGAGCGACGCGCATCAGCGGCGTCGATAACATGCGCCTGGAGATCTACAACAACGGCCCGATCACGGCGGGCTACGACATCTGCAACTCGTTCTACACCTTCTTCAACGACGCCAACAACGCCGGCAAGGTCTACTCCACGGCCTGCTCCAGCTCCTCCTCCGACTACATGGGCGGCCACGCCGTCAGCATCGTCGGGTACGCATTCCACACAACAACGCACCGAGCAACCAACATTCCTGACATGAGCTATGTGCGGTCGGTATCTCGTGTCGCGTGTCGTGTCGTGCTGTGTGTCGTGTGTCGTAGTTGGGGCACGGACGCGAACGGGGTTGCGTATTGGCTGATCGCGAATTCGTGGGACACGTGGTGGGCCGACGCGGGCTACTTCCGGATCAAGCGGGGCGTCAACCTGTGCGGCATCGAGAACTACGTCTCGGCGCCGGTCATCGCGCGCACGGCCAAGCGGTTCGGCGGCGTCACGGTGGTCGACGAGCGCGACTTCTCGTCGTCGTCGTCCTTCAACACCGGCCAGGCCGTCACCGTCGACTCTTCCAACGAATTCGTCCAACGCAGCTCGCAGGTACCGCACGCATGCGCACACACCACCGCACACGCGCATCCTAAAAGTGACAATTTTTTGTTGTGTGTTGTGTGCAGCTGGTGCTGGACCAGTGGTTCCTGAACAACGGCGGCGCCAACAACAACGCCAGCGTCGACCCGAGCCAGTTGGCGGCCACCGGCAAGCGCGCCGAGGTGCCGCCACCGAGCCTGACCACCGGCTCCAGCTACTCGGTGTCGGGCGTCAACTCGGCCACGGTCCAGGTCACGGCCGGCCAGAACGTGTTCGTCGACATTGTCGCCACCGACGGCGTCAACACGGTCAACCTGGTGTCGACAGTTAGCTTCGGCGCGGGCGGCGAGGCCAGTTCGGTGGCGGTCGTCACCGTCGCGGGCGGAGGCGCCGGCGGGCTGGGCGCGGGCGCGATCGCGGGCATCGTCGTGGGCAGCGTGGTCGGTGCGGTCCTGCTGGCCGCACTCACCACGGCCGTCGTGGCGGGTGTCGTGGCCGTGCGACGCATGAAGTCGCGCGACACCATCCAAGAGCACGCCGACGAGGTCCGGCCCACTCCTTTTCCACCACTTGATGATGTCAGGCTGACGTCATCTCGTTGTGTGTCGTGTGTGTTGTGCTACAGATGGAGGAAGTGGCGCCAGCTGCGGTCTCTGTGGAGCCGCAGGCTGAGGAGGTGGTGGACAAGAAGGCGAACAGGACGACGTGGTTCGTCAGACGCCTCATGTTCCAGTCCATCACCGCCCGCTCGCCGCCGATCAAACTGGACGAGGACAACTAAGACCTTCTTCTTCTCTTGTACAACTACTACCACATCATTCGAGCATAGCAAGTGAACCATTTACCCTCTTTATATGAAAATTAACAGCAACAATGTAATCAAAAAGTAGGCTTGTGGGAAAAGAGGTTTCGGTGGGGGAAGCGATCAGTAGATGACCTGAGGCTCGATCATGAAGCACACGAGGTTCTCGATCCAGTCGATGTAGCCCACCTCGTTGAACTTGCGCACCACCACCAGCTCGTTCTGCACCAGGTGGTGACCCCACAGGCGCACGGGGGGCTCGTAGAGGGTGGACTGGTTGAGCCAGGGCAGGTCGATGGTCGCCGTTGTGACGGTCGTCAAACGTGAGACCGCTCGATTGAAGTTCGGAACCGTAATCGAGGCGAGCTGCTATCCAAGCGAGAGGAAAAGAAGTCTTTGTTCTGAACGAACCGTCACATAATAAACCCCGTCACTCGGAAACTCCGGCTGGTTGACACGTCAGCCTAGCCCCGTCACACACCTCCCCTCCCACCGTCAGACCCGACCCCCGGTCTTCTGCCGTCCCGCCTTCCTCCTCTGCCTCGTCCGTGACGCCTCGCTAGCCTCCGCGAACCGGCGTCCTCTTTCGAAATGGGAAATGAGCCCCGGCGCGCTCACGTCATTCACCGGTACCCACTGGTTATGGCGTTCGGTATGGCCCTTGTACCGTACAAGATACTCGAGACCGCGCGCCGTAGTTCAATCGTTCAAGATTTCATCGACCTCAACATGCTCGACGCCGCCGCCGCCGCCTCCACTCGACATGCCCAACGCCGCCAACTCCATCGTAGTTCCAAGAGCACCACTAGTTCCACCGTCGTCCACTGTGGGGCCGATCCATTTCTTAAGCCGCGAGACGTGCGCGAACTGATGGTCACGCGGGTTGTGCGTGTTGACCAGACCGTAGTTCAATCCACCTCGAATCTCAACCACTCGATAGGGCCCTCGCCACGGCCGCGTGAACTTCTTGCTGCGCTCCTTGCGCACCGACGGCACATGAAGCCAGACTTTCTCGCCCAGACCGAACGGCTTATCGGTCTTGTCGCGATTGTAACTGCGACAGTTGCGTTCTTGGGCCTCAAGTTGATGCTCCCTGGCTGCTCGGAACGCCCACATGAGCCGTTCCACAAGACCACTTCAGTAGTCACCCGCGTCCTCCTCCGATCGTGCTCGAGGCAGGCCGAGCGAGACGTCGATGGGGAGGTAGTGATCTCGACCGTACATCAAGTAGAATGGCGTCTCAAGGGTCGCCTCGTTAATGGAACACTGATACGCCGCCAGCACGTAGGGGATGTAGGTGTCCCAGTTGTGTTGATGCTCCATCACGTACATACTGAGCATATTCTGTAACGTGGAGTTGAATCGCTCGGTCAAGCCGTCCGTCTGCAGGTGGTACACTGACGTCTTGAGGCGGTGTACACGAAGGTCGGCGTTCACGCTAGCCAACACCTCGTTTAGGAACTTGCGCCCCTGGTTGGACAGCAAGCATTCTGGCGCCCCATGGTTGCAGACAAGCTGCTTGACAAAAGCCCTCGCCATGGTCTCCACCCACTTATCCAGCAGCGCCATGATGACTGGCCACTTCATAAGATTCTCTATCATGACAAGGATCCATTTGTTGCCCAAGTCCAACTCCTGGAAGGGACCCATAAGGTCCATTCCAACACATTTGAAGGGTCAGGTCACCGCTGGAATTGACTGCAGTGGACCATTTTTCCCCTGCTGTGGGGCCTTCTGTCATTGGCAAGCCTTGCAGGACGCCACCCACTTAGCAACCTCGCTTGACATGTGAGGCCACCAGTACTTGTGCTTGATGGTCACAATGGTCCTGTTCCGCCTGAGATGCCTGCCTAGTAGGTCATCATGATGCATGTGCATCACCATCTCCATGCACGAAGTTGGGATGGCTAGCCTTGCCAGGGTGCACGTGCTGGCCAACCCACATTGCAGCCACACATGATGGTATAGCAGGCCGTCAAACAGTTCACATTGTTCAGCCTCTAGGCGAACGCATCAAGCAAAGCCATTGTCCTCTGGGAGAACCTCCCCTGACAGAAATGCAAGGATTGCCCCCAGAAACAGGTCGTTTCACTGTTCTCACTCCAGGTCAACCATGAGATTCAACATCTCCGCCTCATGCACTGCAGCCTGTCCAGCCGGTTCGCACTCTTCATGAGCTGCGGCCCATCTGCGCTCCTTGCCCTCAGGAGTGGCCTGTCCACCCTCCTCATGAGCCACAGCCTGTCCATGCTCTCCTTCATCAGTCTTGTCAGGCTGACCCTGCCCTCTACTCTGCTCTCCACTCATTGACGCTGACTCAAGTGGTTCTTGAAACCAGTCCTCACTGGCTGGCCAAGAGTGCTCCCACTCTTCATCCAGGGGCCACTCAGGTGGCAGCACTGTGGGGGTCTCCTCCACCAGCTCTGGTGCTGGAGACACTCAATGAGTGGCTGCATGAGCCACATCGCTTAATAGATCCATCACCACCCGCTGCATGAACTCACGCCCCTTGATTGCCACTGCCTGCTTCACCCTTGTCTCACCAACCACAGCCACAATGTCTGTGTCACTCACAATGGGTGGTCTCATCATTGCATCCACATTGACATGCTTGACGCCTGCACAGTAGACAATTTCAAACTTGTAGGGTTGTAGCTTCATCACCCACCATGCCAACCACCCACATTGCTCCTTCACATCCATCAACCACTTGAGCACAGCATGGTCCATGACAATGTGGAACTTGCTGCTGTGCAGATAGTGATGGAAGTACTCAATCCAGAACACAATGCTTAAGCACTCCCACTCAGTCACACTGTAGTTGTGTTCAGACTTGGATAACTGCCAACTGGTGTACACCACCACCTGTTCATCACCCTCCTCTGTCCATTGAGACAGGACCGCCCTGATGGCCAGCTTCAACATGTCAGTGTGCAGGTAGAAGGGCCTCTTGAAATCCAGGAATGTGAGAACAGGTGCCATTGTCAGCGCCTCCTTCAGCTGTATGAACGCCACTTCACACTCCGGCGTCCACACCACGCCGTGGAATGGCTTGGCTCATAGCAGTCAATACAGTGGCTCTGCAACCTCCACAAACACTGGAACAAACTGCCAGTAGTAGTTGCACAGCCCAAGGAAGGCTCACACCTCAGTGGTGTTGACAGGCTGTGCCATCTCATGCACAATGTGCACCTTCTCAGGGTCCATGGCAATGCCATCCTTCTGCACAAGGTGTCCAAGGAACAGCAACTTGGTCTGACAGAAGTTGCACTTGGATGGCTTCACAAACATGTTGGCAGTGCACAGCCAGTTGAACACCTCCTGGAGGTGTTGGAGGTGGTCCTCAAACGAGACAGAGAAGACAATGATATCATTGATGTATACCAGAGTGCTGACCCAGTTGAGGCCTGACAGGATGATGTCCATATCCCTCTGGAAACTTGCCAGCACATTGGTCAACCCAAACAGCATCACCATGAACTCAAAGGTGCCATGCCAGGTCACAAACACAGTCTTCTTGATGTCATCTTCATGTACCAGGATCTGCCAGTAGCCCAAGATGAGGTTGAGGGACAATCTCCACACAGAGCCCACCAGCATGTTGAGGATGTCATCCACATGTGGGAGTGGGTAACTGTCCCACTTCATGACCTGATTCAGGCCATGGTAGTTGATGCAGAACTGAGTCAACCTGTCCTTCTTGGTGACCAAGACCACCAGCAACACCCATGGGCTGTGAGATGGGTGCATGACGCCAGCGCCCAGCGTCTTCCTGATCTTGGTCTTCTGCATGACCAACTCTTTGGGAGACACACACCATGGGGCCACCTTGATGGGCTGATGGCCCTCCACCTCAATCCAATGCACCTCATGTCACACCTGGCCAGGGGCGTGCAGCGCAGGCGCAAAGACATCACAATTCAGTGTAAGCAGGGTTCACAGACACTCCACCTCCATTTGCTGAAAGGCCAGTGTCTGCTCTGCTGACCATGCCATTGATGTCCACCGCAGTTGCTGTGGCCATGGGCTCCCAGCTCAGTGTGTTGTGGTAGGGCGCCTTGGACATGCCCTCTGACATCCCACTGTTGACAGGGGTCTCCACCTTGACCTTGCTCCCTGGTGCCACACCATCAAAGGGGGTCCCTGGCCCCTCCACTGCTCCAGGCTCCACTGCTGAGCAGACCCAGTTGTCCTCCACCCACTTGGCCTTGGCCAGTGGTGTGCTGGCTGACAGGTGTATTGGTCTCATGGAGAAATTGGCCACATTGGTCATGGTCCAGTGCTTGCCCTCCTTGTTGTGCCACCCATCAGCTAATGCTTGTGCCACCCTTGCTGTCTTGAGGCCGCTGCCCCACTTGGTTGGTTCCACCAACAGGTTGACACTGTTGTTGGTCCATGGGGTGGGGCCTTCTGCAACCTGAGTGTGTACCCTTGTCCCTGTTCTTGGGTTGAGTACCAGCTCCTCTGACAGGAACACCCTGTATTGGGCTGCTGTTGCTGCTGTGACCAGGAATGGGACTGCTTTGCCACCAGGCAGCACCAGCTCTTGCCTCTTGAACTGAATGGTGATGCTGAAATTGTGCAGAGCCCTGGTTCCCAGGAGGACTGACGCAGGGCAGGCTGGCATGATGTGGAACTTGACTGCCTGTGTCATGGAACCCAGTGAGATGGGCAGCTGTATGAATCCAAGTGTGGTGAGTTCGTTGCTGTTGACGCCCATGATCTTGGCGCCATGCTGTTGATGGACCACACACTTGATGCCCTGTGCTTGTAGCTGCTCCAGTGTTGTGGTGTGAATCAATGAGACCCCTGCGCCTGTGTCCACCAATGGCCTCACACACACCTCCCTGATCCTCACCTCCACTGTCATGGGGACAAACTTTGACCTGGTTGTGGTAGTCAGCACTGTGTCAGTGGCAACTGATGACGCCAGCCCATCCACCAATCACTTGGGTGCAGCTGCCTCACTTGATGCATGAGGGGTTGCCTGGCTGTGCTCCTTGACTGGCTGACAGTCACCTCCTTGCCATGGTGCCCTGTCTGTGCTTCCCTCTCTGCTTGGCCTTTCTGCACTGCTGTTACGCATCCTGTGCTCCAAGCGCCCTGGGGCTGTTGTTGCTGGCGTCCTCTTCCTCCTCTGTGTGGTGTTTGACCAGTGTTTTCCACCCTGGCCTGCTACTCTTGCTGCCTTCTCTAGTCCTGCCTTTCCACCTCCTCACTTACCACCACCACCATCCACCACTCTCTCCATCTTCACCCCACCACTTCCCCACTCTGTGGCGCCCTCCTCCTCACCCACCATGGGGTCCCCATCCAGCTGGGGCAGTGACCCACTCACACCTGCCCCAGCCTTCAGTTTGAGGGCTGCACCCTCCCATCTGTACCCCCATGCACCACTCCCTGGCCACCACTGCCAGCATTGCTCCTTGGAACCAGACTGGGCATGGTGCAGTCATGAGTGAAATGCCCAACCTGGCAGCAGCAGAAACACTGCAGCATGCTTCTGCCTGAACAACATCATTGCTTGTCATCTGACTCACACTCATGCATCCACATGACCAGGTCCTGGATGCTGTTGTGCAGGTCTGCAATGTCTGCCCTGATGTGCTGTCCTTGCAGCCCTTTGAGGCTGCCTGGTCTCTCCTCAGCAATGGCCACCACCAGTGTCACACAGCTGGGGTTGGTCTTCAGCTGCAATTCCACCTCCACTGCCTGCTCCAGTAGGTCCACCAGTGGCATGCTGCTTGGCAAGAGGTTGATGCCCTTGCAGATGTTGGCCTTCAGCCCTTTGCAGAACTGTGATGACAGAAGATCCAGATCTGCCAGTCCCATGCACTTCTGGAGGAGCAAGAGGCGGAAGTAGAACAGATGGATGTTCTCACTCTTGCTCTGTGTACATGTGAGGTACTCCTTGAAGAGCTCCACCTGAGTGAATGGTGAGAAGGCGCACATGAGCTTGGATTTGAACTGGTTGAACTGGAACATCGCCTCCAGCTCTGCTGTGTGGAGCCATAGTGCTGTGGCACCCTCCAGCGTGGCTGACGCTTGCGCCAGCAGGGTGGCGGAGTCCCATCCCACTTGTGTGCCCCGCAGCTTGACCTTCTTGATCCAGAGCTGGACGTCCTCACCCTCTCCTCCCGAGAAGGTCAGTACCGGCCGAATGGGTACCTTCGTGTGTTGTGAGGGGCTCCCCTTAGCGCCTGCTCTTGAGGCCAGCCCCGCCCATCTTGGGCCCCACCAGTGTCAGGTACAAGTTCCACACCGCCAGATACGCTGTCGCCACCACGTTGGTGGTGGCCTTGGCCTTGATCTTGTTCTCAATTGGCGCTGCGCCAGCAGCGATCACACTTGATGATGGGGCCGCCCCAGTCATAGATTGAGCCAGGAAGGTCAGTTGAGGGATGCCCCCCTCAAGGACCGAGTCATCACCTGGTGTGACAGACATTTCGAGCTCATCGTCCTCTTCGGTGTCATCCCCCTCCAAACCTTTCTCCTTGCCCTTAACGCCGGTCTTGCTGCTGGGCCCTGACTTGAGGATGGAGGAGAACCCTACTGACTTCGCCTTGAGGCCACTCACCTCCTTCCCCAAGAGTGAGATGGCCGCTGACATCTGCGCCATTGTTTCCTTCATCTCTGCCCAATCTCCAGCGCCAAACGTCCCCCCCCCTCGCCTGGGGTTGCACCCAGCCTGACCACAGAGTCTGTTGTTGCCATATGTGATGGTTGTCAAATGTGAGACCGCTCAATTGAAGTTTGGAACTGTAATTGAGGTGAGCTGCTATCTGAGTGAGAGGAAAAGAAGTCTTTGTTCTGAATGAACTGTCACATAATAAACCCTGTCACTTGGAAACTCTGGCTGGTTGACATGTCAGCCTAGCCCTGTCACACTGTCATGTGGCTGGTTGATGGTTGTAACAATCTCTGTCGTGGTTGGGCTGTGGTGCATGGTCGAGGTGTCTCGAGTGTCCGGCTGCTGGGCCGTCTAAAATCACCCATCGCGGGTTCGAATCCCGCCGCCTCCAGCACGGGGGCGTGGCCGAGTGGTTAAGGCGTTGAACTAGAAACTCAATTTACTTCGAAACCTGACGTAGTCCAACAGTGTAAGCGGCAGACCCGCAAGGGTTGAGGCACCTGACGCGATCACCACCCCCTTCTCTCTTTCTTTTTTTTTAAAAAAGTTCGATTAGCAACCGTGCAATCATAACTCATAAACAACTCTTATAATTGATGACTCCCGGTTTGTTTGCTTTGGGGAGAAGAATAGTGCCACCATTGAATTAGGGTGAAGTGGGTGTAACTTTCGCACACGTTGTTTGTTTCTCGATGGTGGCGGTGCACACGCGCCACGCCAGTATGTACAAGACTTAGGTCCTCCTCCCAAGCTCTGCAGGCCACGTCACTCCACGCGCACGGACAGCAAGTCTTCACACTGGCGCAAGGTCCGCACGTGGGGCACAATGATGGGGTGAGTGCCGTGCGTTGTGTGTGTGTGTCGCTCGACACATGTGTGGCGCGGAGGGAGCAGGGTGTACCGGTGTCTTTGGAGTCCAACATCGAGAGGTCGGGGTCGTTGAGAGAGGGACAGGGCAGGAGCCAGCGCTTGATGTCCTGCCCCATCACCTGCCGACAGTTGTCGCGCCAGTTGCCCATGTCGTAGGTCCACGTGAATGTCTTCCACGTGTGTGTGTGTTGTGTGTGTGTGTGTGTGTGTGTTGTGTGTGTGTGTGTGTGTTGTGTGTGTGTGTGTGTGTTGTGTGTGTGTGTTTACATGCAACGGCGCGATCACAATCAAAAACCTGTTTCTTTGTCGACGAATCACAATCATCAGAATAGAGGTACGTACCTTGCCCTCGCGTCGGGCCTTCTTCTTGAGCAGCTCCCGCTCAAAGTCCTCGATGGTGGTCACGTTCTCGGTCAGCAGGCCCAGCTGGTAGCCGAGCAGGCAGAGCAAGCTGAGCACGAGCGGCACCACCACGATCAGGTTGAGCGCGCACACGGCCATGTGGATGGCGGGCCAGCGCATGTCCGTCTCGCCTGGCAGCGGCGGCTCCATGCTCAACGGATCCGGCACCGCGTTCTGTGGTGTGTTGAGTTTTTGTGCATTCCACGAGTGGTGCTGGAATGTGGTGTGGTTAAGGTGGCTGTGCGAACCTTGGTTCTGGTGATGGTGGCGAAGAGCTGGACGATGTCGATGAGCCGGAGGGTGAAGAGCACGCACGCGTAGGTCATCCCGACGATGGCGTAGACGAGGAACAGAATGAACGTCTTATGGTTGGCCTGGCCCACGCAGTTGTCCACCCCTGGAAGCAGAGGTTCAGCGGCACTCCGAAGAAGCTGAACAATGTGCGAGAGGAAAGCGTACACGGGCCTGTGTCGTGGGTGATATCCAGATGCACCATCGGACACACACACACACAAACACACACACACACACACACACACGAAGTCAGAGATGAACACGAACAGGGCGAAACATTGACGCTGAGTCCATACAGTGATGATCCTACGTTGAAGGAAGAAGGGAAGAAGTGTGAGCACACAGTTTGCAGCAACCACCGATCATTGAACCACTGTTGAACAGCGACGAAGAAGGAGCGAACCATCTTGAGGGTGCACAGGCCGCAATCGGAGCAGTGGTGGGAGCGTGGGGGCTTGAACTCCTGGCACCTGCCGCAGTACCGCGGGGCGCCCTTCTCAAACACGCGCACACGCCCGCGGCCTCGTCGCCGCTTCACCCGCCGGTACTCCTCCTCTTCCTCGATCGCCTGCACAGGGCCGCCACGTCACCATTTTATTTATTGTATTTTATTTAGATAAAATAGCATTTTCGTTATTTACTGGTAAGTACGAACCTTTTGGAGCGCTTCCGCTGTAGCGCCTGCCGGGATCTGCACAAATATATTTATAGTAATTAATCGATTATTTACAAGTTAATTATTTGTGATGAATTCAGAATGGCAGTCTACTAGCAATAAAAAATAGGAAGATTTGAATAATCGAAGCAGAAGAGAAGTGAGTACCCAGCCGTGGGGAACGCGGCCGGGACAGGTGGTGATGGTGGCGTGGTAGCAGTAGACCATCAAGCCCAGCAGAGTGTGGGTCGCCACGAGATTGAGTAGACCCACCGGCGATGTCCACCAATGCCACGGGATCACGATGCTGCCCCACGCCGACATCAGGATCAGGCTCACCAATGTGCCCACCACCCAAACCAGACACCCCATGTCTGTCTCCTTCACTTTAGATCTCTGATTTCTGATGCTGCGCAGATCAAAATATAAAAGAAATGGCCCATTTTCTTTTTGGTGCAGGATTTGTGCACGAATTGCAATGTGTCTTAATTAATTTGTCTGGTTGGGCGAAGGTGCAGCCGGCTGAGGCGACGAACGTTGCGGTGGTGGAGTGGGGAGCAAAACACGAACCTACACAAGCCAAAGGAGATGGCGTCGGCCGGGGGTGGAGCGGGACCTGCTGCCACTTTGTTCGACTACGTCGTCGTTGTAGCCGTCCAAGATGGTTCGCACCCCCCCCCGAACAACCCCAATCATGGGAGATGAAGTGGTGTTTTCATTGATTTTATTCGCATTATTGTGAAAATGAATTTGATTATTTTTTGTTAATTCTGTTACGATTGTGATTTTGCAGGGGCGCCTTATGTGAAGTGGTGTTTCCCGCCGGGACGCGAGAAGGACCCGCTCGTGGAAAACATCAAACAGTTTTGCTTCCCCGACATCGAGCAGTACCCCAAGAGCAAAGTCAAGGCGTACGTTCCCGCTTTCGCACACCACCTGCTCGGACCTAAAATCTTTTGGGTGACCTCTCTCGACATACACGCACACGCACACGCACACAGGGAAACGTTTTCTTTTGTGCTCACCGAAGGCGATGGCGCGAAACGGTACGCTTTGCACTCATTTTATTTAACGTTTTATTTAATGTTATGGCTGTCGCATTATTTATTTATTTATTTATTTACATGTTGCAAGCATTTAAATTTAAATGATAAGTGAGCCGCGTGAACTAGTTCCTAATTTCGGTTTTCCTAAACACGGGCTTCGCCCAGCAACCTGATGCACTTCTCTCTTAACTGCGACATCCCCATTAACACAAAACAACTCTCGGTCGCCACACAACACACAACACACACCACACACAACACACAACACACATCACACCACACACCACACACCACACATCACATCACACAACAGGTGGGGCTACTGCCGGAGAATGCTCGAGCCCGGCGAGGGCAAGCGCTACCCTCAGTGCTTCTGCATCGTCAGCTTCATGTACGCCTGGCCCAATCACAAACCCCGCCTTGGCGTGTGCGCCGTGCTCACCTCTCTTGTTTGTTGCTTCGGACCGGCTGCAGCCCGTGCTTCAGTATCTTCTCGACCATCCTGTCGCACGTGATCCAGCGCGGCGGCTACACCACACATTCGCTGAACTACTGCAGCGTCCTCCTCGACGCCGTCTACCGCCAGCCGCTCCCGCCGCCCGGCGGAAGCTTCAACGTCACGGTCCGCTCCATCGTCGACGCAAAGCCCGAGCACTTTTTCTTCACGCGACCCGATGACTCCGACTCCATGTTCGACTATGTACGCCTCGCCGCCCCTTCGCTCTTTCATCATCGCCCCCCCCCCCCGTTCTTCGCTTTATGGCGAGTTGCTGCCTTCGCCATCGCGACCCTTTCGTTCTTCTTCGTTCTTCGTTCTTTGCTTTTTCGCTTTTTGACGTTTCGTTTATGTGGACCACGCCACAGGTCAACTTCGAGCCGCTGCTGCACATGCTGGACGCGATCAACGTCATCTCGGTGTTCACGTCGCTGCTGGTAGAGCGACGCGTGATCTTCATCGCCGATGAACTTTCCGTCCTCTCCTCGTGCGTGCAGGCCGCCGTCGCCCTCCTCTATCCCTTCTCCTGGCAGGTACCCCACCCACCAACCGGCTTGTCCATTTCATCGCCGATTCACGCTCTGTTCGTCCAAGCTAACACACATACCACACACCACACACACACGACGCACGCACGCACGCACGCACGCAACACACACACACCACACACGACGCACACACACGACGCAGCATGTGTACATTCCGGTCCTGCCGTCGAGCCTGCTGACGTTTTGCTGTGCGCCGATGCCGTTCGTGGTGGGCATCCTTCGATCTTCCGTCGCCGAGCTCAACAAACTCTCCGACGCCATGGAGGAAGTCGCCATCGTCGACATCGACCGCAACAAATTCCTCTCCGGTATGTTTACATAGATTCTCTCTCATTTCTTGCATTCCCATGCTTGTATGTGTTGATTCTATTATGCGCTGCATGTACGCGACAGATACGGCGTCGCACGACTTTGGGCTGTTGCCTGGAAACGTGGCCGCGCCGCTGCTCAAGGCCGTGGCGGGCGCGTGCAAGACTGTCAAGTCCAAATATTCGCTGAAGAACCGCATGGCGGCGCTCAAGGACAAGAAGGCCCGCAGCAATTCGGACGCCGACGGGGCCGATGGCGGCGAGAAGGGCGGCGAGAAGGGCAGCGGCAACAAGATGTCGCCCGAGGAGGCGCGCAACCTGGCCAACGCGTTCATCGCCTTTTTCGTCGACCTCATGGGCAACTACCGATCGTTCATCGTGGCGTCGCGCGACCCGGCGACCAATCAGACGTCGCTCAAGTTTGACAAAGCCGCCTTTCTCGATGACCAGCCGCCCGACGCCCGACGAGTACGACCCAGCCGCGACCGGTCGGGCATCCTCACCACTGGGACTAACCGACCAACGACACGACACGACCAACGACACACGCAACGCAGTTAATGGAGATGTTCGTGGAGTCGCAAATGTTCGAGGTGTTCGTACAGGAGCGGGCCAAGACACAACGACTTAACACCGGCCGATTCGAGCAGCGGGTGACCATGTACATGCAATCCCTCCCCCTGGTACGTGCGGCACATACGCCCTCTTTTTCCTCAGGGCCAATACTTGAATTCCAGGAGTTGTTGTTATTATTATTATTGTTGTGGTGTGGATGTAAGAGATATTCTCACACATTATAAATATATGTTTTTTAAATAGGACGACATGAGCAGCAGCGACAAGCGAAAGGCTGTGAGCCGTTTCACGATGTACGAAAACGGAGAGATTTCGCGAGAGGATATCACCAAGAGGTGCGTGACACACGACACACACACGACACACGACACAAAAGGAAAAACGAGAAAAAGAGAGAAGAAGATCGCTGTAATGATTGGGCCACTCCTCGAATGCAGTGTGAACCAGATGCTCGAGAATGACAAAAAAGCTGCCATCGCTTCGGCAACGCCGTCCCTGGGTACGGCCCCCACACTCGTCAATCACATCACGTGCGTGTGCTGTTCTACTCACAGCCAACACACGACACACATGACACACGACACGCAACACGCCAGATGGGTCGGGTGATTCGTGGGCGCCATCGAGCATCCTCATGGAGGGGACGCTGACCAAGCTGGGCGGACATGCGACTAAGCTGAAGCTCATCAACCGCGGCAACTGGCGCTCGCGGTGGTGTCAGCTCAGCCCCACTCACCTGGCCTACTTCAAATGCCGAGGCGTACGTGTTCTCCTTCAACCGCCGCACACGCACGCACCACCGCACACGAGTGCGCTGACACCAATCTTTCGGCCACAGGATCCCCGGCCTGCCGGCGTGATTGCACTCAAGGACGTCGTCTCGGTGTCCTTCACCGGCCATAACGACCTCATCAAGAAACGTACGCTACACGCGACATATACGTGCCTTGTTATGTGCGGAATGTGTGGTGAATTGTTCACATTGTTCGTTTGCATGCATTCCTCGAATGCCTCACAGCCAACTGCCTGGAGATCCAAACGCCGGGCCGGGCGTACTACCTGCTGACTGAGTCCCTCGACGACGGCGACAAGTGGTCCAAGGCCATCTCGCGCGCGCGCCAGACCCTCGCCTCCCAGTCCCACCACCATCAGCCCGTCTTCGCTGCTGCCGGCGGCGCCCGAGCATCGCCCTCCACCGGCCGCAGCCACCTCGGCCACCACGCCGCCACGTCATCATCGTCATCGTCATCATCGGGCGTGGGCTCGTCCAGCGGTTCGATCCCGGCGCGACCGGCGCGACGACCAACCCCGCCGCGTGGTCCGCCGGTCTCCTCCTCCCTCCCCGCCATTCCCTCGCCTTCTCCCTCTGCGCCCACCACCACCAACGCGACCGCCCCTGCTGCGAAATTTGCGCCGACGACGCCACCGCTGGTGCAGTCCAACAGCGATCGCAGTATCCGCACACGTCTCCAGGCAACGGCCGCGCCGTCGTCATTGGCATCGACGTCAGCATCAGTGTTGACGTCAGCGTCGTCGTCGGCGTCATCGGCGTCTGCGTCGGGTGGTGCGGGGCGACCCGTGCGGGCTCTGCCGGCGCGGCCGACCGCCACCTACGTCGCTGAGTCGCCGCTCCACATCAGCGGCGGCGGCACCATCCGGGCGCTCGACGACGCCCAAATCGGAGGCTACCATGCTGCCACCACGCGCAGCGGCGGCTCGCCCTATTCGAGGTATTGGCCAATCTTGCCCACACGTTCCTTACATTCTTTACATGGAATTCCTCATCATTGCACGGGTGCTGCAGCGGGTCGGTGTCGTCGCGTGGGCCTTCGCCTGCAGTGCGTAGTCCGGTGGTGGTGCCTTCGTCAGCTACGACGGCCAGGCCGGTGGTCGCGGGCAACTTCACGATGCGGCCGCAGAACCAGCGGGCCACCATCCAAAACGCGCGCACCCAACACAAGACCAACTCAGACGACGTCTCGGCCAGCAAGGCCTCCTTCCTCTATCGCGTACTCGTCACCCACCAGCCACCCACCCGCCACCTTCTCTTCGGCACTGACGTGTGCGGTGTGTGCGATTAGGACTTGGGCGGAGCTACGGGGCAGCGGACGATGCGATCACCGTCGGCTGCAGATGCGGGCGCGCCGCTGCCGCCACCGCCGCCATCCACGTTCCCCAATCCGTCTCGTACCGGCGGCGGCAGCGGGGCGGTGATGCCGAATCGCTTCCGGGCGGTGGAGCGGGCCGGGAGCGACGTCACGCCCGGACTCGCCAGGTCGGCGCTGAGCGCGAGCGAGAGCAGCGGCTCGTCGATTGCTGCTGGGAACCGGGCAACGGTCGCGGCCAAGCCGGCCAGCCCCGGCATCGAACGAACCTCCTCATCGCCCTCCATCACCAAACGAACCGTACGCACATTTCAGTCTTCCGGGCACCTCGCATTTTTTTCTTTTTTTTTTTACATTCTGCTCACTCTCATGATGCCGTGTTGCGTGTCGTACGTGTGTGCCGTGTGCGTGTGCGTGTGCGGCGGGTTGCAGATCAAGCAGGGCGCGGCGACGTTGGGGAGACGCACCGTGAACCCGGTGGCGGCGGCCTCGCGACCTGCGGCTGGTGGTTCTCCAGACTCGATGAGCCGCACGTTGCAGCGCGGCACCGTGTTTGACAAGCCCACCGCCTCTGCATCCACTTCCTCCTCGGGCGCCAACCCCGCCCCCAGCCGCAATCACTTGTACGCCCCGCCCACTCTGCCTCTTCCTGCGCCTCATTCGTGTTGGCCCATTAGCTTGACTCACGCGTTGTTTTTGTGTATTTGCTGTTTGGGCGGGTAACACAACAACACCAACACCAACAGCTTGAAGTCAGTGCAGTATTTTGACTCCATGGCTGCAGAAACCAGCAAGAAGCCCTCGTGATGATCATCCTCTTTGTGTGGTGGTCATGATGGACGTTCACTTGCTGTGAACTTCTTCTTGTGGTTGGTGTGTAAATAAAACCCACACTGCAGTGGACACAGCTGTCCAATCAGCCGTGACTGGTGAAATAAAATCATAAAATCATTTTCAAAATAATAAATAACAATGAAACTCTCTTGCGGTAAGGGAGCACTGCAAGAGCGAACGGTGTGCTCTCTGGATGAAAGGGGCGATTTCGCGTCTCGCTTCGTGCGGCCACATCGGCCAGTACTCATATTGGGCGCGATGAGCGACTGGCCGGCCATGATGGACTCATCTCGGGGGCGAGGTGGAGATGAAGCAGAGGAGGCAGGTCGAGGACGGTGGGACCTGTCGGTGGCTGCTGGGCGTGCGCACTTTCAGCACATGCTGGAAGCTGCTGGCCCGCTACACGTCGAAATCTCGAAAGATGGCCCTACTTTCTATGGCGATGGGCGATTTGGTGAGGAAGCCAAGATGACGTCACGCGGTTTCGCTCAGCTTGTAGAAGAAGAGCTCTTGATCAGGCAATCGGCTCCCAAAGTGGAGGAGGAACGACACCTCTATCTCAATCAATGCCCCCTCTACCCGCCTCCATCCTCTTCTGCAGCTCCTTCACTCTTGGATGACATACGCCTGCCTTCCTTTCTCCTGCCTTGTCTGCGCCCATCATCATCCTCCACATCATCATCATGCACTACGTCGTCGATTCCGTTTCCTTCGCCGGCCGAGGCGCCCTCACTGCTGCCGGCCCTGCATTCGGCCAACCTGTGGGTGAGCGCGGGCGGCACGTCGTCCAACGTGCACTACGACTGCTTCCCCAACCTGCTGTGCGTCGTGCACGGCTCCAAGCGCGTCGCGCTCTGGCCGCCGGCCGCCACGCCGCACCTCCGCCCGCATCCCGTCTACGGCAAAGCCACCAACCACTCCCGACTCAACGTATACCAACCGCCCCGTGTTGTGTGCGCGTGTGTGTGTGCGTGTGCGTGTGTGCGTGTGTGCGTGTGCGGTCGATGCTTACAATGCGGGCTGCAGGTGCACGAGGACGGCACGGTGGAAGGGGCCGAGTCGCTGCCGCGGCCCATGGTCGCCGTTGTCCGCCCTGGCCAGATGCTCTTCATTCCTGAGGTACTGCTTCAACCCCCAACCCAACCCAACCCAACCCAACCACAATAAAGTAAACAACCAATCAACCAGCAGCCAACCAACCGCAATCAATCAATCAACCACCAACCAGGGGTGGTACCATCAGGTTACCTCGCCAGCACCGAGGCAAGATCAGACTGGCGGGGAGGTGGGTACGACGATGGGCGCTCCAGCAGAAGATGACTATCCGCTCCGGCTGGTGGTCGCCGTCAACATCTGGTGGAAGAGCGAGTTCGATCTCCTGCTCGAGGCGAGCTCTCGTCGTCCGACGACGCAGAGTGAGAACGGTGACGACGACGATGATCTGGGGATGGAGATCTACTACGCGCGCCGGTTGATGGAGATCCTGACGCGAAAGGAGATGCAGCGCATGATGAACGCAGCAAGCGACGACCTCGACGACGACCTCGACACCAATATTGGGTGGAAGTGGTGCAAGCGAAAGCGAGCAGGAGGAGAAGAAGAAGAAGATAGACGCAAGAAAGCAAAGAAAGACGAAGACAGCAACGACGACGTTGTGGTGGACCACAAAGGTCAAGCCGAGGAGACTACGCGTGAGGAAGTGGCGCCCGGCACCGACACACTCGCGGAGCTTCTGCGCCGGCTGCCCGCGGCCGGTGCAGGCAGCGATCCAGGCCGTCGGGCAGCGCTGGTGGGCGAGATGGCCCGCTGGCTCCTCGACAGCGCGCAATGCAGCGATCAGGGCGCAGACAGCCAACAACAGCGACGGCGACGAGACCTGCGCGCGTGGCTGCGGGCGTGCGACGAGCCGATGATGATGGACTGCCTCGAGGCCGCGATGGACTCCTCCCCGCCGGCCCTGGCCGCTTTCCTCCGCTCCCTGTCGGTGGTCGACACCCGCCTCCTCCTCGAGCGCCTTCAACAAGACGACAGAAACAACAACAACAACAACAACGATGATGATGACGACGACGTTGAGGGTACGCGCCGAGAGCGCTGGTGGCTCCGATTTGTGGAGGTCATGCGCCCGCACGGTTCGCTGGCCGAGCTACTGCGCAAGGAGCAGTCGCTGCACGAGTTGGCGTTCGGGCGTGCGATCGCACACACCCTCGCCACTTAGTTGAAAAAATAAAACAGCTCTGGTGAGCACAGCCCGTGCGTTTGGTCGAAGTGGAATAAAGTACGTACCGCCGAATCGACTTCGATCGACCAGCTGGCTCTTTGCCGGCCAATCGCAATCCGTCTTACTGCACATGAGATCCGCCCTGCTTGTGTCACGCACTCTGCAGTTCTAGTTCTCGAGGCTTGTGCTATCGAGGCTCCATATTGACATTCTTGTCGGTTGTAACCGGTAGCCAAGTCGGGGTTGCAATTGGTGATTATTGGGGCCGCGATGATGGACTGAAGGGTGCGATCTTCCGATGGTTTGATCGACCCAAGTTTGACGTGGGGCAGTTGGGCGAGCAAACGTTGCCTTGTGGTCGCCAACGGAAACACTGTCTGCAATTCGGAGTTAGCTTGAGCACTGATCTTATTGGTTTCCCCATCACATTGTCGGGGGTCCTTTAAAGCCTTGCTACCCCAGGGTCGGGGCCAGTTGCAGTATCGCATCACCACAACTCACACCGCGCCTCAGTGATCGGATATGCACACTTCTGCGACTTGGGGAGTTGTTGCGCTTGTGGCCATCGCGTTGTGGTCGTGCCTCTGCGGCGCGAGCATACAGGCAAATTATCCTTGCAGCCTTGTCGGCCAGTGGCAGCAAGTCGGACTTGGGAGTGGATCCAACTTGACGATGACATTCAACTCCACCCGCTTCTACACGTTTAACGTATCAATCCTTTCAGCAACGAGGTGCGTGCGTGCGCAATCTCATCGACATATTGTGGCGTGTGCGTGGCTGTGTGTGTGTGTGGCAGGCAACTTCGCCTACCATCCGCTGTCAGTGCAGCTTTGTCCAAACGGGGCTGTGGTTGGAGAGTGCCCACTCGCCGCAGTACAGTGTGCTCATGCTGCAGCCCAAGTCTTGCCGAGGTGCCTCGCCTGTCACACTTGCAGAAGTCCGGAATCGTTAACTTGGTTCTTTCCACGCTCCACTCAACACCAGCCTCTCCGTGCTGCGGCTGCAACATGATCGAAAGAAACGCTGAGATCTACTATGGCCCCGACTGCAATACCATGCATCTGAATGGCTTGGTATGTTCCACAACTATTCTTTACGTTGATTCATTGATTCGTTGCTCATTACCCACATTTCTTGGGCCTGACAGGAGACAACGTTCAAGCGCATCTTCTAAGACCCGGGCTTTGCCTGTCCGCCCACAGCCATCGGCTTGATTGTCTTCTTTGGTTCTGCATTTAGCTCCGCACCCAATATGAGCATTCAGCATCAGCTTTGGGACTCTCTCGTGCGTGCTGTGCGTGCGTGCGTGCGTGCGTGCGTGCGGGGATGTACCAGGCAGGCTGAGCTCGGAGATTATGATCTTGCCGTATGTCTGGGGAACAAACGATAGAGATTAGGTTGGGGGAGGGAAGTGCCCCAGGCAGACTCTTACCTCTGCTGCAAATACGAAGTCATGGGCCAGCTTGGCCAAATCGTTGAATTTGGCGGCTGATGGCTCTCGGTCGAGCAGTTTCTGCAGTGATCACCATCACCATTGGCCAGGTCAGACACATGAAAGTGCCAGGGAGAAAAAAGAGAAAGAGGGAGGGGAGGGACACGACAGTAGGGAGGGGTCGACCTGGAATTCTTCGTTCCAATTCTTGGCCTTTTGGGCACGCCACACTGGGCACACGTCAATTGGATCGCATGTTTATGCCATAAAAGTCAACAACATTTTGTGAATTGGGAGAATGTTCAGTTGAAAAAGCCGTAGAACTCGATGTTGGAGAGGGCGAGGGTGTTGGGCGAGACGGGGGAGGCGGAGGGTCCGGTCATGATGAGGCGGAACTGGGCGTAGGGAACGACCGAGCTCACCGGCCAGAAGACCCACCGCGAGGGCGACGCCAGCCCGCAGTCGTTGACGTGCGTCGACAGATCGACCCACGACTGCCCGTCGTTCGAGCCCTGCATGCTCCACGAGCGCAGGAACACCGTCGACCCGTCCTGCCTGATCGCGTAACCCTTCATCACGAACGCCTTCTCCTTCTGCGTGTGCGGTCGAAACATGTGCGGTTAGGCCAGATGAACGACACGACACACGCACATGACACACACCGACACGACACACGAGGGGAAAGGGTGGCGGTACGAGGAGTTGGACGATGAGCCAGGGGTGTGGCCGGCCGGAGGTGTACCACGTGGTGTGGAAGGCGCGGTCGACGACTGCTTCCGGGTTGGAGTAGCGCGAGGGCGGGGCCGAGCAGACCACCTTCACCAAACCCGCCCGGCACGGGTTCACCCACCCGCGCTCCTTCGCCCCTCCGCCCGCCCCGCCGCTCGTTCCCAGCCAATGGAAAAGGCCCGAAGCGTCCTGCGCACGTTCATCATCACCCGGTCAGATGGGGCGAGGGGCGAGGGGGGGCGAGGGGGGGCGGGGGGGGGCGAGTACGCCGGGTGTGCCGGAGTAGGGGAGCTCCTTCCAGCCCTGGAGGGAGCGGGGCGTGCGGGGCCGGTTGAGGATGTCGGCCAGAGACTGGCGCAGCACCACCTTGCCGGCCTGCACCGCTGCCGATCCCCTGTGTTGTGGCCGACGACGCAGGGCAATGCACATGCACACACATCCCAATCCATTTTAGCAGTGTGTAGTGTAGTGTAGTGTAGTGTAGTGTAGTGTAGTGTAGTGTAGTGTAGTGTAGTGTAGTGTAGTGTTTGCGGTGAAAGAAAACGATCGAGAGTGAGTGCGAACCCGGAGAGCTTGAGAGGATTGGAGTTCAGCTTCACGGCCTCCTCCACGCCCGGAAGTTTGGCGTAGGGATGCGGCAGGATGTGTTCCGCCACGTAGCTCTGTGCGCGTGTGACACGTTTCCGAGAGCGTGAGAGAAAATTCCTCGAGGCGTGTGCGTGTGCGTGTGCGTGTGCGTGTGCGTGTGCGTGTGCGTGTGCGTGTGCGTGTGCGGTGGTGAGTGTAGAATGGAATGAGTGGAATGCGCACGGGGCTGATGAGCGGGTAGCGGATGTAGGTGAGGATCTGGGCGAGCGCGCTCTCGGCGTCGGGATTGTGCGCGGCCCACCGCAGGACAGCCTCCCACACGTGCTCCTCGTCGGACACCACCAGGGCGTCCTTCACCACCAGCTCCAGCAGCAGATGACTCTCCAGACTCAGGAATTTCTTGGTCTGTGTCGACACCCCGCATGCCTCACCCGCATTAGTTGTGTGTGCGTGCGTGCGTGTGTGGTGCGTGTCGTGTGCGTGTCGTGTGTGTGTCGTGTGGTGCGGGTCGTGCCTGGCACACGCGGTCGAAGTTGTCCTGGATGAAGTGTTGGGCGGCCAGGCGGAGGGCCGGGAGGGCGAGCACGTCGGCGATGTGGAATGTGGGGCAGCACGTCGACAGGTCGAAGTGGGCCATCGCGTAGGCCAGGCAGTGGTCCGCCAGAGGCACCGGCTCACCAGGACTTGCCACGTCGCTACCATTTTCCATTGAATATTTTTCTTTTTAGAAGCAAAAATGCCATCAATAACTTAAATTGTACGCATACCTGGTGGAATCGGCGGCCGGTGGCGGGTAGAGCTTGGGCGTGTTGAGGAGGTCGAAGCGGTCGGCGGCGAGGAGGAGCGGCAGGACCTCCTCGACGAGGGAGGTGAATCGCCGGCACGTGCGCTTGTACACGCACTCCATGAGGATCCGGAACGCCGCCTCGTCGACGTCGTGCAGGGCCACCTCGCCCTCAGTCCGCTCACGCCAGCCGTGCGCGCCGCCCAACAGCGCCCACAGCGGCTCACTTCACCGACACGCAACATTAGCCTCCAATACAAAGCCAAAGCCAAAGCCAAAGCCAAAGCCAAAGCCAAAGCCAAAGCCAAAGCCAAAGCCAAAGCCAAACACAAACACAAACGCAACCGCAAACGCAAAAGTTGAGAGTGGTACCTGGCGGTGGCGAGGATTGCGCGGTGGGCCGGCAGCCGGCCGGTGGGCGGCGGGGGCGCAGCTGAGGACGACGAGGAAGCGGAAGAAGAAGCAGAAGATGAAGAAGAGTCGCCGGGGAAGGTAAGCACCACGTCGTGCCATCGCTCGCTGCCCACCAGCTCCCCGAACCAGGGAAGCGCGACCAAACCACCTGCGGCTGTTGGCACACACGACACGACCAACGACACGACACGCGCAAGAAAGTGAAAAAAGGCAGGAGAACTAAGGGCTTTAGGCGGTGTGGGGGGGGGGGTGACGAGTCGTACCTGCAGTGGCGGCGGTGAGGTGGGCCGCCAGCTGAGGCGACCAGCGCTGCGCCAGGGCCAGCAGGCCGTCGAACGACTCGCGATCCGTTGTGCGGAGCTTCACCTCGCCAGTGTAGATGAAGCGCAGCAGCTCCCGAAACTCGTCCGCCCTCGTTTCCTCTGTAGGCACGCACGCACGCACCAACCAGACCGTGTGCGGTTAGTGTGCGTGTGCTGTGTGCTGTATAGTGCAGCGCGTGGCGCGTGTGCGGTGGGTAAGGTTCGTACCTTCCGCGAGGGTCACAATGAACGGAGTTGTTCGTGGCCCTTCTGTTGGCGCACTGGCATCGAGCAGCTGCTCCAACAGCGCCGGGCACCGACAACTGAGGATGCCTAATAATAAATATATCATTAAATGTCATTAAATGAGGGAAAACGGCTGGGCGGTGCCCAGGGACTGAAAAAACTGGGCGCGTACAGCAGTGGGCGGGGAAGACCGCGGAGCCGACGTGGAAGTGGACGTCGGCAAAGAGGTCGCTGAGGAAGAGCGAACTCTCGCCCTGCCTGAATGTGGAGTGGGCCGAGAGCCGCGATAGCGAGAGGCACGACACCGGTATGGTGCCCGTCACTGCAATGTGTCGATACTGCGCGTGCGCGAGCGTTAGTGTAACCGGCTGGAGAAGGAAAGGGCTGAGGGCGCGTTATGTAGAACGAACTTGGATGGGCTTGTCCCACGAGGAAAAGCCCACGTAGCGCAGGTCCTGAAAGTCGTGGTGATCGTCCTTCCATCTCTTTGGAAATAATAAATGATGAATACCACTGGATGTGCGTGCGTGCGCAAGTGTGTGCATCACCGCAGCGTGTGTGTGCCATGCGTGTTGTGCGTCGTTGTGTGTGTGGTGTGTGGTGTGTGGTGTGTGGTGTGTGGTGTGTGGTGTGTGGTGTGTGGTGTGTGGTGTGTGGTGTGTGGTGTGTGGTGTGTGGTGTGTGGTGTGTGGTGTGTGGTGTGTGGTGTGTGGTGTGTGGTGTGTGCCGTACGATGATTTCATGGGTGCCGGGCTCTCCTTTTCCAACGACCAGCAAGCCTGTGGGATGAAGGAGCCGAACCGATTCGGGCTCAGTCCAGCAAATGAGCGCAAAGACCGGTGGGTGGCGCGTCGTACCGTTGTCAAGAAGGAACCAGTACTGGGTGAAGTGCGGCGACGTGATGACGGCGTTGGGGTTCTCCTCCTTGCGCGCGGCTGCCTGCTGCTGGCCCCGCTTCCTCACCGCAGTCTTCCTGTTCATCCACCCTGTGTGCGACGCGCGCGACGTGCACGATTCACCGTGTCAGTCGCATGTCGCACGACACATACACACCACACCACACCACACCACACCACACCACACCACACCACACCACACCACACGCATCACCGCACCCCCGATGACGACTTCGTAGTTGGGCGACTGGTCGGCGAGGCCGTCTCGGCCCTCAACGCGGGAGGTGTCCTTGTTGAAGCTGACGTGGATGTCGTTCGTTGCCTGCGCCTCGAACGTCACTGTCCCCGCCGCCCCACAGGCGTGAGAAAAAAAAAGAAATATATAAATAAATATAAATGCAAGAATAAATGAATCATAAGAACACGCTGCGGTGCGTACCGAAGGCGCGGCCTGTGGCAGGCAGGTGGAATTGGTCGTCCACTGGCCACACAAATATGCTGTCAGCGTTCCTAGAGACCACACCAATCAAAAATTGTATTGTTCATATATTATGGTACATACCCAGCCATACGTAGGAGCCCATCATGGGGCGGAGGGGAAGCACGTTTTGGGCACTTGCATCCACAATGTGCCGCACGTGCACCGGGTCCATCATTCTCACCGTAGTTCTGCACTGTCACTGGAGAGAGGAAAAAAAAAGAAATGCCCCTTTCCTTTGTGCATAATTTTCACACATTACACCATGGTAATTCTTCAGAGCCTGTTCACGTGCCTGCTTGAAGACTACTACTTACCACTTTGAGAGGGTACCCTTCAATCCCTAACCACTCCAGGAGCTCCCCTGTTGGTGGAACGTTTTTTCATCTTTTTCTAATTGTCTTTCTCTGGGCGCACCTTGGTTGTATGTCAGCCAGATTTCTGTTTGAAGAAAAACACGTTTGCGTGCACAGGAAAATGCACAGGGGGCAAAGCATCAGTAAGCTCAAGAGGGGCTGGCACCAGCGCAGACATGCAGGCAAACGAGGAGGAGGAACCTGAGATTCACGAACTGTTTGAAACATGGGAGAGCCAGGTACGCCATCTTCTTCAATTCCTGAACCCACCTGAAGCTGGTGCCCCACCAGGTCAACGTCTACTTCACCCTGACGCGCCCAACCAAGACCCTGCGTCAGGCACGACATCGTGGCGAAGAGTGCAGGGTACCACTGTGGCGCTGTCTGGCAGTGCACAGAAACAAAAACTAAAATGATTGGGCGTCCAGGCCGACAGGACGGGCAACTGCTGCATGGGCAGGACCTGCCTGTGCTACCAGCAGCGCGCCGAATGCGGCGGTGACTGCCCCTGCAAGTGCAGAGCACTCGGTACTCTGCAGCAGCCGTCGCATTCTTTTCTTCTCGCCAGCTTTGATTTTTGAACGAGTCATGGATCTGCAGCGCACGGCATTTGCCAAAATCAACAGATGCGCAGGGCAGGCAGCGTGCAGTGCTATGTGGTTCGCGACCACAGCAAGCGGCACAACCGGTTCCTCGTCGACCAGCCGGTCAAGAGTGGCCAGTTTGTGCGAGCTCCCCGGCCAGTCACCAACCATTACTTTGGATTGCCATCGTTTGACTTGGAACGCATGCTCTATCACCACATCCCCAGATCATCGAAATGACCGGCATCTTCATGGAAACAGAGCGCCTCAAGCAGGTACGGAGCCGCGCTTGTTGTTGCATGCGCAACACGAGTTCACTCTGTGGGCGATGTCGTTCTTTTGTTGACACTGTACCTCCAATCAGTCCGAACTGCCCGAACTGGGGGACTACCACGTCATGCACTGTTACCAGCATGCCCAAACTAATATGACTCTCGACATGCGGTACAACTCGCACACCCACCCCCAAGGCTCTCCTGATTGGCTGATGATAAAATTATGATCACGCGCACACACAACCAGAATGTTCGGTAATAAGTCCAGGTACATCCGGAGCGTTTGCCAGGGGTGTCGCCCTTCGGCCCGCGTGGTCGAGGTGTTCGTAGACTGCGACCTGCATCTCGGTATTTCTCCCCATCATCCCGCTTTGCCTGGATGAGGCCTCACCACAACATCTTCGTGGGTCGTGCGTGTCGCGTGTTGCACGCATCATGTCGTGTGCGTGCGCGACACCAGGAGTGTTTGCCAGGCGGGACCTGCGGACTGGCGAGGAGGTGACGATTCCGTTCGACCGGGATCCTTCGCCGGAACACATCATTCGGTGTCCGCAGCTGATCCCAAACGCGTGCCTCTTCAAGTAGGGCTCTTCACGATCTGTTTATTTTATTCATTTTAATTTCTACATTTTTTTGCTGATCAAATGTCGCGTGCAGAGCGCGGGACAGCAACGATCAGCGGTTCACCAGCCATCCCTACGTCGAGCCACGAAATTTGGACATCTACCGATTTCTGATCAGTACCGCGATGAATCGCACACGCCACCACCGCACGACACACGACACCGCACGGTGTGCCGCTCACTGTGTATGTTCTTTGCTGTGCGGTGGTGTTGCGCAGAGGTGATGGTGATGGACCCCAAGGCCTACAATCGGTTGCAGAGGATGTGGGGCCTGCCCCGCACCAAACTGCGTCGCCAGATCGCTGCTGCCCGCGGCGATCAGGAGAACACGGCCACTAGGAAGAGCACCAAGCGAGTCCGGCCGCCGCCCGACAAGGGCAAGGAGCGACTCTCGTCCCTGGCCGACGTCGCCGCCGCCGCAGAGGAGCCACACGCCGAACACGCGCCTCATGTCGATAGCACGGACGGCGTGGGCGACGACGACGACAACTACGATGAGACGACGGGCGGCTGGTGGCAGCTGACGGACGCCGAGCGGGACATGCTGCCGATGGCGTTCCCGGAAGCCGAGATGGTTCGATTGGACCTTACCGACCAACCTGTTGTGGCGCCGCCTCCTCCTCGCCCAGTCATTCATGACCCTCCCACTTTTCTGCAGGACTGCCAAGTTCTGGTAAGCCGCTCTGTGCGCGCGTGTGCGTGTGTGAGTGTGTGTGTGCGGTGGTGCGTGTGCGTTCACGATCGATTGGTTGACGAATGGGAACAGGATCAGATATGGGACTGGACGCGCACAAACGTTGAGTTCGTGCGCGATGCAGCCGCCTGGAGCGCAATGGTGAGGAAGTATGCGAAGGACAAGTCTATTCCAAACCTTAACATCAATTTGAACTGGTAACGCAGCACACTTGGCCCACCACACACACGCGACACACACACTCACCACACACACACGCGCGCGACACACACACGACACGCGACACACAAGCACACACACACGACAAGCACACACACACGATACACACGACACACACAAGGGCCTGATGAGTCGTGTTAACACAGGGCGCGCTACAACGTGAAGAAGGACGAGAAGAGTATCCTGCCCAGGAGCTTTGTGTCAAAGAGCAAGCTCATGACCGAGCTGACGCACCTGGTCCACTTGACGATCAATCCCTGCGAGTGTCAGTTCTCCGCCACAGCTTTCCAGAATCTTACTCGATTCACCAATCTCAGGTACCATCAAGCCTTCTCAAATGGTTCTTCATTCTTCGTTTTTCTTTCTTCTTCGCTCTTCTTCGCCCTGGATCCACGCTCCAACAACATCATAGGTCGCTTGGAGTGGATGGCCTGGATTGTGTGAGTGATGAAGTCCTCGAGCCATTTACGGCACTGCAAAACCTGGTTCACTTGGTACGTACGACCTGACCTTGAATATCACAAGCACGGTCATCAGCTCACCTCACATTGCTTGTGGAATGCAGAGAGTGCGCCAGTGTCCAGGTGTCACCCTCCAGGGTCTCCAGAATTTCTCTTCAGGCCTCAAGAGCCTCGACCTGGGCCAAGGTCAGATCATTACACAGGACAACCTACCCACCCTCTTCCGCATCTTCCCCGGTACTACCACCTCAACACACCACACACACACACACACACACACACACACCATTAATTATCACGTGTTGGTTGCTTATTGTCCTGTTCTGGTGCAGGGCTCGTAGGGCTGACCCTTGACAGTTCTCCGAGAGTAACGGATGAGCTTGCCATGCGCCTCCCCTATGCCAGGGGCTCGTCTTCGTCATCTTCATTTTCTTCATCGGCAGCCCCGAGCTACTGCCCGCTCATTTCCCTCAGCCTCCAGGGCTGTGGTGAGCTGAGCCAGTTTGGTGTCAACACCATCTGCCCAGAGTACTTCCCCTTCCTTACCGCACTCTCGGTGGGCCACTGTGCTTCACTCCCCGCCGAGTTGGCTCTGCTGACCAGACTCTCCCGCCTGGACATCAGCGGAATCAGTACGCCCCACCCGTGTGCGTGCGATGCGTGCGTGAGTGCGTGCGGTGCATGAGTGTGTCGAATGTGGTGGATGTCTTGACCTTGTTCTTATTGTGGTTGGGGCAGTCAATCTACCGTCGGACATCAGTCACATTCTTGCCCGCCTCGAGGGGCTCACCTACTTGGGCGTGGCCAATACGGGCATGCTCTTTGATGTACACACCCTCACTCTCGCATACGTTTAGTCATGGGCATCTGTCAACGCTAAAGCGCAAGGGCATGCCGTCACGACAGGACTTGTGCACAGTGGGCAACACCCTGCGCAGGCTGACCGAGTTTGATGTGACCTCTTGCCATGCTGTCAAGGGACACGAGGGATTGCTCCAGCTGCGCCTCCCTCCCGGCTGTAAGCTCATCTTCTGAGAACACAAAATCTTTGTTGGCGTTTGATGGCCTCTATGGGTGGGGTCGGCGGTGGTTATTCACGACACGTCATCAGCTGTCGGCCCGCAGGGTGTCCTTGAGGGAGGCGAAGGAGGCGAAGATGGCGCCGATGGGGCCGTTGCCCTTACCGCCCTCCTTGGCCACAGCAGGGTGCGGGCTGTCGCTGCTGCTGCTGGGCTTTTCGAGCTTGGCCGAGTCGCCGCGGTACTTGGCCTTCTTCTTCTCGACCTCGCACTTGAGCGCCTTGTAGCACTTCTTGATCTGCTGGTCCTCGTTGTCCTTGAGCTTTTCCCACAGCTGCTCGCGGAGCCACTTGCGCCCGAGGGTCTGGGCCTCCTTCTTGCGCTGCTTGGCGGTCATGGCGAGCGAGCGTGTGTCCATGAGGTCGGACACGGTCATGTGCTTGAGGCCCTCGATCACCGAGTCGAAGCTCACCAGCTGCCGCATCTCCTCGCACGACAGCTTGGCGCGCTCCATGTCGTGGAAGCGCAGCAGCGGCATGTCCTTGCGCAGCGGCGACATAAGGATGGCTTCGTTGATGCGGTAGTGCTCGCGCAGGAAGGCCACGTAGGACTTGACCAGGTGGTCGCGGAAGCCCTGGCGCTTGCGCTTGAACATGCGCCCGTGGTTGTTCTCCCGCCAGAACTCGCGCGCCGGCCGCGCGGCCTCGTCGCCCTGCACGATGTGGCCCGCCCCGCTCAGGAAGAGCCGCGTCCCGCAGTGCACGTAGAGCCGGCGCGGCACGAACGGCACCAGGTCGTTGTTGTTCGTCAGCCGGAAGAACACCGCGCCCGCCGAGTGCGCCCGCAGCTCGTACGCGAACTGCTCGTTGCCCACCTTGGGCTGCCCGAACGTGTACACGCCTGACCCAAAAGCGAAAACAAACGCACAACGCACAACGCACTAGGCGGGTTAGAGACCAGCACTCAGCTGAGGCAACGACAGGAGAAGAGGTGGCCGTATGTACCCTTGATGAGAGGCTCCCGGCGCGACGCGGCAACCTGCGGTTCGTCGGAGGAGGAACTGCTGCTGCTACTGCTACTGCTCGTACTCGGGCTGGTACCCGTACAGGGCAGGGTTCTGGCGGGAGAGCACAAGAGAGTGAACTACCGCCACCCCTCGCGCCACGTGCCTGAAAAGAGATCGATCGAGGAAGGGGGGCGCACTTGAGGAGGAAGGGCGACGAGGGGAAGGTGAAGTAGGCCAGGCACATGTTGGCCAGCGCCCCGCCCAACGAGTGGCCCGTGATGTACCTATTGAAGCCCCAAACCCGATACAGGACGCGTGTGAGTGAGAAGAGCATGCATGCGCTAGCAACGGAGGCCGAAAGAGAAGACCGGTAGTAATGAAAGGAAGGAAGACGGGCAGCGTACAGCGGAAGGGACGGGTTGAACTCGAGGCCCTTGGCGATGAAGTCCACCACCTGCTCGAGTACCGAGGTGAGGGCTCGGTTGAACCCGTTGTGCACCTTGACCGCGGGCATATCGGGAAAGGGTTCCGTCTGCGAACAACACGCACACACCACACGCACCACACACAGCACGGCGCACACACAGCACACGCACAGACGGAAACAAATGGTGAGCTCGACCGACGGCTGGGGTGAAGACAGAAAAGAAGGCGTGCCTGCACCGTACCTCAGATATCTTGATGTTGGTTGACCAGTCCCTGCTGGACTCGGTGCCGCGAAAGCAGATCACGATGCAGTCCTTGCCATAGGCGCCGAACCCCTGCGTGTCCGTCTCGGCGTTGTGGAAGAACTCCATGCCCTCCCACTCTACACGCGCGGGTGAGCAACAAAGAAAAAGAAAGGAAGAGTAAAGAGAACAGGAGGAGGTGCGGTACCCCAGATGCGGGTGACGACGTGACGGATCTGGGCGGGGGAGCGATAGGCGAGGGCTGCTGCCGTGGCAAGCCAAAGGCAGTGGTTGGGGTTGTACGCCGTCTTGCCTGTAGAAAAGCAATTAGATGGGGATTAGAGATGAAGCCAGATTGAGGCGCAGGTACCGCGCAGGCCGCTGGTGTCGAACGGGGGCATGTCGTTCTTCGCGTACTTGACGCCGCACCATTCAACCGATTCCTCGCTCCAGCCCTCGTCTTCGCCATCCTCCCCACAGGGCTCAATCGTGCCCTCCTCGAGCACCTTGCCCGGCCCGCTCTTCTTGTCGGGATCATCATCTCCTTCGTGATCTTGCTGCTTGTCCTTGCCCTTCTCGATGGAGGATCTTCTGCGACTGGTGCTGCCCTTGTCCCCCCTTGGGCCATCGAGAGAATGGGAATCGCTACTCGTCTGTAGTGGGCTGTCCTCTCCATCCATGGACGGGGCGCGACCCAGGCAAGCGATGCTACTCATCCTCCACGTACTTGGCCGCCAGCTCTTCTTGGGCTTGGTAATGCTCGACATCGAGGCCGAAGATGACAGCCCTGCTGCACTATTGATGTTCGATGATGCGAGGGCGGCGCCATCGCTCGATGATCGCGCGTGGCCGCGGTTCCTGCTGCGCCGTTTCTCCTCCTTCTCCCTCTGCTTCTGCAGCTCCTTGTCGATCTTGCGTTGTTTCTTATCCTTCTTGTCCTCCCGCTTCTCCAGCTTGCGCTCTCGCCTGCTCTTCTTCACCTTCGGCTCCGGGCTCTTCTCCTTACCACCCTTCTTCTTGGCGCTCTCCGTCTTCTTCTGATCCTTCGTTCGGCCGCTACACGCGAACGCCGTCTGGTTGCGTGTCTCGCCCTGGAGCTGGCATGCCGCGAGTAGCACTCGCATGTCCTCCTCCTCTTCCTCGGCCTCGCGTAGCGCCCTCTTCTCGGCGTCCTCCTCGCGCCCCCGGTTGTTCGTCTTCTTCTCCATCTTCTTCCCCTCCTTCTCCTCCCGCTTCCGCTCTCGCTTCTCCCGCCTCTCCCACTTTAACTGCTTCTTCCTCTCCCGCCTCTCCTCGCCTTTCCTCACCGCAACTGCTTCCGCGTCCTCCTCATCTTCTACTTCGTTCTGCTGCGCTCGTGCTTTGTTCGTTTCTTCTCCTATCTCTGGCTGGTCTGTCTCTTCGTCATCGTCCTGGGGCCATGTCTCCAGCACGTTGCGTGTGCTCGTCATCGTGGTCGTAGTCGTGGTGCTGCTGCTGTTTTCCTCGGTATCGTCGTGCAGAGAGGACGAAGAGGTGACGATGCACGACGAGCGTTTGAGGTGGGGCAGGTAGAAGGCCGGCGTGGCAGGGGCGCTGGCGACTGCAGTGGGCTCCTCCCTCGGCCCAGGCAGCTCGTAGGAATGCGAGCCCGGAAGGGGCGGAGGCGAGGCGGCGGCAGGCTGGAGGGCATTGGTGACGGGCAGCAGGGCCGGCGTCGAGGTGGAGAACTTGCGCCGTTTGAGGCCCAATGACCACAGGAGGTGCATGTGAAGTGGGACGTCGGGACTTGTTAGTCGGGTTGTGTTGTTGTGAGCCCCTCTCCCCTGACGGTGTGGTTGGGTTCTGCCGATGGCTTGAAAAGGCTGCGGTTCAGGCGGAAGGCAGGAGAACGTGTGTTGATGGGGCGGACTGATGGGGTATGGCTAAAACACTCACCTGCCCTCTGGACTGGCGCCCCAATCTGATCGCACAGGACCAGCCCACCGACCCAATTACCGACGAATCCCTAACTTTATTTTGGCTGAGGAGTCGGCGGAAAACACGTCATTCGGTTAACCTGGGCCGGAAATTGGAAAACCGATTTTGTTTGTGCCCAATCACATGCGAGTTGGTTACAGGGGATCACAAGCTCACAGGGGGTCATCTATGGGTGCAGCTCGTACTACTCGTTACGAGGCCGAGGGCTGCGGTGGTGAAGAGGCGGCAGAGGAGCCCTTCCTCTGCGCGGCGACGGCCTTGTAGTCCACCCGCCGCATGCGTGCCCACGACCGCAGGCCTTCACCACCGCCATCGCCGCCGCTGCCGCCGCTCTTCCCGTTCTCGCCCGCCGCCACGTCGTCGGCGCCATCGGCATGGCCGTTGGCAGTCGTGCCGGCGCCCTCGTCGCGGAGAGCAGTTTGATACGCGGAGAAGGCCGACCTGGGCAGGGTGCGGGAGGAGTAGGAGCCGCCGGATGACGATGGCGACGATGGCGACGACGACGACAATGGTGATGATGGCGATGAGAATGAGGCCGGCGGCGATGCGCGGGTCTTAGCCGACATCTTCTCGAAGCGCTCCGACATCTGCTTGGCGATGCCGCGCGGCGGCGACGCGGCCGCCTCGCCGTCCAACGCCACCCGACGCGAGGACATGGGCGAGTGCGGGCGCGCGTGGATGTCGATGGCGCCCACGTAGCCCTCGACGTCGCTCCCAGCCGCCGCGTGTGGCGCCCGTCGCTTCTGCTGCTGTGACGGCTCACTACTGTCGACCGTGTCGTCGCCGCCGTTGACATCCATCGACGCGCGCTCCTCGCTCTGCTGCTGCTGCTGTGGCTTTTGCTGCTGCTGCTGCTGCTGCTGGGCAGTGCGGAGGCTCTGCAGTTCGTCGGTCATGCGCCGGTCGGACTCGCGGCGCTGGGCGCGGAGGCGCTGGATCTCGTCGTCGCGTCGGCGCGCCTCGAGGGCGGCGAGCTTGAGCTTGCGCGACTCGTCCTCCCGCTCGCGGCGCAGCTGCTCGACTAGGCCCATCAGCGCGTCGCGCTCGGTCCGCAGGTCCTCGCGCCTGCGCTTGACCTCGCTTAGCTCCTCCTCGAGCTTGTCGATGTCCTCCTCCGATTCGACCAGCAGCACCTTCATCGCTTTCTCGCGCTCCTGCATCTCCCGCACCTGCTCGCGCAGCCGCTGCTCCTCCTCGCTGCGCTCACCCTCCGCCTTCTCATCGGCGCCGGCCTCGGTCTCGCCCCTTGCCTGCTCGTCGTGCGCGCGCTGCAGGCGCTCGGTGTCGGCGCGGGCCGAGCGCAGGCGCTCTTCGAGCCGGCGCCGCCGGTCGTCGGCGCGCTCGCTCTCGGCCTGGTGCTCGTCGCACTTGGCACGCCAGCGGTCGGCGTCGACGCGTTCGACGGCCACCTTGCGGGCCAGCTCCTCCTCCCGCTCCGCGGCCGCCCGCTGCTGCTCCTTCTCCCGCGCCTCGCTCGCACTTGCGCGCCCGACCGCCGCCGCGAGCTGGGCCTCCTTCTGCTTGAGCTCGGCCCGCAGCTCGTTCACCTCGGCCACCGCCCGCTCGTCGCCGTCGTCTTTCGCCTTCTTCGCGTCGTTGAGCTGCAGCTCGAGGCTCTCCGTTCGTGACCGCAGTTCGTTGGACTCGACCTCTCGCCGCTTCAGCTCGTCTCTCAATTGTTGGCATTCCTCGGCATGCCCGCGCGCCAGCGCATTCCGCTCCCTTTCGTGCCCCTGGGCCTGCAGCTCGGCGCGCTCGTTCGCGGCTCGGGCATCGGTCTCGAGCCGGTGGTGCTCCTTGCGGATTAGGGCCAGGTCCGCCCTAGCGCGCTCGAGTTCGCAGCACGCCGCCTCGTTTTCGCCCCGCAGTCGCACCAGCTCTTCGCCCTCGCGCTCCAGCTGGCTTGCCCTGCCGTCGCACAGGCTCTGCAGCTCCTGGTTGTGCTTCTGGGCTTCGCCCAATTCACCCGCATTTCGCTCCAGTTCGCCCCGCAGGCGCTTCGCCTCTTCCTCCGCCGCGCTCGCTCTCTCTGCGAGTCGCCTCGCCTCGCTCGCGGCGGTCTCGCTCTCGTGCGCGAGCCGCTGCCTCTCCATTTCGCTTTCGCCCCGCTCATGTTGGGCGCGTTCGTCGGCCGCCCGGGTCCGCTCCTCCAGTCGCTCCATCTCTTGGCGGAGCCGCGCCTGGTCGGCCGTGGCAGCGGCCAGCTGCTGGGCCAGCCCGTCGTTCTCGCCCCGCAGTCGCTCCGCCTCGCCCTGCATCGCCTCGCGCTCTCGCCGCAGCCGCTCCTCCACCTCCTCGGCGTGCGCACGCCCCAGGCCAACCATGCCGGCCTGCTGGGCCTGCAGCTCCGCGAGCTCGGCTTCTTTCCCCTTCAGCCGGTCGAGCGCACCGTCGCGCTCGGCCCGCAGGCCCTCCGCCTGCTTCTCCAGCCGCTCGGCCTCTCCAGCGAGCCTCTTGCGCTCGCTCTCTAGCTCCGCGCGCCGGGCGTCGTGCTCCCGCCGCTGCGTCTCAGCGCGCTCATGGGCTGCCTCGGTGGCGGCCTCGAGCCGGTCCTTCTCCTCGCGAAGGCGGCCGTGATCGGTCCTGAGCGCTTCGAACTCGGCGAGCAGCGTCTGCCGGGATTCGATCGCGCGTCGCAGCTCGGCCGTCTCCTGCTCCGCACGCTCGTGCCGGGCCTGCTCCCGCGCCTCGGCCTCCAGCGTGGCCCGCGCCATCTCCTCCCGGAGCTGGTCCAGCTCTTCGGTGCGGGCTTCAAGCCAGCGTCTGGCCTCGTCGGCACTCAGTTCGGCGCGCTCGACGCGTTGCGCGAACTCGCTCAGCTGCGACTCCAGTTCCAGGACCCTCCGGCTGCGCTCCGCGCCTTCCTGGCATTCCCGGGAGGCCAACAGCTGCTCCAGATTCCTGGTCGCAGCTTCGGCCGAATCCGCCCGCAGCCTGTGGGCCGCCGCCTCCTGCGCCGCACCCTCCGCCTGCCTGCGCGCCTCTTCGAGCCTCTCCTCCAATCGGCTAATCGCGTCGGCCGATTCGCTCAATTGGCTCCGGAGCTCCTCCTTGGTCGCCTCCACGCGCGCCCGCTCCTCTGCCAGCGCCCTGGCCAGGCCGTCGACCTGCTCCCCGGCCCGCCGGAGCTCCGCCTCTTGCTCGTCGCGCGCTGCCGTCGCCCGGCCCAGCTCGCCCTCCGCAGCCACGAACCTGGCCTCCGCTTCACCGAACGCCCGTCGGTCGGCCTCCGCCCGGGCCTCGAGCTCCTCGAGCCGCCCGCGCAGGCCGGCCAGCGCGGCCTCGGCGGCGTCGGCACGCGCGCACTCGCTCTCGAGGCGGGCCTCCCTCTCGCGGTGCTGGCGCTCGCTGTCGGCCCGCTCCCGGTCGCGCTCGGCCTCGGCGCCCTTCTTCTCGTCAAGCAGGCGCAGGATGACCACCTCCTTCTCGCCCAGGGTGCGGCCGAGGTCGGCGCTCGAGCGGGCCACGGTGGCCAGCGAGGCGGCCACCTCGGGCAGGCTGCTGGTGGCGGCCTGCAGCTCCCGCTCGGTGACCTGCCGCTTGCGCTCACTGTCCTCGAGCTGCGCGCGGGCGGCGGCCAACTGCTCGCGCAGCGCATCGGCGCTCCGGGCCAGCTCGTCGGCGCGCGCCGTCGCGCGGTCATGCTGGTCGCGAAGCGCGCGCAGCTCGTGTCGCACGTCGTCCAGCTGCTTCTCCTTCTTGTTGACGCGCCGCTGCACGCCTTCGACGAGTGCCTCGGCCTCGCGGCGTCGCTGGTGGCCGAGCTCCTCGGCGGCGGCCCGCTCGGCCGCCAGGCGCTCCACTTCGCGCCCGTGCTCCGCCGCGAGCTGGGCGGCTGCGAGCTCGCCGCCGGCCTTCATGGCCTGGACGGCCTGCTCCTTGTCGGCGAGCTCGCGTCGCAGCTCGTCGAGCTCCTTCTTGAGCTGCTCGATGGTGGCCTCGAGCTGGGCCACCTGCCGCTGCTCGTCTTCGCTCTCCGACGAGCTGCTGGTGAGCTCCTCGGCCAGGCCGTCGTTGTCCTGCTCCTGGTCAAAGGCGGCCCGGCGACCGCCAGCAGTGGCGGCGGCGGCGCCGGGCCGTAGGAACTGCTTGAGGTCGGTGATGGTCTGATCCTTCTCGATGGACACGTGCACGGCCGACGTGTTGCGCCTCCGCCCAAGGGACCTAAAGTCCAATCGCTTAACCCGTGCCTTGCCACGCGGCGATTCGTCCATTTTCCCTTCACTATATATACGCATATGTGCATGTACACACAGCCATATATGGACATATGAATATGATATACATATAGAGAGAGAGAGACGGAGAGATGTCGTACGATGGAGAGAGGGACTCGAAGGGCACGTTGTCGTGGTGGTTCTTGAAGTAGGTGATGTAGGCCACGAGGCTGCGCTCGTCGATGAGGTTCTGGGCGGCCTTGGCCTTCTCCAGGAAGAAGTCGCCCTCGTCGAGCAGCCGCGGGATCTTGAGCTTGTCCGCCGCCGCCGCAAACGCCCGCTGCAGGTTCTCCTCCCCGTCCGTGCACTGCTCACACGGCGATGCATTGCGTCAGCGCCGGACGAAGACGAAGAGAAGACGAAGAGAAGAAGAAGAAACGCACGTTCATGACTTCCTGCATGTTGATCGGGCTATCGGTCCCGCATAGCTTGTCCACGAGAAAGCACATGGCCTTCCCGTCCTGCCACCTGCAGATGTAAGTGCACGTGTATCGATGAGACACCAGCGCAGAAGCCAAGCAGGCCAGTGCTGGAAGGCGATGTGGGGCGTACGTCTCGTAGGCGAGGTCCTTCACGTTGAGCTCCTTAGGCACCAGGCCCCGGATCCACACGAGAAGGCCCCACTCAAATGACAGCTTGGTCCTGGTACAATCCACCCGCCGCCCCGACCACCACGCCAGTTCCGATTGTTAGACGATTAAGGCATTCAAAGAATGCAGCCGAGCGCCAGAGAGGGGAGACCCAGGCCTGGTACCTCTGCTGCGGGCTCATGGGCGCCGTGCCTTCGCCCAACGAAGTACTGCGCGTACGCCCCTCCCTACGAGACACGAGTTAGATGGTTAGCCAACCACAGGGAATGTGTGTGTGTGAGAGAGAGAGAGAGAGAGAGAGACGAGAAAGGACGTGAATGGTGGCGGTGGGCACCTGGGAGAGGCGAGAGCGGCGAGCTCTTCGGCCGATGGGCGCCATCGGCAGTGGTAGTGGAGCATCAGCTGCCACACGACCTCGGCCAACGCCGCCGGCTTGCCCTCCACCACATCTACCAGACATGTCGACACCACCAGCAACAGCCGCAGCAGCCATCAGCGAAGCCCGTGAGCGTCGTTGCTTGGAAGAAGGGAGGGAGGTACCGGCCGCCTTGTAGCCGCGACAACGAATCCCGTCGGCCTCCATGGCCGCCATGGCCGCGTTCACGTTGGCCAGCTTGTCCGCCCTGTCAGCCGGCCCACAAACCCCCCGAGATCAGATCATCCTGATTAGCCACCGTTGCATGGAAAGGGAAGAGCGGAGAGGCGAGAGAGAGAGAGGGTAAACGTGCAGCGTGAGGGCCGACGCGGGAGCGTCACGAAAGGTGAGCGGGCGGCGGGAGAGGCGTTGAACGAGGCGACACAGGCCCGCGCCGTCGGCGAGGGTCGCCAAAGCCTGGTTTTGGTTCGGGTTCTCCTCCCCTGCCGGCGCTGGTGCTACCGCCGCCGCCGCTGCGCCGTCATCGCCTCGGAGGAGCATCAGGGTCACCCAGCGCCCCAGCGTCTGCGCGGAACATGGCGTCGACACACAAAGAGAGAGAGAGCGCGCGCGCGCCGGCGTCAGAAGAAACCACTACACATAGGAAAAGAGGAAAGGCCAATAATATAACAATGACGAGGGTGATGCGGCTAAGGAGGAAGGACATGAGGAGGAGGAGAAACCTTGTGCTGAGCAGGAGGAGGAGCGAGTCGGCCATCCTCCCGTGCGGTGGAGACGATGGCAGCAAGGCTCGTCCACATCCTCGCGAAAATGGGGCTTCAGGAGATTTAATCCGCGCTACACGAATTGTCACTCGCACGCCCCCTCCTACTAAGCTCACTTCTACCACAAGCCAGGAGTGTAGTGTGTTGATGCTCCTCGTGGCTGCGCTATTTGGTTGCTTGGTCGCCGCCAACGCAACTGCCCCTCCGCCAAGCCTGATCAAGGAAAAGAAAAGAAAATACATGAATAACTTGAATAGTGTCTTCATTTTATTTGTTTATTTTTTTTCTGTTCTCCATCACATTCAGGCAAGATGACAGACGACCTGGTGTTGGACTCGCGAATCCGGGACTGGGTGTTGCTGCCCATCGCGCTGGTGATGTTCCTCATCGCCATTCTGCGCAACAACATCTCCCTTCTCCTTCATTCTGAGCGCAAGCCTGAGCTCCAGAAGGTCCAAGAACGGTACGTGGCCACTTAGATTGTTTCTCTGCTGCCATCGTCTCCGGAAAGCTACAATCCGGACTGCAACCCTCAACATCGAAAATTAAAAATGCTAGCACGGAAACCAAATGCAAATAATTTGTTGTTCGCTTGGCCAGGCAAACGCTGATCCGAGCTTCACGGATGCGACTCAATGGCCACAAGTTGCCGCTGGCCTCGTTCCTGCAGCGCAAGGCGTTCTTTAACGATGCGAGGGTACTTACTGCAGCCAAGTCTCGTTTCTGGTGTGCCGCGCTGCTTGCTACAACTTTCCGCTTACTTGCTACGTGGTTTTGTTCCGACCGTGCACCATGGGTGTGGCGCTGCAGGAGGGCGTGCTGGTCATGGAGGAGGAGGACAGCAGCGCCAGCAACCCGCTGGCCAACCCCATGATGGACCCCATGAACATGGTGTACGTGTTCCACCGCCGCGTAGGATTAATTTGTTATGACCGGTCGTGTTGTTGTCGAGTTTGCTCGCGAGCGCCAGCTGTGCTCACACCACTCATCCCCTTCTTCAACGCGTATATGCGCTGCGCAGGGACATGATGAAGAAGAACGTCACCATGCTCGTACCGCAGTTGCTCATCGTCGGTTGGGTCCAGTATTTCTTCTCCGGCTTCGTGCTTGGTACCTCTCGACCATCTTCCCCCCCCCAATCTCCATGGGAGTTCCATCGCTAATCTCGTTCTTTCTCGTTCGTTCGTTCTTTGGTTGTTCGCGTCGTGGCCATCGCCACCACCCGCAGTGAAGATTCCGTTCCCGCTCACGCTGCCCTTCCGAGGCATGCTGCAGCGGGGCATTGAGCTGGCGGGCCTCGAGGTGACCTACGTGAGCTCCCTCTCGTGGTACTTCCTCAACCTGTTCGGTCTTCGTGGCATCAACTCCCTCGTCTTGGGCGAGGCTAACGGTACGCTGCCATGCCAACCTTGGGTTGCCCAAACCAACTTTGTGTGCGCACCCCCGCGGAATGACTGACGTGCGCTGCGGGCACGTGCTGTTGTGGAATACAGCGGCGGACGACACGAAGCTGATGCAGCAGCAGATGATGATGGGCGGCGGCGGCCCGATCGACACCAAGAAGCTCTACAAGGCCGAGCGGGAGAACATCGACCTTGTCGAGCACAAGTGGGCCGTAGAGGACGCCGAGAAGAGACTGCTCAACCAGAAGAGCAGCAGCAGCAGCAGCAAGGCCTCTGCTTCCCGAGAGTAAGGTACAGATGCTTGCCTTGGCGTGAACGGCAACCTACCCCAAAGCACCGTTGCTGCAAATAAATAAATGCAATCACTAGATTGATCTGCTGAGCTTGTTTGGTGGTGAATGGAATGAAGTGCATGACGAAGTCAAGTGTACCATTACTTACAATGGTTGGGTTGGTTGGTTGGGATCAAACGACGGTGGCGGAAAGCGAGGCATCGGCGACGACGCGGAACTCGAAGGGCCTGTTGCCGTAGAGGAGCTGCTGGTCGGTGTCCCACGAGAAGAGTGCGGCACCGGCCGTGCGTCCGAAGAGGTTGAGCTCGATCACCATCACCCGGTCCTCACATACCACAAAGTCGCACACGCAGTCCTCCACGGGCAGCAGTTCAGCCACCGTTGTCTGCAACGCACGACACACACACACACACCACGACACGCCAAGAAGAAGAAGGTCAGAGAACGCCACGCAGGAGAAAAAGCGGCTGTGCTGCCGCTGTGTTCGTTCTCATCCCTCCCAGTTCACTTGAACGCACCTCGAAGAAGGAGAGGACGCGTGTCTTGACGTCGGCCCATTGGGCAGGCGACACCCAGGGAAAGTAGCACATCGAGAAGTACTGCGAGAGGGCGGTCAACCGCCGATTCCGCACGAACCCGCGCAGTTCGAACACGTTGGGAATGTCTGCTCTCACGCCCGCGCGCACACACATACACACGCACCAAAACAGAAAAGTTGTTTGCAGAGTAAGTAGTTGGTGTTAGGTGTTATCTGGTGCAAAAGGAAAAGAGAAGAACGCAGCCATTGATTGGGGGCGAGGCACGCACCCAACCACTCGCGTACCACCAGCTTGATGGCGAAGTCGTCAGAGGGGGTGTCCAGAGCCTCCTTGAGGTCGACCCATATGCGCTTGCTGGTCTTGAGCATGTCCACCGCCTCCGCCCCGCTCGTCACGCTCAGGCAGAGCGCCCCGCACCGCTGCATGATCGCCTGCTCCACGCTCTCCGGCATCGGATCTGATGGTCATTCCGCCCCCGCCCCCGCCCCGCGCACGGCCGTGGTAAGCGATGCTACCGCGTGCGTGTGTGCGTGTGCGGTGGTGCGTGTGCGTGTGCGTGTGCGGTGGTGCGTGTGCGTGTGCGTGTGCGTGTGCGTGTGCGGTGAACGTGTTCTTCCTCTGCGTACCGGGAAGATTGTAGAGGGCGGTCCACTCCTCGGTCACCTGGCGCAGCGTGAGCTCGAACTTGGGGAGGTGGAACACCACGTCCTTGGGGCTCCGGGTGGAGATCTTGACAAAGGCGCGGCCCCCGAACTCGGGTGACTGGATGACGCTCTGCAGCTTGTCCGCCAGCTCCTCTGCGAGCCGCCGCTTTCACGAGTGAGTGGCGTGCGGACGCGCAGTAAGACGCCGCCAACGGCGCGCCAGAGAGAGAGAGGTGTCAGGTGGGGCGCATACCGAGCACGCGCGAGTGCTCGTCCAGCAGTTGGGTGCCCAGGTGGAGAGCCTGGTAGTGGTGGACCAGCGCCTCCGCCTCGCGCAGCCTCATCGGGAAAGTCTAGGCAGCCCCGCGGCGACACGTTAGACGGGTGAATCTTTGTGCCGCACCACGACGCACACAACACACACACACACAGAGAGAGAGAGAGAGATTGCGCCCAGGAGAGAGCCCGTACGAGCGTGCGGAAGGTGTGGGAGCCCAGCGCGGGAGCCCACCGGTCCACGGAGTAGGCGGCGTCGTAGATCGCCAGCGCCGTGGTCTTGGTCTGCAGATGCGTGGGCCGCTCCGCCAGACTTTTGTTTGGCACAGCCGCACGCACGCGCGCGCACGCGCAATCAGCTAATGGCAGTTAACACGAGCCAACGTCGCCGCACGGATTTGTGGTCTGCGCTGCGCGGGCAGGGCAGGGCGGTACCAGCTGGCGCGAGAGGATGGGGAGCGCGGGTAGGGCACGCGTGCGAGCATGACGAGCAGCTCCACGGCCCGGATGCGGGTTTCGTCGGAGAAGGAGAAGGCCAGCGCGAGCAGGCAGTGGAGGAGGCCGCAGTCGATCGCGGCCTCGTCGCGCTCGTCGCGCGACGCTTCCCGCCCGGTATTGGCGGGCGACCATGGCAGGGCGGTCAGGAGCAGCCGCTTGAAGTGCGGCGGGTGGACGGCGGCGGAGTCGACGACGGAGTGCGGCTCCTTGGCCACGAAGCCGGCAAGGGCGGCGAGGAACGCCCACACCAGCGACAGCGCGTGCGGCGAGGCTTCCCCGTGCAACCGCTCCATGTCCGCGAACAGCGCGCGGCGCACCTCTGTGTGCGCACACGCATCATTGCACCGCGCCAACCCAACACACGCGACACGGGAGTGAGAGTGAGCCAGGCCGGTGATGGGTTGACTGAAGAAAGGGAAAAATACCGTGAAGTGGAGAAGACGAAGATGATGATGATGGCGATGACGCCGAGGAGAAGAAGGTGGCCGCCCGGAGCAGAGGCTCGGCGGCGAGAAAGGCCTCCACGGTGCGTGGCAAGGCCGATGGTTCGACTGCCCCCAGGCGAAGCTCGAGCGCTGCCCGATCCTCTTCCTGTTCCTCCTCCTCCTTCAGGTCGTCTCTGCTACCACTCTCGTCGGCCTCGTCGGCCATACTCACGAACGCGAAGAGATCGTCCTCGTCGCCCGCCTGCACGTGGGCCTGGGCCGTGCCGCTGTGTTCGACACACGACACACGACCGCACACACACGACACACACGACACAATGAGGTTCGCAAGTGGTTCCCAAACCGCCTCAGGAAACCCTTGCGCTTCGCAGACGGACCTAGCGGCGCATTGTTGGCGCTCCAGGGCGAAGAGCTGGCGCCCCGTCGGCGCCAGTGCCCCGGCATTGTGGTGCAGCACTTCGCCAGCCACGCGAGCGTCCACTCCGCCAAACACACTCCCGAGCAGCTCTGCCCCCCCACCACCACAAAATATGGTGTGGCCCCGGCAACGTGAGTGATGGAGGCCTGAAACCACGTTGCTCCTGGCCGAGGTACCTGCTATGAGGTGCTGGGCAAACCCATTGTCCCGCCACAAACATTGCTCGCCACCCTCCACGCCTTTTGCTGCCACGTCCATGCCCAAGCAACGACGCGGGGTCAACAGGAGGAATCACACAAATAAAAGCTAAAAGCAGAAAAACCAGAAAAGAAATAGGCCACACCGCCTCCGCCGTGGATAGGCGAAATGGGGTAGGGAAAAGGCCAAACCTCTCTTTATGTTGGGGTACGCCCATAGCAACCAACCCAGTGGCGCGGTGTCGCAAACTTACGTAGGTCATCTTGGCGCGCCAGGATAAATCTCTCCTTGTAGATGACACCTTGGGGCACGGTTGCCGAGGAGGCACGAAACTGGGTGGCCAACACAACTTGGCCTCGCACTCAGCTTGAGGTTAGACCACCACCTCCTTCTTGAACCCACCCCCAACACCCCCTTCAGCCATGGACTCCAAGAAGCAACTCAACACGCAGCTGGTCGAAGCCGCCGGTGCGTAATCCATTCTTTTTAGAGACAACCGCCTCGTTCTTGAACGTTGCCGAGAGTGGATTTTTCAACGTAGATTCTCATTTGCATTTCTCATTTGCTGCCTGCAGAGAAGAGCGATTTGGCCAGCGTCGAAGCTGCTCTCGCCGCTGGAGCCGATGTGAATGCCAAGGAAGACATTGAGGGCTACACCGCTCTTCACCATGTACGACCACCTCCTCGAATCTTCTTCCATTTTTATTCATTTCTTGAATTTCTCTCGGCTCAACGATGCTGCGTGTGCGATTCTTCAGGCCGCCAGCAAGAACGACATCGGCCTCGCGCAGTTTTTGGTCAAGAACAACGCCAACGTCGAGGCGCAATCAAACACCGGTACGTACGCCTCGGCTTGTTGACCGCGCAGCTCGTGCCCAACATCAAACAATCAACAAAACCTGACGCACCTCTCTGCATTGCAACGCTGTTGCAGGTCGCCACGCAATTCACCTGGCAGTGAGGGACGGAGCCGAAGACGTCATCAAGTTCCTGATTGGTACCACCAGCCACCGCCACCACGCCTGCGACGATGATGATGCGGTGGGCATATAGATAGATAGAGCTGCACCCCACGTGTGCTCTATGACTCACCCGTAAGTGCGTGTGTGTACATGCGTGCCGCGCGTGCAGAGGAGGCCCACGCCAACGTGTTGGCCCAGACGGACCTCAACGAGAACCTGCTCCACAAGGCCGCCTTCTCGGGCAAGGCCAACATTCTCGAGTACCTCATCCAGAAGGGCTGCACGGGCGCCAACGACGCCGACGGGCTCGGCAACACCCCGCTGGCCGTGGCCGCACAGGGTACACCCCCCCACCACCATTGACTCTGGTGGTCCGCCTTATGTGGACAGCGTCGTCTCTCTCTCTCTCTCTCTCGCTTAGGCCTTTGGGGGGGGGGGAGCGGTCTATCTCATTTTGTGTTTGCGGTGCGCACGCAGAGGGCCACATTGAGTGCATCGAGCTGCTGCTGAAGCACGGAGCTTCCCCCGGCGGCAAGGCGGAGGACAACCAGACGCCCCTCCACATCTCTGCGCTGTGGGGCCACACCGACGCCATCAACCTGCTGCTCGCCGCCAAGGCCGACCCCAACGCTCAGAACGCCAGAGGCAACACTCCTCTCCACGAGGCGGCCAAGAAGAACCACCTCGGCCCGGTGAAGGCGCTGGTCGCCGGCGGCGCCGATCCCGACATCAAGAACAGCGAGGGCCAGACGCCCGCCGACCTCGCCTCGAAAAGCTTGATCAAGAAGCAGCTGGTCAAGAAGTAAGTGAGAGCACGAGCGTGCGAGCCCACCACTTGTAGAGTAAAACTGGTAGTCGTTTCCATTGTGCTGGCACCCAACACCCCGATGCCTGGTGCGCCTCGAGAAACGTCGCCGTTCTAGCAGACACCCCTTTGCGTCTTGTGCCGGCGGAAAGGTACGCGAAAGAGAAAGGCAAGGTTGTGGGGCAGAAAATTATGGGAAGGAGGTTTTCCCTCTGATTTTTCTTTTCTAGATCACGAGCGTGCGATTTTTTCGTTGTTCTTCGATCCTCAGCCGCATTCGGCATCAACACCGGCCCTTCGTCATCATCGGCGCTGAACAAACAAAATGGGAGATGGCGGGGGTAAGGAGGAGTATTCCAAATTCGGGCAGTACGAGTACCGCTCCAATGCCAATCTCGTGCTCACTGCCGAGAATCGGCAACGAGTGAGCGAGCCCACCGGCGAGCCGGAAACGCTCTCGGGGCGCATCAGGCCCAACACATTCGGCGATCGCGCGCGGCCAGACAAGGTGCCCGGCGAGCTGCGCAAGCGGCTCGAGAAGATTCACAGCAAGCGCAAGCGCAGCGACAAGGATTCGACGGCCAGGCGGCCCAAGCAGGGCAAGGAGGACGTGCTGAGCGTGCTCGACATCTACGAGGGCTACCGCCCTAAGACCCGCGAGACACAGGCGGCCTACGAGCGGCTGCTCACCATCACGCAGCAGCTGCTGGGCGATCAGCCTGCCGATGTGCTGCGCGATGCCGCGAATGAGGTGCTCGCGGTGCTCAAGGACGAGACGGTACAGGGCATGGACAAGAAGAAGCGAGTGGAGGAGGTGCTGAATGTGATGAGCAACGAGAAATTTACGACCCTCGTCGACATTGGGAAGCACATCAACGATTTCACGGAGGAGGGGGAGGCCGCGCTGGAGAAGGACGAGCTCGATGAGAAGCATGGAGTACCGGTGGTCTTCGACGAGAGCGATTCCGACAGCGACGAGTTCGAGGACATCCTGCGCGACGACGAGGAGAGCGAGGACGAGGACGAAGGGGGCGAGGAGGCCCACATGGTCGAGACGCTCGAGGCCAAGGAGGGCGAGGGCTCCGACGAGGAGGGGGCCGTCGGCGCCGAGGGGGCCGAGGGGGGCGCCTCCGAGCTCGACCTCGATCCGCGGAAGATCGACGCCTTCTGGCTGCAGCGCGAGCTGGGCAAGTACTTCCGCGATGCGCACAGCTCGCAGGAGATGGCCGAGCAGGTGATGCAGATTTTGGGCGACAAGGAGGCCGACCCGCGCGAGTGCGAGAACCGGCTCGTGCTGCTGCTCGAGTACGACAAGTTTGATCTCATCAAGCTGCTGCTCCGCAATCGCTGGAAGATCGTCTACGCCATCCGCCTCGCCCTCGCCGCGGCCGACGACGCCGAGCGCGCCCAGATCGAGGAGGAGATGCGCGGGTCGCGCGCCCTGTCGGGCATCCTCGACGCCCTCACGGCGCGCACGTCGGCCTCGACGGCCGAGAAGAGCCGCGACGTCGAGCGCTCGATCCGCAAGGAGGCCCGCGCCCTGCTCGCCGGCGAGCGGCGCAAGAAGGGCGGCGGCGCGGGTGAGGAGGCGGCCTACGAGGGCGAGGGGCGGGCGCCCAAGCAGGTGCTCGACCTGGATTCGCTGAGCTTCGCGCAGGGCGGGCACCTGATGGCCAACCGGCAGTGCAAGCTGCCGCCGGGCTCGTTCCGGTCGCAGAAGAAGGGCTTCGAGGAGGTGTCGGTGCCGGCGCTCAAGCCGCCGCAGGTCAACGCGTCGGACCTGATCCCCATCAGCGCGCTCGACGACTGGGCGCAGGAGTGCTTCAAGAAGGACCCCGACATGAAGACGCTCAACCCGGTGCAGAGCCGCGTGTTCGAGGCCGCGTTCAAGTCGCACGAGAACATGCTCGTGTGCGCGCCGACGGGCGCCGGCAAGACGGTGGTGGCGCTGCTCACGATGCTGCACGAGATCGGGCTCAACCGGCGGGACGGGGAGCTCGACCTGGACAACTTCAAGATCGTCTACATCGCGCCGATGAAGTCGCTCGTGGCCGAGGTGGTGATCGACTTCACGCAGCGGCTCGAGGTCTACGGCATCAAGGTGCGCGAGCTGTCCGGCGACGTCAACCTCACCAAGGCGCAGATCAACGAGACGCAGGTGATCGTGACGACACCCGAGAAGTGGGACATCATCACGCGCAAGAGCGGCGACCGGACCTACACGCAGCTGGTGCGGCTCATCATCATCGACGAGATCCACCTCCTGCACGACGAGCGCGGCCCGGTGCTCGAGTCGATCGTGGCGCGCACCATCCGGCAGGTGGAGCAGACGCAGGAGATGATCCGGCTGGTGGGCCTCTCGGCCACGCTGCCCAACTACAAGGACGTGGCGGTGTTCCTGCGCGTGGACCTCGACCGCGGCCTGTTCACCTTTGACAACTCGTACCGGCCGGTGCCGCTCGAGCAGACCTACATCGGCATCACGGAGCGCAAGGCGCTCAAGCGCTTCCAGCTGATGAACGAGATCACCTACGAGAAGGTGATGAAGCAGGCCGGCGAGCACCAGGTGCTCGTGTTTGTGCACTCGCGCAAGGAGACCGGCAAGACGGCGCGCGCCATCCGCGACATGGCGCTGGCCAACGACACCATCGGGCGGTTCCTCGAGGAGCGCCAGGCCTCGCGCGAGATCCTGCAGAGCGAGGCCGAGGAGTCGACCAAGAACAAGGAGCTGCAGGACCTCCTGCCCTACGGCTTCGCCATCCACCACGCCGGCATGACCCGCTCCGACCGCACCCTCGTCGAGGACCTCTTCGTCGACGGCCACATCCAGGTACTCGTCTCCACGGCCACCCTGGCCTGGGGCGTCAACCTGCCGGCGCGCACGGTCATCATCAAGGGCACCCAGATCTACAACCCGGAGAAGGGCCGCTGGGTGGAGCTGTCGCCGCTCGACGTCATGCAGATGATCGGCCGCGCCGGCCGGCCGCGGTACGACAAGCTCGGGCAGGGCATCGTGATCACGTCGCACGGCGAGCTGCAGTACTACCTGTCGCTGCTCAACCACCAGCTGCCCATCGAGTCGCAGTTCATCGGGCAGCTGGCCGACAACCTCAACGCCGAGATCGTGCTCGGCACGGTGCAGAACGCGCGCGAGGCCGTCAACTGGCTGGGCTACACCTACCTCTACATCTGCATGCTCCGCAGCCCCAACCTCTACGGCATCTCGTGGGAGGAGGCCGACGAGGACAAGTTCCTCGAGCAGCGCCGCGCCGACCTCGTGCACACGGCCGCCACGGTGCTCGACCGGGCCAACCTGATCAAGTACGACCGCAAGACGGGCGCCTTCCAGGTGACCGACCTGGGCCGCGTAGCGTCGCACTTTTACGTGTCGCACGCCACCATCTCGACCTACAACGAGCACCTCAAGCCCACCATGTCCGACATCGAGCTCTTCCGCCTCTTCTCGCTCTCCGAGGAGTTCAAGTTCATCGCCGTGCGCGAGGAGGAGAAGGGCGAGCTCGAGAAGCTGCTCGCGCGTGTGCCCGTGCCGGTCAAGGAGACCATGGAGGAGCCCTCGGCCAAGGTCAACGTGCTGCTGCAGGCCTACGTGTCGCGCCTCAAGCTCGAGGGCTTCGCGCTCGTGTCCGACATGGTCTACGTCACGCAGTCGGCCGGCCGGCTCATGCGCGCCATCTTCGAGATCGTGCTGCGCCGCGGGTGGGCCGCGCTCGCGCTCAAGGCCCTCAACCTGTGCAAGATGATCGACAAGCGCATGTGGGCCTCGCAGACGCCGCTGCGCCAGTTCCGCAGCATCCCGGAGGCCATCCTCAAGAAGCTCGAGCGCAAGGACTTCCCCTTCGAGCGCCTGTACGACCTCAACAGCCAGGAGATCGGCGAGCTCATCCGCTACCCGCAGCAGGGCAAGCCCATCTACCGCCTCGTCCACAAGTTCCCGCGCCTCGACCTCTCGGCCACCGTGCAGCCCATCACCCGCTCGCTCCTCCGCGTCGACCTCACCCTCAGCCCCGACTTTGAGTGGGACCCCGAGTTCCACGGCTTTGCCGAGGGCTTCTGGGTCGTCGTCGAGGACGTCGACTCGGAGCAGATCCTGCACCACGAGTACTTCCTCCTCAAGCAGCGCTTCGTCGACGAGGAGCACTACATCGACTTCACCATCCCGCTCTACGACCCGCTGCCCCCGCAGTACTACGTGCGCGTCGTCTCCGACCGCTGGCTGGGCGCCGAGACCCTGCTCCCCATCTCCTTCCGCCACCTCATCCTCCCCGAGAAGTACCCGCCCCACACCGAGCTCCTCGACCTCCAGCCGCTCCCCGTCTCGGCCCTCGACAACCCGGCCTTCGAGGCCCTCTACGAGCCCCTCTTCGACCACTTCAACGCCATCCAGACCCAGGCCTTCAACGCCCTCTACACCCGCGACGACAACGTGCTCCTCGCCGCGCCCACCTCCTCCGGCAAGACCATCTGCGCCGAGTTCGCCCTCCTCAAGCTCCTCAACGACCAGGCCGCCGGCCGCAAGGGACCCCACGTGCGCGCCGTCTACGTCGCGCCCGTGCAGGCCCTCGTCACCGAGCGCCTCGCCGACTGGCAGCGCCGCTTCGGCGACCAGGGCGGCCTCGGCCGCACCGTGGTCGAGCTCACGGGCGACACCGCGCAGGACCTCAAGCTGCTGGAGCAGGGCGAGATCATCCTCAGCACGCCCGAGCGCTGGGACGTCATCTCGCGCCGCTGGAGCCAGCGCAAGAACGTGCAGAACGTCGATCTCTTCATCATCGACGAGCTCCACCTCATCGGCGGCGACAACGGCCCCACGCTCGAGATCATCACCTCGCGCATGCGCTACATCGCCTCGCAGGTCGACCGCAAGATCCGCATCGTCGCCCTCGCCGCCTCGCTCGCCGGCGCGCGCGACCTGGGCGAGTGGATCGGCACCACGCCCCAGTCGCTCTTCAACTTCCACCCGAGCGTGCGGCCCGTCCCGCTCGAGATCCACATGCAGGGCTTCGACCACCCGCACTACAACGCGCGCCTGCTCGCCATGAGCAAGCCCGTCCTCTACTACATCGCCCACCACGGCGCCCCGCAGAAGCGCACCGGCAAGGCCCTCACCTCGGGCAGGGACGTCATGGACGTCGCCGCCGCCGACGACGACGCATCCGCCACGACGAAGAAGCCGTACTCGCGCGAGGCCCGGCCGGTGATCATCTTCGTGCCGTCGCGCAAGCAGGCGCTGGCGACGGCGCACGAGCTGCGCACGTTCGCCAACTCGCTCGAGGAGCCGCTCAACTTTGTGCACTGCGCGGCGGGCGACATGGACTCGTACCTGGAGGCGTGCCAGTCCAAGTCGCTCAAGGAGGCGCTGCAGTCGGGCATCGGCCTGTTCCACGGGCAGCTAGAGCCCATCGAGCGCAAGGTGGTGGAGACGCTGTTCAGCTCGGGCGCCATCCAGGTGGTGATCGCGACGCACGACATGTGCTGGAGCATGGGCGGCATGGCGGCGCACCTGGTGGTGATCATGGGCACCTCCTACTTCGAGGGCCGCGAGCACCGCTACGCCGACTACCCGATCACCGACCTGCTGCAGATGATCGGCCGCGCGCACCGGCCGGCCGGCGCGGGCCACGCGGTGGCGGCGGTGCTGTGCCACGCGGCCAAGAAGGACTTTTACAAGAAGTTCCTGTTCGAGCCGCTGCCGGTGGAGTCGCACCTGGACCACTTCCTGCACGACCACATGAACGCCGAGATCGTGACGCGCACGGTGGAGAACAAGCAGGACGCCGTGGACTACCTCACGTGGACGCTGCTCTACCGCCGCCTCACGCAGAACCCCAACTACTACAACCTCACGGGCGTGTCGCACCGGCACCTGTCCGACCACCTCTCCGAGCTCGTCGAGAACACGCTCGCCGACCTGGAGACCTCCAACTGCATCGCCGTGGAGAACGACATGGACCTGGCCCCGCTCAACCTGGGCATGATCGCCGCCTACTACTACATCCGCTACACCACCATCGAGCTCTTTGCCTCGTCGCTCAAGGCCAAGACCAAGCTGCGCGGCCTCGTCGAGATCCTCTCCTACGCGTCCGAGTACGACAAGGTGGGCCTGCGCCACAAGGAGGCCGCCCTGCTTGAGCGGCTGGCCAAGCACATGCCCATGAAGATCACCGACGTCAAGTTCACCGACGCCCACACCAAGACCAACCTCCTCCTCCAGGCCCACTTCTCGCGCCACCGCCTCGCCACCGCCGACCTCGTCTCCGACCAGAAGCTCCTCGTCAAGGAGGCGCCCCGCCTCATCCAGGCCATGGTCGACGTCATCTCCTCGTCGGGCTGGCTCAAGCCGGCCATCGCCGCCATGGAGCTCACCCAGATGGTCACCCAGGCCGTGTGGGACTCGGACCCGGTGCTCAAGCAGCTGCCCCACTTCACCGACGACGTCCTCAAGCGCTGCGCCGCCCGCGGCATCGAGAACGTGTTCGACCTCATCGACCTCGACGACGCCGACCGCCGCGCGCTCCTCCAGATGACCAACAAGCAGCTCGCCGACGTCGCCCGCGTCTGCAACGCCTACCCCAACATCGAGCTCGAGTACGCCCTCGACGGCCTCGACAAGGACAACGCCGTCGTCGCCCCCGGCGAGTCGGTCGTCGTCTCCGTGAGCCTCGAGCGCGAGGACGACAGCGGCGGCGTCGTCGTGGCGCCCCACTTCCCCGAGAAGCGCCTCGAGGGCTGGTGGCTCGTCGTCGGCGACCCCAAGAACAACCTCCTCCTCTCCATCAAGCGCCTCACCGTCAAGCAGAAGGCCAAGGTCCAGCTCGACTTCACCGCCCCCGACGCGCCCGGCCGCCACTCCTACGTCCTCTACTTCATCTCCGACTCGTGGACCGGTTGCGACCAGGAGTACGAGCTCGACCTCACCGTCGACCCCAACGCCGCCTCCGCCGCCGGCGCCGGCGACGACGACGAGGAAGGCGACAACATGGAGGAGTGAAGACCCCCCTTCCCCCATCTCACGTGTATGTAATCCCCGAAGAACAAGGCCAACCGAACCACAACTACTTGGCGCTTTTGCCCTCATCCTTCTTTCTCGCGAGGAGGTCAGAGGGTCGGGGGGGGGGCAAGGGGGGCAGGGGGCGGGGAGGCGGGTGGTGGTCGCACGAAGACCCGGGTGGTGCAGGCGGCACCTGGTCCGTGTGTGTCGCACACACGCCACCGAGAGAGTCGCACGGGAACCAGCCTACTGCATTCCCGAGATGTTTGCCGCAGCCGTGCCACGGAAACAGAGGCAACACAGGAATGCAAGGAACGATGGAGTTTGCCGATTTTCCTCTTCCTCCTGCGGAGTGGTGGCTCCGCGTGATGGGAGTGGCAGGCCCACACCCACGAACCCGCGCTCCTCCACTGCCCTCCTTCTCTTTGTGTGTGTGCCGGCAACGCTGCCTCTCGTACGAGTGCTCCTCTTCCTTCCCCACCCCCTCCTCCACGATCACCATCAGCGCGATCGTGTGAGCTCTGCACTTGTTTCCTCTGGTCCCCTTCGCTCTTCCTCTCCCCACCCACTACTGGTCACCTTCTTCCGCGCACAAGTGTGCACCATGTCCTCCTCTTCTCCCGCCCTCGCCGCCCTCGTACCAGAGAAACAATGCGAACTCGAGCAGACCCAGCCACGGGCTGCAACCCCACAGCAACAGCAACCACTCCAACAACAGCAGCCCCAGTCTCCTCCCTTGGCCGCCCTAGTCGAGTCCCCGCCGTCGTCACCGGTGAGTAGTCTCTCCTCGCCTCTCCTCTCCTCTCCCACACACAGATTCACACTCCCTGAACCGCAGATCTTAGTGTAGCAACTCACTTCAACCATAACAATCGATCTATCTATCTATCTATTTATTTATGTTTCTTCTTCAAGGAGCTGCTGCCCAAGAGAGGCGCACGGAAGGGTCGCCAGTGCGACGCCTGCCACACGACCGAAACGCCCATGTGGCGCCGAGGTACACCCCCACCCCCACCCTCTGCTCCCCTCTTGCGGGAAGCCACACAGAAGACTAAAGGACGGCTTTTCGGCGAAGGGCCAGGGGGCAAGGGTACTCTGTGCAACGCATGCGGTGTACGCTGGAGCCTGCGCAAGAAGCGACCCCCAAGGTATGCCACCACCCCACCCACACCGGCCCTCGCTTCTGCGGTGTTCGTTGCGTTCGCTCCGGAGCTTGCTGCGCGGTTAAAAAGAAAGTTGCAATAATGCTGCCCGGATATATATATCGTACCATTCAAAACTCCGCACCGGAATTTAAGGCGGAAGTTATCTCTGGAATGACTGTCGCGACGGAACGGAGGGGGAAATTGCCAGGTTCCATTTCGCTGATGTCGACATGGTTACGCTGGGCTTTTTGTTTTCAACTCCTCACTTCGTCCCTCCTGAGCACCACCCTGAACCCCGCTCTGCTCCACTTGTTTCCGTATCGCAGGCCCGGACTTGAAGGCGAAGCCGGTGGCGAAGCGCTCTCCCCACTCCCCGACTCGGACGACCCGGCCGCTGGCAGCATGCTCGACGACGAGGCCACCGACCCCGCCATCGCCGCCCTCCGCTCCAAGCGGGAGAGCGATAAGGCACGCCCCCACCTCTGCCTTCCCCATCGCTACATATTCAAAAAAAAAAAAAAAATAGTATTCTTATTGTTGACCTCCTACACTGCCCCCTCCACATACTTTTTTTTTTTGCATCTTTTCTCCTCCTTTTGCAAGTGTGGTGTAGTGGGTTGTGTGTGGTGGCTAACATGGGAGATAAATAATGTCGTCTCTCTCTGCGTGGTGCTGCCTGGCGGTGGGACGGGGTGCAGCAAGACTACTACTACTGCCGCTACTGCGACAAGACGTGGCCGCTCAACTACTTCAGGAACAGTCAGCAGTTCGGCGCCCACTGCAGCAACTGCAGCCGCAAGAAGCGACCCTCGCCCAACGGCGGTACGTAGCCACTTGACACTTGCCCGCCATTGTAACCGGCCACGCCCGTCAACAGTGCTTGGGCTCACGTATGGGGTGGTGGGCGCGCGTGCAGAGACGGACGCGGTGGTGGCCAAGCCCAAGAGGGAGCGCCGTGACCGCAAGAGGGTGAAGCGGGAGCCCATTCCGGCGGCCCCGTACTGGAGCGAGGGCGACGCGAGCGCCTCGCCCACGGCATCCCCGGCCTCGTCACGAGCGTCGTCCGCCTTCACCTCTTCGCCGCCCACCTCTTCGATGATGCCCACATCGCCCTCGTCGTCGTCGTCGGCGTCACGCAAGCGGGAGCGCGACCACAGCAGCGAAGGCGCCATGACCAAGCGCAGGTCGAAGCACCACAACAACGGCGCCATCTCCAAGAGCGCGCGTAGAGGCCACCACCACCACCACCACCATCAGGCCACCATCAGCAACGCCTCGAGAAGCGGCAGCGGCAGCAGCGGCAGCAGCGGGGGCGACAGCGACGGGGAGGAGGACGATGAGGGTGACGACGACGAGGGCGCGTGGGAGCGGCTGTTCGAGAAGCTGAAGGGGAACAGCGCGGGGCAGGTGGTGGCCACCACCACCACCACGGCGCCTGCCGCGGTGTCGCGGGTGCTGAGCGAGGAGGAGCGGCGGCGCGAGGTGGAGTTGCTCGAGAAGGAGGTGACGCTGCTGCGGTACCAGGTGCGGCTCAAGGAGCACTGGCACAAGAAGAGCCTCAAGGAGGTCAAGCACAACATGGAGGAGGAGCTCCACGAGCTGCAGAAGGACCTCATCTACTCGTTCGAGGTGGCCCAGGCCTGCATCAAGCTCGAGCTCGAGTCCAACGAGAAGGAGGAGACCCAGGTCCTCCTGGCCTTCGCCCGCCACATCTCCCTCCCGCCCACCCCGCAGCCCCAGTCGCCCCAACAGCGCCAGCAGCAGCTCCAGCAGCAGTCGAGGGACAGCGCGAGCGCGAGCGAGGCGGGGAGCACGAGCAGCAGCGGGACGTGCACGCCGTGCCACGACAACCTGGACAAGCTGCGGCAGGACGGGGAGCAGCTGCGACGGAGCTGCACCCAGCAGCTGGCCAAGCTCAAGACGGAGCTCGAGCAGCAGTTCAACGCCAAGGAGGAGATCTTCATGCGCATGCTGGGCGAGACCAAGACCCACTTCTCCGCCTCCACCCAGCGCCTGCGCAAGAAGATCACCGAGATCGAGTCCATCATCGGCACCCTCCGAACGCCGGCGGCCTCCGATATCGCCTCGCCGTCGCCACCGGCCTCCAAGATCGCCCCGCCGGCGCTGAGTGCCGCCACATGTCAGTGATCGAACGACACGCCAAACGCGTTCGCGCCTCTCCTCGCCCCTCCTCTCCTCCACCGAAGCTCCGAGTGTTGATAGTAACCACCCCCCGCCACGAGTGTACATACCCGTCACGCCGACCCACGAGCGAGCGAACGAAAACATGCAGCCGGATTCACACGTCAGCGACGCCGTGGCCCCTCTGCATGGCGACCAAGGGACCGCCGACGGAGCTGAGCAATGCACATACTTACTGCCGCCAGCAGCACACCACCCCCACCAGCATCAAAGACAATGCGCGCGCCCGCATGCCTCACAGCTGTTTACATAGCTGTTCTTGTATAATTTATTTATTCGCTTTACCCCGCCGTAAGCGTGTAGTTTGTTGTTGGCATGATTACATTACTGGCGCTCCTTTCGCTCCTCGTTGTCACGCGATTCCCGCCCGCGGTCATCGTCTCTCCGCCGCCTGTCCCGCTCTCTGTCGCGATCGCGTTCTCGGTCGTCGCGGTGCCGCCTGCGACGCTCTCTGTCTCTGTCTCTTTCCCTGTCCCTGTCCCGATCGCGTTCTCGGGTACTGTCCCTGTCTCGGTCGCGCGCACCGTTCCGATCCCGGTCGCGCTCGCGGTCACGGCGTTCCGAATCGGGCTTGCCTTCGGCCTTCCTCTCCCTTTCGTCGGCGCGCTCACGGCTGCCGGCCTTGTCCTTCTCCTCCCTGCTGGCCGGCCCCTCCTCCTTCTCCTTCCTTTTGTCCTTCTTCTCCTTCTCCTTCTCGCTGTCTTCGTCTTGGTCGGAGGAGCTTTCCGATGATGAGGCGGCGAAGAATGCCGAGAGCTTCATCTCCTTTTTGTTCTTCTTCTTCGTTTTCGTCGTCTTCTCCTTTTTGTCCTTCTTCCTGCGCTTCCTCTTCTTCCTGTTCCTCTCCGAGTCGTCCGACGACGACGAGTCCTCCGAGGAGGAGTCGGACGACGACGAAGCGGACGACGAGGAAGAGCCCCTCCTCCTCTTCCTCCTCTTCTTGCTCTTCCTGTCCTTCCTGTCCTTCTTTCGGTCCTCGTCCCGCTTCTTGATGACGTGCTGGCGGTTCTCGTCGAGCTCGGCGCGCCAGTCCTTCTGCATGTTGTTCTCCCACTCCTCGAGGGCCTTGCTGGTCTTGTTCTGTTCGGCCATCATGCTCTTGACCTCGTCCCACGACGGCCTCGGGCGATTCAGGTAGTCCCGAATCGAAGGCCCGCTCGACTCCACGGGGCCTGATTGGCGAGCGAGAACCATCGGGTTGATGTACCCCTGGGCACAGTCAGAACGGCGCGTGGTGCACCACTACTGTTACTCGTGCCCAGTGCCCTCTCTGCCCCCCCCCCAATCCGTGGTCCAATTCTCCGTTCTACTTCTTGTGTGAACACCACTACACCGCCTTGTTCCATTTGACTCGAATTTGATGTGTGTGGAGTGGTGAGCTGGGCGTAGAGGGTGGTGCGGAAGGTGGCGTACCTGCGGCTGGAAGCCCCGACGCTTTCCCATCTCTCGCAGACGTGTGATGTGCGGCAGCGGACGAAAAAGAAAATGTATTTTCCTAATTTCTTTATTCATTAACCGTGCATAGCAACCTCAGAGTTGATGCTTTTGTACACGAGGGACGCCGCGGGCACGGCCCGCAAGCAAGACGACACGGCAGAGCCTGTTGGGCTCAGTTGCCGGCCCGCAGCTCCATCTCCTCGGGGTGGGCCATGGGGTGGTTCTTCTTGGCCTTGCCCAGCACGTAGGAGCCCAGGCCGACCACCACGATGCCCGCCACCACCACGCCCACGAAGATCCAGCCTAGCCGCGTGCGTCCACCCACATCACCCGCCCACACCATCAGCACTTAAGAAAGCTGTTTTTGCGAGATCTACATTGCAGCGGGCGGGCACAGCGGTACCGGCTTCCTTGGAGAGCTTGTTGTCGTCGAGGTTGCTGAAGGGGACGAAGGCCTTGATGCGGCGACCATTCAGCGGCTGCGTGGGTCTGTCGTCCCGTCGTCGTAATGACATGGCATGACATGATGTAAGCCACCACCCTCGTCAGACACGCATGGCGGATCGTGGTGCCCTTCCCCTCCCGGTGCGAGAAGAGGAAAGGGGTGGGTACCGTGCGTTGTGGTGGAGCAGGTCGGCGAAGACCTTGAGCTGGGCGGGCGAGGCGGGCAGGATGCGGCGCGCGAGGACGTAGCTGGCGTCCTCCGTGCAGGGCGGGCTCGTCAGCGACCCGAGCAGCGAGTAGTACCCCTCGGCGAACGACTCCGCCACCAGGCTCGCCAGATCAAACTCCAACGGGACCTGCCACCCGACCACCACCACCAGCAGCAGCAGCCACCACGAGATGTGCGAGAAATTCATTAATTCGTGGCCCGCACGCGGCCTGAAAGAGCGGAGAGATGTGGGTGAGCGGGTGCGTACGTAGCTGGAGGTGGTGTTGATGGGCAGGTAGGGGATGAGGGAGTCGAGGAATCCGCTGCTCGCGTGGGAGGTGTTGAAGGAGATGACGGCCACAGCCACCTGCTTCTTCGAGGTGTGGTGGTAGAGGTAGACGGACAGGTCCGGCCGGTAACCTTGGAAGGTGAACTCCGACGGCGCGTGGAAGGCCAGAGAGCTCAGGTAGAACACCTGCAACACGCAACCGCCCACCACCACCACCACCACCCACGGACTATGAGCCAAATACACCGGTGCCGCCATTCACCGGCGCACTCGGAACAGCACGCGGTAAGTGGTGTCGCGGGGCGTGCCTTGTGCTCGAAGGGGCCACCGGTGACGGTAGAGCCGGGCGCCCAGTCCATTCGGAGCGAATGGGGAGACGACACCATCTGCGTCTTTCCCGTCCTGCGCCCCTCCCACCACAACAACAAGGGTGGCAAAGAGCGAAAAACGAAAAGTAAGCGACGCGTAGAGAAAAAAGGTCCCCAACCTTCGTTCTTTTGATGGGGGGGGGGTGACGAAAGGAGGCGTGGCCACGTACGTGCTGCCCTCATCGGCGAATGGATTCACGATGTCGAACGAAAGGGGACCCATGTTGTAGTCCATGGTCACGTAGCGAATGTCCACAGGCGCTTGCAAGGCCCTATCCCCCCCCCCAACAACGCGTGCCGAAAAAAATGCATCGGCATCATCAACAAAAAGCGGAACGGGGGGGGGAGTAATAGAACGAATAAAAACGAAGAAGGAGTACCCCTGGGAGCACTTGGCGTATTCGACGCAGAGATCGCCCCAAACCTCGGGTCCGTTTTCGGTGCCCTCGTCATAGCTCCACATGGCGCACTGGCCCAGGGCGCCACCGGCAAGGACGACGACCAGAGCGATCGCGAGGCCCACCTTCAACAGCAGCTGCATCTTCTTCGTTCTTCTTCTGTGTAGGGGCTCGTTGCTACGAACTTCTCCGGGCCTGAGAAAACGGAATGCCCCCCCCCCCAAATTACCAAGACGTCGCTTCTTTCTTTTGGCTGCCGCCAGCTGTCCGACGTCAGCTCCCAGACGACGGGCCGCACAGGATGTTCTCCAGCCGCATGGCCGCTGGCCCTCCAGCAGCACTAGCTGGTTGGTCGTCGTCGTGGTCGTCGTTGTTGCCGGCCTCGTGTGCTGCGGCTGATGCTGGTGGCACCGCGGCGGGTGGTCGCGGAGAGGTGGCTGCGAGGAAGGCGCGCAGGTGGCGCATGCGGGCGGTGTACTTGTCGCGCACGCCCCGCCACGGGGCCGATCGCGAGAAGAAGGGCGAGACGCGGGCCAGCACTCGCGCCACGCCGTCCCAGGCGTGCATCTGGACCAGCACGTTGAGCACCATCTCGACCACCGGCTGCGACGTGAAGTGGTCGAAAATGGGCCTCTCCTCGAGCAGCCCCACGCACGTCCACGCCACCTCCAGCGCCTCCTCCCGCCGACCCTGGCACCAAAACACCTCTGGCGCACACACACCACACACCACACACACACACACACACAGAGAGAGAGAGAGAGAGAGGGCGATGAGACCAAGGACTGTGAGCAATATACACACACGACTACACGACTACACGTACGCTGATGGGGGGGGGGCATAGTACCGGCGCGTAGGCTCTCAAAGTGGAAGATGCCGAGGGCGTGCAGGTTAGCAGAGGCGAAGCCCTGCTGGCGGAGCTCGCCGAGAGCGGCGCTGGCGTTGTCGAGCACGGGGAGGAGGACCTCGAGGTCGGCGGCGCTCTGTAGGACCGCCGATGCGAACGGATAGCTGGGCATGCGCAAGTTGCGGGGCGACTGGAGCCTGCCCAAGGCGGCGGCGCGGACGGGCGGCCGTGCCCTTTCTGCTTCTCTTTCGGCTTCGAAGTCGGAGTGGTCCTGTCTGGGTTCCTGGTCGGCCGTGAGGAGGTTGTGGATGGAGAGCGGGTTGGTGCGGGTGCTGCTGCGGGACTCACGCGATGCGCACGCTGACGAGGAGGACTCCTCCTCGGCGGCGGCGGCGGCGGCGGCGACGACGTGGAGAAGCCGGTGGTCGCTGAGGTCGAACTGATATCGGTCCGGGGTGCACCCCGCTCTGCAGGCGCGCCTCACAGCGTGAGCAATTGGGGGGAGGGGGTGCGAGGCAGGCGGAGCTCGAGTGTGGCGGTTGTGAGCTGAGAGGGTGGTGGCTGGTGGTGGCCGGTGGTGCATGTCATAGGGCATACCGGTACTGGTAGATGGACTTCATGAGCACGCCCACGCAGTGGAAGCACACGACGAGCTTCTTCTGGGCCACGAAGGGCAGGTGGAACTTCTCGGCCAGGTACTGCGGCGACCCTGCACGCGGACGATGCGCGTTCATTGTCGGTGGTGGTGCTGCTGCTGGTGGTGGTGGTGGTGGTGGTGGTGGTGGTGGTGGTGGTGGTGGTGGTGGTGCTGGTGGTGGTGGTGGTTGAGCACGCACCCCTCCGGAGAGGGGGGGGGGCACGAGGAGGAGGAGCATGAGGGTGGGTGGGTGGGTGGGCGCACTGTCGAGGCCGGAGTAGTAGGGGTGCTGGCCGAGGGCCTCGAACTCCTGGCCATCGACGGCCGAGTACCACGTGGAGGTCAACAGGCACTGGAGGTAGGTGAACGAATTGACGGCCCCCAGCGAGCGGCACATCTGCATCGACAGCGTGATGTAGTACGTCGACAACCTGGCGCGGTACCCCCGCACGCACCACCCCGCACCACCCACCAAATCGACCAACAACGCCACCGTCACCGTCGTCGTCGCGGGTTGGTTGGTTGGTTGGTTGGTTGGTTGGTTGGTTGGTTGGTTGGTTGGTTGGTTGGTTGGTTGGTTGGTTGGTTGGTCGATCAGCAGGGCAGAGCCAGGAGGGAGTGGGTTGAGAGAGAGAGAGAGAGAGTGAGTGAGAGAGAGAGAGTAGGTGGTCACACCTGTGTGCCTCTTCGGGGGATTCGCAGAAGAAGCGCGTGAGGGCGGGTATACGCTCGAGTGCCTGGGCCACGCTGTAGTCGGCCACGTCGAAGATGTCCCTGTACCGCAGCAGCAGCAGCCACGCGAACCCGCCCCTCAATGAAACTCATATGTAGCCAGCAAGGTAAAGGGAATGCGATACACGCGTACGCGCAGTGGTGGTGGCTGGTGGTGGTGGTGGTGGCAGAAAGCGGTACCCAAGATGGTCCCGCGCCTTCTCGTAGAAATCGCGGGCCACGTCCATCTGGCCCTGCAGGAGCGCTCCTTTCCCCCGCCCACCACCACCGCCGCCGCCGCCGCCAGACGGGCGAGCCGAAAGACGTAAGCTCGCGCGTGAGTGCGGGGCGCCACCACCTCCGGAGACTGCTGAGACCCGAAGGCGGACGGATGCGAGGAGGTGCACGAGTGGGGGGGGGGGTGGCGGCGGCGGTGTACCCATGGAGGAGGCGAAGAGCACGTTGAAGGACAGGGGCGAGCGCTCTTTGTCGCCCTCGGAAGTGCACATCAGGTGCAGTACGCTATCGGCGGACCGTACCCCCGATCAGCCATAAAGGGAATAAGAACCCATAAGAACCAATACAATAAGAATGATAATGATAATAGGAAAAGAATAATAAGCCCACACACGACAAGGGAGGATGCTGTGTGCGTGGTCGGGGGGGGGGAGGTGGTGCACACACTTGCTGCTGTCGAGAGCGGCCGGGTTGAGCGGGGTGGCCACCCAGTACTCGTTGCGGTAGGTCTCCGTGAATCTCATCGCTTGGCTCGCCACCTACACACGCGACGTCCGCCCGCGATATTGGAACGCGTGAGACCACAGGGAGATAGGGCGACACGCCACACGCCACACGCCACACGCCACACGCCACACGCCACGCCACACGCCACACGCCACACGCCACCCCACTCGTTTGTGCATTATGGCCACAAGCGCGGCACATGAAGAATGGGGGAAGAGGGGAGCGTGTGCTTACATCGAGGTGAGCGTTGGCGTTCCAGAGGTGCAACGGTCGTTGCGTGTAGCGATTCTGTCGGTGCGTGGTGTGTCGTGGATGAGGCTGCTAGCCGGCGGGCCGTGCTCCCATGTGCAGCGACGGCTAGGTAAGGAGGAGAGCGCACCCACGAGGTCGGCTGAGTGCGTGATGGGTTGGTTGCCTCGACGAGGACTAGTCCCTCCCGGGGGCGCTTCCGATGGGCTGCCGCGGCACCACCGCGCGACGTCGTGGCCGTGGTGGTTGTGGAGCGCCAGGTGATGTTGGTGTAGTGATTCTCGGCATCCCCGCGCTTACCTGCGCGCCCAGCACGCGGGGAGGGGTCAGTCGCTCACTAGCGCCAGCTAAAGTGAAGGCACGTCCAGCCATCATGATGCATAGCATGGGGGGGGGGCAAGAAAGAGGGGACGCACCTATGCGGCGCGAGGAGACATGCGGGAACACCGAGAGGAGGAGCTTGCCAAAGGCCGAAGACGTGGTAGGCTGAATGCTGCACACGTGTGGCGTGCGCCACCCCGCACCACGCGAGCATCACAACGAATGACGAGTGAGTGAATGAAGAGGGGGGACTTCATTTAACGACACTCATCCTCATCCGACGCTGCTCAACGCCAACGCCGCTGTGGTGTGTGAGCCCGCCCAATGTGCTGGTGTGTGTGTGTGTATATCAGAGCATAGCGCATCGAGGTGGAAGGACGCACCGGTTGTCCTTGCAGAAGGCGACGTAGTGGGCGTGCACCTCACGCTTGGGTACCGTGGCCCCCTCGCGGGGCTCCATGGCGTTCTCCAGCCTGGAGGCGAGAAAGAAAAACGGGCCAGGCTGGAGAAAAGAAAAGAAAAGAAAAAACACAGTGTAGAGGGGGTGAGTGTGACGGTACCATTGGAAGATGATGGGGGCGGCCTTGTCCTTGGGGATGCTCCAGGCCCACGGGCACTCGGCCTCACTCATCGTATGTGCCATAACAGGGGCTCTGTTCTTCTTTGCTGCTCCGAGGACCACGTGCTAGTAGGTTACAGGTTACCGGAACTGCCACCTCCTGTTCCGCGCTCGGGCATGCAAACAACTTCACGTTCCGAGGAATTTCACTTTCGGGGGGTAATGCCCACAATTTAAATTGGGGGACAATAAATAAATAAAATAAATAATAAATAATAATCTCAACCCCTCGTCGAGGGCGGCTCCTCGACGAGGAGCTTGCGGAGGTAGGCCTGCTCGACGAAGGAGAAGAGGCACGCCGAGTTGAGGAAGGCCGGCACGGAGCCCCACCGCTGGTCGATGAAGGCGAGGGTGTCCCGCATGACCTCGCGCGGCGTGCCGTCAAAGTGTTCGCCGAGGCCCTTGCTCCGGTTCTCCTTGATGATGTCCCCCATCACGAACCGCAGGTACATCTCCGACTCGGCGTAGTTCTCCACGATCGTCTCACGCGCCACCCCGCACACGCTCAGCACCAGCGCCACCACCAGCCCGGTCCTGTCCTTGCCTGTTCTCTCGCCACGTGTCACAGATGACGCCGACGCCACCGTCACGACGGTGAGCCGAGTGGAGCCGCGAAAATCGGCCATCATCGGTGCTCGGTGGGCGTACCCGAGGTGCAGTGGATGAGGAGCGGGTGGTTCCTCCTGTCGATGAGGAGGCGGAGGGCGTGGCCCAGCTCGCGCGCCGAGTGCTCGAGCAGCAGCCGCGTGAACCCGAGGAGTCCCAACGGATTGAACACCTCGCTCACGAACACCTGCGAGGCCGTCGTCGCATTGACCCTCAGGCTCGCATCTGCGCACGTCGCAGCGCATGCCCACGACACACGCAGACGAATAGAAACGGCGCTCTGGTAAAGATCCAATCTAGCAGAGGAGGAGGAGGAGAGGAGGAGAAGAAGAAAGAAGTGGAAGTGGCAGCAAGAAGGACGAGCGTGAGAAGGGAGAGGCACCGATCATGTCCTCCTCGAGGTCGACCTCGTAGAGATCGGGGCGTTCGTCGTTGGATTGGTGGTGTGATGGTGATGCCGTCCCACGGGGCGTGGATGGCGGTGGCGCGGCGGCCGCCGGAAAGTGGCGGCGCAGGTCGGGTGCGGAGGTCGAGAGGGCGGCGAGGGCGCGGTGGCGGTAGCTTCCCTTCTTCTTCTCCTTCTCACGGTCCGCGTCGCGGCCCGGCGACTGCGAGGGAAGGTCCGCGAGCGAAATCGAGGAGGCCGAGGGTGCGAGATCCGGACGGGGACGGCCTCGCAGGGAGCACGCCATCATCTTCCAGTAGACCCGCTTTGGCGCCGACATCATCAACCCTGGTTGACATCCCCCCCCCTCGCCACGGTCAGCTCGCGGAGATCGAGCATGCAGAGACATACATATTTCTTTCTATAATATATATATATATAAATAGAAATAGAGATAATGCATAAATCATCGGTGCGTGCGTACGTACCGCGGTAGGTGAGGCGGCGGGTGACAAGGTCGATGGGGAAGCGCCGGTAGCGCGGGCAGGTGAAGGAGCGCGTCTTGCCCGGCCCTCCGCTCGTCTCGTTGGGCAGGTAGTGGTAGAGGTCCATCTCCGGCACCGTTGTGTAGTACTCCTCCGCCACCGCATCGTGCAGGTCCTCCCTTGATCACCAGCCACCAGCCACCATCAGCACCATCAGCACCACCAGCCACCAGCCACCAGCCACCAGCCATCAGCACCAGCCACCAGCCATCACCAGTCAGCAAGAGTGAGATGCCAGAGCTCCTCCTCCCCCCTCTCTTCGTCTTCGGCTTCTTCTTCTGCCGCCCGCTCTTCCGCAGCGAGGTTGCTGCCCGTAAGGTGGCGCGTACAGTTTTTCGGCTTTGGACCGGAGGTCGAGGAGCGTCCGGATGTCGCACGCCTCCTGCCAGAACCTGGCACGCACGCACGACATTGTTGGCGGGCGGGTGGGCGGGGGAAGGGGGGAGCGGAAGAACGCTTCAGTGGCTCCGTACTTGAGGACCGCTACCACGTCCTGCCGCGACACAGGCGCTCGCGACCAGCACGCCGACCGGTAAATGACGCCCGGCCGTAGCCGCACCCCGCCTCTGTGGGACCGAGGTGGTACGGAAGTTGGTGGCGGTGGCGGTGGCGGTGGCGGTGGCGGTGGCGGTGGCGGTGGCGGTGGCGGTGGCGGTGGCGGTGAGTTTGAAATGGCAAATCTGAGGCCGGGCGGTGCTGGGGCGGGCGGACAGAGGGGGGGTTTCAGTGTCGCGCACCTGGAGTCGTGGAAGGTGGCAAACCCGATGTCGCGAAAGTTGAAGAGGACGGGCTTGCCGCGCCGCACTATTCGCGCATTCTCGAACTCGAGCCCCATGTCGGGTCCCTCCCCGCCGTACCCGCCCACACCGGTCTCCGCCGCCGCCGCCGTCCCGCCCTCCTTGGCCTTGTCCCGTCGAGCCCCGTACCTGCGGCCCTCCCCTCCGTCTTCATCGGCTTCGGCTTCATGATCCTCCTCATCGCCATCGCCATCGCCATCGTCTTTGTCGTCATCGTCTTCAGCTGGTGATTCCCGGCCCGTTTCACCGTCGCTCAGGCTCATCTCGTGCCACTCCTGCACCATTTGCTCATGGCTCTGCTCCTCCTCCTCCTCCTCCTCCTCCTCCTCCCGTTCTTCGTCCGAAGGGCCGCCGAGGTGCCGCTCTCGGCGAGTGCGGGCTGCCACCATGAGGTGCGGATGGCGGCGGACATCCAAGGGCACCACCCGGATCGTGTGGGCGGCCACCTCGCTCCCGTCGAGCGCCAGTGCCCGCGCCGCCTCGCCCTCTGTTCGGTAGCACACCACGCCGGACCCCTCCGGCCTGCACGGCCCCCTCCCCCCGCACGTCGACCACGACGGCGATCAGCCCACGGCGCCACCGCACACACACACACACACACACACACACAGACCTCGTGGCCAGGCCCATGTACACGCCGGCGGCTAGGAAGAGGCGGCTAGGAGGAGGAGGGCGCGGTACCGATGGAAGTGTAGGAAGGCGATGCGGCCAAAGGGAGCAAAGGCGTCGTGCAGGAGGGGTTCGGGGTCCACGAGCAGCCGCTGGAGGCCCGTCACCACGACCGCCGCGCGCGCCCCGCTCTCGTGCTGCAACGATGCGACGTGGCGCTGCTGCTGCTGGTGGTGGTACTGGTCGTGGTGGACCTTGGGCGCCATGCCCCGGTGGGGCGTTTCGCGGTTCGGCTGTTTGTCACGCGAGGATCCCTCCTCCTCTCGTGGTCCGCCGCCGCCACCGCCACTGCTGCCGCTGCTGTTCGTGGTGGGTGTGGTCGTGGTGTGCTGCTGGTCGCCGTCCTGCGTGCCCCCCCCCCAAATTTAACCACCGCGTGCGCAGGGACAGCACGCGCACCGTTGATTGGGGGAGGGGGTTGTGGGGGAAGGCGTACCCTCATGCTGCTGACCAAATCGCGCGCGTCCACCACCGGTGAAGAAGGGGCAGCATACATTGGGGGGGGGGGGGTAGTGTACGTGGCGGGGTCGTTTAGTTGGTCCTGTCCGCTGCAAGCTGGCTGCCCATTGGGCGGTCGCTTTTGGGCTAAATTTCTGCGGCGTGTGGCGGGCACGTCACGCGCCCCCTTAAACCAAGGTTACCCAAAGGGCGGCAAAGGAAACGGAAAGCGAACGAAAGTGGAACGGAACCACGTTGGCGGGAGGGCGCTCGACCCCGCCCTGTACGACCAGAGGGGGGGGGAGATGACGGTGCTGCGGTGGTGGTGCAGGGTACCCTCTTCGCGGCTTCCTCCTCGTGGGACCACAGTTTGTCATTCCTCTCTTCTCCCTCCTTCACGTGTGACGCGTGGCGGGGTCCCCACCACCACACCCCCCACATTCCCCCTCGCAAACCCACCACACAGACTTCTTCTTCTTCCTCTTCTTTTTTTTTGCTTGCCGACGCCAACATCACCCCTACTACTGGCCTCCACCCCCGCCGCCGCCTTCTTCCCTTTGGTTGTCGTTCCTTCGGGTGCCGCCGCTCGCCAACGTGCCCACCTCCTCCCCCGCCAGGTGTTGGTGGTGGTTGTGCGCACAATGGAGCTGTTCTCCTTCCTCGAGCCCAAAGCCGGCCAGCCGCTCCCGACCTTCCAGCCCCCACCCATTGGTGGGTTCCACCTCCACCCGCCGCCGCCGCCGCCGCTGCAGCAACAGCATCAGGCATCGTATCCGCTGGCCGGCCAGCAGCAGTGGCTGCCGCCGCCGCCGCCGACGCAGCAGCAGCAGCAGGCTTCCGAGCCCCTGCAGCAGCACCAGCAGCAGCGGCCCCGGCAGGAGCAGCAGCAGGCCGGGGAGGGCATCACCTTCAACTTCAATCGGCGGCGTGTGGCCGGGCGGGGCGGCGATGTCGAGGTGCGCGTGTGGCTCACCTTCGAGGAGAGCGTGCGGGGCTGCATCCGCGAACTGCGCTTCCGCGCCCTCGTGCCCTGCGGCGCCTGCCGCGGACGCGGCCTCCTCTCCCTCCTCGAAGCCGGCCTCGTGCGCAGCCGCGACGAACTCACCCCCTGCGCACACTGCCACGGCACCGGCACCTACTCTCGGTACATTTGTCTCACCATGACCGACCTGCCCCGCCCCCCCTCCCTCGTCCTTGGACGTCGTCACACGACCAACGACCAACGACCAACGACACGACACACTGTGTGTCGAATTCCAACGCCTGGTGGGTGGTGTGGCTGAGCGTTCTGGTGCAGGCGGTCGGCGCTGCTGACCATCAATTCGACGTGCTGCCACTGCAACGGGCACGGGTACCCGCTCGACCAGCCGTGCGTGCAGTGCTCCCACGGCCGACTCTCCGACGAGAAGGTGCTCCACATCGAGGTGCCGCAGGGCGTCATGCACGACATGCGCATGGTCTACTCCGGGCAGGGTGCGAACTGAGCTGACTCCTTGCGCCGCACATATCGCACCGCAGCGCAGCCTTCTTGCATCGCCACGCATTATTATTTTTATTCGTATTATTATTATTATTCGAACCAGAGATCGCCCTCGGCTCGCGTATGGTGGTAACTAACTCAACATTGTGCTGCTGCTGCTGGTGGCTGGTGGCTGGTGGCTGGTGGCTGGTGGTGGCTGGTGGTGCAGGCGATGCCGGTGAGTTCGGAGGCGATTCGGGCGACCTGGTGGTGGTGTTCGGGGTGGAGGAGAGCAGCCTCTTCCAGCGCGATGGAGACGACGTCCTGAGCGAGGTCAACGTCAGCTACTTCGAGGCCGCACTCGGCGCCACCGTCCTCATCCGCGGCATCTACGGCAACGAGATCCCCCTCCCGTACGCAGCAGCCCCTTAAACCCCCCCCCTCTCTTCTTTTCCCCCTTGTCCATCCAACCCACCCAAATATGCGCTTTCCCCCGGCGCGTGTGCGGTGCGGTGCGATATTGTGCGGTGGCAGGATTCCGCCCGGCACGCAGCCCGACACCCTGTTGTGCCTCAAGGGGGAGGGCTTCTTGAGCGTGTGCGCCACGCCTGCGCCGCCGGAGCAAGATCAGGCGCCGAGCAGCAGCCTGCATCCATCCAGCAGCGTCGGCGAGGTGGGCGGCGTGCCCTCGAGCAGCTACGCGTCCTCCGCTCCTCCTACGCAGCCGCCGCCGCCGGGAGAGCAAGCGGCGTTTCCGCACTACCAGTACCGGAGGCGCCGACGGCGTTCGAGCTACCAGCCGCCGCCGGACAACGGGGAGAAGCCCACCTACCGCACCATCAACCGGACAGACTACTTCAACAGCCTCCTCCAGAAATCCAACTTCTTCAGCTCCACCTTCCTCCAGCAGGGCGGCAGCGGCCTTGCCTCTCCCTTCTCCCTCTTCAGGGACGAGAACGAGGGGGCCTCCTCTACCTCCTCCTCCTCCTCGTCGTCGTCGGCATCGGCATCATCTGTGCTGCCCAATCGGGTGGGCACGGGCGTGAGCAGCCAATGGGTTTCGGCCGCGGGAAGCGAGGGCAACAGCGAGGACGACCTCCTCGACGGCCATGACGCCGGAAGCAGCGCTGCCTCCGCCCACTCGCTCGACGATGACGCCGGACGCGAGAGCAGCGTGGGCTTTGAGGACCACCGGCAGCGCTGCCACCTCGAGGCCCGCCGCCGCGGGGTCTCGGCGAATCCCGCGGGCACCGGCGACAACGGAGACCTGCACGAGCAGCAGCCGCAGCGCGCCCCGCGGGGCCTAAAACGGCCACGCCCGGTGCGCGAGGCGGGCGGCATGTCCACCACGGACGCGGTAGAAGAGGAGGAGCAGGAGTCCGACGACGACGGCGCGGGCATGAAGACGACGACGACGACGATGATGGCCAAGGAGGTCGAAGAGGAGCAGGAGGAGCAGGAGGGTGCTCCACTGCCGGCTCCCCTCCTTCACGAGCAGCAGCAGCAGCAGGAAGAGGAGGTCGTCAATGGCTACTCTCCCGAAGCCGAGGCCGAGCGGCGGGTGGTGGGCGGCGGCATGGCGAGCGCAGACGCGGAGGACGAGCACGACGCCGGCAGCCAGGGCCTCGAGATCCGGCACACGGTGGTGCGGACGGAAGGTCCCTGGCCTCCCTTCGACGAGGTGTTCCACAAGGCCAAGGAGGAGGAACGCGAGGAGCACGCCAGCCTCGACGCCATCGACATCGACACCTCCTGGATGCCCCTGGACGAGCACCATGACGACCACAAGGGGTCCGCCGTCGCCGACAGCGTGCTGGTGGCCGACCTGCCGCTCGCGCCGCTACTGCCTCGACACCGAGCCCAGGCCCAGGAAAGCCCGGTGCCCGTGGTGGCGGCGCCGTCGCCGCCCACGTCCTCCCCGTCGTCGATGGCGGCTGCTGGGCAGCAGGAGCAGCAGGAGCAGCAGCGGCGAGGGAACATGTACATACGCGTCAAGGTGGGCGTGCCCCAGGCCCTCGACCCCCGGCAGGTCCACCTCCTCGCCGCCCTCCACCGCCAGTGGGCCGCCAGCTCGGCCACCGGTGACGCCTGACCAATCCGAAAAAAATATTTCGTTTATTTTTGGTACGCACGTCGGCAAAATAGCGACGTAGGCACACAACCCACGACGTCGGCAGGTTGTCCTTCCGGTGAGATCGACGTCGATGGAAGAGGGCTCTTCCGTGAAGTGGGCCACCCGCCCCAAACGCAAAGCTGGGAGTCGTGAGAAGAAGGCCCTTCGTTGAGGATACTACCCTCGCACTACAGCAACACCCCCAACCCAACCTCTACTCGTAGCCACTCCCGCACTCCACAAATAAATGACTGCCGCCGTCTCGAGAGTCCCCACCACCGACGAAGGGGCCACGTGGGCCAGCTGGTTGCACCAGGCCAAGTACTACCCCCCCCCTCTCCCATTCACCTGGACCCCATTTCGGCGGCGTGGTTGACCACGCGATTCATTGTCTGAAGCACTGCACTGCTCCTAACCCTCGGGTGCCTACCGTCTTCGTCTTCGTCTTCGTCTTCATTCTCGCCCTCCCTGCTGCTGCTGCTGTTGCAGAGGGCGGGTGGCCTCCCTGCTGAATGCCGACGAGGAGCCCAGCCCAGGGGCCGGGCCAGAGAGAGGCACACGAGCAGCAGCAGCGGCGGCCTCGCCCTCTCTGTGGCTCGACCTCGGTCCCCAATGGCGGCCACGCGAGCGGCGCCACCACCGTTCCACCACCTCTCCCGGTGCACCGGGGCGACCCGCGACTCACGCCCACGACGATGACGACGACGACGACGATCCCGAAGAGGCCCTGCGTCGGGCGTGGCTGGCCACTGCGCTCGCCCATCGCGAGCACAACGAGGTGCGCATCCCCAGCCTGCCACCCCACCACCACCCAACACGATGCTGTGCGGCGTTGCCCACTCCTGTGGGGTGTGGTGTGCGTGGTGTGTGGGGTGTGGGGTGTGGGGTGTGGGGTGTGGGGTGCTGTTTGGGGTGTGGGGTGTGGGGTGTGTAAATATATATATATATATCTCAATACAAAAACTTCAGCGATTGACGACAGTTGGGGGCGTGGGGCAAGGCAAGCGTGTGGCTGTACGCGCTGCCGGAGGAGCTGCAGCTGCTGCTGTTCTCCCACTTTGGCGCGGGCGACCTTGCGGCCGTGAGTCTCGTCAGCACCCTCTTCCACCGCGTACGCACTTTTTTTCAGTCCCTCTTCCCTTTTTCGTTGCTCACCACACGTGTGCCGTGTGCCGTTTTCTGGCTTCTGCTGTTTCTGCTGCTCTTCTTCTTTTGTGCAGCTGGCCTCCGACAACGCGCTGTGGCGGCTGCAGTTCGAAAGGGCGCAGGGCGGCTGGAAGGTGGCCTGCAATGTGGGCGCCGAGCCGCTGCCTTCCGGTACAAAACCCCAGATATATCATTGCCACGGCACAGCATCTCTCTCTCTCTCTACACTCGCACTCGGTCCCACCCTTTTGCATTGCCGGGTCTAACGGGACGGATCGGGGGCGGTGGTCGTGGTGGTTGGCGGCGCAGGAGCGAGCCAACTGGCGCGCTGGTTCGAAGAAAAGCTGGCGTTCACCCACAGCGCACTCTCGCAGCTCATCCCTCACCAGCACCACCAGCACCACCAGCAGCACCACCAGCGGTGGCACGACCCTAGTGCCTCGCTCGCCGCGGAGATGACGTGCGCCGCGCTTGTGGACTGGAAGTCCCAGTACCACATCCACCACTCGGTCAGTCTCCTCCGTCTCCTCGCGATGAGCTGCTTTTCCGGCCCTGAGCCCCGCCTCACCCGCGCACCCCCCCGCGAGAGACTTGTGTGGTTGGATGGATAGCTGACGAGGTGGTGGCTGGTGGCTGGTGGTGGCTGGTGGGTGCGGACATGGGACTACAGGAGAGCGTGCGGCACGTGAAGCCAACGAGGAGCAAGTCGGAGGTGGTCCTGACCAAGTTCGGGGCAGCGCCCTCATCGTCCCCCCTCTCCTTCCTGCCCAAATCCATTCGGGTACCCTACTCCCCTCCCCCCACCGCATCCCACCGGCTTCTCTCCCTCTCCTCCTCCCCCTCCCCCCTCTCCGTCGCCAGTTTTTGCCCAGCGTGAGGCGTGGGGTTTATCTCTCTCCCGACTTACACGACACTTGCTCCGCGCCGGTCTAGACGACTCTGCAGCGAAAGCAGGTCTTCAAAGTGCCCATGTTTGGTCGCGGTTTGGACCTTAGCGCCAAGAAGGTACATAACCGTTCGTGTGTGTGTGTGTGTGTGTGTGTGTGGCCGTGTGTGTGTGTGGCCGTGTGTGTGGTTGTGTGTGGTGGGGCGACTTCTCCAGCTGGTTGACACTCCTCCTTTCTTTCTCCCCCCAACCGGGTGGTCGATGATGCGCTGTAGTTGCTCTACAACATGATCTGGAGTCTGGAGAGCCCGTTTCCCGTGTGTGGCCTCCATCCCGGGTCGGGTGGCATCGGAAGCGGCGTGGCGTTCAACGTGGAGGGGAAGGAACTCAACCTCACAGGTGCGCGCAACCATGATCTGAGCAGGTGGCTGGCTGGTGGTGGCTGGTGGCAGGTGGTCTCCTTATCACACTCACTCACCGATTGCTCCTCCGACGCAGTCATCTACGAGGAGGAGGGGGTGTTCGAGAAACTGCGACCAGTTTGGCGAGACTTTTTGCAGAAGGACTCCAGCGGCCTCATCCTCGTGATGGACAACCGCGGCGATACCGAGAGCCTCGCCATGGCCAAGCGAGAACTCGCCAGGTTCGTGAGCTACGACTGCGACCCAGACGACGACCGCGCGCGTGAATGTTCCGAGAAAGAGGACGAGCAGGAGAGGCCGCTGGCGGTCACCACGCTTCCGCTCCTGGTCTTTCTGTGCGATGCCGGCACGGACGACGTCCCGCCGGAGACTCGACCCACTGCTCCGCCCCTCACAGCCGCCCGGGTGGCTCACGAGTTTGCGCTCTCTGCCCGCATGCGGGGCAGAAAGTGGTGCGTGCGGCACGTGTGTCCGGACTCCCTCCAGGGCATCGCCGAGGGCCTCCACTGGCTCGCCGCCAACTTGTAATCGATTGACGTGGCATGTGAAAAGCAGCGCTGTCTGTTCATACACGCAACAGCCACCTGACGGGCTGCAGCCTCACTCACGCCAGTACGCTGCTCCCGGCGGTGGAGAAGAACGAAGCGAAGTAGCCGTTCTTCTCCAGGAGCGCCGCTGGTGTGCCGCACTCCACCACACGACCTCGGTGAAGCACCACCACTCGATCTGCATTCCGCACCGCTTCTGGTCTGCGCCCCCGCCCTCGTCTGAGCGCGGAACGGTTGTGGGGGGGGGGGAGCGCCAAGGGCAGGACGTACCGGTGGGCAATGACGATGCGCGTGTGAGCAGCAAACTGCCGGTTGATGTAGTCATGGATGCGACGTTGGCTGTGGGGGTCGAGGGAGGAATCGAACTCATCGAGGACCAGCAGCTTCGGACGCCGCAGCAGCACCCTACGACATGCACACCAGACCATACACCACATCACATCACACCAGACCAGACCAGATCAGGGTCATATCACATACATAAATTAAATAGCATGTTGTTGGCTGGTGGAGGCTGGTGGAGGCAATGCTGCAGCCGTAACCTTGCGATGGCCAGCTTCTGCTTCTCGCCGCCGGAGAGACTCGAAGCCCGATGGCCCACAACAGTGTCATACCTTGGGCCGGTCCGACCCACGATAGACTCATTAGGCACGCCTAGTGCATGCACGCGCGGGGGGGCGGGGGCGGGGGGCGGTGTGGGTACCCGTCAGGGAGGGAGCAGATTTTGTCGTGCACGCCCACCACGCGGCAGATCTCGTGGAGCTCGTCGGTGGTGGCGTCGGCACGCCCGAGCCGTAGGTTGTTCGCCACGGTGTCGTTGAGGAGGTAGCACTCTTGCGAGAGAAAGCCCACGTGGGCCGCCAGCCCCAGAGGCCCTGGCGCAGGCGCGCGCGAGGGGAAGCAGAAGGAGGAGGATCGGTGGTGGCTGCCTGCAATGCGCGAGAGAGGATGTCCGTCGATGAAGATCTCTCCGCGCTGCGGTCGCAGGAAGCCCATCAGGAGGAACGCCAGGGTGGTCTTGCCACTCCCGTTGGCCCCGACGATCGCCGTCAACTCGCCCGCCCTGAAGTGCACGCTCACGCCCGCGAGGGTCCACCTTCGCGCCTCCTCCACCGCCGTCTCCTCCTCCTCCGCCGCCGGCGCCGCCGCCGCCTCCTCCTCTTCTGGTCGCGTGAGAGTTCCCTTTGGCCGCTCCTCGGCCTTCCCGCCGCAGTCCGGGGGCGCACGCGTCCCTTCTCCTCCGCCCGCCGCCTCCTCGGCCGCCTCCGGTGGTGGGGCGCCGCCCTCTGGCAGAGAGGAATCGAGAAGGAGAGGAGGTGGCGGCGCGTAGGAGAAGCTCACCTGCTCGAAGCGTACGTCCCCGACCACGTCGCCCAAGCGCAGAAGCGGGACCTCCTGCTCCTCCTGCTCCTCCTTCCTGAGCCGCGACGAGGAAGTACCACTCCCCCCTCCTCCGCCTGCTGCTGCTGCTGCTGCTGCTAGCAGGCACCGGTGCGGCGGCCGGCAGGTCCACGTAGTGGAAGATGCGCTCGAAACTCACCGCGCACGTGGCCAGCTGGATCTGCACCCCGGACAAATCCGACAGCGGCCCGTAGAGCCTGGCGGTGCACCCACCCACGCGCACCCACCAGGCCACCGGCACATACAACGACAATGACGATGACGCGACGAAGAAGAAGATGAAGGTGACGACGACGACGACGGTTATTCGTATGGAAAGGTCAGAGCCGCGCCTCCTCGACTAAAAGAAGGAGGAAGAAAAGGTGCGGCGGCGTGTGTGCCTGGTGGGGAGGGGAACATACCGGCCAATGTAGGAGGAAAAGGCGACGACGGTACCCATGGTGATGCCGCCCAGCCCCACCACCTGGCCATCTGAAGAGGATCGCACGCACGCAACGGGCAGCAGTGGAGGACAAGAGCGAATGTGAGCGCCACCAGCCACCATCAACCGCCGCCGCCATGTCCCACTGTACTGAACCGGAAACCCGGCCGGCAGGCAGGAGGAAGGCGACACGTGCCCTTGATCTGAATGTTGCTGAGGTCGGTGGAGAAGAGGATGAAGATGAGCGCCCCGAGCATGTACACGATGATGGACATGAAGCTCATGGCGACCAGCAACACCTGTGTCCCTCCCCCGGGAAAACAACAACAACAACAACAACAGCAACAACACCACACACGCGCGCGCGCGCACACACACACACACACACACACACACAAATGAGGGCCTGACGACGGGCAATGGCTACTACGGAGGGATTGCGAGCGAACCTGGAAGAACGACGTGTGCAGGAGATTGGCGCGGCTCGTGGTGCGGGACAAGGCCTCGCTCTCCCTCCTTGGCACGCCACCAGGAATGCAGCAGCCGCAGGACTCCGCGTCAGTAGTTGCGGCCGTAGAGAAGGAGAGGCGTAGGGGATGGCTGCTGGCTTATGCCAGACGCATGGGGTGCGGTGATTAACATCACGTACGTGAAGCGGTCGAGGAAGAAGCGCTGCTGTCCAAACGTGCGCGCGAGAATGACGCCGGCCATCGTGAGCGACTCTGCGAGGGCCTCGTTCATTCCGCTCCTCCTCTGCAAGGCCTCCCTGCATAGACCACCACATCCGGTCAAATCAAATCCGGTAATTACAGCCATTGCTTGGTGGTGGGGGAGGAAGAGGGGAGGGGAGGGGGGTTCTGCATAACAGTACTGTTTGTAGGCGCGCATGCGGGAGGACATGTAAAGGGAGGGCACGTAGAATGCCGGCACCAGCACCACGCACCCCACCGTGAGCCGCCAATCCATGCCGTACCTGCAGCCCACACGCACACGCCCACGCCCACGCCGTTGCTGCTGCTGCTGCTACGATGATTGGGGGTTGGGAGAGAGAGAAAGAGAGAGTTGTGTGTGTGTGTGTGTGTGTGTGTGTGTGTGTGTGTGTGTGTGTGTGTGTGTGTGTGTTGTGTGCGTGCGCGCGCGAGAAGAGAGAGAGAGAGAGAAGGGAGGTACGGCTTACATGGCGCGCAGGAGGAAGGCCAACGTGAACAGATTCTGCGCCGTGGAGAAGATGAGTCGGCACACTCCACCCGTGGCCCCTGTACCCCGCCACCACGCACGTGCTCATAGACATGAGCAGCCGGCTGACGCCGCCGCCGCCATTACAGCGTGGGGGGGGGCGAACAGCAGGTGTGGTATCAAGCACCTCGTTTCTCTCTCCCTCTCTCGGTGTGGTGTGGTGTCGTGTCGTGTCGTGTCGTTGGTCGTGCGTACCGGTGAGTTCCTGGTTGAAGAGGGCGGCGAATTCAGCCGACCGGTTCTGCACGAAATGCTGCAGCGGGAGCCCCTGCAGATGCTGCACTCCTCACCACTCACCCACCTGATCAGCGTGCCCACCTCCGGTCCCTCTGACTCCTCTTGACTGCGCGCCGCGGCGTTGGGGAGGGGGGACGGATGCGCAGTGGCGGTGGAGGCTGCTGGCCGGTTGTCGTACGCTGAAGAGAGACTCGCGGAGGGAGCGGGCCATGTGCTCCGCCACGTGGGTGGTGAGGGCCTCCTTGCCCACCTTCATCGCCACCGTGGCGCACAGCACGCCCACCACCTCTGCAGAGAGGATAGAAGGAGAGAGAGAGAGAGAGAGAGAGAGCGAGCGAGCGAGCGAGGTAGAAGTTTACCAGCAGCAGCAGCAGCAGCAGCAGCCTCCCCAAATCCGCACTTCTGGACGCAGGCCAGGACCAGGCGAATGGAAGGGGGAGGGGGCAAGAGGAGGCCAACGGTTGGAGGGGGGCGAGCCACGCAACGTACGGATGGCCAGCGAGACGATGCGCTCGACGTCCTGCTTGGGCACCGCCTCGTCCACGAAGCTGCGATACAGCTGCGGCACTACGACGCGGCCCCGCCCCCACCGTCAGCCAGCGAGCACGGGCGATGGGTCATTGCGAGCAGGCGCGATGGGTCAACGCGCGATGTCGGGAGTGGAAAAGGAAACCGCGGCGAATAAGGAATAGTAGTACTATTCGAGAGGGGGAAAAAAAGTGGGGGGGATGGTCTAGAAGGGAAGAGGCACGCACTGAGGGAGTCGAAGTAGGCGTTGACAACCAACACACCGAACACAGCCACGAGCGGCACCCAGTAGGGCAGGAACAGGCGCCCCACGCGTCTCACCACCGCCCACGATACGTGGCCCCCGTCACTGCCCGTCTTTCTGCCGCTGCCGCCGCCACCAGCAGCATGGCTCGGCAGCACTCCTACAGCGTCCGTGACTCGCTGCGGGGTGTCCATCTACTCACACCGCTCTGCTTTTGTTTGTTTTGTTTGTTTTGTTTGTTTTGTTTCGTTGCGAATTCTGCCCCGGTGTGTCGTGCCACGGCGCTGTTGGGGGGAAGCGGGGTGTCAGGTGGCCCCGCGCGAAGAGACTATAATGGAGGACGACGACGAGCTCCACGACGACGGGGGCGAGACGGCGCCAGCAGCGGGCAAGTAGGAGGCGGAGGCGGAGGCGGAGAGGAGGTCGAAGCAGGCCTCGCACACGCGCACTGGCGAGCTGAAGTAGAGCTGGGGGATGGGCAGCCGCTTGAACGTGCACTTGCTGCAGAACACCCACCCGCACAGCCGACAGTGGTGCTGCAGCACACGATCCGCCCACCAGTCGTATATGTCGTGTATGTCGTGTGTGCATGGCCGTGTGGCGTGTGGCGTGTGGCGTGTGGCGTGTGGCGTGTGGCGTGTAAGAACAGAGAACGATTAGAGTCTGAAAGGGATCGAATGAGAGGAGTGAAGGTAGTAGTAATGAAGCACCCGTCGCGTGAGTTTAGAGAAAGCAGAGGAGCAGTGTCGACACGAGTCGACCGTGTCGTCGGGCACCCAGTGGGCGGTGGTGGAGGCGGGGTCGCACTGGGCCTCGAGTCGGCCGAGCTCCAGCAGGTAGTGCTGGATCAGCACCGATGTGCCCCCTGAGATCAAAACACACACACACACACACACACACACACACGACACAAACACACACGGGACACACGACACACATGACACACAGTCCGCCCGCCTTCAGCCGTGGGAAAGGGGCACGCACGCACGCTGCACCCCTTGCGCGCGATCATGGCGTGCACGGTTGGGGGAAGAGGGGAGGGAGGAGAGGGGCACACCGGTGAGCAGCTCCTTGGGGACTTGGAAGAACTGGTTGGCGCGGAAACAGCGCAGTGACTTGAAGCTGAACATACAGAGCGGGAGCGCGGTGATCTGCATGTTGTTGTAGATGGAGAGGTACTCCAGGTTGCTGAGCTGGCTCAGTTCCGTGGGCAGCGTGCTCAGGTGGTTATCCTCCACGGAGAGCCACGCCAACGCCCGCAGCGAACCTGCGCCCAGCACCAGCCACCACGCGGGTTGATTAACCCACCGCCAGACGACCTACGGCGCCCATCTACGCAAGAGCGCGCGGTAGCAGCCAGCATGGGGCGTAACAAACCGCCCCATGCAACAGGCAGGCAGATTTGGGGGGGGGTCGATTGTGTGCGAAAGGCGGCCGCGTGGTACCGATTTCCTTGGGGAGAGCCGTGAACTTGTTGTGGTCCAGCGAGAGCCACACCAGACTCTGGAGCTTGACGATCTCTGAACAGACCCATCACGGGTCAGGCGTGGCGGTGGCGAGCTTCTTATTCAGCGCAGCGTGGCAGCAGCAGCAGCAGGGGCGGCGTGGCGGAGGGGCTGGGGAGGATACCGGGAGGGAGGGAGGTGAGGTGGTTCTTGTTGAGGAAGAGGCGCGTGAGGTTGTGGAGCTGCCCCATCTCAGGCGGCAGACTTGTCAATTGGTTACTGTACAGCTGCAGGCTATCGAGCAGACCGAGACGGCCCACCTCAGCAGGCAGCGACGTGAGCGCATTACGCTCGAGGTTGAGCTCCTCCAGGCTCCCCCTGCCCATCGCCAGGACACGCACACACACACACACACACACACACACACACACACACAGCCGGGCACGAATGCACAACGTTCCGTTGGGGGGCGGGGGGGGGGCGGTGGTGGTGAGTGCACGACCGCCAACGGAGGCAAGAACAAATTTGGGGGGGGATTGGGGGGGGGGTTGCACACGACAGGGCCGCAATGTCCGAGGGCAGGTTGACGATGCCCAGCTCTTCGAGCGAGAGGGACGAGGCCCCTCGCACCGACGCCTCTTCGATGGCGCGCTTGACTCTGCGCCACGGACACACAACGCACGACATGCACGCACGTACACGTGCACGTGCACGTACAGGTACAGGTACAGGTACACGACACAACACACAGTACGTAGGTGCATGCCCAGCAGCGGCGGCGGTGGCGGCAGGGAGGAGGCGGTACCGGTCCATGATGGCGAGGTCCTGGGCCGGCGCTGTGCCTGAGGAGAACGTGGGCCGGCCCCCGCTCACCTCGATGAGGCCGCCTTGCGTCAACTTGCGCTCCTGCGGCCTGGCCTGCTGCTGCTGCTGCTGGTCCTCGCGCGTGGCCGCATTCGCGCTGGCGGGGACTGCTCGAGTCACCGCGGCCGCGGCTGCCGCTGCCGCCGTCGCTGCCGCAGTGCCGAGGGAGAGGGGGGCCTCGCCACGTGACGCTGGAGGCTGGGGCAGCAGCAGCGGCAGCGGCAGCGGCTGCTGGGAGGTGCTGCTCTCCTCTCTCCCGTCGTCGTCGTCGTGGTGGTGGTGGTGGGTTGTTTCCTCTTCCTCTTCTTCTTCGTGCCTCTCGCCGCCATCGTCGTTGCCATGGCCGGCCGCGTTGGGGAACACCACCGGCGACGGCATTGCTGCTGCTGCTGCTGCCGGGGCGGGCGCTGCTGCCCCTTCTGCCCCTTCTGCCCCCTCCCTGCTGGCGGCGGCGGCGGCGTGGTGCGGCTGGGGCTGGTGGCGGCGTGCCCCGCTCAGGATGGACACTCGCCGCGACCCCCGCCCGTGCGCCTCCTCGCCGCTCGCCGAGGGGGTGGAGGTTCCTACCCACGACGCCATTTATTACTGCGTTTAGAAAAATGTGGTGTTTTATCTCTTATTCCGCCTCTTCTGTTGTTCCACAAGAGAAATTTCGTGTCTCATTTATTAATTAACACTTTACCAAACGTTTGGGGGGGGTAGAAAACGTACCGCAAAACCGGCCCAGCAGGCGCAGCAGCGTGAGACTAGCACTTAGAAATGGCGGAGGCGCCGGCGGCACCACCACCGGCACCAGAGAGAAGGAAAGGAGAGGACGGCGGCGGGCTGCGCGCCCTCGTGGGGGAGGGGCAGGTGGCGGCCCACCAGGCTGGTGGCGGAGGAGGGGCGTCCATCGCGGTCCTCTTCCCCCTCCCCGTGCCTGCCGCCGAGGCCGAGGCGAAGGGCGGCGGCGGCGGCGGAACGCCCCCACCAGCGGCGGCAGCAGGCGCGGGCTCGGGGGCGGGACTGCCCCGGCTGCGCCTCGCGGAGCTCCACGCCGACCTCCTCGCCCACGTACGTGCCTCCTCACCCCCCCCCCATATTTTCTTTTGCATTTTTTGGCCTCAAACGGTTTTTTCCCTGCCCTCGCAAACGACCTGACGCCCAAGGCGGGGTGTTGCCTCCCTCCCAGGCTGAAGAGGCGCAGCTCAAGGCGGAGAGGCTGGCCGAGGAGGAGAAGCGCCTGCTCGCGTGGATAGAACAGGTCGGTCTTCTGTTCCTCCCCAAATCTGTTTTTCTTCCGGCGGGGGGGGCACATGTTAAAAGGGGGGGGGTTCCGGGACCACCGGTGGGGGGGAGGAGACAACAGGTGACGGAGGCAGGGCTGGGGCATCATGACGGGGACCTGCTCAAGGCTCTCCGCTCTGGTGAAGTGCTTGTGCGGTACGGCTACCTGCTGCTGCTGCTGCTGCTGCTGCAACTAGCAGAGTAGTAGTGGTAGTAGCTACTTCTTACTTCTACTACTGCTACTATAACAAAGCTGCCTTGGATGACAGCTTAGCGTCCATAAAAGAAATGCCGGCGGCGTGATGGTGGCTGGCTGGCTGGCTGGCTGGTGGCTGACATGTGCACTGGTGCGCAGACTGGCCAACCGAATCAAGCCAGGGATCGTGCCCTCGTGTCATGCGGCCCCTGCGTCACCCGCCCCGCCCTCTCGCCAGGCGGTCCTCGAGATGGCATGCCTCCTCGCCCCCCGATACTCGCCCAATCTCTGTGTTCGTTCCATTTTGCAGGCGCCAGGCCACGGCCAATCGAGCGCTCACGTTCCCCCTTTTTGTTGGCTGCTGCTGCTGCTTGCTGCGTGACATATCGCCGTCATCATCGGTGTCGTCTACGTGTGTTCGCGTCCGCTGCTCGCACGCACACATCTAGGAGAACATCCGGCAGTACGTGCGCGCGTGCTGGGTGCTGGGCATGCCCACAGCCGATCTCTTCGCCCCCGCCGACCTCTACTACTCCCGACACCGTTCCCTGGTACCACCCACCAGCCACCACTTTCCCTTCCTCCAATTCTTTCTCCCGCCGCTTCTCTTCTCGAAACGGCCAAGGCAAACGCTTCGGCATGCGCGAAGGACGACGAAAGAAGAATGGATGATGAAGAGGGCGGGGGGGGGGGAGGAGGAGAGAGAGAGAGAGAGAGTGAAGAGAGCGAGAGAGCGAGAAGCAGCTTCTTTGCTTTTTCTTCCTCGCTCATGACTTCCAACCAACCAACCAACCAACCAACCAACCGCGCGGCAGGTCGGACGCAACCTGCAGGCCCTGGCCCAACTTGCCGCCGCTCTTCCCACCTACGTGGGTCCTCTTCCGCCAGCGCCCTTCTCCTCCGGCCGCACGCCCCGCCGCATGTCGGTGGTCGCCCAGGACGCCGGCGGGGGTACGACGCGACCCTTGCACCCTTCCTCTTCTTCCTCTTCCTCTTCCGCTTCTTCTTCTTCTTCGCCCGTTTCACACCTGACGATGACGACGACACAGTGAGACCATCTCGAATGGGGCAAAAGGTCTTTGCATGGCTAACCTGTGCGTGGTGGTGGCGTGGTGAGCAGAGAGCGTTGGGGAGAGAAGCGCGCGTTCATCGTCGCCGTCATCTTCTTCTTCTTCTCCGAGGGAGGCCAGCGAGGGTTCGCGGGTGCGGCCAAATGCGGATGGAGAGGAGAAGAAGGGGAAGGACGGGTGAGGAGGAGGACGGCGAGGAGGAGGAGGAGGAGGAGGGAGGGGACCCGCATCGGCTGGCGAGGGGGCTGCGAGAAGCGCGAAAGGCTCTCCGGCAGCTGCGGAGGGAAAACGCGGAGCTGCGTGCACTGCGCGCCGAGGAGCGACAGCAAGCGAGCGAGGCGCAGTACGGGGAGGCGGAGAAGAAGCAGCTCATGAAGACCATCCGGCTGCTGGCCAAGGAGAGACGTACGTCCCAGCACGTCATGAACCTCACCAAGTTCAAGGCCGAAATGCGCGCCCTCGAGCTCGAAGCCGAGCTCCACCAGGAGAGGACCCTTAGACGTCGTGCCGAAACCCAGGCCCTCTCCCACCACGCCCACCATGCCCACCACGCCCACGCCCACGACGACGACGACCAGGCACCGGAGATGGCCACCTCCGGTGGGATCGCCGGGGAGAGCCCGATCGAGGATCATCCTGGTGGCCACCCTCCGGACGGCAAAGCTCCCCTCGGCGTCGGCGGCGGCACCGGCGGCAGCGCCACGGAAGACCACTCGGACCTCGCTCGCAGACTTGAGCGGGAGCTGGCGCAGGAGCGGCAAGAGAAGCACGAACTCAGGCAGCTGTACGGCAAACGGATCGCCGAACTCGAAGCGCTCGTGGAGCGCCTCCAGGAAGAGGGCAAGCCGGCCTCAGCACACAAGCGGCAGGATCGCATCAACCACCACAGCACGGACGTTGACGATGTTGACGACGAGATGGACGCCCTCCACTCCTCGCTCGAGATGTCGCGCGCTGTTTCCCGAGAACACGGCCTCGCCCTCATCTGCCCTCCACCAGGAGTTGGTGCGCCCCCACCACCATCTCCTTCTCTGCCCACGGTCGTGCGCGGGTTCCGCTTCAACCCCCCCCCACCAATCCCCCTTTATCCTGCTGCTGCTGCTGCTGCAACTGTTGCCCCCAACGGACGGAAGGGGCCTTAACGCTCCTCTCCTCTCCTCTCCTCTCACCGTTCTGCTGCTGCTGCTGCTGCTGCTGGGTGCGTGCAGAGGGAGGGGCATCGCACGCCGTGAATCCGGTGGTCGTGCAGGCCATGAATCACACCCTCTCCCGAGTACGGCCGTCGCCTCATCACGATTCTTCCCCCCCCCTGCACGCCTGCACGCCATTCTTCTTTTTGCTTCCCCCCCCTTGCGTGCTTACACCGGGTTCGTGCGTGCGTGCGTGCGTGCGTGCGTGCGTGCGTGCGTGCGTGCGTGCGGTGTGTCGTGTGTGTTGTTTTAGCTTCTGCATTCGTCTCGGTTGGTGTCCTGGCGGGACGTGGCCGAATTCAGTGCGGTGCTCAAGTCCGACCTCGGCCGTCGCCAATTTGCCAATTCCCTGACCGCTTTTGTGCGCAAAGTACGCCTCGCAACCCAGTGCTCATTCGTTCGTTCCTGCTTCGAGAGCTGTGGGTGGGTGGTCGTCACTCAGCGGCACATCTGCGTGGTCTCGTACAGCTGAGCGTTACCTGTCTTTCGAAACCCTCCTTCGATCTGTTGGTGAACATCTGCCGCACTATGACAGAGGAGATGCATCGCGCCAGTCCCACTTCCCAGTATGCCATACCTCCCGCCCGCCCGCCCGCCCGCCCATCCGTGTGTCGTGTGTGTGTGTCGTGTGTCGTGTCGTGTGGTGTGTGCGGTGGTTCGTGTGCGTGTGAGTCATAGGCGTGCGTCTCCCACTCTATTCCCTTCCGCAGCTGACGCTGATGTGGTGCTGCGGCATAGGGAGTGGGTGACGGCGAGCGAGCTGATGCGGGTGGCGGAGAGGGTGTGCTACCGGGAGCAGAAGAAGAAGGGCAGGGCGGTGGATGTGCATCTGCTGCACTTCCTCAAGGCGAGTCCGGTGTGGTGCAGCCGAGCGCTTTGGGAAGCCAACTTCTGGGACACGCTGGCGAGGCTGCAGCAGCAGCAGCAGCAGGAGGAGGAGCTCGCGACCGCAGCAGGCGACGCCTCCGAGTCCTCCCACACTCGCTCGCGCTCGGAGAGCGAAGCAGCAGGGCGAGGGGGTGGGGCGGAGAAGGCGCAACAGGTGGCGGGGAGCAACAAGATCATGAGCAAGGAGCGGTCGGCCCGCACCATGCTGGGCATCTTTGGTGGCATGATGAGCAAGCAGAACGACAAGCTTGGTGACCGCACTTCGCGGAACGACTCGGCCAAGCCGGCCTCCCGCGACGACGAGCCGGCCTCCCGCGAACTTGCCCCCCTCAAGGACCCCCGGAAGAAGCTGCACGACCAACGAGAGGAGTGGGAAGTGAGCGGCGACATGGCCATCGTCAGTCTAGGCGACAAGGAGGCCAGAGCGGAGCAGGCCCTCTTCGTCGCCGCTCTGCAACGCGTGGGCGAGCAGATGGTCGACTGGGACCTGCCCTCGCCCTTCCTCCACGACGCCCTCTCCGCTCTCTGCCGCCTCTTCTCCCTCCCCGCCTCCGCCTACAACGACCTCCTGGTTCTTTTCTTCCCCGCCACGGCACACCCACACCCACCCACCCACACCCACCCACACCCGCACATGTGTGACGGTGCTCAGTCTCCCGAACTAACCCTGTGGCCGTGCCTTGGCTTGCGTGCCTTGTCGTGTGTGCCTTGTCGTGCGCAGCAACATGTGCACCTCTACGTGGACGACCCCACGCGCAAAAAGGAGGAGAAACGAATGCTCAAGCGCACCAAAGCCGAGGACGACCGTCGGAAGAAAGAGGAGGACAAGGTACGCACCTCTTCCCTACCCCGTACCTGCACCTGCGCCTGCACGTCTCACGGAAAACGTCGTGTGTCGTGTTGGGTCGTGTTGGGTCGTGTTGGATCGTGTGTAGGAGAACGAGCGGCTGCAAAAGCAGTGGAAGGAAGAGGAGAGGCGGACCAAGGGGCTGAAGGGCGCGGAGGAGCGGTATGGCGGGGCCGAGGCTCGCGGGGGAGGAGGAGATGAGGGGAGCGGCGATGGCAGAGGACGAGATGAACACGGCAGCTCGTCGTCGTCGTCGTCGGGAGCGTCGCTCGTCTCGGGCAAGTCGCGGGGCAAATCGTTCCGCAAGCGGAAGGACAAGAAGGAGGAGGCCGTCGGCAGCAGTGGTAGGGGGAAGGAGAAGGCTCTCAAGAAACAACAAGCTGCTGCGAGGGAGAGCCCGGCACCGGCTGACGACACCACGCCGCCTGCTGCTGCTGCCGCCGGCGGTGACGGCGGTGACCTCGGTGGCGGTGACCTCAGTGGCGGTGCCGCCGTGGCGACCACGGAGGGCTGCGGACCGGGGGGCGACGTAGTGGGGGGCATCCTCAAGCTCTCGGGGAACAGCCGCAAGGCGCGCAAGGGCGGCGACAAGAAGCCCCTCTCAGGGGGCACCAAGATCACCTTCGCCCCACGTGTGGAGACAGCCACCGCCACCACCAGCACCACCAGCACCACCAGCACCAGCACCACCAGCACCAGCAGCACCACCAACACTCCGACCAACCCCCACCACCAGCACCACCACCGCCGCCATGACCATCTTGACCCCGAGCAAACCCCCGAGGACGGCCCAGGCGATACCATAGACAGCCAAAAGAACATCGGCGAGCCGGTGGCGGCGCAGATGGATCCTCTGGGCCAGCACGCAAGCAAAGAAGACGACGACGACCACGAGGAGGAGGAGGAGCAGGCAGCGGCGGCAGGGGCAGGGTTGACCAGCCAGCAGCAGCAGCGCAAAGGGAAGGGCCATTCGCGAAGTCGGAGCGTGGGAACCTTCATTCCAAGCCTCTCGCTCAACCCGTTCCTGCGTCGCGACGAGGACGATGCCGGCGGCGGCAAGGTGGACCATGGCCGCAGCTTCCCATCACTGCTGTCGCCTCGACGAATCATTGCATCACGCGATCGCGACAGGGAGCTCGAGCGGGAGAAGGAGAAGCGAGAGAAGGAGCTGCGAACCTTCCTGGGCCACAACTACGGTATCCTCGCCTCGCCTCACGACAAAAAGAGGCCCGCCGCCGCCGCCGACGACGACCCTGATGACGCCCGACGACGCGTCTTTCACGTGCCCCTCCGCACGCTGCTCCAGCGGGACGGGACCCCCCTTCCTCGCCTCGCCGCCGACGCCATCAGTGCCCTTCACCGCGAAGGTAAACAGCCTTTCCAATAACCCCCCCCCCACCACCGCTTATTATTTAATTCTCCGCCCTTCCTTTTGTAAGCGCCCACCCTCACGCACCCACCACCACATGTCCACCATGCGCGCGTGTTGACGTTTCAGAGGCGTTGACCACCGTGGGGATCTTCCGAGTCACCAGCGCGCAGTCAGAGATCGACGACCTGGTGTCCCTCCTCGATGCCGGTACGTGTCTCTTGCCAAAGAGGAAACTCGGGGCGGAGTGTCACGTGTCTCTCTCTCTCTCTCTCACCACACACACACACGACACACACACACACGATACACACACACACACGACATCGCAGGCGGAGTTGTAGACTGGGCAGGCGTGAGCGTGCACACGGTTGCGTCTCTACTCAAGCGCTTCCTCAAGTGTCTGCCAGAGCCGCTGTTGTCGTGGCAGTTGTACCCGCGCTTCCTGTCGGTAGCCAGCCTTGGCGATCCGGTGGAGAGGTTGCGCGAGCTGCGGGTGCTCGTCAATCTTCTGCCGACAGAGAACAGGTCGCTGCTGGGCGACCTCACCCGGCTGCTGGTCGACATTGCTTCCCGAGCGGCTGTCAACAAGATGAACGCCACCAATCTCGCCACAGTCATTGGGCCGACCCTGCTCTACTCCCAGCCGGACTCGGAGGAGGCTAGCTCTGACTCTCTCCTGGGCAACATGAACGCAGCCAACCTCGTCGTGGAGAGCATTATCGCCTTCCACGCCGAGCTCTTCGGTACGCCCGCACGCGAGCCAAACAGCACGAGCGTGCCACAGCCCACGGACGATGCCACCACGCGCAACACCCTGCCCGCAGACGCCGCCGGTCGCCAGGAGGTCAAAGGCGGAGGATCAACTGACGCCGCCCGTGAGCTTCCAGGTCTCAACGAAACTGCCGTCTCTCGCCTGCGCAGTGTACGGGATCAGTGGCGTAAACGGGAAACTAGCTCAGGTGAGCGACTGGCCACAAAGTCGAAGGACGTGTAATTTCAGTAGGAACAAAAGTTCGGCGTACTCCTGGCGGAGTTATTTTTAAAGTTGCACGGAGGTTGACTTTATTAAAAAAAAAAATATAATAATGAAGTCTCGTGTCGCGTGCGGAGTTTTGACTTAGAAATTTTTGCGCTCAACGCCACGCAAGAAAGATCACTCGTTTTCTCGCTTGCCTTGTAAGCTCTTGGCCTCCCGTTTCGTTCAAAATGCGCCGCAGAGGACGGGCTTCAAGATGTAATAGGATTCAGACCTCTAGGATGCCTCATTGGTCCGCTAGGACCAAGCCATTTTTACTTGTAAATTGTCATGTCGCAGTTTTTTTTGACGTCCACACAACCGAGAGCACTGTTTTTCTCGCTTGCCTTGATAGCTGGCAGCTTGGAAATTATTGTCCAATTGAACCATGGGCAACAAGATGGCGCACGATTCAGGGCGCTAGAATGCGCTGTTCTGTTCCCCTCCGCCTTTGAAGCCTTTAAGTATGTGTAGAGAAGTGGAAAGATGTATTCGATATGGTGAAAGAGTACAAAGCTTTAAGAATAGTCTTTGTGTGTTTTTATAAGTGTGGTTGGTGGTCTATACGACGGTCGGGATGTCGGACTTCAGGAGTTCATGGACTTCGGACTTGGTAGTTCTGCGGATCCTGTGTAGTCCAACATAGTATTCTATTCATCGCTCAGTTATTTTGCTATGTCTACACTTATTATTTGCGGCGGTTATTTTTATTCCCAATTCCACTCTTTTGGTTAGTGTTCTTTCTTCTTGGGGGATGCAACGAAAACGCATAACACTCGTTAAACGCGTTTAACTAGTTTAACTAGTAAAACTGATTAAACTCGTTTAACGACCTGCCCACTCATTGAACGGGTGGGCCACTCGTGAAACGAGTAGAGAACGTGTGAAACGAGTAGAGAACGTGTGAAACGAGTAGAAACCGCGTGGAACGAGTAAAGCCCGCTAGAACGGGTAAAAAATGCGTAAATAACGAGTAAAACGAGTAAATAACGAGTTAAAGGAGTAAAAAAACGCATCCCCTTGGGGATGCAACCGAAACCGAGTGATACGAATTGCACGCGTAACGTGTAAAACTAGTAGGGGGATGGCTTGTTTTCGCGGACATCGCGGGCCGGCGACTCATCCCCTAGCTCACGCAAAGAACGAACACACATGAAATTCGATGATGGTTGAAGGAAAACTCACCAGCCTTGAAAGCTCAGGGTAGGAGTGGTGCCAAAATCACTTCGTCAGGCGATGCGCCTCAGGGGGAGCAGTGTGAGGATGGTGAGACAAGCCATTGCGGTGTTGCACTCACCTCTGTCGTGCCTTTCCTACTCTCACTCTATGACACGTCAGCATGACGTGTCTACGTATTTTCGTACTTCCTTTATTCTGTATTTTCCCACGGAAATAGATTGTTCTCTTTTCTCCCGTACTACGAATTAGATGTCGTGGGTCCCGTTCCACTGGGCGTAGACGACACGGCCACGCGCATCGTTCCTCACACCTGCAACATGCGGAGCTCACACGTTTAGTCGTCCTTGTAAGTCGTTAAACTAGTAAAACTACTAGTAACACTCGTAAAACTAGTTTTACCCGTTTTCGTTGCATCCCCTTGCTCGTCTCTGTACTGGTTCCGCATATTGGTATTGGCACTTGAGTCTCCGCGGGTAGTCGCGGCATCCGCGATGTCCGCAGGTAGTCACAATGTCCGCAATGGCCGCGGTTGACTCATCTCCCGAGTTATCACGGTTTACTCTTTTTCTTGGCATTCCCCATCGCACAACGCCGCAGCTCGTGAGTGCCAAGGTGCGTTCAGTGCCGCACCACACTACAGCACCTGTAGCTTACGCGTAGCTTACGCGCGACCCACGCGTGGTCAACACGTGTAAAGTGTGCTACGGGTTCTAAGCGTGCTACGCGTTTTCGGACGCAGGTCCCTAGAGGGCTGAGTCCTATCACATCTTGAAGCCCGTCCTCTGCGGCGCATTTTGAACGAAACGGGAGGTCAAGAGCTCACAAGGCAAGCGAGAAAACGAGCTATCTTTCTTGCGTGGCTTGAGCGCAAAAATTTTCAAGTCAAAACTCCGCACCGAGAATAATATTTTTATTTTCGTTTTTATAACAACCTACGTGACGTGTTCGGAAAAATCCGGGGTGTTGGACAAAATGCGGGGACGGTGCGACCATTATTTAGCTCTTGCGCCATAGAAACCAGGCCAGCCAGAAGGAGAGTACAAAGAGCATACACAGGAAACAAAAGACCAGAACACCCACTGGTGTAGCCAGTGTGCGCAGCCTTGAGATTGGCAGGATTCCGTGGTCTCCTCCTGTGTAGCTAGAGATGAGATGCTGCTGCTATAACGCCATTTGGACAGGCCGTACCTATGGGGCTGCCCTTAAGGTAGCGGCAGTGGAGGGCATAGAGAAATTGCACAAGTGGGGCAAATTCATGGGAGGACACTGGTGGTGGGATGGCCTCCTCCAGATTGTTGCCAATCCCTGTGGTTAGTTAGAATGCGGTCAAAACATCATCTGGAGGAGCCTGTATCCGTAGGGTAGGATCATACCACGGGGCATGAAGCGGACATCGAGGGGTGACCACTTCCGAGCAGCAAAGACGCGGCGGGTTCGTGGGCGAGGGGTAGCCAAGTGGCTTTTTGGCGGCTGCGGAAGGGTTTCAACCTGGCCATCCACCACTCTGGGTGTAAGTAAGGGAAGGAGGGAGGGCAGGCAGGCGAAGGGTTCGAACAGGTACCTCAAAGATCAATTTTAGCTGTTCCACGAGCTTGAGGATGCGTGTCTTGAGATCTGTTTCGCCAGCAGGCTTTTCGGTGTCGCCCTGGCCTGTAGGAGGCACAACCTCCACCACCTCCTCACTGGCATCCTGATGTAAACCGAAGGGAGAGAAGGGCCGTAAATATTTAGATAGAAATCTCTAGATAATTTCTGCACAATCAAAGAGGCGAAGGGCAGCACCGCGAGAGATGTAAGGGTAGCGATTACGGTGTCGCGGTCGCCCTGCGTGCTATCGGCAGGACGATAGAACACGGGAGAATAGTCGGCAAGTTGCTTGCAGATCATAGCGCAATGCTGGCGCAGCCGCTCTGCAGCATCGCGACGATATTTGAGCTCAAGATACTCAGCTCACTCGTTCGGGGACGCACGTCACGCCGCAGGTGGCTTTGGGGGGGGGGGACGCACGTTCGAGCTGCTGGGCTTGGCTGCTTGGGGCAAAGATGTTCTGCTGAAGCCGCACGATCGTTTCCTCCCCCTCTTTGATGACACTCATGAGCTGTCCATTGCTCAGTGTAGCCACCACCTGCACCGGAGGAGAAAGGGAGAGGCGGAGAGGGGTTGAGATGGATGGAGTTTGGCGGAGAATTGGCCAGCAAGGAGGGAGCAGCGGGATCGCGACAACACGCACCTTTTCGTACTGGCGGAGGTCAGCCACGGCGAGGAAATCCAAGTACTTGGATGTCAGGAGACGATAGGCCAGGTGGGAAAAGAACCCCAGGTTGGCGAACACGTACGCTCGCCTACACACACACACACACATTACATGACATTGCATGACATGACATACCAGATCACATGTACGGGATGGAGAAGACGTCAGTGCGAGGTCGTGTGGGAAGAGGCATGCAAGGCTGCTACCATTTTTTAGCAAAATCCTGTGCCGATTGCGTGGGCACCATGCCTGGCGGTTGCACGTATGCAAGCCATATCTCGACCACCTGCGCGAGGGGAGGTGGAAAAGAAGGCGGAGTACCAGTATCGGCGATTAGTCCACCAACATTGACGTTCGGGCAAAGAACGCTCCGTCGTGCGCCCATCCAGAATAGAAGGGGAGGGGAGATATCTAACTACCCAAGAGAAGGGAGGACCGCCACCGGACCAGCGGCTGATGGAGGCATCGAGGAATCTCCACAAGGGCTTCTGGAGCAGCTGCAAGCTCTGAGCACACCGCCGCCACCGCCACCGCCACCAATTGTGGAAACGGCGCATTGTCAGCTGCGCGTAGAGCGAAGGTTCACCACCCACCCAACAAAGGAAAGGAGGCGGGCAGTGCGCTCAGGTGTGTTCGAGTACCTCGGTCATGGTGACCGGTGCTTCCGCCGCGGTGTTCCTCTCATAGGCACCAGCACCTGCGCCACCGGGAGATCTGTCTCGATAGGCTGCGGCACGCGCGATTTTCGCCCCTCTTTCAGTAACCCCTCCTCCTCCTCCTCCTCCTCCTCCTCCTCCACCTCCTCCCTCTTCGAGCGTCGAGAGGGGGAAGGGAATACATAGATTTGTGGCGGGCATGTGCAGTCACACTCACGTGCGTTGCACGGCCCACGACACACGAATATGATATGATATGATAAAATATGAGATACGGACCGTAGGGGCTGGTGTAGGGAGTGCGAGTCGGGGTACCCGCTCCATACGGGGTTCCTCCGGCAGAGTGCACCAGCAAAGGCGGGAGACTAGTCGAGGCCTCCACTGCAGCGGAGACCAGATGACGCACGAGTGCATGCATCCCCGCCAGCATGGGCGATGTAGGCTGGCCCCATCCATCAACCCACGCAGCCCGAGGCGGCACCTCACGCTCTGGTTAGCGAGGTGCCACCACCACCACCTCGGCGAATACAACTGGACGGAGACAAGAGAAGAGTACCTGGCGCTCACCAGAGTCATTGTTGTGCGGAAGCCACATCTCGATGAAAGTGTGCAAAAACGATTTCGCCACCCGGCGCCCCCTGTTCTGTTGTGTGTGGGGTCCCGGCGAGGTGTCTCTGGTGGGTCCCATGTCAACCACGGACTAACGGTTAGAAGTGGCCACCAGATCGATCGGCTGGCGTCCGTAGATTGCCACATCTCATCGGCAAGAGGAAGGGGCGCGGTACCGGAGGCCTGGTGAGGGGCTGGCAAGAAGGGCGGAGTGAGTGCGAACCCCGGCAGGAGAGGGCGGCGCCGAGTGCGGAACGACAGCTGAACTGCTGGGAAAGCACATCTGCAGATACTGCCCAAAGAGGCGCTGGTAGAGTTGCTGCTGCTCCTGGCTAGCCCCTGCACTACCCCCCTCACCCGGGGAGAGGGGGCGGGCGTTATTACATTACCGTGCCTTTTCGCGCTGCTCTGCTCCCACACCTCGCCGGGCAGTGGAGGATGGAGGTGTGTGTGTGTGTGTGTGTGTGAGAGAGAGAGAGAGAGAGAAGCGGGCGCGGGCGTGGTCTACCACCCAAAATGCAGGAAAGGAAGGCAAGCAGAGGTGTCAAGCGGGGAGAGGAGAGAGACCAGCAGCCTTCTCGGGTTCGGCTGAGAAGCGGGGCAGGTAGGTGCTCATTCGGCCCCTGTCGTCGGGCTGTGCTTTGCCCCTTGCCTGTACCGCCGTCGTTGTTGCACTGTGAGGATGAACGGTAGGCTGGACGAGAAAAAGAAACACGACATCGCGTCACAATCGCTTACCTGTATGCCCCGTGTCGCCAGGAACGCAAAGCTGACCATATAGAACTCAAACAAGTCTGCCCGAACGCCGCACGACCAACAGCACGACACACAAGAGTGAGTGAGAGTCAACTAAGGGACAGCATGCGGTGGTGAGAAGAAGAAGAAAGAAAGGGCGAAGAGTAAGTACTGAGGGGAATGGTTGAAATGGCAGCGCCCTGTACGTGGCTGGGAATCTTGGACTGGAAGAAGGGCGAGGCGATGGTCGGATCGTTGGCCTTGATGCCCTTCTGCACCGACGGCTGTCGCGAAAATAAAGAGAAAGAGTGAGCCAGCCCAGCCCAGAGCGGGAAGAGTCCAACAAGAGCCCACATTCCCGGGAGGAGGGGAGGAGGGGCCTGGCCTCTAAGATTACCGGCAGCAGAGAGACTGGGACAGCGACTTTGCGATTGTCGTCGACCGACTTGAGGAGATGGGCGAATAGGTCGCTGTTGGGGCTCAGCAGCTTTCCCCCACCATCCATCGCCCACCACGGACGGAAGTGAGATGACCGTGCAGCGTGTGTGTGTGTGTGTGTGAGAGAGAGAAAGGGAGAGAGAGAGAGAGAGACGTGACGAGCGAGTGAGGGGTTCCGAGGGTGCACCCCTTTGATGGGACAGTACCTGGCACAAAGCCTCGATGTCCTGCTTCCCGCATGCTTCAGCGAACCAGTTCGACCTGCTGCTCACACATGCGTTGGCCGTGCGCGCACGTAGATGTGTAAGCATGGCGAAGGGCAAGAGTGTGACAACGACACAGTAATCTGTGGGGTAGTGCCTTGAGTCGAGGCCGAAGATGTGCTGGGGCAGCAAGCCCAAAAATTGATGAAGCTGCAGCGAGTTGCCCTCGTACTCGCGGACGCTCAACCTGACAAACTCACACTAGTGTGCGTTCAGACGGATCGGTCTTGGGATTCGGGCTTGAGATTATCATCACGGACGGCCATGGCAGAGAACCGGGTCCGCCAAGCCAAGGGTACCTTGTCTCGAATGGTCTGGCGGGCAATGAGATCAGATGCCACCTTCTTGGGAGTAGGGGTGGGGTGGCCGGCCATCTCGACCCAAAAGGATGTGGATGACACGCAGAAAAAACAAACAAAGAAAACACAAAAAAAAACGTAGTTCCAAAAAAAGGACTGTACAGACGTGACGAGCATCATCACATGTCGAAAAAGAGGGGATCGTCCTCGGTGGTCTCGCGAGACGACTGCTTGTTGCCGGGAGCCCGCTTTCGCGCGTCGCCCAGGTCGATACTCAAGCGACGGAGTGAGCGGCTGAGCGTCTCCAGGTCTTCCGTTCCCTCTGCCCCAAGGCTCCGCAGTTCATCAGCAAAGCTTGCCACCTGGGTCGACCGACACACGGCGCACACGCGCGCTGCTGCATGAGTGGATCGATCGCGGGTGGGGTGGGGTGGGGTGGGGTGGGGTGGGGTGGGGTGGGGTGGGGTGGGGTGGGGTGGGGTGGGGTGGGGTGGGGTGGGTGGGGTGATGGGGATCATTGGATACGTGCCATATTCTTGGACTGAGAGAACATCTTCAGGTCTGGCGGGTGCGCACACGACTCCAGGAAGGAGCTCACCTCAATTTCTGGCCGGAGAGAACCGCACGCGTGAGTGGACCACAACACAATTCCAAGACGTTGGCGGGGGACGGGTTGCGGCACCTTGCGTGGCGACGGAAAAGGCGGGCTGGGAGGCGGGCAGCTTGGTGTAGAGGAGGCCGGGTATCTCTCCAACATCTTCTGCTGAGGACGACGGTGGCAAAAGAGTGGGGAATATCGACTCGCTGTAGCTTCCCGACGTCTCCAGCGAACGCGACGCCGACGATCCCGCGCCCTCCCACGGGGACGAACCGCTGTCCTCGACGAAGGGCTGTGGGAAGCAAGAGAGGGAGGAGGGAGGGGGGACACAACACATACGACACACAGTCGGCAATTAATCAGTCACACCGTCGCAGAACTAACGAGGGAGCGATTCTATACGGTGATGGCCTGCGGTACGAAGCCGGGAGAGGAGCGTGGAAAGTGCTGCTGCTGCTGCTGCTGCTGCAGAAAGAAGTCCCGTGTGAATGGAGGCGTGGAGAAGTTGAAAAAGTTGGCGTTGCCCTTTCCCGCGCTGCCAACCGCGGCAGTCCTGCACATCCCTCTCCAATCAGTTGTGTAGACACCGCGTGGTGGGTGCGTGGTGAGAGAGCAGAGGAGCAGAGGTTGTCGTACCCCCGGGTCGACAGACCACCACCACCACCACCACCGGCGCTCGTGCTGGGGCTTACGAGACCGCCACCGGAGAAGACAGGGGGGCTCATCATCTTGGGCGGGCTGGTGCTTGTGCCGAGCATCGCGAGCGCCCCGATATCGAGGTGGTCGTCGTCTCCCCCGCCCCTACCCCCTCTTGGCTGGCCTGAGGCGCCAGCGCCGCGGATGGGAATAGAAGCTGAAGAAGGAAGATTAGCCCGGCCTGCAGGCGGTAGAGCCGGGGCCATGACGGGTGGCGTGGCATGGCCCCCCAGTGAGGTGATCGGTGGCTGCATGCCGGGCGACGAAGAGGGCAGGAACACGGGCAGCGACGTTGCTCGCTCCAGTGACTTGCGATCGCGAGCAGACCGATCCGAGATGTCCGTTGCACCCCTGCCGCACGCACGCACGCGACACACATACACACGCAGGACGTTGAGTCGTGCGGCACACCAGCGACGAGCGAGTGAGGGAGAAAAAAGTCAAGCGGCAAAGAGAGGAGAGAGGAGTACCGTGGCGAGGAGGTTGCGCTCTCCTCCTTCCTCCTCGTAGGACTCACCCCCGGCGCTGCAGATCGGATTGGGATGGGGCGCACGAGGATTCATGAGAGAGGCTCATGGGACCATAATTCACAATAATTCACAATAATGATAATAATAATAGCGGCTTTATAAGATAATAATAATAATAATAATACAGGGTCAGGGCAGGGATAATAGGGTACCTCCAACAGTGGACGGTTCACCGCGAGCAGCAGACTGCTCAGAGGGGGAGGGCGCGTAGTCGCTGATCACAAAAGGCTCGATCTTCAGGGCTTGGAACTGGGTTGCAGCAACGCAATGTGAGTGAGTGTGAGTGTGAGTGAGCGAGTGAGCGAGCGAGGGGAAAAGGACATAAAGAGCACCTTGAAGGAGGGCAGGTTGGTGGCATACTCGACTGAGACTGCGAAGGTACCCGTCCGGCTCACCACGGAGGAAAACGGCAATGATTGCTTGCCAGCAGTGCCCGCCCACTCACAACGTGACGGGCTGGCAAGCGATGGCATACCTACGCCACCGCCACGAACCCATTTGTCAATCAATGAAATGAAAGAAGGGGATACGACGCAAGCACGCGCATCACGCCACGGAGAGATAGTCCCCAACCGCGAAGGGAAAAACGAAAGAGCGAGAGCGAGAGGGAGAGGGAGAGTACTGAGGGAAGCACAGGCGGATGGGTAGAGGGCGTAGTCGATAGAAAACGAGGTGGGCTGCTTGCGGCGCAGACGGACGAGCTTGTGAGCCGGCAGGGCGCGGACTACGCTCCCGACGGACCGCAACACCATCGCCGTCTTCTTCACGTTGATGGTGTTGTGTCGTGCCTCTCCGTTCGGCCTGCAGCAACGAACGACTTGGTTATCAGCGCACATGCATGCGCATCGCACACGACACACACACGACACACAAAGCGGGCACCAGCCTAGGAGGAGGAGGAGGAGGAGGAGTACTTGGCATTGAAGGAAAGCACCCAGCGCTCCAAGAGGAAGGGCTGGCTAGTTGCCAGGTCCCGGCGCAGCTGCTGCTGGTGCTGCTGTGGTGGTGGTGGTTGTTGTGAGGTGCCGCGGCTGCGGCTAGGTGGGTCCGAACTGGGCAGCTGGGCAAAGATATCGAGAGTGAGGTCGATGGCACTTCGTCTCTCGTTTCGCTTCCAGTCTCGCCAAAAGTGCGCGAGGTCTTCGTCCACCGCCCACAAGCAGTCCAGGTAGTAGTTCAACTGTGCGTGTTCCCCATCACCAGAGCCAACCGGTTAGCCCCCCCCCTAAAAGAAACGCCAACAACCAACTTGTACCCAGGTGCTGGCTTCTGGTGAGTAGACATCGGGACGGTGGTGGGGCGAAGAGGAAGGAGCGGGGTCGTGGCCGCCCAAGCGCTGAGAGCGTGCTTGGATGATGACTTGCGCAAAGGTGCGGAATGTATTGGTCACAATATCCTCCAGGGTGTTCTTCGCAGCAGCTCCCGAGGATGGGGCGACAGGCTTCAAGGGGTCGGCACCCTCTTCTGATACTGGGGCGCTAGTACCTCCTCGTCCTGTAAGGGATGAAGGATTCAGGCTCTGGCTTCTTTCTCTCCTCATCATCACCCCACGTTGCTTTTGAGTAGAAGAAAAGAAGAAAAGAAAAGAAAATGCGGGAGGGAAGAAAACATGTTTTTGCTTGTTTAGTTTGGTAAAACGGTTGGCTTGGGCAGCTGCTTCTTTTTCTTGCGAGGCAGAATGCCCCGTTGGCGCAGCACCTTCTGTGCGTCTTTGCTTAGCCCTCGCAAACGTTGGTGCCACTCATGGCGGCGCTGCTGTTGGGCGTCATCACTGCCGCCCACCTTCACCTGAGTTAGCGCACCGTGGTGTGTATGCAGAGCGGCATTGGTGGTGGTGGCGGTGGGTGGCACCTCGATCATGTCCTGCCGGTCAGCAATCCAATCGACGGCGTAGCGGAGCAGCGCAGAGCCATGGTGGAGGATGGCGAGTTCCAAGAGGGGCAGCACATTGTTCTCCTCCATCACGTCCCGCCCTATCACCATCTCGCATGTTGCCTTGAGGCCATCGAGCATGTAGTAGTCGGCCACGACGAACAGCCGAACCGCAACATGCACTGGTGGTGGTACCGACGATGACGAAGACGATGACGCCGCAGCTGGGCATGGTGCCGAGGAGGACGACGACGAGGAGGACGAGGACGAAGAAGAAGAAGTGATGGGAGGGGGTGGAGGCGTCTGCGAGACCTGTGTGAGCACCGTGCTGGTGAGCTGCTGAAGTTGCACGGTACCGCAGTAGATGTACTCCAGGAGGAGGAGAAACAGCTCTGGCGTGAGATGGGGGTCGTCAAGAATGACCTCCTCTTGGGCTGCCTCCCGCATGCCGCAGCCGAGCATTGCACGGAATCGGTCGCAACGCGCATACAACACACCTGTGCGCACCACCAGCCACCAGCCACCACCAGCCACCACCAGCACCACCAGCACCACCCGCACCACCAGCCACATGGGGTATTAGTTGACTAGAGTGAAGGCCAAGTGGGGGGGGGGCTGGTGCGCGCGTGGGGAGAGCGTCGGCGGCCGACACGCACATTTGTGGGCGAAGAACTTGTGGCCGTGGACCAGGAAGGAGATGTCGCTGAACAACTCGCTGTTGAAGAGCATTCGAAAGTCCCCAGCCACGCGCCTGCTCGCCAGCACTCGCCCTTCCACCTTTTCTGCTCTCGCGCGGAGAGAGGAGAGGGGAGGGTTGGTTGGCCATATATACACAGCGGGCAGAAGTGCCCACACAACTCCAGAAAGACGCCAGCGGCCGCCAGCAGGCGTTGCATCAGATATACCAGTGGGGTATCGACGTAGAGAGGAGGGGTGTAGAAAAATGGCTACGGAGAAATATGTGGATACAGTAGTGGGGTGTACCGAAGCAATACCGCACGACGTCGTTGCTGTTGAGGGCGGTGATGCCGCCAAAGAGATACCAGAGGCCCTTATAGAGCACGGCACTGTGTGCGGAACCACAGAGGAACCGCGGGCGGAGGCGCAAGAGTGACGACGTGCCGACGCCGCCGCGTGCAACCAACCGAGGGAAGAAGAACGGCGAAGAGACGGTGGGAGTGGGTCAGCAAACCACCCCCCCCCTCCACCCACCCCCACCGTTTACGGCCGCACCGCCGCACCTGTGAAAGTGCCTCGCCGGCGGAAGCTCGTCGCCCTCGCCTACGAAAGGCGTTACCTTTTCCCATCGGTCGTGCTCTGCGGTGGGCGGGGAGGAGGAGGAGGAGGAGGCTGGGTGAGCAGCAGCAGCAGCAGCAGCAGCAGCAGCCAGGCGTGGGCGAGGGGATGCTGGCGGGGGACCCAATGTTGGTGGAGGGGAGGAGGAGGAGGAGGAGGAGGTACGGAGGCTGTAGCGGTAGAGGGAGCAGAACCTGCTGCCGGTGGTGGTCGTGGTCGTGGTCGTGGTGGCCTTGTGCTGCTTGCCCTTCTGCTCCCTCCCACCGCAGACGTACAGGTGGCCCTTCCACCCCGTCATGCTGTGGCCCCGCAGTGCCGGCGCATCACTCGAGAGCCGCGTCCACACCCCCGTGCCTGGTGTGGGCAGCCATCACCCACCACCCTCCGAGGGAGATGAGGCATACATTACATTACATTACATACATCTCGAGATTTTGATGCGCACGGGGGGGGGGGGCACGCAGAGGGAGAGAGAGAACAGAAAAGAAAAGACACAGAACAGAACCCGAAAGGAGTTGAAGAGAAAAGGAAACATGAAGGTGTCAAGGCTAAGGCAGGTACCAAAGTCGTATTCGAAGAGATCGCCGTGGAAGACGCGACTGTACCCGCCACCCACGTACATCCGGCCCTCGTACACCGTGGCTGCGTGCAGGTGCCGCGGCGAGGGGCACGAGCCATGCGGCTCTATCAGCTCCCACGTGCTCGTTTCTGCCAGATGATCCACCCTCTTCAGAATCTTACAGACCACACGGCGCACGGCGCACGGCACGCACGGCACACGGCACACGGACGCCTGGCACGGGATTGACATGAGAGGGTGCGTGCACGTACTGAATGTGAAGCGCCACAGTTCAGCGGAGTAGGTGCCGGCGAAGCCGCCAAAGACGTAGAGAGCACCCTCGTGGCACACCCCCGTGTGACCCCACCGAGGACTCGGCAGCGAGCCGCTCCTCTCCGCCAGCGCCGCCACCTTGGTCCACCACTTGTCTCCTGTGTCACGACGTGGCACCACGGCCCATGACAGCACATATATATATATATATATAAATAAATAAATAGAAAGGCGGCGTGTCGCGCACACTACAAAAAGAGAGACTCCGCGGCGGGGGGGCACAGCAAGCGCGGTGGGGGGGTGTTTACGGAAGGCGAAGCGATGGAGGTCGTTGAGTTCTGCGTTGCCCTTGGCGCGGGAGATGCCCCCGAACACGTACATGGAGTCCGCGTGCACCACGGCCACGTGCGAATGCCGACCCACCGGCGAGCACGAGCGCCCTGCCGCCAGCACGCACTCCCACTTGTGCTCCTCTGCGCGCACCCCGCCGGCAAATGCACGCACGCACGCACGCACGCACGCACGCCACATGACATGCCACACGTCGTGGTCTGTGGGCGGGTGGACCAGAGCAGATCGTAGTCGTAGAGTCGTAGGGTCGTGTGGGGGTGGAGAAGTCGAGGGCGGGGTGTAGGTACCCAGGGAGAAGCGATGGGTGTCGTTGTAGTAGGTGGAGCTGCTGCCGTAGCCCCCGAACACCCACATGGCCCCCTCGTACTCCACGGCGGTGTGCACGTGACGCGCCCCAGGCACCACCCCGCGCACCGCCACCGCCTGCCACTCCCCAGCTGGGGTTGGTGTTGTTGGGATTATTTAATAATAATATAATAATAATAATAATATTAGAATCAGATGTTTGAGGGGCAAGCTTGGTAATTTACATTTACATTGGTAAGGGGAGGAGTTACATTGGTAAGGGGAGGTGTTATACCTTCACCTGCTACGGGTGCCTCCATCATGAAAGATTGGGGTGGTGTTCACGCCCCGCCGGTCACGTGACCGGTAGAACTTGGGCGCGTGCCGCACGAATTCAGAGGGAAAACCGGGGTGGGCCAACGCGTAACGTGCCAACACTCCGGCCCACAGGCACGGACTCTTCCAACTGGCCCTCAAAGGCACACCACGCACACTTCACCTGCACCCCCTCCCCCATTTCGACTCGAAGACCTCAAGAGTTGGAGATTAGATCATCATGATCGGAAAGACTCGGAAAGATAAAAAAGAGAAGGGCAAGGAGAAGGGAGGCAAGTCCTCCTCCAGAGAGCACAAGCCCGTCCCCTCGCCGCGAGATGACGTACACGCCATGGCCCATCCTCTGCTGCCTTATTTCTATTTATTTATTTATTTATTTTTATCTCCCTTATCCAAAAAGTTTTCTTTTTTGTGGCCCATATTTTTTATTTATGTAAGTATTTTTTTTTCACGTACACGACAAAAGAAAAAGTAACAGCTGAAGCCCATTGGGGGTACCGGTCGTCGTACAGGTGCTGGCGGCGGTGGCTGCGTTGCGGGCCAAGGTGGAGGAAGAGGGGCTCAAGGTGGACTACGAGATACACGACGAGTGGCGCCTGGCGGGCTTTGTGAAGGGCGCCGGCCTCGACGTCGACAAGGCCTTCCTCAACTTCACCCACTCTCTCGTACCGCCACACCACCGCTGCCCCAGCCTTCGAGGAGCATCTCCCTCCCTCCTTGCTGTCCGCTCATTTCCCCGATGTCGTGTGCGTCGTGTGTGTGTCGTGTGTCGTGTGCGTGCGTGCGCGACCAATGCAAGAAAATGCGGGCGGAATGTGGAGCCGACACGGTATTGGAGACGGCGCCAAAGACCAACAAGAACTTCCCGCTGGTGCTCAAGTACTGGCCTGGCCACTACCACAAGCACGACAAGGACGGCTGCCCCGTCTACTACGAACGCCTCGGCGCCGTCGGTACGTGTGCGCCTATAACTATACTGCTCCTTCTTGTTTCTTTGTTCTTTGTTCTTGTTCTTGTTCCTCTTCCTCTTCCTCTTCCTCCTCCTCCTCCTCTTATGTTCCCTCCCCCAATCCACGCCATGGGTTGGTGGGGTGGTTATATTGTTTGACAAACCGGATCTTGGGCGTTGCGTTGCGACGTGCTGCGAACAGACGTGCGCGGGCTGTTGAACACGGTGCCCGGCGAGGATCTCTTCAACGTGCACGTCTACCAGCAGGAGCAGTCGCGCGCCCTGTACCTCCCCCCTCTCGGCAGCGGCGGCCACCACCACTGCAGCTACCGCGCCACCGTCACCACCAGGTGCTGGTGGCTGGTGGCTGGTGGCTGGTGGCTGGTGGCTGGTGGCTGGTGGCTGGTGGCTGGTGGCTGGTGGCTGGTGGCTGGTGGCTGGTGGCTGGTGGCTGGTGGCTGGTGGCTGGTGGCTGGTGGCTGGTGGCTGGTGGCTGGTGGCTGGTGGCCTGGTGGCTGGTGCTGGTGGCCTGGTGGCTGGTGGCTGGTGGCTGGTGGCTGGTGGCTGGTGGCTGGTGGCTGGTGGCTGGTGGTGCTCATCCCTCCTCTCCCGCGGCGGCGGGCCGTTGGTTGGGGTTGGGGTTGGGTTGGGGGGGGGAGCAGGAAGGCACAGCTGAGCAAGGAGCACAACCGGTCGATGTACCTGTGCATCTTCGTGCAGGACCTCTCCGGTACGGGCGCCACTACCACACCACCCTCCCCAGTGGCTGCCCCCAACCACACTGCTGGCGGGCGCTGGCGCGGGTCGACCACCACCGAATCTGCGCAGGCACGCCTGGCTCACGTATCGGGGGGCGGGGCGCTGCTGCGGGGGCGCACATGGGCGGGGCGGGTGCAGGGCTCTCGATGAACCACCTGTACACGCCGGCCTTCGACCTCTTCAAAAAAATCCTGGGCTTCGACCAGAGCAACTACCCCGATTCTCTTAAGGTACCTCTTGACCTTTTCTACATTCTTACATACGTATTGATGCAATCGTGTGCTTCGTGTGTGCTTCGTGTGTGTCGTGTGTGGCCAGTCGTATTACGTGATCAACTCGCCCGCGTGCCTCAAGATGATGTACTCGCTGATCAAGCCCCTTCTGGACCCCAACACCCGCAAGAAGGTGCACATCCTTGGCAGCAACTACCGGGACACCCTCCTCGAGGTACACACCGCCACCAGCCGCCGCTGCCGCCCAACGCGGCTGTGCGAGTGGCTGCCGTCAGGACTGCCTCCTTCCGTTCTTCTCGCTTCTTTGGTCGGACTGATTTCTTACTCGCCGCCGCCGCCGCCGCCGCCGCCGCCGCCACCACTACGGTCCCCTGTGCGTCACCGTCGCCGTCGCCGTCGTCATCGTCGTGTGGCCCCAGGTGATCGACGAGGAGCACCTGCCGGCTGAGTACGGCGGGGAGTGTGCGTGCGAGGGCGGCTGCATCCCGGGCGGCGGCAAGTTCGTGGACCTCAAGGACGACGGCACCACCTACAACCCCGCCGAGGTGTCCATTGGCCGGAAAGGTGTGCCCCCTTCCCTCCCCGGTTGGGTTTGGGTTTGGATTTGGGTTTGTTTTTCTCATGAGAACCTATGCCTCGGCCCGTGATGTATGTGTGTGTGTGTGGCAGACAAGCACGAGGTCAAGCTGACGGTGGCCCAGGGAGCGACGCTCTCATGGGAGTTCACTGTAAAGAGCCACGACGTGGGCTTCGGGGTCTTCTTCGGGGAGGGCAAAGTACGCCCCCCCCCCGGCATCCCCTTTTCTTTTTCTCTTCCCGGGTTGGGAAAGGGCCGCGTGCTCGCGTGGCTGACCGTGACTTGGCACGTGTGATGTGGTCACTACTACGTGTGATGTGATCACGTGTCGCAGGAGCGGGAGGCATTGGTGGCGATAGAGAAGCACCACGGCACGCGCAAGGGCAAGCTCACGGCGGAGAAGGCCGGCACGTACTGGCTTGTGTGGGACAACACCTACTCCATCCTCAAGGGCAAGAGCGTGGAATACCAGGTACAATACCCCCCCCCCAAACCTTGCCCCATGCTCTCTCGTCTGCGCGTTCTATTGGAATCGCATGCCAGAAGATGTCCTTCCTCACCACCGTCCCACCCATCCACCGTCTCTATGGTGCAGGCCTTCATCAACGCCGACACCGACGACGACGACGACGACGACGACGCTGTGGAGTGAACGGCGGTCCCTTCAGTTCGCCCGGCGATGTGCGTGTTGTGTTGGGCCATCATCGATCGTGGCGTGGGTGGTGGTTATTTTTCCAGCTCTGTACAGCCACCCGCTGGCGAAACGTTGCCCCCCTCTCACCACCACGCTCGCAGGCTTCCACGTGCACCGGGGGGGGGGCTACGGGCGTGTGGGGAAAGAGAAGCCATCCGTGGCGGGAGGGCTCAAGGGGCGCAACCAGCGCCGCCAGCCGCCGTCGCCCATGACCTGCCGCATGTTCTCCTCCCGGCCCAGGTCGTACCGGTTCTGTAGGATATAGTCAGCTGCGCCGCCAATGGAGAGGCGTGAAGAGGAGATGAAGGGAGGCAGAGAGGGGTGGTGATGGTGGTGGTACCGAGGCTAATGTCCGCCCCTGGCGTCTGCTGCTGCGGCGGGGTCCAAGCGCGATTTGCTCGATGGTGGTGGCGTTCTCGGTCATGTTGACGTACATGTGGCCCGTCATCATCGCGATGTGGGCTGTCGCCGCCAGGCTGAGCCACCAGTTCCCGAACAACAGCGCACCCTCCCTGTGCTCCCACCGCCGCCGAGAAGGATCATGACGGTAAGGGGAAAAAAAGGAGGAGGTGTGCGCAGCACAGGATCGTCACAGCGGCCCGCTTGGCTTCATCCATCATCCATCATCCATCATCCATCATCATCCATTGTCGTCCCAATTGACACGTCCGTGGTGTGGGGCCGAGCGGGAGGTGGGCAGCGCAAACATACCACCAGAAGGCGTCGTGGGCCATGTCGGCCCACTAGTCGACCGTAGGCAGTAAGGCAAGGTACACGGGCGCCCAAGTCCGTGTGCGGTGGGGTGGTGGTGGTGGGGGCGGTGAGCACATGGCCAGTCTGCGGGCTCGGGAGTAGGCCGGATTGCGCCCATGGCATAGGGGGGTTGGGGTGCGCGCACCTGTCGCCAGAAGTGGAGGCCGCCGAGGAGAAATAGACAGCTGGCGCTCACGCCCAGAAGGGATGCAGTGCAGAGGAAGATGAAGAACAGCTTGAAGTTGTTGTTGCCCACGCAATTATTCACCCACGGACCTAAGCGTTTGGAACGCGTACAACACACCCAATAAACAACACACAACACCATACATGCAACACACAACACCATACATGCTAGGGTGGTGAGGATGTGGTTCGGGTTGTTTGTTGGTGGCGTGGCGTGGCGTGGCGTGGCGTGGCGTGGCGTGGCGTGGCGTGGCGTGGCGTGGCGTGGCGTGGCGTGGCGTGGCGTGGCGTGGCGTGGCGTGGCGTGGCGTGGCGTGGCGTGGCGTGGCGTGGCGTGGCGTGGCGTGGCGTGGCGTGGCGTGGCGTGGCGTGGCGTGGCGTGGCGTGGCGTGGCGTGGGCGTACAGTGGTGGTCCATTTTGAGGACACATCTGGCGCGCAGACAGAATCATCCACCCCGTGGCCACCGCCCAGGGTCAGATATTTGGGCCAAACCACACAAGCGCACGCACAACACGTGGGTCGTCGTCGTGGTTAATGCAGATGACCGCGCGCGGGGGTGCGTACCGGTCGCACACGCGACAGTGCCGGGCGCGCGGAGGTCGCAGGCTGTTGCACTTGAGACAGTAGTCTTTCCACCGACGGTCGTCCTCGTCATCACTGCCATGAGCGGCATCATCGTCATCATCACCGTCCTCGTCATCTTCATGAGCATCATCACCACTGGCCCCGTGGGCATCACGGCAGCCAAGGTGATGCTGATGGGCTCCTTGGACGCGGGCAAGGGCTGGAACGTGAGTGGCGGTGTTGGTGTGTGGTGTGTGGTGTGTGGAGTGCGTCAGCGCGAGAGAGATGCATCGGCGGCGGCGGCGGCGGCGGCGTACCGTCGTCCCCGTGCAATGACGGGGTAGGCGTGGCCTGCAGCACCACCACCTCGACTCCGCCCGGTTCGGGGAACTGTTCCTCCTCCCCCGCCGTGGCCGCCATCATCTGCTGCTGCTGCGTCCTCAGCCCCACCACGGGCGGCACCTACAGCCCCAAAAAGGGAGCAAATAAGCCAAAGAAGGATGCTGAAGGAGGAGGAGGAGAAGACGTCTAGCGCCAGCCAGCCAGCCAGCCAGCCAGCCAGCCAGCCAGCCAGCCAGCCAGCCAGCCAGCCAGCCAGCCAGCCAGCCAGCCCACGCAGCCTTTTGGCTGCCAGAGCGATCAAAGAGTGGTGCGGTACCCAGGAGGTGGGCACGAGGCCGGGCGAGGAGCGTAGGAGGAGGATGTGTAGAGCGAGGGTGAGGGCGAGAAGGCCCGTGAAACCGGCGAACGCGGCCCCCAGCACGACGGGCGGCGGCACCCACCAAGAGGCGGCGAGGAGGGGCGCGAGAACGGTGCGCAGGAGGGCGAAGTAGCAGAGGCCTATCCAGGCGTAGAGGGCCGTGACGGCAAGCCGGCCCACATGGGGCGTCGAGCGGAGGGCGTGGAGGCGGGCGAAGCGCTGCCGCCGCTGGTCGTACCAGTGGGCCAGCTCCGGGGTGCGGCGGAAGAGTGGCGGGATCGACGCATCCCCATGCACCCGTTCGCACTCCTCTCGATTCGCCCCCGCACCACACCGCCCGCCGTGCCCGTGTGTGTGCCGCTGCCGCGCTCCTCCCGCCAGGTGCTGCAGCATCACGTTGCTTGCCTCTTTTATTCCTTTTATTTTTATTGCTGGCCCAATTAACTTTCTTTTCTCTTTAAGAAGAAAAACACAAAAGAAAATAAATAGTGCAAGCTTGTGGAAGGGCGGAAGGAGATGATGGCACGTGGGCAGGAGGGGGTCAGTGTTGGAGGGTCACAGAAACTTGTGTCTAGACTTCAAACCACAATAAAAGGGGGGAAAATGCCTTGGTCAGCCAGACAAGTGAGGAGTAGGTGATGTTAGTGTGTGAAGGTGTTTGCAGCAGACAGAAAGAGCTGCAGACATTTTGGTAGTTATTTGTCTCCAGTGAGGGGGAAGGAAACAGAAGAGGTGACAGGCATTGGGAAGACAGGCTAGATGTGTTCAGACTTTAGTAGACAAGCTAGATGGAATTAGGAGAAGGGGAAAGAAGGGCCTCAATGCCTAGCTGCTCACAAAGGGAAGGAAGTTAGTTGATGCAGACAAGGCATGCAAGACACAGAAGACAACATCACAGGGCTCAACACCTTCAACCTGTGTCACACAGCCTGTCAAACACATACTCTGATACCATCCTGTGGTACCCTCTCCCACCCTCCTGTCCAAAAGAAGTTAGTAAAACTATGTCTAGCAATGTCAGACTGTCAAACCTTAGATGCACTGTTTTGCTTTCTGCTTTCACAAGTTTCTCTGGAACCATTGGCAGTGGTGTACACACAGTCTTGGGCAAAGTTGGTGACTTGGCTAGCATGGCCTCTATCTCCACAAGAACCTGTGCCTTATCCACCATCCACACCACCCCAGGCAATCAGCCATACATACATTGAAGAAGTGACTCTGGCAGCACTTGTGCCATTGATGTAGTTGGTTCACTTTTATTAGTTCATGACAGCTGGGTTGAGCAAGCATGTCCACAGGACAGGCTCCACTTTCCACATCAGGTCTTCCTCCTGCAGATGTTCAACCTGCACACAAGCACACACACATTATCATTGTGTTATTCTCCCACTAGTGGCTGCATGACAGGAACAAACAAACACCACACCTTCAATGTGGACACTTTCTCCTTGCTCCTCAAGCCAGTGGTTTTGACTTTGGGTAGTTGCTTTCCACCCAGGTGCAATAACAACACATCTACATGGACATTGCTGGGCCTCAGTGAGTGAGGTGATGTAGGGGGGGTAGGGGAGTCCATGGCTGTGGGTGTAGGGAAGGACAAGAAACATTTTTGTGCCCATCATGATGCAGTTAGTAGCACTGGTGACCAGTCCCACACTTTTAAACTGGGGTGCAGGTCCTTCCTCAGACAGACTGAAGAAAGGTGCCTAGTTGACTAGGAGAGAATAGAAGGGTCAGAGTTGATGAGATGGGTGAGAGGGCATGAGCCAAATCAAGGGACTGTCATGACATACACTGGGGTGTGAACACTTGCAGAGCAGAACTTGGTCTGCACTGTGGAGAAGAGTTGATCAATGTCTTCATGGGTGTGGCCTACAATCAAGAAGCTGAATATGATCTCCTTGAACACATTAAGAGCTGTGAAAGCTGAGGAAAGTAAAGACGCAAGTGTTCTTGTTGTCAGCATAGCAATTATCAGCTTGAAAATAAAGGGTGGGGTGTAAGAGGCCTTAGGCCATGCAAACTGAGGGTGATGGAAGAGGTGCTTCCCTGTGGCATGATCAATGAGACCACCCAAGCACATCATGTACAACTCTTGGGAAGGGGATGATGGCAAGGCAGGGGGATGGGATTTGATGAGACTCATGTAGTCACTTGGGCATGACTTAGCCAGCTGTGTCTGATGCTTGTAAGCCAGCCTCTTGGATGCAGCAAGGTTGAGGTGGGCTGCCCTGTGTGCATGATAGGCCTGCGCCTCTGCTGTTGACTTGGCACACAGGCTGGGCGTGCTTTTGGGGGGTGTGTTGGGATGAGGGCATGGTCATGGAGAGGAAGGGGGTCATGAGGTCACTGGGAAGGATGTTGGGCTGCATGGCAGTTGAGATGTGGTCTTGTTGATGGTGGGAGAGAGACAATGGGTGGCTGGACTTTATACCACACCCTTGCATTGAGAAACACAAGGTCATCCACTAACAACAAAGCACAAAAGGGACCAACCAAGTGTTGGGTAGATGCAATTTTCAGGGATTGGCCATATGTATGCACTCCAAGGCACCCATTGAACAATGATAATACAATTGTTCTGAATATGTGTGCTGATTCTTGCATCCTTGTGCCAACAACTGGTCTTACACTCCAACACATCAGCAGGAGGAGGAGCTGGAGGAGGAGAGTCAGGTTTCCAGGAGCAAGGGATGGAAGCACAGTGCTCTTGAGAAGGAGCAGGAGCAGGAGGAGGAGGGAGAAGACATGAGGAGGAGGAAGTTGGGGCGAAGGGTAAGGAATGTGTTGATGTGCATCCAGTCAAGAAGGTCCACATCACCAAGAGACAACCAGTTGCTCTTCCTGAGGCAACACTTAGCGTTGTGGAGAAGGCCAGCTACTTCCTTGACCTTACCTTTGCTGAACTTGGTATAAACTTGGTTCTTGCTTTATTCATACATTTTTTTGTACACCCTATCTGATGTGCATTGGATGGGCAATTTGGATCATTTTTTTATTGTACACTCTGTGTCAGTATTAGTGGAAATGTTCCAAGTTCTCTGTGTGCATGATGCACATCCAATGCATGTTGGATAAGAATTTATAATTTTAATTCACATTACATATCTTTCATCTGCATTGCCTCAACATTAAGTACATACATAATGGGCATCTGACATGTGTTGGATTGTTGGTATGTCCATTTTTAAGTTACAATTTGTTATGGTTTTTATGTTTTTTGGGATTTTTAGACAGATTGTATGTGTGTGGTTACAATCTGATGTGTGTTGGATTGCCATTGCACTACTTATCTTCACTCCAGCATCTTCTTTTGTCCCTTTTGTCTGTACATGCTTATCTGTACATGCTTATCATCTGATGCATGTTGGATGGTCTTCTTGTGCATTTTCAAGGATATTGTGTCCTTGAGTGCAGAGACACTCATACCTCAGGTCATCCCTCACTGGCATAGCCTTCAGCTGCAGCCTGACCTGGCCAGTCTGCACCTTTGTAGCACTGCTTGTTTGGATACTAGCAGCCCCAAGGTGTCAGGAGCTGATGTGCTGCCTGCTGAACTGCACCAATGGTGGATTGAGGACAGCAAGGGCTTAATCAACCTTGCCAATGCAACCATGTTTGGTATGCCCAAGTAATTTATGTTCTGATTCTGCATCAACCATTGAATTTTATGTCCTTGTATCTGCACATCCTGCTCATCTGATGTGTGTTGGATGGTCTTTTTGTGCATTTATTGCAATACTGACATGTCTCCTCCAATTCTGTTTTATGCAGCTCATCATCAGCCTGTTGACATACACAGGTTGAAGCACCTCTTCCAGAGCATGAAGGAATCAGGAATCTTCCACAGCCACGCTTCTTCATTTGCTATCTCAACAAAGATGAGCATGTTGACCCAAACAACACCAATGAATTTGATAAGTTGTAGTTTTGGCTGCTTTCAACATCTTGCTTACACCAACTTCCCTTGGTATCACAGAGGCTGTTGACTGCAACCATTGACTTATTGTTTGGCGCATATGCACAATAAGGAATGGAGTGAGTCCACATTGGTGCTGAACTTCACTTCTACACTACAAGCAGTACACCCTTCCAGCCTGGGCTACAGCATCTGGCACACCAAACTTTGCTCTCAATGCTGCCTATGTGGTACACCACTACAACCTGATCTTCCTCTTCTTGTGTGAGAAATCTGCTTGTCTTGACAATCCAACATGTGTCAGATGCTCTTTCCTGCTTTTTTTGATGTTGTGTTAACAACAAAATTGCTTGTCAATTTGCAGAAGGAAGGTCAAGCAGTCACCCCCAATGCCCTCAAGAAGGCCTACACAATCTTCAATGATCTCAGCAACCATGCAGAGGCAATAAGGTCCACCCCTCCCTTCTCCTCCTCCTCCATCACCACTATTCCATGGAGCCTTCCTTTTACTCTCCTAACCTCCTCTCCCATAGCTTCATCCAGGCTGAGAATATGGAACTACCACCGCAAGCTCAAAAAGCAACCAGTACAACATTCTCTTTTTTGTGCATGCACCTGATCCAATGTATGTTAGATCACATAGTTATTTTTTATTTTCTATTTTATTCTATTTCTTATTTTATATTCATCACATTTCCACTTTCCTGTTCCTGTGCATCCTGCCAATCCCATGCACATCAGATCAGGTATTTCTTTATTATTATTAATTTTATTACACTTGTTTTTTCATGTTTCTTTTGTTGTGTGTCTGCTTTCCTGTTCACATGGACAATCCAATGCACATCAGATTGGTGTACTGATTTTTTCTCTTCTCCTGATGCAGGTCTCAATCTACATGCATGATCTTGGCATCAACCAGAACAACTACCTTGATGCAGCATATTCATCACCAGCAACCCTCAACTTGGACCACCTGGCACCTCCTCACATCAGCAGCTTCTTCATCATTCTCTTCTGCCACACCAACTGCCCCTTCAACACCATCTGGGTTCCAAACCCTCCTCCTGGCAGAGAGACAGCTCAGATTGGTGCTCCTTACTGCTACCTCTCCCACATTCCTCTACCACCTGCCAACAAGGACAACATCAGAGCTTCTAACCTTGCTCTCATGGCCAAGAACAAGGTGCTTCTGCATCCCTGCTTCTACAGCTTCCTCCTCACCAGCATTGACTTCCCAGCCACCACTGAGGACTACATCCACACAGTCTATGACACCCAACCCACCTACAACATGCTGCTTCCCATCAGCATCATCATGAACTTCTGGTACCTCCTGCCATTCACCAACAAGGCCTCCAACTTCAAGTACCCACCCAAGGACTACATGACCTGGGCCATGCACTTCCTTGCTTGATGACAACACCCTCCAGAGCACAACCAATGCCTTCAACACCCTCAGCCATCCCCTCCTTACTCCCTATATTCCTCCCCCTAGTCTCACCTCCACTCACCTAATGCCCACTTCCAGTTGCAAGTCTTTCACTTGGTGAGCCTCTTTCTGAGTACTTTTCTTCCTGCCAAATTAACCTCTTTCCTCACCCCTCTTCAGTCTAACTCCTACAACACCTCAGTATTCCCCAACATCACATTTCACAAGACCACCCAGATTTGCCCAAAAACACAGCTCTTGATTTGTACATTTCTAACTCAACCCTCTCTCTTTGTGCAGGATCTGCCCATAAAAAGCTGAAAAAATGCCACTTTCACAGTTCTATTAACACTTTCTTTCCTTCTCTATCACATTCACAACTACCATCCACAGTCTCCAGCGTTAATACAACACCAACAGTCGGCGCGTGGCTCCTCACCTTCAGAAGGTGGGTCCGTTGTGGGTGTAGGGCGTGCGCTGGGGGCTGTGCAGGTAGGCGGCGATGCGCGGGAGCGCAGCCATCCTCGCGTGGAAGGCCTTGAGGAGCGGTGCGTATGCGTGCGCCCACTCCTCGGGGCACTGGGAGGCGATCCCGTCGAGCGCGTGGAAGATGCACACGTCCACGTACGTCACCTCCTGCAGTTCCCTCCGCGTTTGGTACCCCCACCCCCACCGTACGTCGTCGCCGTCGTCGCCGTCGTCGCCGGGTGAGAATTCAGGAGACGGAGTGGGACAGCAGGCGATGCGGGGAGCGCGTACGGTGCCCAGGAAGGTGCCCTGTCCGTCGTTGTTGCGCTGGAGGGCGGCCTCGAAGTAGGCCAGCCACTTGGGCAGCCTCTTGGCCTTGAAGGCCCCGATGAAGGGCTCCGTGGCCTCCTTCTGAGCCTCATACCCGGCGCTCGGATCGATGGCGTGCCTGCAGCCTCGCGCGTGCGAGTGTGAGAAAGTTCACGCACGCAGGCAGGAGCCCCTCTACATGGCGTCGTGCGCTCAGGCCACGAGGGGGAAGGACCCAACAACACCGATGACGATGATGATGGCGACGACGACGACGAATAGGGGTGCCAGGTGTACCAGGCGTGGTGCCCCTCGGCCACCAGATCGACCACGCCAGCCATCAGCACGTCGGCCTGGTACCTATCCCTGGCCTCCTTGGGGTAGAGCGCGCCGCCAGCCAGCTTCTTGGCCAGGTACCTGCCCGCCGAATGACACGGATGCCATACCCGTCATCACTTACACGCATATACCCCGGGGGCGGCCCCCCCCCGATAGCAAAGCAACGGATGGGATGAACGGATGGGATGGGAAGGACCAACACACAACCCCCCCCCCACACGCACACACATAGCCGCACACACAGCCGCACACACGCATACACGCATACAAGCACGTGAGAGATAGAGAGAGGCGGAGGTGCGGCACCTCACGATGACGGGCGTCTGAGAGAGGAAGAAGTCGCCGTGCGAGATGGCGGGGAAGGCAAAGAAGGGCTTCTTGAGCTGCACGGTGTAGGCCTCAAGGTCCTCGGGGTGCTTGCTCGCGAACACGTCCTCGTAGGGCGTATCTGGCACGGACGTGCGACCACGTGGGGTCAGCCGGAGGATGCTGGGGCGTAGCAGCAGCCACGCGAAGCTCTCGGGCGCAGAGGGGTACACGCGAGAGGGGTGCATTACCGGTGAAGACCCACAGCAGGCGCATGAACTCCCCGCGTCCGGCCGTGCCGGGCCTGTACGCCAACCAATCCGCCAGCCACCACGCGTTGGGAGGGGATCAAACCCTCCAATGTACAAGAGTGCTGCTGCTGCTGCTGCTGCTGCTGCAAGACCTGGTGGTGAGGGAGCGACGCACCAGTAGTAGAGGCGCCAGATGGGCGGAGCTGCGGGATCGTCGCGGGCCACCAGGTGCTCCACAAACGAGGGCAGCGCGTTGCTGGCGTCGTGGGGAGATCGGACCGGCGGCGGCAGGGACCCGTCGGGCGAGGTCGCCCTCTTCTTCTTCCTCTCCTTCTCCTCGAGGAGGTGCTGGAGGGTGGCCACGGGGCTCCCGCGGTGGCCCCACACGAGGGCCGTGGCGGCGGCACCGAGGGCAGCTCCCGCCGCGACCAGGCCCAGGAGCTGCGGAGCGCTCCACTCCAGCATCGGGACGGTGCCTCGCGATCCCATCTGTTCTGTTTGCGGGTAGTAGTGGTGGTTGAGGTGTGTGGTCGGTTGGGTGTCGCACTCCAGGGCTTCTTGTTGGCCCCCATTACGAAACCTGGTGGCCCTTTGGGCTGCCCACCGGCGCGATTCCGACGAAAAGAGAGAGCTCCATTTTTCAATGGGTTCCGGGCAATAACCGTCCGCCCTGTGTTTGGAGCCTTGGGCACTTGGAGTGGTGATGTTGGCAGCGAGGAGCTCCACCGACGGAGGGCAAGTATTGGGGGACCTGTTGCGGGCGGCCTACTTTGGCGACAATGCGGAGGAGGCCGTGGTGGTGGCGGAGGTAGGCAGCGGGGGCGGCACCAATAACCTCACCCGCCTCGTCTCCGTTGGTGCCCGCCGCTACGTGCGTTACCCCCCCTCTCTTTCCTCCCCTCTACGTTTCCTCTTGCGCAAAAGTAGTCGCGCGCATCGACCTGACGCACCATATGCTTGATTGCCGGCTCCATGGTTGCCCCGGTTGGGTGTGTGTGCGTGTATGGTGGCACGGCACGCAGGTCGCGCGGGTCTATGGCGGGCACACGTCGAAGGAGGTCATGCTGTTCGAGCACGAGGTTCTGGGCCTGCTGCAGCGCGCAGTGGCAACCTCGCCCCGTCATGAAGATGATGATGGTGATACGTCGGGCAGCAGCGGCAGCGCGTGCAAGGAGCAGCAGCGTCGGCAGCTCTCCTTCCGGGTGCCATGTCTTGTGCCCACGCGGGGCGGCTCCGACGTCGGTTGCACGCACATCGACGTCGACGTGCTGCGAGCGGGAGGATGCGGTGGTAGTAGGGTACCCCGCTACGCCGCCTTGTTCGAGTTCATCGAGGGCGCCCACCCTTCCTTTGCCGACCTGTTACAGGTGCGAACTACTCCTCCGCTAGCCGCCACGACACACCTGCACACGAGCGACGCACCGTCTCTGGCTGGCTGGCTGGCTGGCTGGCTGGCTGGCTGGCTGGCTGGCTGGCTGGCTATGGGGGATCGCCATCGTGGGGCCGGCCCATCGCGGCGGCAGCTTACAGGGGGGCCGGAGGTGGATGATAGCTGATGGAGGGGCGCCGCGGTAGATGAGGGACGTGGGACGGAGCATCGGAGAGTTGGTCACCCTGCTGCAGGACCTGCGGCCGCAGCGGCCGCCGATCTTCCCGCGCTACGACGACCTCTACCACTGCCACCTCTCGCTCCAGGTCCGCCCTCTCTCTCTCTCTCTCTCTCTTCTGCGCAACACATGAAAAGAGCCAACAACGCGGGTTTGCCATCATCATCACATCTACACACGACGCATCGCCAGGGAGACAGGGAAAAGGTGGTGCGCTTCATCAGGCAGCTGCCGCAGCGAGAGGAGGCCGCGCAGGTCATGACGCTCCTGGAACATCTCGAGGCCGATCTTCCGGTGCGGTGGAATCCCCCTTCATACCGCGTGGTGGACATATGGTGCAGTTGGTTGATTTGTATGTCCGCATCCGGCGGGTACTGCTGCTTGCTGCTTCTCACGCGCGTTCGGCGGTTGCACTGTTGCCCAGGCGTACGCAGCACTCCCACAGCAGCTGGTGCACGGGGACATCACGCTCGGCAACGTCCTCTGCGTTGGTACTTCTTCTTCATCTTCTTCTTCTTCTTCCTGCCTCTTCTTCTTCGTACATATTGTTCTACTTCTCCTTCTAATGCGCGCCGGCAGGGAGCAAGGTGACGGCCATCTTGGATTTCGAGTTCGTGACGAGGGACGCGCGTATGATCGACATGGCGGTCATGCTGGCCCGCCTCATCGGTTCGCATATCTATTATGCCCACCCTCACGGCTCTGGTTTGTGTTGTCCCTCTTCCTGAAGCAGGCCTGTCCGCTGACGTACGGAGGGCGGCCGCAGCCGAGGAGGACGACCAGCACTGGGAACGGATCGAGGCGTTTGTGGGCGGCTACGGATCGGTGGCCCACCTGACCCCAGAGGAGATCGCGCTCCTGCCCCTGTGCCTGCGGCTGCGCCGCATGATCACCTTCCTCCACCGCATGGCCCAACACTGGGACGGCCAGGCCTCTCTCGATGACGGTAGCACGTTCTCCCTATTTTTATGTGGGAAAAATAGCACTCTCGCTGCTCTTCTGTGCCTGTTGCTCACTTGGCGAGTTCTCTCATCTACTCTTCCTGGTCTTCATGGTGCACTGCAGTGTGTGGGCGTATGCGGCTGTGCCTGGACATGGAGCGGTGGATCGTCCACCACGCCCACCGCCTCTCCCATCTCTGTGCCCAGCACCTCCGGCAGCCGAAAAAATAAAAGAAAATAAAAATTGCTTTCTTCATCTATTTTCTTGCACTTTATTATTCTTAGCAGACGACGGCAGATGGAGGTCAGGGCAGTGGTGGAAACGGAAGGGGACGCGGCGGCGGCGGCGGCGGCGGCGGCAGTGGTGGTCGTGGTGGACCTGCGGGAGAGGCGGTTCTACGACCGCAAGTTGATGGCGCGCTTCTACGACGAGCTCATGTTACCCGCCTTCGGCCAGTTCGAGGATGAGCTCGAGTCCTTCGACTCCTGGGTGGAGCAGCTCGAGGACCCCCGCCACGACGACGTCGGCCCCAACGTCGCCCTCCACGTCCTCCTGGTGCTGCGCCTCCCCGCCGACACCGCCCTGGTGGTCCACCACGACCGCCAGCAGCAGCAGCAACAGCAGCACGGCCCTCCTTCAACTCCGGCGGCAGCCTGGCGCGAGGTTGCTTCTGGTGTGCCACCACCTGGCCCTCTGTGTTGTGTTTTGTTTTATTATTATTATTATTATTTTCATTTTTTTCTAATCCTCCACAAATGGGCGGCAGCCGCGGTGGAGGGTCCGTGGTGGGGAGACGACGTAGGGGCGGTGGAGATCGTGGGCGGCACCGCGTGCGAGTACTTCCCGGCCAGCAACTGCGGCCTCCTCACGTGCGTGCAAAACACTCCGCCCGTATGTGTGTCGTTCCATCACCCGAACGCCGTATATGTGGCGGCGGCGGCGGCGGCGGCGGCGCAGGTACACGGCGACGCATCCGGGCTGGCAGCGGCAGGGAATCGCAGCCCTAATGACCCGGCACGTGCTCACGGCCCTCCGTGGCGATGCTCTCGCCGGTACGTGAAGCACCTTCTTGATCTTGCTATTGTTCTTGTTCTTGTTCTTCTTGTACTTCTTGTTCTTCTTGCCCGCTGTTCGATGGCTGGCGCGTGGCGCGTGGGTGGGTGGGTGCCGCTGCTAACGCGCGAGGTGGGGCGTATCCGCGGGCGGTGGAGAGCAGCGGGCAAGAAGAGCGGCTGCGAGGCGGTGTTCCTGGTACGTACCCACCAGCCACCACCATTGTAGACAAAAAGTGTCCCTCGGCGAGAGAACTACACACCCACGCCCACACTTCTGGCCCGTGCGTGCGTGCGTGCGTGCGCTCAGGAAACGAACAATCCAGACCACGTGTCGAGCGAGGCCGATGTCATGGACCCGCTCCTTCGCCACCGGGTCCTGCAGCGACTGGGTATTGCCCCTCCTCCCCTTCACTGGTGGGGTGGCACCAGGAGGAGTAGGAGTAGGCAGCCTCCCTCACACGACGTGCGTGCGTGCGTGCGTGCGCTCGTGGTGGTGGCTGGTGGTGGTGGCTGCTGGTGGTGGCTGGTATCGGGTGGTGTGTTCGCATGGGGGTGGGGGCAGGTTGGTGGATACTGGACTTTGCGTACGTGCAGCCGGCCCTTTCCGAGCAGCAACAGAACTGCCGCACCCTTAAGATGGCCGTCCATTCGTCCTTCTTGCGCACCGCCGACGTCGATGACCACCAGCACCACCACCACCAGCACCACCACCAGCACCACCAGCACCACCAGCACCACCACGACAACGGCGATGACGGCAGCGAGCAGGCGGCGAGCAAGAGGAAGGGGCGTGTGGAGAGCCGGGTGGTGTTGGGGTTCCTGCGGGAGTTCTTCGCGTGCCTCAAGGGGGAGGCTGCCCTCACCAGCGACCCGGACTTCCTGGCCATGCACGCCAACCTCTCCGCACGTCCCTTCGTGCCCACCACGCTCCCCTTACCCGCACCACCACACCGATGCTGATGATCACATCACGGCGATGGCGAGGATGACGTTAGTCTGCCCACCAAGGTCGGGATCGATTCTTCCTTTGAAAGTCGTGAGCACCGCCGCGGAATGAGCCAACGAGTTGTCTTGGCTCCGGTCCACTGGGGTCGTTCCGCCAGCGGACCAAGCGGAGCAGCCACGGGCCATTAATTTAAACTGTCCGGACAGTATAAATTGATCCGGCGGAATATAATATCGCAGATGCCGTGGCGAGCAGCAACCACAACCACAAGCTGCCCTAAAGCAAAGCACACCACCACCAAGGACCCCCACCCCTAACGAAGAATGCAATCATCGAGGCATCATCAGCTGCTGCCCGTCCTCCTTCCCTCGTGCGGCGGCCTCGACGCCGCCAGAGCACACAAGCGGGCGCGAACCTGCGCCGACGAGGTGGTGGCCTTCTCCCTCCTGGACGTAGAGGAGCCCTTCCTGCCTGGTGTCCCTCCTTTCCCGACGCCCCACTACAACAACCACAACAACAACAACCACTACAACCGCTACAACCACTACTCCTACACTGAGCACGGGGACGGCGGCGGCTGCTGTCTACCACAGCCTGAGGACCACGTGGACTTGGACCAGGAGTGGAACGAGATCCTGCAGCAGCTCACTGACCTGTCCCCTCTCTTGCCACCGTGGTTGCAACCCAGTGCCACCGCCACCGCCACCACCGCCACCGTTCCCTCCTCACCCACCTCCACCACCGCCACGACAAGTCCCTCAGCTTCCGCGGGCTCCCCCTGGAACACGGCGACCACCACCACCTCCCTTCCCTCCACGCCCATCACCACCGCCGCCTCCACGACGACGACGACGGCCGGCGGCTCGTCGATCGAGATCGACCTCTGCCACAAGCCGCGTGGTTCTGGCGGGGTGTGGTTCCCGCTTGAACAGGACCAGCCCCTCAGGTACGGCTCATCATCACCCTCTTCTGTCTGCGGCTTTGGGTTGGTGGCAGTTGTCCTCCTCCTACTCCTCCTCCTACTACTCCCCAGCACTGAGGGGTGCTGAGCTGACCACAACACATTCTCTCGTTCTCGTTTTTGCATCGCGCCAACCCCCAAGGGTGACCAAGGGGATGGGCAAGCGTTTGCGGGTGGCAGTCCACTCCCGGCGGCCCTTCGCGTGGGAGGAGCTCACCCTCACGCTGGTCGACCTCACCACGGGGCGCACGTGTCCCGAGATGCTCTCCTTCCCACACAAGAGCACCCTCAAGGAGGAGCCCGACGGGAGCACGCGCGCCGAGGTGGAGGTAAAGATCGAACGCCTCTGCAGCCGCCTCTACATCCGCGTGGCCATCGCTGCGGCCCCGAGCGGCGGCGGCGGCGGCGGGTGGACATGGGAGGGTCGGTCAGGCTCCTTCCTCACCCACAACAACGGCAACATCGGGCGCAAGCGGAAGATCCCGCCCGCCAAGGGCGAAGCCCAGCAACAACAACAACAACGACGACCAGGCCACGCCGACGAGGAAGAAGAGGCCGACAGCAACAACCGCCGAGCCTGAACAAAATGGCCACCCTAATAAACCAAATAGAAGACACGGGTTGGCTGTATTAGCAAGGCTTGCCCTAGTCTGTTGGTTACAGACATCGTCCGTGGGCGGGGTGGGGGGTTGCCCACACCCACTCACACGCCCATGACGTGCAGCACGTTGCCGGCCGCCACGCAGAGCCGGGCGTCGTCGAGCCGCACGGCGTGTACGGCGTGTGCAAACTGGAGCTCGCCCATCCGGGTCCACGTCCACCCGCCACCTTCTTCGACGGCCTCCGTGTAGTCCAGACAGGCCTGGAGAACTGCTTCCTCTTCTTCTCCTTCTGGTGTTGGCTGCCGCGTGGTGCTCCTGTGGTGGTGTGGGTCCGTGAGGCCGCTGCTGGCGGTGGCGGTGGCGGTGACCCGCTCCCACAAGCCGACGCGGTTGTCGTGTCCGGCGGTGGCCATGCGCTTGCCGTCCACGGACAGATGTACGTCCATCACATGCGCTCTGTGGGCCTGCACCCGCCCCAGCAGACGCCCTCCCGCCCAGTCCCACGACTTGATGGCACCCGCCTGGTCGCGCACCCCACGACCACCACGACCACCAGCACCACCACCAGCAGCAAAGTGATGCATGAGTTTGGTGGGCTACACCCGATGTCGGGGGGGTGAAGCGGGATAAAAGGAGAGGGAGGGGGGTGTTGAAGTACCCCATCGCCGGTGCAGAGTATGGGGCCTTGCGCGTAGAGGCAACTCACGCGGCCGACGTCGTACCACGGCGTCACTGGAGGCACCCGGCGCACGTCGCGCAGGACGGCCACCCGCTGACCCTGCACGTTCATCAACTGTCACACACACACACACACACACACACACACACACACACACACACACACACACACACACACGAGTCGAGACCGGACAAGAGCGATACTGAGCGCGAGTGGGGTAAAACAAAGCCGCACAGCAACAACAGCAAGAAAGCAAGAGCTGGGTCGCGGAAGAGTACGGTGGTGGTGTAAAGGCTGAGGGACACAGCAAAGACTGTGTCGGATACGAACTGCACATCCTCCACCATCTCCTTCGGAAGCTCTTCATCGGGCACGACGGGCACCAGCATCCCGTCGTCGGCCGCGTCCAAGTCGCATATGCGCTACACGCACACGCACACGCACACGCACACGCACACGCACATCAGTTAGTCTTGTGGTGAGGGAGCTGCCGCGAGAGGTCGATGGCATGACATACGATGTGGTCGCATCCGTAGATGGCGACGAGCAGGCGGCCCCGCATGGCCACGCACACGTCGTAGCAGCCGTAGATTTCGGATTCCACCCGCGGTACGGTACGCGACGGCGCCCTTGTTGCGACGAGAGAGGGGCACTCTGCCGAGGAGGAGGACGGCAGCAGGTCGTACAGGAGGATCTCCCCGTCGCAGACCACCGCGACCACGTCGCCCTCTATACGAACTGTGCAGGGCAATATGCGCATGGGCGATGTTGTGAGCCGTGCACTCACCAACACACACACACACACACACACGACACACGCGATAGAAAAATGGTGCAGCAGCTAGATCCTTCGCGGGAGGCGTACGGGGCTGAGCACCGGGACCGGAGGCCAGGAGGCACTCGAGCTGGAGCGCGGGGAGCGCGTACACGTGAACCACACGAGCAAAGCGCGCGCACAGGCGGCGGTCCGACAGTGCGATCGAGTAGAGCTCGCCATCGCCATCGCCGTCGCCGTCGCCGTCGCCGTCGCCATCGCCATCGCCATCGCCATCGCCATCGCCGCCGGCGTCACCTTCAGGGTGTCCTTGGCCAAGGTGGCGTGGCTTGGCCGTCAAGCCCGACAGCGAGGAGAGGAGACGCGAAGCAACACCTGCGTAGTCGAATCGCCGCCAGCGGCGGTGCACCAGCAGTCGCGCCTGGCAGTGGCGGGCGAGGGAGGTGACCATCCGCCCCTGGTCTCCTCCGTCCGGCAGGAGGAGGCACAGGTCGGAAGCGAGGGCACGCCACAGCGACGCATCCAAGTGCAGCCCATACAACCTCCACGAAGTCTGATCCATCCTCACGCCCCCCCCCTCAACATTGAATCCTCCGTCCAGGATTAAGAGAGTAGTACTCACCGAGGCTAGGGCAACGAAGCTGCTCAGGGATGCGCGGCGTGTACAGTGAAAGATGGACACCAGCAGCTCATCCGGGAGGTCCGTCAGCAGGCACGAAGGCACCTCATCTCCCATGCTGTTTCATCTGGTGCTGCCCAAGCGAACGGCTGACGGCTTATTTATAAATAAATAAATAAATAAAAATAAAATAAATAAATAAAAAATTTTATTAATCCACTGCCACGAAGTGGACGTTGGCGGGGAAGCGGGCGTGGAGGGCGCGCAGGACGGCCATGATGGCGAGCAGCTTGCACCGGCCGTTCTTCTCTCCCGGCTGCAGGTGGGCCTCCATGTCGGGCCACGTCACCGCGTAGATGTGCACCGGTGGTGCAACCGCCTCTCCGCCCCTGCCAGACCCGCGCATCAGAGACAGCTGTCTTGCACGCACGCACGCACGCACGCACACACGACCGAAGGTGGGGAGGGATGAGAGGGGGGGGCAGGTGTACTGCTGCTTGGCGAGGTGCTCGATGAGGAGCTGCGTGTAGGTCACCTCCTGGAGGGTGATGGTGCCAGCCGTGGGGACCACCATCAGCACGAGCTCCCCTGCGCAGCCGAGCGAGAGATTAGATCGCGCAGACAGCCAGACAGACAGACCAAGTCCAATGCGAGAAGAGAGGAGGGGAGCGTACGGGCGCCGAGAAGGGCCGGCAGGAGGCTCAGGTAGCCGGCCGACGCGGCCATGGGATACAGCCCCTCCGGAGGCAGGAACTGCCCGCTGATCGGCAACCGCTTCTTACTCGTCGTCGTGGTCGCTGTGATGTTTGTTGTGTGGTCTTCCGCGGCGGGATCTTCTGTTGTTCCCTTCGTGCCGGAGGCGGCGGTGGGGTCCACCGTCCGCTGCCGCTTTTTGCTGGCGTCCTTCTCCTCCTCTTCCTCCTCCTCCTGAGCAACCTCGCGGCGCAGCGAGGCCAGGAACTCGCGATAGGCCGGCGGCACGGCCACGGCCGCGGTCTCAAAGCCGCCGAACGTAGGGCGCCCACCCACCTGGGCCAGCGAGGCGTGGTAGGCCACCACCACCTCCTCGAAGGCCGGCACCTTACCCGCGTAGTCGTCCCTCTGCACCGCCCCGATCAACAGACCCGAGCGAGCATCGGCGGCAGACGACGACGAGGTGGCGACGTGACCCTGGTGGTGGGGGTGGTGGTGGTGGTGGTGCAGGCGGAGGAGGGTGCGCGCGATGTCGGCCACGTTGCCGCCGCGGGTCTGGAAGCGGAAGCACGGGTCGCCGCCGCCCCAGATGGCCGTCACCCCGCGCCGCAGCACCACCTCCCGGTGCAGGACCCCGGCCACCTTGTCGACCAGGTGCGCGGGCACCGGGGGAGTGCCCGGAGCACCCAATCAGAACTCCGAACACGTCGGCGTCCAGGGCCACACCGCTGGCGCCGCCTTGCAGCCGCTCCGCAACGGCGCGGTAGTCCTCGAACCGCGCCACCTCGAGCACCAGCCGGGTCCGCTTCTTGCTGGCGCTGCTGCCACGAGCGCCCGTGCTGGTGACCTTGGTGCCTCGCGGAGGGGCCTCCGATCTTCCACCTCGTCCGCCTCGGCCTCTGCTGCTTCGGCCTTTTGTTGGCCTGTCCATTTCTTCTTCGCGTTGTGTTGGTGCAGCACCATTTTTCTCCTTTTTAAAAAGGAGAAAAGCAGAGAAAAAGCGCAGAGCTGCGTTTTCAGTTCAACGCCCGTTTGGGCCGAAGGAAGGACAAGTTTAGGTCTTTCAAAGAGAGGACGAGGGCGGTGGCGGGACGTGCACGCGCCACGCCACCTCGTCTGACGGGGAGAAGGTGTACTGCCGCCGTCGGTACGTGTCAGGGTCTTGGAGCCGAGCGCGTCCCACGTCTTCGTAGACCTCCCGCACACGCCGCCCCCTTCGTTGTTGGCCGCCGGTCCCTGCTTCGTCTTGCTGTCCTCGCCGACAGCGGGCAGCGGCGGCGGTGGCCTGGCGGCTGAGGCGGTGGAGGTGGCGGTAGTAGGCCCACTGATGGGACCCGAGCATGTGGTAATCCTTCACCCGCTGCTGTCGCTCCCGGCGAGCGCTGTCGGCGCCACCGGCCGCCTCTGCGATGCTGCCGGCATCCCACTCGGCCCACAGCCTCTCCGCCAGGGTGCGCTTTGTTGACGGAAATCGTTTGTCCTCCTCCCGGCCCTCTTCCAGGCCACCGTCATCATCGCCGTCGTCGTTCCCGCGGACGTCGGTCGTGCTGCTGGTGCCGCTGTAGTGGCTTCGAGCTCGAAGGTGGGAGGAGGCGTGCTCACGCGCGTACTTGGGGTCGTCGATGTGGCTGTCGAGGTCGGGGTCGGCGTCCCACGCCAGGAAGTGCGGATGGCGCATGAGCGCGAGGGCGAAGCGGGTCTGAACCTCGAAGCACGCGAAGGGCAGCACCTTCCAGTTGAGCCCGATGAAGGCCAGCGATGGCTGCTCCACGTGCAGCACGTGCTCATACAGCGGCCACACGCTCTTCCCCTCGCCCTCCTCCGCTCCGATGTCGCCGTCGCCGTCGCCGTTGCTGTTGCTGCCTGCTTCTGCTGCCGCCGTACCTGAGAGGGCGCGCCGAGCTCGGTCGGGGTGGAAGAAGACTCGGGATGAGGGAGCGAGGAAGGGCAGGTGGTAGTAGTAGCCCGTGCAGAACACCAGCGCGTCCACGGGGCTCTCCGTGCGTGAGCCATCCGAAAACTCGATGTACCCTGCACTCAGAGCAACAGCACACACACACACGCAGCACACAGCCCGAGTCGATGTTGGCGGCGAACAACAGGCTGGAGGGAGGGAAGGAGGCAGGTTCCGCACCATCGCGAGTCGCGCGTACGATTTCGCAGCCGAGCTTCAGCTTGAGGGCGGGACTGTGTCCAAACACGTCCGCCACGGCCGTCTTGGCTGCGCATCCAGATCGGAGGGAGGGCGGCGGCGAAGGCTGTCCGCGCACGCAGGCGTAGACCTTGCGCGCCACGCCGGATACCTCCCTCGTGATGTCTTGCATGAAGATTCAAAAACACACGTCAACACGAGATCCACATCACCACACACGCACCAACACACCAACGCATAACAACAACAACAACAACAACAACAACAACAACAACAACAACAACACACACACGAAAGTCACCGATGTGTACGCACCCACACCCGATGCGCCAGCGCCAACCATGACCACCGTCTTCCCGACAAAGGGTGTCGGCTCGCGGTAGCGCTTGCTGTGCATGACCGCGCCCGGGAAGGTGTCGAGCCCTTCGAACGCGGGTGCGTATGCCTTGCTGAAGTGCCCGTTGCACACCAGGACTATGTCGAACTGGCTCGTCGCGGCGCTCTCTTCTCCAATGCTGCGGTCGCCCACTTGCGGCGAGGACTCATGGCCGTTGCCATCGCGCACACGGCCGCTTCCGTCGACGTCGTGGACGGGCTTGCCGTTTTCTGCTTGGCTGCTGCTGCTGCTGCTCACCTGCGCTGGCCGGTGTCGCTGGTGCGTAACCTCCCAGAGGCGGCCGGGCCTCGTGGCCAAACAGGGCGACAACGACGACGTCGAATCCAGGGGTGGTGGTGGTGGAAGGCGCTCCACGCGCAGGACCTTGGTGTTGAAGCGGATGAGGGGCCGGAGGTCGAATACGTCGGCGTAGCGGCGCAGGTATCGCGCCACCTCCGTGTGCTGCACAAACGAGGGCAGGTCTCCCTCGAACGGCAGATCGCTGAACCTGCACGTGTGTGTTGGGTAGATTTATGTTTATGCATCGATGGTGGGGTAGAACTTCGGAGCGGGGGGGAGGGCGAGCAGACGAGAGTAGTACTGCATGATTTCCTTGGGCAGGTTGGTGCTGAGGCTGCGGTACAGGTTGCCCCGTCCTTCAGTCACGGCCTCGGAGAAGAGCCACGTTCCGCCCACCTCCTCGGCCATCTCCCACACCACCACCTCGAACCCCTGGGCGGGGGAGGGCCAGGGTCACCAACGACCAGGCCATGAGCAGGACGGGCGTACCGCATCACGGAAGTAGCGTGCGGCGACGAGTCCTGCTGCGCCAGCCCCAATAACAGCCACCCTGGGACTGTCACTGCTCTCGCTACTGCCGCTCATCTCGTTGCCCCCGGCTCTCGCTCTCGCCCTCCCTAGGCAAGGAAAAGAGAAAGAAATGGCCAAGAAACTCCACGCACCGATTGCGCGATGCAGAGGGCGGTGGTGCTCGACTGTGGGTCGGGGTGGACCAAGGCGGGCTTTGCAGGCGACGATGCCCCACAGGCGATCTTTCCCACCCTCGTTGCCCACGGAGGGGGCGATGGTGCAGACGTTCTGGTGGGCAGGGCTGCCCTCAATGTGGACGCGACCTCGCCTCAATATCCCGTGGAGCATGGCGTCGTGGTCAACTGGGCGGCTCTGGAGCAGGTGTGGCAGCACGTCTTCACCACCGAGCTCCAGCTGGAGACGCCCCACGACCACCCCGTCATGCTTGCCGAGTACCCGTTGCGCACATCGAATACGCGCGAGCAGGCCGCCCAGCTCATGTTCGAGACCTTTGGCGTGCCGGCCTTCACCGTGGCCGCCCAGGCCGCCCTCTCGCTCTACGCAGCGGGCCGACTGACGGGCGTCGCGTTGAGCTCAGGCGACGGGGTGACCTACGCCGAGCCCGTCTACGAGGGCCTCGCCATGCCCGGCTCCACCTCGACGCTCTACCTCGCCGGCCGGGATCTCACCGACCACCTCGCGGGCATGCTGGACGCTTCGCCCACGACCGCCCAAGGAGGTGGCGAGCCTCACCACCCAGCCTTCTTTTCTGACGACAGGTTTTTCGGCTTCTCGCTCGCCGAACGGTGCCGCAGGCGAGAGGTGGCGAGGGACATCAAGGAGAAGCTGTGCTACGTACCGCAAGACTACGACCACGATCGTAATCAGCAGGCGGTGGCCGGTGGTGGCTCATGGGCGCCGCTATCCGAGTACGTGTTGCCGGATGGACGGACGATCGGCGTGACCAGCAAACAGCTATTCGAGTGCCTGGAGGCCCTCTTCAATCCCGCGCTGGCGGGTTGCGAGCAAGATGGCATTCACGTCACCCTCTACGATGCGGTCATGAAGAGTCCGATGGAGATCCGGAACGACCTCTACGCCAACATTGTCCTCGCTGGCGGCACCACGCTGGCGGCCGGCTTTGTGCAGCGGCTGCGGAGGGAGGTCCACGGTCTGATGCCCAGCGGTCTCCGGCTGGGTGTTGTGGCGGACCCCGGAAGGCGGTTTCTGGAGTGGCGCGGGGGCGCTGCACTGGCATCGCTCTCCACGATCGAAGAGCGGTGGATATCGAGGCAGGACTACGACGAGCACGGCTGCCGCGTCGTCCACAATAAATGTCCGTAATCCAACGCCTGCCAGATCACTCGTATAGGGCGAGTGTGGTGTGCACGAGTTCTTTAGCACAGGATTCGTAGGATCAGAGGCACCAGCTTCTCTGGCAACGGCCGGAGACATGTCCTTTCTAGGGTCCTGGTTTTGGCTCCTTCCGCATTTGCGTGCCTGCACTTTGTTTTATTTATTTATTTTTGCTTTTTGTGATTTTCCTTTGCGTTGGTCAGTTTGTTATTATCCTGCACCATCACCGACGCGCACAGCACCGCGTGCAGAACAACTATCACGATGCTGTCCCTCCGTCGCAGCGCCAGAGCGTCGACTCTCGTTCGCACGCCTGCCCCTCTTCTCGCGCTTCGAAGCACGGGAGCGCCATCGACCGCTCGCCATTTCTCGATGAGCTCGCGCGTTCTCGCGTCGACCGCCGAAAATGAAGCTGAATGGAAGAAGAGGGCGACGAAGGAACTGAAGGGCTCGCCCAAGCACGAGGGCAAGGACCCCCTCGAATCTCTGTCCTTCGAGACGCCCGAGGGGATCCGAATGAAGCCGCTCTACACGCCCACCGATGTGGCGGGGCTCGACCTGACCACCAACCCCTACCCCGGCCTCTTCCCGTACACGCGCGGCCCCTATGCCACCATGTACACCAACCGCGCGTGGACCGTGCGGCAGTACGCTGGTTTCTCGACGGCCGAGGAATCGAACAAATTCTACAAGCAGAATCTGGCTGCTGGGCAGACCGGTCTCAGCGTGGCCTTTGATTTGGCCACTCACAGAGGGTGCGATTTCTCCTTCCCTCTCCATCACTTACTACCTCATTTCCTCTTTTTTTTAATTGTTACATTGAGGCCTTACCAACAATCCGTCGTCGCACTCACATTGACCTCCGTCGTGTTATATGGCAAAAAGTTATGATTCCAACCACCCTCGCGTGAAGGGAGACGTCGGCATGGCTGGCGTAGCCATCGACACCGTCGAGGACATGAAGGTCCTCTTCAAGGACATCCCTCTGGACAAGGTACGCGCACCACCATTTTCAATAATGTGATTATTATTTGTCTTTTTATTTCACTGTGACCGGTTACTTACTTTTTTTTTAACTAACGGGGTGGTGCAGGTGTCCGTCTCGATGACGATGAACGGTGCGGTCCTGCCAGTGCTGGCCATGTACATCGTGGCCGCTGAAGAGCAGGGAGTGAAGCAGGCGCTCCTCTCGGGCACCATCCAGAACGACATTCTCAAGGAGTTCATGGTCAGGTATGTGCGTCGTAAGGCGTGTGCCCTTCCCCCTTCACGATATCGTCATCCGAGGGTTCACCCCGTCCCCGACCTTTTAAACAAGGTGTGGGTGCTTCTTCTTCTAGAAACTAATTCTAGAATTTGATGATTGAAGGAACACGTTTATCTACCCGCCCAAGCCCTCGATGCGGGTGGTGGGCGAGATCATGGCCTACACGTCCAAGAACATGCCCAAGTACAACTCCATCTCGATCTCCGGTACGATACGCGGACATCCGTCCTCTCTCTCTCTCTCTTTCTCTCCTCACCCTTCTCCCGGAGGCTATGCTGACATTTTTGTCTTCTTTTGGAAATCACCACTCGGCAGGCTACCATATCCAGGAGGCCGGAGCCGATGCTTCCCTGGAGTTGGCCTACACCATTGCCGACGGCCTCGAATACGTCCGGACCGGCATGGCTCAGGGTACAGCGACAGCTCTCACTGTGTTTATGTTGTGCGTGCGTGCGTGCGTGCGTGCGTGCGTGCGTGCGTGCGTGCGGAGAGATCTGGTAGTTCCTCGCTTCTCACGCGCCCGGTCTTAGGTCTCAGCGTGGATAACCTGGCGCCCCGTTTCTCGTTCTTCTTCGGCATCGGCATGAACTTCTACATGGAGATCGCCAAGCTGCGCGCGGCCAGGAAGGTGTGGTCGCAGCTCATCAAGGAAAAGTTCAGCCCCAAGGACGAAAGGTACAGCAACAACCCACCCCTGCGCTCATGTGCGAGTTGTCGTTAACACACAGTCGTCCTCTACCACATCATTTTTGTACACGCACTAGATCGCTTCTCGTGCGCACCCATTGTCAGACCTCGGGCTGGTCGCTCACCGAGCAGGACCCCTACAACAACATCATCAGGTAGTTTTCATCATCATCATCATCGTCATCATCATCGTCTTCATCAATCTTCTACTCTATTCTCTCTCTACACCTCAAGCCCAAAATCTAACGTTTCTCTCTCTCTCTCTCTTGTGCAGGACGACTGTCGAGGCTATGGCGGCCGTCTTGGGCGGAACCCAGAGCTTGCATACGAACGCGTACGACGAGGCCGTCGGTCTGCCCACGGTGACCTCTGCGCGCGTGGCCCGTAACACGCAGCTCATTCTGCGTGACGAGAGCGGCATCCCCAAGGTGATCGACCCCTGGGGCGGGTCGTACATGATGGAGAAGCTCACCGACGACCTGGCCAACACGGCCCTCGATATCATCAACGAGGTACACCACTCATCTCCACTTTCTGTGACCCCCCCCCTCGTGGCACGAGACCATGGCTGGTGGTCATGACCGGTGAATCACATCGTTGTCTCTCGTCTCTTTCGCTTTCTCTCTTTCCTGCAGGTCGAGTCCATGGGCGGCATGTCGTCTGCGGTGGAGAAGGGATTCCCGAAGCTCCGCATCGAGCAGGTGGCCGCCAAGCGACAGGCCGCGTACACTAGACCTCCTAAATTTCCTTCTCCTCCTCCTTCTCCTTTTCGCTGTACTCACGGTCTTGTGTGTGTGTGGTGTGTGGTGTGTGTGTGTGTGTGTGTATGCCTTTCCTTATTAGGATCGACTCCGGCGAGCAGGTCATCGTGGGCGTCAACAAGTTCCGTCTGGCCAAGGAGGAAAAGATGGACGTCCGACAAATCGACAACACCATCGTGAGGGAGGCGCAGATCAAGCAGCTCGAACAGGTCAGCGCCTCCCTCCGACAGCCCTGCAGGCTGTCTTCCCGTGTTGTGGCATCTGGTCGCTCATCAACTACGCTGGTACGTTGTTCCACCAAACGCAGATCTTTGCGGGCCGAGACAAGGCCAAGGCCGAGCAGTGTCTGGCGAACTTGACCAAGGCAGCGGCCGGCGAGCTCTCGGGCAACCTGCTCGAGCTGGCGGTAGAGGCCGCGCGTGCGCGCTGCTCGGTGGGCGAGATCAGCGACGCCCTCGAGAAGGTGTTCGGGCGGTTCCAGCTCAACGACAGCCTGGTGAGCGGGGTCTACGCCGCGAGCCACCCGCAGCAGGACCTCATCCACCGCATCCAGGGCCTCTCCGAACAGTTCCTCAAGGACGAGGGCAGGCGACCGCGCATCCTCGTCGCCAAAATGGGCCAGGACGGACACGACAGAGGTGCCCCCCCGCCGCCGCCGCCGACACCCCCAGACGAACCGCCCCGTTGTTGCGTTTACTTTTTTAACTTTATTTTTAACTTTATTTTTTAACTTTATTTGCTTTATTTATTTATTTATTTGTGTGGGCTCAGGCGCCAAGGTGATCGCCACGGGTTTCGCGGATCTCGGATGGGACGTCGACGTGGGTCCCCTCTTCCAGACCCCTGCCGAAGTGGCTCGTCAGGCCATCGACGCTGACGTGCACGCCGTCGGTGTACGTGCTTTTTCTCAACAAAACCACCGGTTTCCTTCTCCACCACCGGTGTGCTGACTGATCCGTTCGCTGGTTTGCGCGTTTGCTCCGTCAGATTTCGAGCCAGGCGGCGGGCCACAAGACGCTGGTGCCGGACCTGGTGGCCGAGCTCAAGAAGCAGGGCGCCGAGGACGTGGTGGTCGTGGTCGGTGGCGTGATTCCTCCGGATGACTACGACTTCCTCTACAAGAGCGGCGTATCCTGCATCTTCGGCCCCGGTAGACCCCCCCCCACCAATCACCAAGCCAAGCAACTCCTCAAGTCAGCCAATCATGGGCCGCCGTTCTCATCTCCACTCTCTTGTTGTAAACACACAGGCACGCGCATCCCGGACGCTGCGGAGCAGGTGATTAGCTCGATCAAGAAGAAGCACCTCAAGTCGGCCGTCACGGCCCAGTAATTTGTCGTGGCCGCGTGAGTGTGTGTATTTGTTGTAATCTTCGCAGTAAGCACGGATAATGGAAGGCCCTTCAGCAAGAATTGCTATTCACCGGTGCGGCGGGTCCAGCAAGCACGATTCCTAAGCTTCCTTCACTGTAGGCCTCACCGCACGCCACACACACACAGACACACACACTCTTCGCCCTGTGCCCTCTCTTCTTGCTCAACCATCTCTTTCCCAGAAAATGCCGTGCACGAGTGGTAACAGGGTCTCCAGCTCATGCGCGCGACGTGGATCGGGCCTTGTTGCGCAGCCTGCGGTCGCTCGCTGCCGCCGCTGCGGCTGCTCGGAGGGCCTCCTTGCGCTGCTTCCTGAGGGCGCGCACGCTGCGGTCCTTGCCGTTGTTGTGGGTGCCGAAGGACGTCGAGTGTCCTCCCCACGTCCAAGCGGCCTCTTCTTCGTTGGTGCTCGCGTCGATCACCACCTGGAAGTGGAGCTGCGGACTCAGCTTGTTCACCGTCACCTCCACCTCCGCTCGCGTGCCTCCTGCCTCTTCGTCGTCCTGAGAATAATAATAATAAATGGTGAACACAAAGGCGTTGAGTTGCGTTGCGTTGACATACATGACGAGTGGTGCACTGATGGTACCTCGATGGCGCTCTTGTGGTTCCAGATGGTGAAGTGGTCGTTGCAGGAGGCGCCGGTGGCATCGTCGATGAGGTTGAGCTGCAGGTGGCCCCACTCGAACTGCCGGTCGCTCTCCACGGCCAATCGCAGTCGCTTACCTTTCCCCTTGGTCACCCTGTGGCGTGCATCATGCAGTGGCGTCGGTTGGGTGAAGTTAAAAGAGGGCGTACAGGGAAAATGCCAATTAAAGGTAAATACACCCATTAATAAAATCAACAACGAGAACAACTAAGAGCAGAGAGGGGGGGGGGAATTGGTGGTACCGAATGTGCTGCTCCGGGGCGAGGGGTACGTAGCTGCCGCCAGAACCTCGGGGCTTGTGCGAAAGGCATACCCGCACGTTGGCGGCGGTTTGCGCCGAAGCAGCGGGTCCGCAGAACGACGCACGCGCCGGCGAAGAGGCGCCCGACGACGAGGGCGAGCTCATGGACGACGACGGGGCCTCGAGGGTGAAGAAGGGAGGCGAGAAGGAGAGCGGGAGGGAAGCGGCGGGCTCGTCGGAAGAGGAAGAGAAGGACGAAGAGGGAGAGGGCGAGGGAGAGGAAGAGGAAGAGAAGAAGAAAGGGGGAGACGCAGGAATGGAGCCCGCGTTGCTGCTCAGTTCGTGTAGTAGGAGTTCCAACTCGCTCTCCAGGTCGAACCCTTCTTCTACTTCTTCTTGGCTTGTGTTCCCCAGAAGAGGGCAGCTGCTTGCGAGGGGCGAGTAGAAACTCGTAGTCGTCTCCTCCTCACTGCAATGATGGTGGCTGTCGTGTTCGTGGTCCGTGGTGCGAATACGCTTGAAGGGTGGCGGACAGCACGCCGTGCTATGCAGCTGCGGTTGGTCGTAGCGGTATTGCTGCTGTCGGTGTTGTTGTGGGTAGCCGTGGTAGAGATAGGGCTGGTGTGAGCAGTCGGGGTTCTCGAATTGGAAGGACGGCTGGTAGAAGGGGGAGGAAGCCATTCTTGGAGCAGTGGATACGAAGGGAACGGAGGATGAGATAAACATTAAACTTGGCCTGGTCTTGATATCATTTAGCCACCAGGAAATCCCTGATATTCTCCGGCCTTGCTTCCCATTGGCTGGCGGCCGGAGTAATCAAGACAGTAAAATGCTGTTTGCGGCCTTGCTGTGGCCACCCAACTCACGCAACCGACCTCTTTGTATTCACCTCTTTCTCCCGCACCGCCCGCACCGCTTTGCTTCAAAATCTCGAATGGCATCTCTAGAGTGCAGTAATGCCAAGGAAAGAAGCCCACAACATTACCTGGTCTCAGGCTTGGCATTTGTCGACACTAATTCAGCTCGTTCCCGTTGGCCGCTAAACTTCCGAAACTGCCCGTCCAAGATCTTTGCAGATTCCTGAAATCAGAAAACACCAACCGGTGAGGCCCAAGAGGTCGAATAAAAATCAGCAATGTGGACATGCTGGTTGGCACACATCCCCACGACAATACCCGCGACGGTGATTGCACGTTGGCCATCTGAGTAGGAACTGAGAGAGATCGCCGCACACACTTGTCCGCTCAATCCCTGTGTATGACAATAACACCACCCCACCACCCGTGTGCTGCACCCGGCAAGTTGGAAGAAGTAGCTCATCCGCTCTCTTCTTCCCTGACCATGGAAGCTGTGTGAAGTGGAGGAATGCGGACGCACTAGACGTGACCCCTTGAGGCGGTGATGTACGAGGTGAGCAAAGATGGTGATCACCATGCGGTGACGGAGCCCTATCTCCTCCCAGCCGCTGTGCCAACGCGACTTCGTGAATTTCATATTTTTTTTATTTTATATTTTTGCTGTGCAAGATGGAAGAGCAACACGAGGCAGGGGCCAGCACGGCCTCTTCGGGCTTTTCCTTTGGCGGGTGGAAGGGACAGCGCCTTGCTACAGCTGCCACCCCCTTTGCACAATCAGCATCCCAACAACACAGAAAGCAAGTCACCAGCCTGCCTTCTCACCCACCCCTTGAGGTACCCATTTTATTTATGCTTTCATAGTACTTATTATTTAATTTCTAAGTATTTAATGCTAATATATAAGCGCAGGAAGCTGTGGAGGAGAGGACCCCGGAGGAGGTGAGTGGACCGCAGCTGCGGTCGGAGGGCAGCGAGCTGGCCGAAGCGGGGCGGTACCGGGAGGCCCTGGCCAAGTGGGAGCACGCCCTCCTCCTCACTCCCGACGACCCGCTTCTGTTCGAACTCAAGGCGCAGGTGCGCATACGCCGTGTGCCGTGTGCTGTGCCGTGTGCCGTGTGTTGTGATGCGGTGGTGCGTGGTGGCGGTACTCTGAGACCATGTGTGACGCACTGTCCGACAGGTGCTGATGGAGGAGGAAAGGTGGTGGGCGGCCGTGCTCGCCGCCACCCGCGCCACAGAACTCGACCCCCGCTGGGCCGATGTGCGACGCCACCTTGCCCACTCCGATTTGGCCCGCCCCATGATGCGGTCTAAGCTTGCGTTTCTTGCGTGTGCATTGTGGCCACGTGTGCGTGCGGTTGTGATGGTGCGTGTGTGGTGTGTGTGCGTTCCCCCAGGGCTTTGTGACGCGTGGGCGTGCAGAACTGAATTACGGGGAGGTGGCACTCGCCATAGCCAGCTTCGAGACAGCACTCGATCTGCTCCCGCCCGACCACGGTTATGTGACCCCCGTGCGCGATGAACTCGCTCAGGCTCGCGCCCTCCACTCCCAACTGGTATTTAGTGACATGACACGACACGACACGACGCACACAAGTATCGTTTGCTAAGCGGTCTCTTCGCAGTGGACACACGACACACAGAAAAGAGAACTCACTCACTTCGACACAGGTTGAACGGGAGCGTGCGGCGCCACCAATCGACTACGACGCGTTGAAGTACAGGAAGCGAAGGGCCATCATCAGCGAACAGAACCAGCGGGAACAGCCGCCCGGCGGCGAGCAGCCTACGACGACAACGAGAGAGAAGAGCGAACGCGGGGCGGACGACGATGGGGGGCAGGACCCGCGGACGCTGTGGGAGACGGTGCGGCAGGTGGGCGAGGCCAGCCTGCGCGAGAGGCGCGGGCGGACCGACCAACAAGACGGCACGACCAACGACTTTATCGAAGAATTCGATGAAGCGGAAGGAGGAGATGAAGAGGAGCAGATGGACATCGAAGGAGAGAAGAAAGGAAGCAACCACCAGTGAAAAAGACAGAATTGGCGTTGTCTGGTTTAAAACTCTTTCAGTATACTCTATACTACAAACAAAGACGTACTACCTCCGCCACCCTCTCATTTCTTTCACTCCTATGTATACCTTCTTCTCCTTCTTCTTCTCCGCGTGATCGATCTCGACGATGAAGACGCTCTACTGGACGACGCACTTCTTCCTCCGCCGCTCCTCGTCGACGTAGGAGATGGCTGACTTCGAGGAGCCGAGCTGCTTGCTGCCGCCGTGTTCGTGCTTGCCCTTGCCCAGGTCGAAGTGGATCGAGCCGCCGTCGGGCTTGGGCGTCGACGGCGCGAGCTCGTCGCCATCGCCGTCGATGACGACATCGTCGTAGAGCTGTTCCGGCGCGCCCGAACCCTCTGCGTTCCACCACTCGGCCTCGGGCATCGGCGGGAGCGGGCACTCGATGTACTCCATCGACTCCTTGCGCACTCGGCGCTCCTGCTCGGCGCGCGACATGGTGCACGACGAGGCTGAGCCGAGCGACGGACGTGGGAAAGACTCGTACGATGGGCCGGTGGTCGAGCCGCGGCTGACGTCAGTCTCTGCGCGTCGTCTGCCGAGCGGCCACTTCTTGGTTGCCTGTAGGCTGGCGTCGCTGCTTCCTCCACCCGTGTGGTCGGCGTTGATGGGCGCGCCGTGTTTGGCCTTGTACAAGGCCGTCGACGACGACGAGCCGATGTCCATCTCATACCTGTGTTGTTGGAGTCAACAAGTTGCGGTCAGCCCATTGAAATATCGGCGGCGGAGATCCAGGTGAAGAAGGTGTAGTGTGTAGGTGAAGGTGGATGTCCATACTGGGCGTGAGTGGTCTATTCTCTCGTTTCTTCATCTCGTTGTTGCTGTTGATGATGATGATGATGATGATGATGCTCTAGGTGTCGTGGAAAATGATGACATGCGCGAAGCAAAGCGATCAGGGAGGTGGAGCGATAAGACGTACGTGGGCGACCGGGGTGAAGTCGGGGCCGACCTGTTGGCCAGCACCACCTTCATGAACTCCGGCTTCTCCGCCGTCGCCTTCTCCACGGATCCGCCCAGCTGCTTCTGTCGTGGCACCAAAACAACGAAACAGAAAAACAACAAAACGACACGTGAGCGCTTTTCACGCAACATTGGTCTGGGGGGGGGGCCTACGCTGTGGGGGCCGCCGGTCTTGCGGAGTTCGAAGTGGGTGGGCACGATCTGGCCGTAGCCCACGGCGCCGGGCGGGAGGCGTCGCCGGGCCGGCGCTGCCTCGCGGTGGTGGTGGTTCTGGTGGACCTGTTCGTCATCGGGCATGCCCAGCACGTCGACACTGTCGCCCCTGGGCGACTTGACCTTGCGGCCGCGCTCCTCGCCGTCGTCACCACCATCGTCGTGGTCATCGACCCCGGCAACCGCAGCCCCAGACGCGTCGGCACAGTGATGCTCGGAGTTGTAGTTTGCTACGTAGGTCCTCTGCTGCGGAACCAATGACAGGCGCGGAATTTGAGGGCATGATGTCGACACATTTCCGCCGCCAAGCGTCGTCGCAGGGTGCGACCCGTCGAAGAAGGCCTCCTGCTGCTCCTGCTCCTCGGCTTGGTCGTCACGGCCATCGCCCATCGACAGAGTCGTTTTCTTGGCTGCGGCGGCGCGCCTGTGGGCGGGAGGAGTGGGCAGCGGCTTCGTCGTGGGGCTGATGAAGACGGCATTGCTGAGCACCACGTCGTACCCGTCGTCCTCGGGGAACAGGTCCTCCTCGACCATCACCTGCGCAAAGATGTCCTCCTCCTGCGCCACACACACGGGTGTTCACCTGCAGGTGAGCCTCTCTCTCTATCTCCTGTCGCAGAACCGGCCAAGTAGAGCGAAAAGAAAGGAAAAATGATGTGGCCGGGTAGAGAGCGAACCTGGTAGACCTTGCCCCTCTTCTCCTCCTGGATGGAGTAGGCGGCGATGTCGTGGCAGTGGGCCATTGGGAATGTGCGTGCGTGTTGATGTCGAGTGGTGGCGACTTGCGTCGGGGTGTGCTCGTCGTCAGTCAGTCAGTCAGTCGAGTGCTGCGGTCTGGTCAGGAAGGGCAGGAAACAAATCAGCTGTGGGGGCCGCAGGTGGGCTTATATCCTGGCGCTCGCCCGGGATAACTCCCAGCTTATCATAACGACGTGGACCAAGTGGTGTTTGAATTACTCGAACCGGAGGTGGTTTTTGATTGGCGATTGGGCACAAGTGAGCAGTTGTCTCTGTGACAGCTCCCTTCAAAGATCCTGCGTCCGCAGAAAGCTCTGCCCAACAACTTCAAACCGGGTTATAACCCGTCTTCTCCAGAGTGGAGATGCAGCTGATGGACAGGCCTGGCTGTTGTGTGCCCGTTGTTGACCATGCGATGGGGCCGAAGGCGAACCCTGACAACCACTGGCTGTCACAGGAGCTCAATCCCAGCGAGACAGGCGATCGAGGGCGAATGAGAGCTTTGGCCTAAACCTGTGGAAACGAGCCCAGCCACAACAAGGGCGCCACGATTCCACCTAGTTTGCTGAGCGGGCGTGGCACTTCCTATTCCTGGATCGGCGGCCCGTTCCCAGCATTTGTTCGCTTTTGCCGCCCGAACTGTTTTTGCTCCTTGGTTTTATCCTGGTGCAAAAGAGCACAAGAGAAATGAAGTTCGCAAAGGAAAAGGAAAAGCAAGAGATGACGTGCCGATTACCGATCTACCGGTTGTGAATTGCGAATTATCGGTTCAATAATAAACAGTTCGACGCCATCCAAAACAGACGCCATGCAAGGTTCTTTTCTCGCCACTTATTTACTCCACTGCAGCTATTTGTGGTTGTGTTGATGATTTTATTTATTTATTCTTCTTTGGCTCACGCGCAGCAGGAGGGAAGAGGCGCGTAGCGGTGGTGGGGGCTGGGGTGTCGGGCCTGGCGTGTGCGCGTGCGCTGGTGAGTGCGGGACTCGAGGTGCGCCTGTTCGACAAGGGCCAGCGCGCCCCGGGCGGCCGCGTACACTCGCGCTCCGTGCGCCTCGATGCCCAGGACCAGGTCGTGCCCCACCGAAGCTCGCCTCACGAAGAGAAGAAGGCCGTGGCCGAGGTGCTGAGCTTCGACGACGGCGCGCAGTACTTCACCGCGCGTGCGCCCGAGTTCCGCGCGTTCGTGGAGGAGTGCGTGGCGCGGGGATGCGTGCGCGAGTGGGCTCCGCTCCGGGTGGCGGTGATCGACAGGGAGGGCGAAGTGGTCCTCAAGCCCGACGACGAGGGCAAGAAGAAGGAGGAGAAGGAGGCAGAGAATAATGCGAGATATGTGGGCAGTCCCACCATGCAAGCCTTTATCCCATTCCTCGCCCAGCCCGTGGCCCACACCATTCAACAATCCGTGCGCGTAGCCGACATCCAGGTGCGGTGGTGCGTGTGCGTTTTTTTTGCATTGTTGTGCTGAAGTTCGATTCCAGAGACGAGAGGGTGGCGATGGCGGAGAGCGCTGGGGCCTGGTGGGAGAGAAGGGCGAGGATTTGGGCGACTTCGAGGCGGTGGTGGTGGGCGTCCCCGCCCCGCAGGCCGTCGACCTCCTCCGCGCGGCTCCAAACCTCCGCGCCAAGGCCGCCTCCGTTCATATGAACCCCTGCTGGTCTGTTGCCCACTTCTTCTTTTTCGTTCGACTCTCTGTGTGCTCACTGACCCGTGCCATGTCGTGTGTGTTCGGTGGTGCGCGGGTTCTCCGGCAATTGACTATGTGTGTGGTGTGTGCGTGCGTGCGTGTAGGGCGGTGGGCGTGGCGTTTGATGGCGCGCAGGAGAGCCTGCAGTTCGACGGGGCCTTCGTGAACGACAAGGCCTCGCCGCTCTCCTGGATCGCCCGCAACTCCAGCAAGCCCGACCGCGTCGGCCACAAGGAGTGCTGGGTGCTGCACGGGAGCGCCGAGTGGTCAACCCAGCATCTCGAAGACGACCCCCAGTCCGTCGCACGCGCGCTCGTCGACGGCTTCAAACGGTTAGGCCTCTTTCCTCACCGCTGATCCCATGTTGACTCCTTGTGACGATAATAGCGATGAAGACGATGATGCTGACCACCAGCCCATGATGGACAGAGTCGTGGGCGGCGCGGTGGGGGAGCCGAGCTATGTGGGCACGGCATTCCGGTGGCGCTTCGCGATACCGGCCAACCCACTGCCCGAGCGATTCGTCTACGACGACGCCCTGCGCATCGGCCTCTGCGGCGACTGGGTCGGCGGACCCCGCGTGGAGGTGCGCCACACCACCCATTCCCCGATGATTACGTTCACTTCCGCGATCTTGTGCTCAACAGTTCTCTCTCTTAGGGCGCCTTCATGAGCGGACACCTCCTGGGCAAGCACCTCTCTGCCAGCCTCTGAGAACGCAGTGCTGGGCATAGGCGCTTCTGAACGCAAGAGCTGTTTTTATTATTATTAAATTTCTTTATTACTCTTCGGTCTTGGTGACCTTGAGGTTGACGTTCTCCTCGTAGTTGACGCGGTTCTTGCGGCGGTCGATGTTGTTCTCCATGACGTCCTTACGCACGCCCAGCACGTCCTGCATGAGCTTCATGGCGCCCTTGCTCCCGCCCGCCACCAGCAGCGCGTTGAGGGCCTTGCTCAGGAACACTGAGTCCTTGTTGAACAGCGTCGCGAAGGCATCGAATTCAGCCCACGTACACACGGCGTAGGAGACAGCCACCGCCACCAACTCCTTCACCCCCGGACTGACCCCAACACCGCCAAGGTGGTAAGAATGATGGTCGCCGGGGGGGGGGGGCAAAGAATGAAAAAGGGCAAAAAGAGCGAAGAACTTACTTGCTGAGGGGGCCGCGCCACAGGCGGAGTTCGAAGACGACAGCGAGGGAGCGTTCGATGAAGAAGGCGAGCACGAGAAGGAACACAAACGACTCTTGAAGTGCGTCATAGTCTAGCGAGCGTGCCATCCTGCTTTTGTCTCAAGGAGGCTACGCAGTTGCTTGCTCTTGGCACTTACCACGCGGCGCCACTGGCTGGACGCTTAGAATTCCCGAGTGACCGTTACAATACGCGCTTTTTTTCTGAAAGAAGACATCACAAATTTTCTAGCGGTCGCGTAATCTACCACGGCAGTGCAGATGGAGGGCGAAGGAGAGGCGAAGCAGAACGGTCCACCGGCGGGGATGCCACCGCCGTCAGGCGCCTTTGAAGCCTTGCAAGAAGCCACTATGATAGATCTCAACGACACTCCCGTTCCCTTTGCCAGCTTCTACAAAGATGTATGTTCATCATCTCGCCCCTGAAATCAGTCCATTCATTAACATCAAGATTACTGCGTGCAGAGACCGGCTTGCGTAGTGTGGTTGCGCCATTTTGGATGAAACACAGTCATGTTGCGCGTGCAAGATTACGTGCAACGGGCCGACGAATTCAAGAACAAGAACGTCGAGGTGCGCCTTGCTTCAATCTTGTGGCCGAAATCAACACTACGCCCATAGAGTAGAGCATGTTTGTTGCTCACCCATATCCCGTTTCCTCCCACAGGTGGTGTTTGTGGGGCATGGAGGAAAGAAGAAGGGTGTGCAGTACGTAGAGACACTCAAGATGGAAGGACTCGTGCCGCTCTACATCGACCCGAAGCGAAAGACGCACACTGCGCTCGGACTCATCGACATCAGTACACCCTCCTCAACCCCTTCTCTTTCCTATTCACCAAAACTCACCCTCTCCATCCTTGCAGGCTGGTCGAAGCTGTTGACCGATTCGAAGGGTTTCCAGCTCTCCAAGGAGGCGTCGAAGCAGGGCTTCAAGGTGGCCCTCTTGGGCACCGGCAGCCACACGTAAGCGCCTTGCTTTACCGCTTGCCCCGTGTCAGAGAAGACAAACGACTGACGGTCTTTTCTTTGACGACGCACACAGGCAACTGGGCGGAGTGGCCCTGGTGAGCCAAGACGGCATCTCGTTCTTCCACCAGTGCCACACCACCTGGGACTACCCGGAGGTCGACGATATGCTCGCCCTCTGTGCCAGCCTGCAGTAGTGGTGGTGGCGGTGGCGGTGGCCGAGACCAGCTAAGACGGGTCACTCGGGGGGCGACGACGTCGACGAGGGCGCAGAGGAGGCGCCTCTTCTTTGTAGAATGAAGTCTTCGCTGCCAAACGCCACACCAGGCGCGCGCGACGACTGATGCACAATAAAGAAGAGGCGCCCGTCTACGCCGCAGCGACGGCCGGCAGCCTCGTGCACTCTACCTCTTCCTCCTCTTCGGGGTAGATCTTGCAGTGTTTCGAACGGAACAAGAGGGTTGTTGCAAACAGTCAACTAACTCTATTGTTGTGGTAGTGGTAGTGGTCATTGCTGCTGGTTCAAGAAGAGAGGCACCACTACGGCAGCGTCGAGCGGGAGACCCACGGCACGCTGCGAGCCCGAGGTCTCGGGTACTTCGGGGTAGTCCGTGTTGAGTCGCACCAACCGCACGCACTCGTGCTGGGCCAGGAGCCGTTCGTTGGGCCAACGGAGCACGCCCGGCGTGTTGAACCCGGCCCCGATCTCGAGTATCACCACGGTCCTGGGATTCTTCTTCTTCTCTTTCGCTGGAGCCTCCGGGTCTTCGGCTTGGTCGTCATCACGAGAGCACTCGCCGATGGCCTGCTCCACGAACCGGCGGTAGGCTTGGCCGGTGGCCTGGTAGGGCGACTCGATGAACCAGTCGCCCCCGCGCACGTTGAAGAAGACGGGGCCGCCGCAGCGTGGGCACCGGGGCATGGCCGACGGCTCCTTGATCTGCATTGTCTCGTTCGTGTCGATATGCGGCAACGCCGCGTCGACGAACGGCCTCGTAGGAAACACCACCGAAGTCGATGACGCTGCCGCCTTGCCGTTGCACTCGTGACTCAGGCACTGCATGTTGCCATAATCGCCCTGCGGCGTAAACACGCGGGACATGTCGAACCCCGACTGCTCGAAGAACCCGTCGGCGTTGGACGTCTTGACGAAGTAGCGACCACCACCACCACCGCTGTCGCTGCCCTCGCCGGTCTGTTCGGCCAGCCGGAGCAGCTGCGTGTAGAGCTCGGTGGGACCCCAGGTGAAGCGAGCCCGGTGGGCGTGGGTGAGGAGGTAGCCCCACTTGAGCTCCTCGGAGATGGGCAGGCGCCCGATGAACTGGTACATGCACCGGAAGCCGAGGGCGTGCATGGCCGGGTACAGGCGGGCGAACACGGCCTCCGAGGTGTAGTCGAGGCCCACGGAGGCCGAGAGGCCGGCGCCGGCGGAGATGATGAGGTAGTCGGCCCGCCGGACGAACTGGACGGCCAGCGCCAGGTCGTCTATAATGTCGACAGAGTGATTGAGGTGGCCGACGTGGTTGGCAAGGTGCTCCTTGATGCGCCGGTGAGTGTCATCATCGTCGGCCCCTTGCGCGCCACTCGGTCGTTGGTCGCCCTGCTGCATGTGGTGGTTCGGTGTCTGGAGTGAAGTACGATCTGACAGTGGCTGCGCCGCCTCCAGTCGTGGGTGGCCACCCACGCCCCGTCTCGGCGTTTCGAGAAGGCTCAGAGAGCTCCGAGCCAATGAATTGGTTGGGGGTCCTGTTCCGCGTCAGCCAAGCGCACGTGCGAGTGCTATCTTTGTGCTGCCAATAGTGAGAGTGCCAGCCCGCCAAGCACACAAGTTGGCGAGAGGAGGATGCAAGAGAGCGAGCACAACAGGCCGCACACCGCGGGGCGAGGAGGGAGAGCGGGGATGGTGGAGGGCAAGGTCATCCTGGTGGTGGGCGGCACGTCCGGGATCGGCGAGGCTACGGCCATCCTCGCCGCCAAGGAGGGCGCCAAGGTGGCGGTCGCAGGCCGAAGAGAGGACAAGGGCCGGGAGGTGGTAGCCAAGATCTACGATGAATTGATCAAAGATGGAATCGTGCCTACGGCAGACGGAGAGGGCGAGGAGAAGAGGGCCATCTTCATCCGCTGCGACGCCACGAAGGAAGAAGACGTGCGAAATCTCGTTGCCAGCTGCGTTGCTGCATTCGGACGGATCGATGGCGCTTTCAACAACGCGGGCGTCATGAGGCACACGAGGCCCCTGCTCGAGATCGGTCTACACGAGTTTCAAGATATGATGCAGGCCAATGCCTTCTCCACCCTCTGCTGCATGAACGAGGAGATCAGGCAGATGCGCAAGCAGGAGGAGGCGGCGAGCGTAGCGACGAAGTCGGCAAGCCCAGTGGCTCGAAGCGGCCGCTACTCGATCGTCAACTGCTCGTCGATTAATGCGGAGAGGCCCTTCGCCACAACAGGCCTGTACGGCAGCACGAAGGTGGCGATCGACTTCTTGACCAAAACAGCAGCCATCGAGCAAGCGGATGTGCCGATTCGAATCAATTCGGTGCAGCCAGGGCCGGTCGTTACCGACATCTTCGCCGACCTCTCATCGATCGATCCCACCGGCACCATCACCAGCCGAGTCGCCATTGCCGAGTTCGGGAAGAGGAACACACTCTTCGGTGCGGCCACTCTCCATCCTCACGGCTTTATGCTCGTATTAATTTTATTGTTATTATAATTTTTATCCCCACGCGTGCAGGACGAGCGGGCGAACCACACGAAGTGGCCGGACCGGTGGTGTTCCTGCTGAGCGATGCAGCATCGTTCATCACAGGCGTGAACCTGCTCGTGGACGGTGGAGTTGCCGTTCGCACCATAGGCGCCGGATCCAATCCCTGACACCACAACACACCGCGGCCACCAACGGATGGCGATGCCAAGACAGATGGGGAAGGAAAGGGAACGGGCCAAAGTACGACGAGAGAGAGATGGGCAGCGTTTGCCACTCAGAGTGAAAGAAGAAAGGGGTTCCTGTTGCTCCTGGTGTGTGGTTTGTGTCGTGACCTGTGGCTTACTGCATGAACCTGGTCTTCTTGGGCTCCCAGCGGAAGAGCTTGAGGCCCTCCCTGAACTGCTTCGCCGATGACTTGTTGGCGGTTTGCATGTATTTCTGTTGTGCACCACAACCCGAAGCAGAGGACCGTCAGCACAAGCATCAACCCACCAAACTTTCAAAAAAATTCAATAAATAACAAAATACATAAATAAAAAATGTACTCCTGCTACAAACTGATAATGCGCTTTTTTAAGCCGAGAGCGCGGAGCATTTAAAAAAAAATGAACAAAGAATTAATTGAATTTCAACGGAAGGGGGCACACCTCTCTCTTTTGACAATTGATCAAATCCAGACGCTCTGCGAAGCACGCTCCGGGTTCTTGCATGCCATCAAGCCCGAGGGCTGAGTAGCAATCCATAAGTTGGGTCAGTGCGGGAACGCACATGCCTTCCGTCGATGGCGGCAGGAGCGGGCGCTTCTGGAATCGCCGCGGCACCCCGCTGCCCTGAGGCGGGGCCGCTCCGAGCACCGGACGCGGAGGCAGACCCATGAACACTCGTCTTCCGGATCCCTTAGACGCCATCTTCACTTTGGAGTTTTTTCTTTTGATTGTCTCATTTTCCTTTTCCTTGTGTTTTTTTTTGGTGCTCTGTTTGTGTCAGGAAATTTCTCGGTTTGTTGCGTCTATTTCTCCGCTTTGGCTCGGACGCCAAAAAAACACAAAAAGCTGCTGCGCCCTTTGTCTCATTTCAGCGCATCCTCTTGCAAGCCATGAATCCCATCCAGCAACGGCTACTCGCTTTGGCCAACACACCAGCCGATCAACTCAGCACATTGGGTGGCTTCGGTGGCGGACCCAGGTCGAATCCTTACAACCTCCACTCCGCGCAGCATCAAGAACAACTCGCTGCTGCTGCTGCCCCGCCACCCCATCATCACCATTCTGTGCCTCGACTTGACGATGGAGAACCACCCCAGGTACGCTACTTATCTTTTCAAATTTGTCCACGCGCATTGTTATTCTAACGGCCTATGTACACAGAAACGCAGCCGCTGGAACGCGCCTGGCACTAAAGCCTTCATCCCGGGCGTGCCTCACTTGATCCCTTGCGGCATTGATAAAGAGTGCATGGAGGCGCTACTAGGTACGATTTCTCTTTCAATTTTTGGCGTTCGCCTCCGCAGGTTGTCTCACCCTTCCCCTCCTCCATAGTTCGCGTTCGCATCGAAGAGCTCACGCACTCGATCAACACTGGTCAGCTCGGGCTTGACGATCCCACCATAAGGCGGTCGCCTTCTCCCCCGCCGAAGTACGATTCGCAGGGAAAGCGTACCAACACGCGCGAGCAGCGCACCAAGGAGAAGCTCACTCTCGAACGTCAGAGCCTCATCCAAATCGCTACCAAGCTCAATCCCGCCTTCAAGGTACAACCCATTCACTGCATTGTACGCAACATTGCGTTTAACATTCGATTTTTATTTTTACTTTCTCCGCTACTCAGCCTCCTTCGGACTACAGACCTATCAACGTGAAGAAGACGCGCAAGATTCGCGTGCCGATCGATAAGTATCCCGACTACAACTTCATCGGTCTCATCATCGGCCCGCGTGGCGACACCCACAAGCAGCTCGAGAAGAAGAGCGGAGCCAAGATCTCCATTCGTGGCAAGGGTTCGCAAAAGGAGGGCCAGGCCGGCAAGAAGTTTACCGGCGATGAGGAAGAAGACCTTCACGTGCTCATCACTGGTGACACTGACAAGCAGCTCGATATCGTACGCCCCCCCCCTATTATTCTTTTCTTGTGTCGTGTGGTGTTCGGTGCAAACGCGCGCATGATGCATAACTATTTGCTACTCCAATTATATTGTGAGGACAATTACCACCAAGAACTGATCAGCGTTTTGACACCGCACTCCCACGCGAGCTGCTCATCTCTGTTTCGTGCGACCGATGATGCTAACAACCCTTGACTCCGATCTGTCTCCACTCAGGCCGCCGACATGGTGGAGAAGCTGCTCGTGCCGATCGCCGACGAGATCAACGAGCACAAGCAGCTCCAGCTGCGCAGCTTGGCCGCCTACAATGGTACCCTGCGCGATGAGAACTACGGCCGCGGCGGCCGACGGTTCGGCGACCAGGAGGACCGTGGCATCGTGTGCGGCTTCTGCGGCGAGCCCTCTCATCCGACCTCCGACTGTCCCATGCGCAGTACCTCCCTCCTCCCTCCACTCCTTTCCTCTCACTCCCCTCACAAACACATTCATGTGCTCACATTACTGCCCTTTTGTTTTGCGATCTGCGCAGACCAACCGGGCGCGAAGAGCAAGATGGACAGGGAGTACGAATCATTCCTCAATGAAATCGGCGGCGGCGGCGGCGGTGGCTTCCCCATGGGTGGAAGCAGCGACGGCGGCGCCAAGTCTTCGGCCGACGACGAATACGCCAACTTCATGGCCTCCATCGGAGAGAGTACGCGCGCCCTCCTCATCCTCCTCCACTCCATTTTAGGTCGTAGTGTTGTTGCTGACCGGCCTTCTTCTTCCCCCCCCCTTCTTTTCTTGCAGCCCCGACCTCGCCGCAGGCCGATGCTGCGAGCGCGCCGGCTCCGTGGGCCAAGCCGCGCGGTGCGCCCATGGCGCCGCCGGCGGGGGGCGCCGGGGGCGGTCACTATGGTCCCGGCGGCCCCATGCGCGGTCACGGCGGTGCCTCGCCCATGCCCCCCGTCATGGGTGGTCGCGGTGGCTACCCGCCCGTTGGCGGTTATCCCCAGCAAGGTTACCCGCCTTACGGTGGTGCGCCGGGAATGGGCGCGCCGGGCTACCCGCCTTACGGCGGTGCTCCGGGTATGGCCAGCCCCTACGGCCAGCAGCCACCCTACGGCATGCAAGGCATGTGCCTCCCCTCTCCAACGCCGTGCTTGGGAATGTGGTCGGCTGCCGGCCCCGGTGGGTGGTACTTACCCTCGTCGCCTCCGTCGTCATCTCGAACAGCAGCCCCCGGACAGTACGGACCTCCCGGCATGGCGGCGATGCCTGGCATGGGCGGCTACGGTGCGCCTGGCGCCGATGGCAGCACGAGCGACAGCGGCAGTGCTGCCCCGCCTCCGTGGCAGAAGCAGTAATGGTCGCGCGTTGGCACCCCCCACTGGTATACCATCACCACGCTCCCCCACGCGCTGCGCCACTACGTGCAGTCCTTCGTTTCGTGGTCGTGGTCGTGTCCGTCGTTGTTTGTGACGAAGATTACGGAGTGGAGGTGGAAGGGTGGACAGAAGAGAGAGAGAGGGAGAGGGAAGGACAACTAACATGTAACCGCTAACTACTACGACTAACGTGGCTAACCACTAACGCCAAACCAAATCAATCAACAAGTGCGCAGTTGGCCACCAACCACGCCTTACGAATTACCCAACTACCACTGCCAGCGAGAGTCTCCCTCACAAATTGGACTCTCGCTCTCCCGCCCAATCTGTGCTCATCTTCAACAGCGCAACTCGCGGCCCTTGGCGCCACTAACCCCTCTTTCCTTCCTTACCATCCATGGCTGTGGTCTCTTCTCTCCTCTCCTCTTTCGTGTGCAGTCCCAACTCTGACCATCATCCACCAATTGACGAGACAACAACTGACCCTTCTGACCATTTCACTCCAAGCAAGCATCGACGCCACCAGGAAGCAGCCAGCCGCGGTAGCCCTCCTCTTCGGAGAGCCTCCGTACTCCTCCCCCTCGCAGGCACGCCATCTGTGGTGTGCCTGTCTGTACGCTCTCCACCCCCCCCCCTTGCGGGAGAAAACGAGTTTAACTCTACAGTCAGCTGATACTCCAAAAGGGAAGCTGCTTCAAATATATTTTGCACCACACCGCCGCCCCTGTACACCCCCCCCCTCGATTGCCACCTGCGTCCAGCCCGTTGATAATAGAACTATTGTGGAGGTATCCAGCTCCAGTCTAGGCCTCGGCGAAGATGGCGTCGCGCATCCGCCAGGCAGGCTTGGGTGGGTTTTAGTCGACGGTGACGGCCTTGGCCAAGTTCCTGGGCCTGTCCGGGTTCTCCTTCCTCATCACCGAGAGCTCGTAGGCCAGCAGCTGGTAGCCCGCACAGCGCAAGCGCGTGAGGAAGAGTGCACCACGTCGTGGAAGATGGAAGGACGGCGTACCTGGAAGGGCAGGACCGAGAGGAGGTTGGTCATGGGGCCGTTGCTGGGAATCTTGATCAGGTCAAAGTCGGCTCCCTTGCTCGCTTCGAGCTCGTGCTCGAACATCTGGGCGTTGTTGGTGATGACGATGGTGTACGCGCCTCTGGCGCGCACCTCCTCCGCCACCGTCTTCATCTTGGCGGCGTGCTTGTCGTTCAGCACGATCAATACGATGGGCGTGCCTGCAGGCAGAGCAAGTGAAGGGGCGGGGTGTGTGAGCCCAACGAACGAGTCCGGGCAGATCTGGTGGGTGGTGGTGAAGCCGCACCCTTCTCAATGAGGGCGTAGGGTCCGTGCTTGAGGGCGCCGCCGGGGTAGCCTTCGGCGTGGATGTAGCTGATCTCTTTGATCTTGAGCGAACCCTCGAGGGCAACGGGGTGGGCGGCGCCCTTGCCGAGGATGAACATGTGCTCGACGATCTTGCCGCCGGGTCCCATGGTGAAGAGCTTGTGCGCGATCTTCTTGATCGTCTCGCGCATGCTCTGCAGGGTCATTCCCACGTTGGTGGGCAGGCGGTGAAGCGCTTCGATCATCACTGGAGTCCGATCGACACACGTCATCAGTGATCGAGGTCAACCCTGGTTGGGAAAAGGCCCTCTAATCAAAGAAAGAGAAGTGGTGTTTGGTACCTCTCCTCTTCTGCTTGTCCTGAGGAGCGTTGACCTGCGAGAACCAGATCGCCACGAGGGCGAGGACGGTGACCTGGCACGTGAAGGCCTTGGTGGACGCCACGGCGTGCTCCCTGCCGGCGTTGAGGTAAACGCCACAGGCCGAGTGACGCGCGATTTGCGAGCCCACCTGTGTGCGGCGCACCGTTCGATCGTCAGAGTGGGCGTTGAGGGCGCGACGCGGGGGCGATAGTGATCAATTAAGTAAAAATAGATCAGCGTAAATCCAGCGTACCGCGTTGACGACGGAGAAGCAGGGGATGTCCCTCTGCTGGGCGAGGGCCATGGCCGTGTAGACGTCCTTGGTCTCACCGCTCTGCGAGATGACCAGCAGACCGCCGTTTTCCTTGGGCATGTCTTCCTCCGTGAGCTCGGCCGCATCCAGCACTAAAAATGAAAATAGAAAGGAAGAAAATGTTGTAACAAACACAAATGGCGTTGGTCAAGTAGTGTCACCAACACATCGAAGCGTGGACGTGCGAAACGTGAACGTGGCACGTACCCTGGACGGTCTTGAAGGCGTTGAGGTGCCTCATGTACTGGGCGCCGGCAATTCCCGCGTAAAAGGAGGTACCGCAGGCCGCGATCACCAGATGCTGCACGCCACTGAGAACGGCCCTGTTGGCTGTGCGTCGGCGGCGAGTGCGAGGGGAGGGTGTGGAGTGAGTGACTCGCAACTTGGCATGCGCGCAAACGGAAGACAGCCGAGAGGAGACTAACTACAACTACTGCTGCTGCTACTATGGCTACTACTACTTACCGTCCAAACCACCGAGCATGGTGCTGGATTCGTCCAAAATACGACCGCCGTAGTTCAGCGCTCTGCTGATCGCGGCAGGCTGCTCCATGATCTCTGTACGGGCGTAGGTGTGTAGATGATGTACGTGAGAGGGGGGGGTGAGACTTGGAGGAAAAACGAGACGGATCGTGAGCACCCTTAATGGTCCAGTGGGGCCAGGGAGCGGGCGAGATCTGGATGTGCTCCTGCGGCGCGTGCTCGATCCTCGAGCGGTCGAGCGAGTGGCCCTTGGCGGTGAGGACGGCGACCTCCTTGTCCTCGAGGTCGATGAACTCCTTGGTGTAGCGCGAGAAGGCGGCAGACTCCGACGCGATGAACATCTTGCCCTCGCCGATGCCCACGAGCAGCGGAGAGCCGTTCTTCACGGCCAATATCTGGTCGGGATGCTCCTTGTCCTGTTGATGGATGACGATGACGATGATGACGTACACCACGACAAAGATGTTCATTCAGAATGTGTGTCACGCATTCAACAGGCAGTGTCGGTGTTGTTTCGGTTGGAAGGCATGCAGAAGAGAGAGAGAGAGAAAGTGGTACCAGGATGGCCAGACCCCAGGTGCCCTCGAGGCGATCCTGCGTCTTCTTCACGGCCTCCAGAAGGGACATGCCCTGGTTGACGTACACGCCGAGCTGGAGAGAGCAAGAGAGAAGAGGATAGAACAGTCAGGGGACCACCTCGTGCATAAGGATGGTTACTGGGTGGGTGGGCTCGCGTACCAGCTGGGCGATGACTTCAGTGTCGGTCTCCGACCGGAAGTGGATGCCGTGCTGCGTCTGGAGCTCCTTCTTGAGCTCGTTCGAGTTCTCAATGACGCCGTTGTGCACCACCGCGATGCGGCCAGACTGGTCCAGATGCGGGTGGGCGTTCTCGTCCGTGCGGGCGCCATGAGTGGCCCAGCGGGTGTGCGCGATACCGGCGACGTGGGCGTCGTGCTTGCCCAGGTGCTGCTCAAGGAGGGTGATGGCGTTGTTGGTCTTGCCCACGCTGGCGTACTTGGACATCGCCAATTCGTGTGTAGCAGGATTAATCGTGGCGATACCAGCCGAATCGTAGCCGCGCGATTCGAGCACCTTGAGGCCTTCGATGAGGACAGGCGCTGCGGGTTCACTGCCGACGAAGGCGATGATGCCGCAGACATCGTTGTTGAGCAGAGCGTTGAAAGTAGACGGGCTGTCCTTCAGATGCCTCTCGAGGACGCCAAGCCTCCTCGCTACGGCTGCGCTGGACTTTGACATTTGTTCGATGCGGCTGGGGCGAGTAGAGGAAAGTGGATGAGCGATTCTGCACGGACAAAAGGTACTGACACAGCCACTCCCTACGCCAAGGATTCGAGAGGAGCAGAGCAGGAGATGGTGCTCCAGCGCAAATGGGAAAGATCAAACTCCCCCACAAGAAAACCACATCAAACGGCGTGCGCACCTTCTCTTCTCGGGTGTGTTGTTGTTGTTGTTCTATCTGAGACGCTCAGATGTGTTGTGTGTAGCGGGTGTGAGAGGAACTGCTGTGGTCGGTTCGTGACGTGGTCCGTTGGGAGCGACTTGGTTGTTGCTCCACACCAACAGCTCCCTGCGGAAAAGAGTTTTTTTGACGATTTCTCCCACCAGGACTGCAGCGGGAATTCGTGGGAGTACGACACTGATGCAGCTGCCTAAGACCAACATGTTGGTGCCGTCAGGACACAATACAACTCCAGGACCGTGGCATGGTAGCTGGACTATGTTTGAACGCACGTTTCTTTGCTTGGCGAAGAGACACACCAGCTGGGCGGGCCACCGCCGAACAACAACAACGACATTACATTCCTCTTCACCCTCCCTTCTCTCGCTCAGCGCACGCCGGCCCACCGGCATGCGAGTGCACTTGTTGTGGCGGTCGCGTTGGTAGTGGTCGAGCCTTGCCAAGGGGAGACGGCCGTCTCCCTTTAGTTGGACTTCTCGAAGAGGGTCTGGGCAAAGGTGGCGGGCGCCTCGGTCACGCACTTGCCGCAGTGGATGCAGCTCGGGTGGTCGCTCACGTAGTCCTCCTTCTCCAGCTGCACGCCCATGGGGCACACGTCGCCGAGCACCTTGTTGGCATCCTGGACCGGCGTCTTGGACGAACGAGCAATGCGCAGCACCTGAAACACAACAAGAGGTTGTTCACTGACTGGTGAGACTACTAGTCCTGAAGGTAATGGAATGCAGCGGCGCGGTCGTGGCGCGGGGAGAACCGGTACCTTGTAGCTGCTGAGGGGCTCGAGGAGGGTGCCCATGGGGCACAGGTAGCGGCAGAAGAAACGGGGGATGTAGACGGAGGGCACAAGCACGGCCACGCAGAGGGCGAGCTTGATCCAGGCGATCAGGCCTGAATGAATTGGAATTCACACATGTGTGAGTCTCGAGAGCGATTGACGCATACGCGCGGAAGAGGAAAGAAGGAGAGAAAGAAGGGCAGAGCTATACCGGCGGAGAGGAGCACGTTCGTGTTCCAGAGAGCCAACCAGGGCAGGTAGGCGAAGAGGGTACCGGCGGGCGAGATGACGGAGAAGGGAGAATCCGAGAAGACCTGTTGGTACAAAGCAATCATCAACGGGGGTCAGACATGGACACGACTCGCAACGCTACAACGCTAAAGCGAGCGCAAGTGAGTGGAAAGGGAGAAACGTACGCCCATGGGGTCCTCGTGGCCCATGGCGGAGGCGCGGCGCCAGGCAACAAGGATGACGGAGATGAGAGAGAAACCGAGAACGGCCCACTTGAGGTCCTTCAGCTGGCTCGTGGTGGAGGCAGACAGCTTCTCCTTCTTGAAGGGCAGGTAGCTCAGGATGTCCTACGCGCCCAAGAGTGTCAGTGGCTCGAGCTGCGACCGCGTAGAAGAACAGAAATAGAAGAAATCATCGAGGCTGGAACAAATTTGCTTCCGCGTAGGACGATGAGATCGCTTCAGATTTCAGAATGCAGGAGAGAAGAGAAAGGAAGCGGAGCATACCTGGACAAGACCGAAGGGGCAGGCCCAACCGCAGAAGAGACGACCGACGGTGACGGCGGTGAGGTAGATGACGCCGAGCACGAGCAGGGGGAAGACGCCGCGAGCGATGGTATACTCGAGCGACTCATAGGCACCGTGGACAGTGGACCAGGGCGACTGGGTGACGTGCAAGTAGGGCACGATAAGGCCTACCAGGACATAGGAATGCAATCGTTAGATCATTTACACGCAATTCGAAGCGATTATCAAAATTCGGCACTGTGCAGCTTCGCAAGTAAGATGCCTCTACGCATGCTAATGGCTGATAGAACATTGGATGGCGGTGCGTACCAGTGGAAGCGAGGCCGAGGAGCTTGCCGTTGGCAAAAACAGTGGCGAGCAGCTGCGTGAGGTGACGCAGGTACTGCAGGGCGCCGATGTCCTTGAGGCTGAACGACCTTTCGAAACGAGCGGACGACTGAAAATCGAATGTAAGGGGCGGGGAGTGTCAATTCGAGAATTGGGCAACATCGCCGCCGAAATGAACACCAAGCAATACTTCACACTCAGGAAGAGCGAATCTGGAAAAGGCCAGAGAACATAGATGCAGTGGCGGGGCTACGATGCGTACCATCTTGGGTGAAAGTAATCGATTATTGGATCACCAATTCGGCTGCGAGGCCACCAGGGTCGAAGCTTGACCCCCAGTTGACCACACGTCGTTCTCTTGCTATTGGCCAACCTTGAAATTCGGCGGACACAGCGAATCATACTTAGCATTCTTGTATTTTCCTTTCCAATTTCCTCGACGTCCTCTTCTTCCGCTGGGGAGCTTTGACTGGCCCAGTGTGTGCCCAGTGTGCAGGCTTGTTTGAGTTGGCTACAGTAGAATTCTGCACATCATCAGACCTGATGGAATCTTTCTATGCATCCTACAAACAGCGAATCAGTCAAGCATGTAGATACGTGAGGCAATGTCATTCACAAGCCACTCCACTCCCTCGGCGAGCCCTTCGCCGGTCACCGCAGAGCAGCTCTGAATGTGCCAATGTCTGGCGAGGCCCACCCACGACACCCAAGCTGAGCAAATGCAACAAGAGCGGGTTTGTGTTGTGTTGTGTGGTGTGTGTGTGTGTGTTGTGTGTGAGAAGAGAGAGAGAGAGAGAGCTTGCATACCGTTGGTTGATGTCGTGGAGCCCCAACACCTGGGCGATGTCGTCGTGCGAGAGCGCCCCTTTGATGTCCTGTTTGTTGGCATACACCAGCAGTGACGCCCCCGACAGTTTCTGCACGGGATGACCGAACGTGAGCGCTCTTCTTGAAGCCTGCTCGTTGTCGCACTCACAAGAAGAAGGGCGCGGTGGTGCAGCATACCTCCTCGAGCAACAGCTGGCCCAGCTCAGCGCGGCAGTCCTCCAGCCGCCGCTTGTCGGCCGAGTCCACCACCCACACGATCCCGTCCGTCTGTGCGTGCCATGAGCCAAGAAGACCACTGGGGAGGCGGTTGCGTGGGAGAGTGCCGAGCGCGCTTGCGCACCTGCTCAAAGTAGTTGCGCCAGTAGGAGCGCAGAGACTTCTGGCCTCCGATGTCCCACACGCTCAGCTGGTACCCTTCGAACTCGAGCGTCTTGATGCTGAAGCCGAGGGTGGGGCTGATCTCGTTGATGTCCTCACCGTTGAACTTCTTGACGCAAGTCGTCTTGCCGGCGTTGTCCAGCCCCCTTTTGCACACAATGTAGAGTAATCAATTTGAGGGATTAAATAAATAAGAAAATCAAACGAAGATCGAGGCTCGAGATTTCGTACAAGATGAGAATGCGCATCTCCTTCTCCTTTAGTTTTAGCTTCTTCAAGATTGTGAGGAGCACCATCGCTGCCGCTCGATTTTGTGTCTTGCTTGGTTCGCGCCAAAAGCAGAACCCTTTTTTTTGCATTTTCGAAACGGATTTCATTTTGTTTTGGCTCTTTGAAATAGATTTGAGCAAATGGAAAGGCATCAGGACCACCATTATTTTTTTTTAATTATTATTTGGGAGAGTAGAGCAGGAGAAGATGGCCGCCAACGGCGGGCCGCACGGGACTCCCCATGAAAATGGAGATGGAGGGGGCAAGCACAAACGCGGCAGCCACAAGCGGGGCAATAGTTTGTCCGAGGGCATGTCGCGCCTCTTCTTCGGGCTCCGCGGCCTACACGGCGGTGGCGGCGGTGCCAGCGGTGGGGCGGGCGGGTCGAGCGAGGAGCGAGCTCCTACGTCCACGCAGCAGATTTCATCTTCCTCCAAGGCCGCGAAAAAGGCCAAGAGAGGGCGGAGCCAATCGTCCAAAGATCGAACTTCCTCTTCCCCTTCCTCGTCCCCCTCATCCTCCTCGCGGGACAAGATTAAAAAGAGGTCGGGCGGCAGCAGCGCCCCCACGTGGGACCGCATCGAGCAGCCAGCCTCCCAGCCTCCCAGCCATCACCAGGTGCGCATTATTTCATTATTTCATTTTATATATTAAATTATTGTTGCCGTGTACAGCCACCCCTTTATCTTTGTGGTGTAGCAACCACGCCTTTTTGTCTGTTTGGTTCTTTATTTATTTGTTTGATCTTTATTTGCCATTATGTATAATACAGCTCTTCCATCTGCACGTTTTCTAATATTCCTCTTTATTCCTCATTTTTCGTTGTTTGTTGGGCTGGTTGTGTGCAGGTGCGGGCCGCGCTCACGCCGAGCGGCAGCCAGCGAGAGCCGGCCGTGTGGCGGTCTTCCTCGGGCGGCGATCTCGCCGAGCGATGGTCGGTGCGGCGCGGCGAGCGCGAGGCGGCCACCGCCACCGCCACGGACCACTCCCGTGAGCAGCCCGCCGCCTCCGCTTCTTCTTCGTCGTCTTCTTTTGCAACCACCGCCGCTGCCATCACCGCCGGCCTCCAGCTATCACTCCAGCCCGCGGCCAACGGCACCACGACCACGAGCGGCGCCGCCACGCCGCCCGCGCTATCGCCGCGCGAGCGCAAGGAATTCATCGGACGAGCGCGCACCGCCGCCACTCCGCCGCACCCGTCCGCCACCCAGCACAGGGAGCCTTCGCAGCAAACCCAGAAACGGCGGCAGCAGCTGCAGCTGCAGCTCCAGATCCAGCAGCAGCAGCAAGAGGGCCTCGACGAGACCGGCCCGCGGTCGTGGAAGGCGACGACGCCGCTCCATTCGCCGCTGTCCGGACCCAGCGAGGACGAGCACCCGGCGTGGGGCGGCGGCAGCGGCGCGACCAGCGGCAGCGAGGCCGAGGAGAAGAGATTCGCCGGGACCAAGCTCGGATCCGAACCTGAGTCCGGGTCGGAGACCGAGCACATGGCCGCCATTGGCGGAATGTCTTCACCGACAACAGCCTCCTATACGTCGTCCTCCTCCTCGTCGTCAACCACTACAACGTCGTCATCGTCATCGTCAGCGGCGTCGACGGGAATGGAGCGGGTGCGGCTGACGAAGCGGACGGTGCAGGACTTTGAGTTCGGGAAGGTGCTGGGCGAGGGGTCGTACGGACAAGTGCGAGCGGCGCGGGACATCGCCACCGGCCTCCTTCTGGCCATCAAAGTACGCCCTCCTCTTCCTCGGCACACGGATGAGCATTTCCCTTTATCGATTTATTTTATTTTATATTTGAATTTGGTGCTATGTGTGAGATATGATATTTATTCATTCTCATGAATTCATGGTTGGCCAGATATTGGACAAGCGGCACGTGGTCAAGGAGAACAAGGTGGAACAGGTCAAGCGGGAGAAGCAGATCCTCGAGTCGCTGTCTCACCCCAACATCATCCACCTCTACGGCACCTTCCAAGACAACAACTCACTATGTACCCGCCACCACACCTCTTCTCCCAGCCTTGAGGCCTCGACCATCGTTCTCACTCGTCCTCACGGTGTGTGTGTGTGTGTGTGTGTGTGTGCGTGTGTGTGTGTGTGTCGCACACTAGTTTTCGCGATGGAATACTGCCCGAACGGCGAGCTCCATCAACACCTGAAGCGGGTTTGCACTTTCTCGTGCTCCGTCGTCAATGATCAGTGATCATCATTCCCACTCCACCGATCGCCTGACCGTCGGATGTCGTGGCGTGCAGTTGGGTTCGTTCAACTTGGAGTGTACACAATTTTATATTGCCGAGCTCGTCAGCGCTTTGGAGTACCTCCACTCGCAGGGTAACTACCCCCCCCCTTCCCTTCTCTCGTCACTCCAGGCTGTTTTATTTTATTTTTTATATTTGTTTATTTCCTTTTTGCTGACCTCAAGCGACTTCTTTTGGTTCCCCAGGGATCGTGCACAGGGACATCAAGCCCGAGGTACGCACCAACGCAAAACACAATTTTGAAATGTACAGCACCGCCAAAGACATGTGCTTGGGTTCTTATCATTTCTTTTCTTTTCTTCTCCCCTCCCATATTGTGTGCAGAACATGCTGCTTGGTGCCAACTTCCATCTCAAGCTCATCGACTTTGGCACGGCCAAGAGCGTCGGCCCCGACCAATACGGTACGAGCCGAGCTCCCCAATTACGCCTCACCGCTCGCGCGACCGTTGGCGTTCACACTTGCCGCCCCCCCCCCTCTCCTTTTCCGCAGCTCGTTCGACGTCTTTCGTCGGAACGGCGGAGTACGTCCCGCCCGAGCTACTGAACGAACACTACTCCGTCAAGAGGTTCGTGTCGTGTGTGTCGTGTGCGTCGTGTGGTGCGAGAGTGACTCACAAGCATCGACGCCATAGTTCGGATCTATGGGCGCTCAGCTGTGTGCTGTATCAATTCCTGGCGGGCAAGTCGCCCTTCCGCGGCGCCAACGACTACAAGACCTTCCGCAAGATCAAGAAACTCAAAATCAAGTTTCCCACCGGTACAGCACTGCAACGTTTCTACGCTTTCCCCCCTATTTTAGCTCCGTGCACACTAACCAGGCACACACCGCACGACACACACACGCACACACACACACACAAGGTTTTCCTCCTGTGGCCAAAGACTTAGTCCAGAGACTTCTGGTTCCTGATTGGACCCAGCGATTAGGTATTCTCTCTCTCGCGAGTGTTTCATCGCGATTTCTAATTTCTTCACACAATCATCTGCGCAGATTTCGCGCACCTCAAGGCCCACCGGTTCTTCGAGGGCATCGACTGGGACACGCTCCACACCACGACGCCGCCGGTGCTGGCCGCCCCGGCCGTGCCGGTCTTCGTCGACGAGGAGAAAGAGCGGAAGTTCAAGGCCCAGCAGGCCAAGAGCTCCGTGTGGGGCAAATTCCTCTTCAAAAATTCAGACGAGGTCATCATCCAGACCGGTAAGTGCATGTGTCATGTGTCGTCGTGTGTGGTGTCGTGTGCGCGGGTGCTCACCGCGTGGTCGCACACGCACACAGACCGAGTGGCGAAGATAAGCAAGCATTTCTTCGGGGCCACCAAGTCGCCCAAGAAGCGGCAGCTCATCCTCACGGACTTCCCTCGGCTGTTCTACGTCGACATCGATCGCATGGCGCAGGCGGGCGAGATCGAGTGGCGCTCCGACCTGCGCGTCGAGGCGCGACACGACAACATTTTTGAAATCACCTCCGTACGCGCTACCTCTGTTACTTTATTTATTCACATATTTATATGTATCGTTATATATTATTTATCGTTATGTATTATTTATTTATCGTTATTCATGAAAACAACCTAAAACAGGGCGAGAAGACGTACATCTTCGAGTTTGAGGCGGAGGGCCGCGCGGCCAAGTGGTGCGCCGCCATCAGCAGACTGCAGCGGCGAAACAACGGCGAGGAGGAAGAGGACGAAGATGATGCGGGTGACGATGAGAACGACTTTGCCACGGAGGACGAGGTAAACGACAGGGCACACCCTCATGATCCACCAGTGATGGTGGTAGATCACCCAATGACGGCACGAGACGAAAACAGAGAGAAGGACAAGTAGAACAGTTCTTTTATTTTTAAAAAGAAAAAAGGAAGCATAAATATTTATTCGTGCCTGAAATTCCTGGTGGCGTTCTGCATTGAGAGCAGAGGAGTTGAAAATATTTGAGGATCGTGGGTGCTCGCTAATTTCGAGCAAAAGGTTCAGCCAATTTGGTTATCTGCACCTCCGGCCCACAAAAGCAAAACCGTCGCGTACCGGCGGCAAACGAAACACTCAGCGCCAGACCAAGGATGAACGCCATAGGAAACTCTCCCGCCTATGCAGTGCGGCAGTGGCGCTTCAGTGCCGAGCAGGGCAAATGGATCATGCTCACCGCCCAGCAAGTGGTAACAACATTCATTCCTTTATTTTTAATTTCTTTAATGTAGTGTGGTGTTGGTTTTTGTTTTGCATTGCGCAACCAACACTTCGTTGCCGACAGGAGAGGGAGGCGGGCAATGTAAACAAGTCTACGCTGCGGATGGTCACCTACAACGTTTGGTTCGGCGAACACGCCCGCACCATCAGGTAACCACACTTCCTCCTCCTCTCTGGGCATCCCTGATAAGCCAGCAGCCTGCCCACTCTCATCGCTCTTTGTTGTGGTCATTCAGGATCCGGGCCATCCTGAGCATGCTACCGGAACTTGATGCCGACGTCGTCTGCATTCAGGAAGGTACTGAGAGACCGCCTATGTGTGTGCAGTGTGTGCGGTGTGTGTGGTGTGTGCGGTGTGTGCGTGGTGTGCCGTCTTATGAGTGCTTTGTGGTTCTGGCGCACGACAGCGACCGACGAGTGGATCGCAGAGATGACGAACAACCCCTACGTTCAGAAGCACTACACGGTGTCCGACGTCGACGGGCGCACCCTCCGCGGGTACGGCGTGGTGATGCTCTCGCGGCTGCCCATGACCAAGCTCGCCATGTGGTGGCTCCCCTCCAACATGGGCCGCTCTGCCCTCATCGCCACCTCCACCATCAACAACGAAACAGTTCGCCCCTTTCCCGAACATGCACCACACACACGACGCAACACGCACACGCACGCACGCCACGCACGCACACACACACGAGGCGCACATACACACTACTCACCGCGTGTGTGTGCAGGTGAGCATCGGAACCGTCCATCTGGAGAGCTTGGACCAGGCGCCGTATCGCGAGAAACAGCTGGAGATCATCGCCGGTTAGTAACCCCACCTGATGAAACAGAGTACTGGGCTTTTGTGTGCTCACCACCAACCTTCTGGGGTGGCGCCAGGTGCTCTGAAATCGTCGACGCACGCCGGACTGATGGGCGATTTCAACTTTGACTCCGAGCGCAACCACAACCCCGAGTACGCACACACGCCTTTTTCACCCACGCAGGTTGCATCGCAATTCGCGTCTGATGAGAAAAACGGAACACGAACCGTGCAGCACGCATCCGCTGGAGAACGAGGCACTGGCGCGTCTTTACCCCGAGTATGTGGACGTGTGGGCCGAGCTCCACCCCGACCTCCGCGGCCTGACCTTCGACACCGGCGTCAACCGCATGATCAGTGGGAACGAGCAGATGAGGTACTCAATCAGTCGCTCACCTAGTGCCGTCAGTCCGTCACTGACCTAGGTGACGTATCATGCGTGCGTGCGTGCGTGCGTGCGTGCGTGCGTGCGTGCGTGCGTGCGATGTGTTGGCAGGTATGATCGGGTGATGTGGAAGTCGGGGAGGGGAAGTGGCGCCCCAGGTCCATCCAAATGCTCGGAACCCAGCCGCTACGAGGCCTTCAGGTGCTCATCACTGCATCCCCCAATTGGACGGCACAGATCAGAGCTGACCGCCAGGTGGCGTGTTTTCCTCACACAGACCGTGTGGCCATCGGACCACTTTGGCCTGTTCACCGAGCTCGAGTACCACCGTCCCTCAGAGTGAGGTGTAGTGTGCTGGAACACATTCAAAGAAGCGGCCTGGGCATCCCACGCCTCTCTTTTTTATTCTTTATTATTCGCCACACGGAATTGGGGAGGGAAGAAGTTGTGGCTTGTGCGCGCACCAGTGGTTCGTTCACAAGTGGGGGACAGGTGTTCACAACACCGAACGGAGCACCACCGCTGTATCAGTCACTGCAATTGACACGGAGGAGGAAGTGGATGGCTGACGACGCGGGGTTTTCCACCATCTCCATCTCGTCTCGGCGCGGCCCCTACGAGGAGGAGCGTGAGGTCGAGTCCCTCCTCGTCCGCCCCCCTGCTGCCGGCGACCGCGTCAAAGCCTTCCTCCGGTACCACCCCTCTCCATTTTTGCGGCGCATTTAATCTTTTTCATTTCCCTCATTTATTAATTCAAAATAAAATAAGTAATATTGAATTGAATATCAAAATGAAGCGCAAGTTTGGTTATCGCGTATATATTGGACATTTTATTTTAATCTTTTATTATTTTACTATTTTTCCCGTTTGCAGACGGCATGGCTTCTTCATGGTGTTTCTCGCGACGCTCGTTCTCGTCGTGGTGCTGGTCATCGCGGTGGCCGTGCCCATGTCGCTCAGCTCCGATGACGAGCACGGCAGCGACAAGCCCCCCGCGTACACTCGCCCTTCTGCCTTTACATTGGCGTGTGCGTCGTGTGCGGTCGTGTGTGTGTGCGTGTGGTCGGTGTGTGTCGTGCATGCCTCAAGCTGGTGTCTATTCGCGGCTCAGGTTCGATTCGCCGCTAGCTCGGGCCAAGTACCTGCAGCAGCATTCGCCGCTGGTGGACGGCCACAACGACCTCCCGTGGGCTCTCCGCCAGATGCTCAACAACAACCTCACCGCCATCAACCTCGACCAAGTGCAATCCGGTCCGTGATCTGTTTTCCTTCTTCTTCCTCCTCCTCCTCTTCTACTTCTTTTGCCTGCTTGAGGAAGTGAATGTCTTGGTCGTCGCCGGCGTCGTGCTTGCGTGGTGCTGACGCGACATCGGGCGCGCAGACCTGATGACGGACTTGCCGCGGCTGCGGGAGGGCCTGGTGGGGGCGCAGTTCTGGTCGGTCTACGTCACCTGCGGGCAGGAGGCCTACAACGGCTCCCGCGCCGTGCAGGCCACCATGGAGCAGATCGACGTCGTCTACCGGCTCATCGAGGTGCGCATTATTATTCTTATTTAATTATTTAATTAATAATTCTTCGTTGAGTTATAATTATGTGATGTAATATGTCTAATTTCTTTGTGGTACAGCGGTACCCGAAGGACCTCAAGCTGGCGCTGACGGCGAACGACCTCGTGGAGGGCTTCAAGGAGGGCAAGATCGCGTCGCTTATCGGTACGATGTTGCGAAGGCCACCCATCACCCATACACCGCCACGCATCGACGCTGACACACAGACACACACACACACTTGTATATAAATGTCTTCTTCTTACACATCAGGCATGGAGGGCGGCCATTCGATCAACAACTCACTGTCCACGCTCCGAATGTTCCACCGTCTCGGCGCTCGCTACATGGTACAAGCGCACGCACACACGCACGCACATGAGGGGGAGGTACTGATCAGGTGGACGGGGTTGTGCAGACGCTCACGTGGGCGTGCACGCTCGATTGGGTGGACAGCGCAAACGGTCCCTTCCTCCACAACGGCCTGACCGCCTTCGGCGAGGAGGTAGTGCGTGAGATGAACAGGTGCGACCCCTCTTCCCAGCCATGTTTCGTTCTTTCTTTTTCTCACCACCCAAACACATTGCAATAATGCAACAGGCTGGGCATGCTGGTGGACATCTCCCACGTGTCGCCGGCTGTCATGCACGCCGCCATCAACGTCTCCGCCGCCCCCGTACGTTTGTTTTTTTCTCCCTACTCGCCATCCTTCTTCCCCCCCTCAACATGCCACTCATCGCCATCCCCGCCGCCGCCGCCGCCGCAGATCATCTTCAGCCACAGCAACGCCCGAGCGCTCTGTGATCACATTCGCAATGTGCCCGACGATGTGCTGGACAGGTGCCGACCAGAATCACCCATTTTATTTATTACTATACCCCACAATATATATATATATAATATCACCATTTCAGTTTATCCCTCTCGTACAGTAGAGTGAACTGTTTTGTTTTGTTTCCTATTATTGGTGCGCAGGATTCCGGCCAACGGCGGGATGGTGATGGTGGTGTTCTACCCTGAGTTTGTGCGGCTCGAGAATCCCAGGAATGTCACCATCAAGGACGTCGTGAACCACATCGACTACATCAAGAACAGGATCGGTATACCTGCCCGTGGCGTGTGTGGCGTGTGCGGCGTGTGGGTGCGCGTGTGGCGTATGAAGTTGGTGCTGACGTGGCACACGTGTGTTTTTTGCGGGTCCCCTCCAGGTGTGGATCACGTGGGCCTGGGGAGCGACTTTGACGGGGTATCGTACATGCCTACCGATCTCGGCAACGTGTCCCGCTTCGTCGACATCACCATCGAGCTCATCGACAGGTGCCTGCCTGATCGGCTTTGTTTGCGCTCCATCCATTTCACAACTCACATGAAGGTCTGCGTGTCGTATGTCTCGTGTGTGTCGTGTGTGTCGTGTGCAGAGGGTACACGGACGAGGAGATCAAGAAGGTGCTGGGCCTGAACACCATCCGCGTCATGCGCCAGGCCGAAGCCGTGGCGGCTCGGCTCCAGAAGACCACCCGCCCGTCCGACGCCGTCTGCTGCTGAGGCCCCGCTGGGTCCTCCTCCTTCCCCAGCAGCCATGTATTTATTGCACTCCTCGTGCACGTCACCGCACACGCACACACGATTGTGCTCAGCGCCATGGCGTACTTCAATGTGGTGGCTATCCTCCTCCTTGAGCTGTTCGGGGCGGATTGGGTACACCACCACCGACCACGGCGGCATACCGTGGTGACGTCAGTCGGCCAGTGAGTGGTGGTCTCCAACTTGCCAAGCAGATGTCAGGAAGAAGATGGACCAGTCGCCAACGGACGCATGACCGACGGTGGCCAGTCCGCGATGGTTGTTGGGGCCGTTTGGGCCGGTTGGCCGCAAATCTCCGCCGGACTCTGATTCGCTCGTCAACGAACAGAGACCACGGCTGGCCTGTCGACCAGGCGACTCTTTTTAATCTCAAGCTTGGGCGCCTTTCCTTCTTTTTCATTCTTCTTCAACACACACCTGCCGACCACACAGGTCAACTACAAACACAGCACACAGCACACATCACAGACAACATGGGCAAGGTGGTAGCGATCATCGGCATCACCGTGGCGGTCGTCTTCGCCCTGGTGAGCATTCTCAACATCGGTCTCTACGGCGGCGCCATGGACCTGGAGCTCGACGTGTGCAAGGGGCCGTGCCGCGAGCGCACCGGCGCGGTGGGCATCGTGGCCGGCGTGCTGGGCTTCCTGCTCAGCCTGGTGGTCATCGCCGCCCTCATACTGCCCCTCGTGGTGCCGGCCATGGCCGAGCCGATGCCCAGCCTCATCCTCAAGCTGCTCCTGCTCGTGTGCCTCTTCGTCGTGATCGCCTTCTACATCGCGGCCTGGTCGCTCATGGCCAAGGACATCCACGACTTCCGCGACGCGCTCCCCAGCGGCGCGTGCGACGACATGGCGCCCGACGTGTGGAACACGGCGCTCGCGTTCGGCCTCTTCGGCTTCTTCATCGGCATCGTCCTGTTCGTGGTCATCTGCGTCGCGCTCGTGGTCGACCGCGGTGACGGCGGCGGAGGTGGCGGCGGCGGTGGCAACCCGGCCAAGAGCGAGTACGACTGAGCGCAGACCACAACAACAAGAAGAAGAAGAGAGAGGGCAAAAGCCAGAAATGGTCAACGCAGAGCCCGGAGAGCCGTTATTGGTTGCCTCAGGCAAATATATATTATTTATATGACATGTCAATAACACAGGAGATTTGGCATTTTACACTTGCGGAATGCAGGTTATGCGCCCGCAGCCTGCCGCGGGAGATGTCCTGGTGGCACAGCCCACGGTGAACCAACCACGTCAGTCCACAGCCACGGCCGCAACAAAGCCCACTCGACACTGCACTTTTCGCTCATCCTACTCTCTACACGCCAAGCTCGCGCCAGCGCACGCCACTCACACATAACTAAACTCTCAGAGACACGACACCAAGATGAGTTCAGCTTGCGGCAAGGTGGTGATGGTGGTGGGCGTCGTGGTGGCGCTCGCCCTCATGTTCGTGAGCGTACTCAACATCGGCCTCTACGGCGGCGCCATGGACCTGGACTACGACACCTGCCAGGGGCCGTGCCGCGAGCGTACCGGCGCGCTGGGCATCGTGGCCGGCGTGTTCGGCTTCCTGGTGGGCATCGGCGTCATCGTCGTGCTCGTGCTGCCCCTCGTCGTGCCGGCCATGGCCGAGCCGCTGCCGTCGCTGGTGGCCAAGCTGGTCCTGCTGGTGTGCCTCTTCCTGGTCACCCTCTTCTACATCGTGGCCTGGTCGCTCATGGCCAAGGACATCGACGACTTCCGCGACGGGCTCAACGGCGCGTGCGACGACATGGCGCCCGACGTGTGGAATGCGGCGCTTGCGTTCGGCCTCTTCGGCTTCTTCCTCGCCATCGCTCTCTTCATTGTCGTGACCGTCGCGCTCGTGGTCGACCGAAGCGGCGGAGGTGGTGGCGGCGGCGGCGGCGGCAGCAGCAACCAGCACCCAGCCAAGGACGAGTACGCGGCCTAGGGGTGGAAGAAGCGCCAAGATACTTTTCGAAGGCCATTTTAAGAAATATTATTTTATTTGGTACCACGGACCGGCGGTTGCTCCAGCCCGGTGTAGCAGGTGTACATAGAAAATTACATGAAATAGATAACCCCTATCCCAACAATCAATCACCATGATTGGAATGTGTTAACATTTTCTTTGGCCAAACGAGAAAAGAGCTTCTTTTCGGGGAGAAGAAGTGTGTCTCACCTGTCGTCTTTCGGTTCGGCCGAACACGTTTCCAGCCGTCCAGTGCTAAATGCATCACCGGTCCATGCACCACCCACAAAAAGCGTCTGCGAGGAGTACGCCCTTTTTCACGAAATTGGACGGGCCAACAACGCCCTGTCTCCGTCAACGACAAAGGCGCAGTTCCTCCAGTGCCTTGCACACACCACAACAAACACACACAAACTACAACACACAAAAAGATGGCGGACGGTAAGGCAATTGCGGTGCTGGGCGTGGGCGCCATCCTGGCCCTCATCTTCGGCGTGCTGAGCGTCATCAACATCGGCCTCTACGCCGGCGCCGGCGACCTCGACGCTGACTTCAGCGACGCGCCGGACAACTGCAAGCTCCCGTGTCGCGAGCGCACCAGCGTGCTCGGCATCGTCGCCGGCTCCCTGGGTCTCGTCGCCGCCGGCGCCACCGTGGCCCTGCTCGCTCTGGGCCTGCTTGAGTCCTCCACCCGTGCCGTGAACCTGCTCGCCAAGGGGGTCCTGCTCGCCACCCTCTTCATCGTGAGCGTGTTCCAGATTACCGCGTGGGCGCTCATGGCCCGTGACATCGACAAGTTCCTGGACACGTACGGCTCCGCGGCGTGCGACGTGTCGCCCCACCTGTGGAACGCCGCGCTCGCGTTCGGCCTCTTCGCGTTCATCGCCGTGAGCCTGCTCTTCCTGGTGGTGGCCGGCGGCCTCGTGTTGGACTTCATGTCGAGCGACGGCGGCTCGAGTGGCGGCGGCGGTGGCGGAGGCGGTCGGGGCGGGTCGTACTACGGCGACCACGTCAACCAGTCGCGAGCCGAGCAGCAGGAGGCCCAGCAGGGGCAGCAGCAGGAGCAGCAGCAGGAGCACTACCAGTAGGTGGAGAGCTCTACTCGCTCATCAATCAACAAATAAATAATAATTAGTTATGCCCAATAACGATAATTTAATATTTGTCATTTTATTATATTCTATTTCTTTGTTTGGTAAATCTGCGACCACAACAGCAAGGTTGAGGGAAGATTCCAATCTTTTCGCCGTAGAGCAAGTGACCACTAGATCCAGTTGTCATCCTTGATGACGTCGGCAGCCCGCTCAGCGAGCATGTAGATGGTGGCCGTGGGGTTGTTGGGGTGCAGGCCGGGCATCACCGACGCATCCACCACGCGCAGCTGGTTCACTCCCCTCACCCTGAACCTCTCGTCCACCTGTGCGCCACCAGCGTGAGTATTCTTTATTTTATTACGTTATTTATTATGTTAGTTCTTCTTTATTTGTGTCACTTTTTTAACTCTCTTTACGATCGTATATTTATTTGAGGGGGCGGAACGTACCACGGCGGAGGGGTCGTCGTCGGGGCCGTACTTGCAGGAGGAGGCCGCGTGGTAGGTGGGCGCCGAGGCGGAGAGGATGTAGCCCGCCAGCTCGGTATCGTCTGCCGTGCGCGGCAGCAGCTCCTGCACACTGCTCACAACAACACACCGGTCAGAGGCGTGTCGTGTCGTTGGTCGTGCGTTGTGTGTCGTGTCACTGCTCGTGCCGTGTTGTGTCATGTCGCGTGTTGTGGCGTACGTGACGGAGGAGAGGGGAGGGGTGGCGGTGAGCTGGCGGACGGTGTGGATGCAGGCCATGATGTTTTGCAAATCCATCGAGTAAGCATCGCCGAAGAAGTTGGGGCTCCTCCTGGGCTCCTGCAGTGGGTCGGCCGACGCCAAAGTAATCTAAAGTACGCGCGCGTGAGCTGCCATCTATTTTATGTGTGTCGTGTGCGTGTGCGTGTCGTGTGGAGGAGGGGGTGCACCTCTCCTCGGCTGCTAGGGTACGAGGGGAAGCAGACGAAGATGAAGGAGTTTGGCGGAAGGGCAATCTCCTCCTTCGTGGGGAGCACGCTGGCGAATTCAAACTGATCCATCAAAATCACGTTAGCCACACCCCCTACACGCACACGCACAC